GGAAAGATAATTCAAAGGTAAAGAGATATGTAAGCATATAGATAGAGAGGTTCTCCAAGGATTAGGCGATATATCGACGGAAAGATAGTTCAAAGATAAAAGAGAGAGAGATAGAGAGATTTTGCTTGACCAAGCTTCTGCTAGTCTTTATATAGACAATTATTTGATTTTTTTTAAAAAAAAGAGAGGGAAAACATGGTCACTATATCGCAGTTTTTTGGAGTTATGAATGCAAATGCAGATCATCTCTTAAAATGCTATATAATACAACAGAGTAATAAGTTACCTAGTACTCTTTTGAATATTCTTGAAAATAATTATTACAAAACCTATGTAGATAGAGAGTATCAACTTATCACTCTTCAAAAAAAAATATAAATGCCTCGATATTACTCTTACAAGGAATACACTAAAGTATATTGTACTGTATTCCAAAGAATAAAAGATATATTTGTAGCATTCTTACTATCAATAAGATAGCTAGGTAACATTTTACACACAGCGACTGATACACATAGTAATTATAAGAGCTTTTTTTTTTTAAAAAAAAAGAGAAAGGAATCTACAGCATTAATAATTGATTTGCACCGCTGAGATTTTAATTGCAATATACTACCTTTGCATATCAGTATTGCATCATATACTTATTATTTATATGGAGAATCTCACTGGTCAAAGAAGTGCTCTGTAAAAAAAAACACCCGCCTTCTCTATGAAAGCTTACACTTTATTAAAAAAAACCAAGATCTTTCACAACATAATTTGTATTTTATATAAAAAACTTTAAAGTGATAATCTTTCCACTTAGACATTGTATGCCAATTAGTTGTGTTTTTAGTCAATGAGGTAGTAGATTTTTTATTTCATTTTTGATCGAAGGCATTTGTATACAAAAATAATGGGATACATACTCTACAATTAACTGATATTCTTTGTACGCGGTTAATAAATAAATATAATGTCTTATTGATAAATTTGGGAAAGAAACTTGTTTTTTATCAATGATTGTCCCTCTTGCTACTACACTTGTATCAAAAGAAAGGATTTTTTCTCTGATAATAAAACAAAACATGAAAAATCTAGAGAATCTAATCAAAGAAAAATGACTTATAAATACTAGCAGTTAAATTATTTAAGCATTTAATGCAAACGCCTAATACTAATTTTTACATTAGATAGGATTATATCACTAAAGCCTGAAATTTTGATTGCACTATAGCCTGTTAAGTATGCTTACATGATGTTTTTGTACTTATAATAATCAACTTTTGAATGTTATTTACAGAGAATTGTTAATAAAAGTATATCTCACATGTTATCATTTATTACAAATTGTATTATTATTCTTAAAAGTTGGCAGAGATTTTGACAAGACTTTATTTGGTGCAAAAGTGTTTTTTATTGTGAGCATAGATAAAAAAATCATTTGTATATATATATATATTAATAGGATACAAAATATATCACTTATTTCCAGAGTATACAGCATAAAATTTTTGCTTATAACTATCTTCGATCAAAAATGAAATAAAAAATCTACTACCTCATTGACTAAAAACACAACTAATTGGCATACAATGTCTAAGTGGAAAGATTATCACTTTAAAGTTTTTTATATAAAATACAAATTATGTTGTGAAAGATCTTGGTTTTTTTTAATAAAGTGTAAGCTTTCATAGAGAAGGCGGGTGTTTTTTTTTACAGAGCACTTCTTTGACCAGTGAGATTCTCCATATAAATAATAAGTATATGATGCAATACTGATATGCAAAGGTAGTATATTGCAATTAAAATCTCAGCGGTGCAAATCAATTATTAATGCTGTAGATTCCTTTCTCTTTTTTTTTTAAAAAAAAAAGCTCTTATAATTACTATGTGTATCAGTCGCTGTGTGTAAAATGTTACCTAGCTATCTTATTGATAGTAAGAATGCAACAAATATATCTTTTATTCTTTGGAATACAGTACAATATACTTTAGTGTATTCCTTGTAAGAGTAATATCGAGGCATTTATATTTTTTTTTGAAGAGTGATAAGTTGATACTCTCTATCTACATAGGTTTTGTAATAATTATTTTCAAGAATATTCAAAAGAGTACTAGGTAACTTATTACTCTGTTGTATTATATAGCATTTTAAGAGATGATCTGCATTTGCATTCATAACTCCAAAAAACTGCGATATAGTGACCATGTTTTCCCTCTCTTTTTTTTAAAAAAAATCAAATAATTGTCTATATAAAGACTAGCAGAAGCTTGGTCAAGCAAAATCTCTCTATCTCTCTCTCTTTTATCTTTGAACTATCTTTCCGTCGATATATCGCCTAATCCTTGGAGAACCTCTCTATCTATATGCTTACATATCTCTTTACCTTTGAATTATCTTTCCATCGATATATCGTCTAATCCTTGGAGAACTTTTACATCTATATGTCTATATATCTCTTCATCCTTGAGCCATACTATAATATATCCCTTTATTTCTTTAAAGCATCTCTCTCGTATAGTTTTTTTTTTGGCCGATTGAACATAACTCTTTGGCATAAGGGCATTTTGGTAAGAACTTTTTTCTTTTCATTTGTATATAGGGCTTCTTTATCATTAAAAGATTCCTTTATTGTGATAGTGTTATTTTTCAACAGACTTTACTCTATTTATCTTTATTTCCGACTCTATATACTTTTATCTATAGCTTTATCTATATCTATATCTATACCCCTCTTTGTATATACCCTTTATATGTATATCTTGCTCTATGTATTTGCTTTCTTTTCTTTTTTTCTTTCTCCAAAGTATCCGTCTTGGTAACAAAAATTTCCGGTAAGTATTGTTCCGTAAAGAATATAAGAGCAAAATATACTTACTTTACTAGTGTCGACTCTCTGGGCGTTTCGTTCCCAGGCGAGCTTATGTTTCTTTATTCTGGACCTACAAGAGAGAACGCACGAATTATCTCTTGTACTGTGTTTTACGGTCTTTATTGTCGTATATCATTGGCAGTTTCCTGCGCAAGTGTCCAGACGAGTTGGTTGTGGTTATGCGCAATGTGGTGCGGAAAATGTTGTTCTGAAAACATCCGTTAGCTTGGAATGGTGTATGCTGACGTGCAGCGCTGCTTGACCTCGCCTCTGCTTTCCATACCACTCTTTCTTAGAAAGAGAGCAGCCAACTACTTTTTCCCCCTCGCTTTCAAATCAGGTCTTCGTCCTGAGGGGGATGGATCCACTATTGTTATTTCTGGCAAAGTGGTGAACTAAGAATTTGACATGTTCTCTCTATAACACGGTTGTTTGGCCCGACACTATTTGATAAGTTTCTCTCTTTTTTTTGCAGATCTTTCTTCATTTACATCGACTCTAATCAATAATCTTTGTCTATTGCTTTACACAGATACATTATAAACAAACTCTTGCTAAACAAGATCCTAGCACAGTTTTTGCGGTTTATGAGTAGTATATTTTTATTCACAGCTATTTCCGTTTATCTGGTACAAAAGTTGCTAACCCCATAGTATTAGCAGCAGGATAAGCATATTATTTTACACATAGCACACGTTCAAAATCATAACATATGTACTGACTCTACTTTGAATATCTTGTCTGGGCGTTTAGTTCTCAGATAGGATCAGCTTTCTTTATTCTGGACCTACAAGAGAGAATGCACGAATGATTTCTTGTATTGTGTTTTACGGTCTTTATTGCCGTATTTTACTGGCAGTTTCTTGCGCAAGTGTCCAGACGAGCTGGTTGTGGCAGTGTGCGATGCGGTGTGGAAACCGTTGATCTAGAAAACATCCGTTGGCTTGGAATGGTGCATGCTGACGTGCAGCGCTGCTTGACCTCGCCTCTGTTTTTCACTCCACTCTTTTTTCAAAAGAGAGCAACCAACTCATTTTTTCCCCTTCGCTGTCAAATCAGGTCTTCGTCCTGGGGGGGATGGATCCACTTTTGTTTTTATTATTATTATTTACAGTGGTGAACTAAGAATTTGACATTCTCTCTTTCTCTCTCTCTTTTAATACATGTACTCTTTAATTCAGCTAACAAATAAATTGTTAATAAATCAATAAAATTCTTTTAATTTGAATTATCTTTAATTTTATGAGATTTTCTTTTATAATATAAGAAATAGCCAACAACAATATTTGACAGGCAGTAAATAATTATTTAACTAAGAGTACCACACAAATTCAGAAGTATAAGACAATACTAATATTTACTCTATTCTAATTTTCTATATTATACAGATACATTTTGTAAAACCTAGTAAATATTATGCAGATTAATCTTACATATGCACACATACACACAAGATGTATAACCTGAATTTTAGTGCTCTACCCACACATTATCCAAAAGATCTATATTGAATAGAAATATTTAAAGCCCAAGAAAGTAATATTTTTTTTATATTTCACTTTTATTGATAAAGAAATAAAGAAAGAAAAGCGCAACCACCATATTTCCTGTCATATTCAGCAAGACTGAATCACTTGGGTTTCTTTATGGGTTCATATCTCAATATAAAAAAATTAAATACTGTTCGAGTGCTATTCGTTAGAGTTCAATAATTATGTTTCTATATGCTACTATTTAGACTCTTGATGTATAATTGTTGGTTTACGCGATTTACACCGTATACATCTGTATTATATGTGTGCCTGGTGCTGAACAGTTACATAGATGGTTAACTTGCCATGTCCATTAGCAAAAAGGAAACAAATCTAATTTTTGGGGTTTTTATTCCATTCAATTGTGGTGCGTATACCACAAGGCTGGCACTTTTCATCAAACTTAAACTTTACATTTCATGTATATATGCACAGCCATAAGCTTCTTTTCGTGTCGCAAGTCAAAGCTGAGAATACTCATTCTTTTGTTTTAAAGTGGCATTTAATATTTTCAACTTTTACGGATTCAAGACAGCGAGAAAACAGCTAATGCTACCAAGTTCATGCCTATTCATTTTGAGAAAATTCTAATTTTTCCTTATCTATTTCTCTATAGAAGACTGTAAACCAGATATAGACACCTGTTCAAAGCCCCCACTCTTGCTCTTGTGTTAGAATAAGTAGGCTGCTAACAACCATGTTTATTAAATACTTACTTGGTATGTACAAAGATGACTAACGTGTTCTGTCTGCATTACTTTACAAAAAAAAAGTAGTAGAATTTAGTCAGCGAGAGTTCACAAAATTCCGTACTGGAAGTCTTGTTGTGCGACAGTTAAGCTAGGGTAGTATTCTGTTCTTTATGCGCAGACTGTAGTACTGCTCCTCATGACTTGAGGAACCTGCGGGTATTTTCTTGGATTCCGGATTACTCAGTAAATAATCGTTCCAACACATACAGCAAAACAAAAGCATCTTAGCACTTTCCCCTCCTTTTCCTTTTTGTATATACGAGGTTCAAGCCAATATGACTAGCATTCTCGAACACTCTATTTCGTGTAACAAGAGCTGTTATGTCTGGTCTATTTTTACTATTTGATGAAGAGTATTCTACGGGAAGTCTTCCGGTTTGTCTGCGCAGGTAGTTGAGCGTTGATCTTGCTGAGCGTGGGGTAGCATGTGAAGACTTGACTGAGCTCTGGTAGTGGCGTCTAGGGTCTTTGATGCGAGGTTAGGAATTTTAAAGATATTATTTTGGAATTGGAATATGTGGGTTTAAAGGCATTCTGTCCTTTTTTTTGAGGGGGCTACCGGATAGTCGCCCTTTACTTTGGTGAGATAAAATACTAGGCGTCGTATGAGTGATATATATCTGGACTTTATTATTATACCTTTAGCTAACCTCTCAGGGCTGGAATTGTGGGGTTTGACGGCATTATTTGCTTCTTCAGGTAAGTATTTTTTATATTTTCTTTCTTTCTTTTTTATTACAGTCGATTTTGAGACACAAGAACAAGATGCGGAGCACCGATTGACTTTCCTGGATGACCTTGTAAGATTCATTGATTGAAGACTTTTCTTAAATCAATCAACCAAGCAAGCAATAGATAGATAGATAGATATATTATTTTGATAGAAGCAAAATTTGTGATATTTGTATCTGTATATACATATACATATAATCATTTTGATAAAGCTTAATAAGAATTATTAGCAATGGTGTTAATATATAAATTAACATAAAAACAGGTGTGCTTTTTTGGAAGTAAAGTCAGTACCTACTATACTTTCTTTTTTTAGCTGTTATACAACCACGGTTAATTTAAGAGTATATGCACTGGATTATATAGAAGTTTTTCTTTTTAGAATAACAAGAATAAGAGTTACTCCATATACCAAACTCGATTATTTTCCTTGATATATACTGGTTTTAACGTGAGACTCTTATCCGACCACAAGAATAACAAACATATCAAGAATCTATTGGTACCAACACATCAGTTCTTATCTGTAACTCTGTATGTACTTTTTTTGTCTGAATTTAAAGACCCTGAAAATTATTATGTGAAATTCAAAGTTAGCTATCCTGTTCTCACAAGTGCTTTTTGTTTTGTTACAGTGCTCGACTCATCTGTCCACTGGGCACAGGTAGACCTTGACAGTTTCAAAATAATATTTACTCATTCATAGCTTGTGGATAATGTGATAAAGCCAGTCTCGAGAGAGAACCAGAGAACCTTCTCGGAGAATCTCGCTAATTAAGAGCCATGGTTATCAATCAAAGAGATCTTTACTTTGCACGATATAGTCTACGCTTTTTTATGGAATGATGACAGATTCGTGAATCGGCTATTTGTATCTTTTGTACTACAGTTTCATTGACTTTAATTATACCCTCAAGAACAGGATATGTATGTGTTTTAGACTTAATAAGTTTGTACATGTGTACAATCCGAACAGTGTGTACAGTGCGTGTGCTTATGTATGTATGCATGCATGTATCTATCTATCTATCTGTCTATCTATCTATGTGTGTATGTGGTTCCATATTGACTCGTGATTAGTTCTTATTTCTTCTTACCCCCGAGACTCTGGTGTATCGGGAAAATGAAACAAATATATTTCTTTTTCTTTTTAAAACAAAACTTTTTTTCATTACTATTATCGTGTGTGATATTTAGTACACAAAGCACTCACGGCCAATCCCTTTTCCTTTGTTCTTCTTCCTCTTCTTCTTTTTTCTTGAGAAAATCTCTTTAAGACCCAAGCCAAGATAGTACTCTTGTCACTTACTATATAATATTCTACAAGTCTTTCGGAGTCTTTTGTTTTTAGTGAATAGCAATTACACTGCTTGAGATTTATAATTTGTTGTAAGCTAAATAGAATATATTTCATAAAAAGAAAGGGTAAACAAAGTAGACGAACCATACGAATATATAATATGTATATACGTATAAGTGTGCGTGCATGTGTGTGCGCGTATGTCTGTTGAAGGCTGGGTATGCATTTTCTTTAAAGAAAAGAAAAAAAAAAGAGCATATAGGATGGTTAGCCCTTCTTTGGAGAACAAGGTAACACGCAATCAGGGCACACAACTTTTAAGTTAAAATGAATAGTTCCAACAGGAATGTAACCTGTGTCTCTATTTTTATATTCGAAAGGCTTTTATGACCCTTCCTCTTATTTTACTATCTTTCTGTTCATGCACATAGTGTAATTCCAGCTTTGGCTGCCTCATATACTTTTAAATCAATTTCATTTTATTATGATTATATTCAAAGCATAGTAAAGCACTGATATCTCAATATCTAGCCTTGTACTCTTGTTCATTTTCTTTGATTTTGTGTAGTGCATTTGTGTTTGTGTTTATGTTATAGTGAAAGGAAGAAAGGGAGAGAAAGACAGCCTAAAAAAGAGGGGAAAGAGAAAGGGAAGGAACTTGAATGACGACACTTGTGGGTGACATCAGCCGAGGCCGCGTGTGGACCTCAATTTGACTCTGAAAATGTATGTGAAAAATTGCGGGTTTGATTAGACAGAAAAGAATAAAAGAATTATATATAGGCACAGGCACACACACATATATATTTATACCTACATATATAAAACGAAGTAACTACGCCTTTTTTTTATTTTTTGGTTTTTGGTTTTAATTGTATAAAACATAAAAGTCAATTATAAATGTCGACCCCAATGGAAATTGATGATGTACCAACTGATGTTGGTACAGCTACTACTGCCCCTACTTCTGGTGCTGCTGCCCCTACTACTGCGACTGCTTCTGGCTCTTCAGCTGCCCAAGACACTGATTCCCAGGATTTGGTTAAAAAGAAGGGAAAGTCAAAAGACACCACAGACAAGAAGCGTTTCGAAGTCAAAAAGGTAAACCCTTTATTATTATTATTATTATTATTATTATTATTTTCTTTAGAGTCAAATAGTATGCGCAGTTAATTGCAATGAACGCGTCTCAAGGAGATAAATATTAATAGTGATAATAATATTGATTAAATGAATGATTGATTGAATGAATGATTGTGTGATTGTCACTAATGTACAAATGAATAGTGGAATGCCGTTGCCCTTTGGGCTTGGGGTAAATAATAATACAGATAATAACAATAGTAATAGACTAGTACTATTATTTCCCTCTCTTTTGTGTGTACCTCTGTCTGTGTATGAAAGAGCGAGAGGGGAAAGATGATTACCGCAGTACTATACTTATAATGATAACGATAATGCTAAGAAGAATAAGATGATTAAGACGAAAAAGCACACAAACTAATTAACGAATAAATAACAGATATTGTGGTGGACAACTGCGCAATTTGCAGAAACCATATTATGGACTTGTGTAAGTGGTACTACTTTAAAAAAAAACGGAAAAAAAAGATTATCGATAGAGAAGTATATTATGTATGTGTGTATATATTCTTGCGAAAACTAATTATGGATCTACAGGTATCGAGTGCCAGGCAAACCAAGCATCGGCTACATCTGAAGAATGCACTGTTGCCTGGGGTACCTGCAATGTAAGATTAATCCCAAGCTTATTATTACCATTATTGTTTTGGATAAAAGAAGAAAGGGGTTTTTTTTTCCTTTCTTTAGAACTTGATTGTCTTGGACATTAGAAGATTCTTGAATGATTGCTACATTTATAAAGTGTCCTAAATCATTAATTTGTGTCTATTGTACAGCATGCATTCCACTTTCATTGTATCTCGCGTTGGTTAAAGACTCGCCAGGTGTGTCCCCTTGACAATCGTGAATGGGAATGGCAAAAGTAAGTAAAAGAAGAAGAAATGATAGTGATAATATTTTGTACCTGCGAATATTTTATTTGTGTGTATGAGGTATGTGTGAGAGAGATGACTAACTATATAAAACTTGATACACTTAAAGGTATGGCCGATAAAGTGTTGGATCAAGAAGAAAAGAAAGTACAGTCTCCTACAACCTCCCCCTCTTCTCCTCCTTTCCTTTCCCCGCACTTTATATACATATATGTATATATATATGTATATATATACAACACACACATACACCCACACACAACAAACAGACGTACACCTACACATACAATCAGACAGACAATTGAAATCAAACCAATAACAACCTAAGACCAGTATCAACAACCTACATCACCACCAACACCAACGCCAACGCCAACACCGACGCCTACACCTACACCTACACCAGCACTTGCACCAATACACAAAAAAGTATACAACTTGTTTGAAATGGGGAAATTGTGGATCAAACACAATAAATAAATATATATAAAAACAAATATATCATTGGGGTGGGGGAAATGCTTCTTTACAATTTTTTATCATTATTACTTTTACTATGGTGATGAGTATTATTACTATTTTATCCCCAATAACCTGTGTCTGTCCAATCGTACTCTTGTTTTTTGGGTGGACAGAGTGAAGGTGGTAGGCTACGGACTTTCCATCCTGTAGGAAGGCGATATCTAGATCGTTTACGTGCAGATTGTTGCTCAGTTTTTTTTTGATGTGCAATACTCTGTTGATTTTGTTCCTGATTTCGAGACTGAAGCCATTGAATTAATTCAGGTGATAAGATTGGCTCACCTAGTGATAATAATAATAATAATAATAATAATAATAATAATAAAGAGTTATATATGATATATATATGATATATATAAGATATATATATATATTTTACCAGAGGTTGCATAGGCAATATGACTGAATTTACAACTCAGCCCAAATTCACATTGACCATGAGTGAAGAAGTGTCTGCAAGGAGGTTTGTTCATTTGTTCAGCCACAAACTCATTAGGATCTTGTGTATATTATATATATATATATAATAAATAAATAATATTGTACTTGTTTTTATTTTGAATTAAATGCATATACTAATTCTTTTGCTTACCTTTGAACCAGTCATAATGGCGTTTACGATTGGCTTGATGAACAGCACCTTGGAGATGTTTCTTTCGATTTGTGGAATTGTCAGGAAATGAACATTGACAGAAATCGCATTCATCTATAGAAAAACAAAATGTTACACAAACAAGACAAAAGACATGTTGTTGATGCAGCATAGATTGATTACTTACACTTTCTAGGCATCTTACTTTTTATTAATATTATTATTATTTAATACTGATACATATGTGTATATACTCGTAAGAAGAAGAAGAGAATTATTGCCCAGAGTGTTATTTTCTCTATATTCCTATATCTCTTTTTACGCACTCGCGTATATAGATGTGTGTGTGTGTGTATGTATGTATGTAATTGTAGTGTGCGTAGTATCTATAGTGTGCGTAGTGTTTGCAGTGTATGTATTGGTTTGGGACTGCTGTACGTGACCTTTGTCCTTGATGGTTTCAGTACAATGCAACAAGTTTTGGTCAGACATGTAAATTTTGGTCTTCAGGGGTGGGAATGACAATTGTACATTAAAATGATAATATTAATAATAGTAATAGTAATGCTAATGATAATATAATGTACTTCTTCTTCTTCCACTTCTTTGTCTTGTTATTTTTTAGTATTATTAGTATTTTACTCTTGCTGGTTGTGTTTCTTCCTATGCTATTAATATTAATATGATTAGTGATATTTATGATTGTGTGTACCCTTTATTTTCTATATATATTTATATTTACAAAGTGATGCTGTCATCAGTAAAAAAAAAAGTCAAAAACGAAATAAGTAAATATAAAGTGGCATTATGATTCTTTCATATATAAAATAATAAGAATAAGAACAAGAAGAACAAGCAGAACAAGAATTATAAAGAAAGAAATAAAAAGGATATTTGTACAATGAGCCAGAAATTAATCTTTCTATTTAACTCACCCTCACCCTCACCCTCACCCTCGCCCTAACGCATACCCTTTATATACTTTATGTATATATATATATATATATATATATTTGTGTGTGTGTTTTGGATGTGTTTTGGGTGACATAACAGGTAATTGCAAACAAAGACTCATTGTGGCTACATTGAGCTACATTGAGCTATTGTATTTTTCAGCAAATAAGAGAAAATTTCAGAAATAAGAGAAAATTATTGAGCAAATAATTGCCATTTTTTTTCTCTTAATTTCTCTTGGACTTTCTCTTAATTGACCTAAAATTTTCTCTTATTTGTTCAATAATTTTCTCTTATTTTATCCAATAATTTTCTCTTATTTTTTCTGAAATTTTCTCTTATTTGCTGAAAAATACAATACATTGAGCTACATCGATGCACTTGCGGTTGCTATGATTGGCAGTCTTGTTTTGTCACACGTGAAGGGTACTTGATTCACATGAAAGAAAGAGAAGAAGAAGAAGAAGAAATAAAATAAAATAAAATAAAGATTCGTCCCCCAAACCTGTTAGTCTTTGGATCCCATCAAAATTCCCACTCTCCCTCCTTCTTTTTTCTTGTATTTTATTTCTTTATTTCTTTATTTCTTTCTCTCTTTCTTTCTTTATTTCTTTTTGTTCTTCTTTTATTCTTTCACTTTTATATATATATTTATTATTATTCTAAATATTTTGTATATAAAATAAATAAATATATTTTGTTCTGTACTCTGATACACAACAATGACTAGCCCATCTCCCATGTCTATTACACAACTGGTGCACTCGGAAGAAGACAGTGACGTCAAATCAACAGCACAATCACTTGGACCATTTGATTCCAAAGGTAATAAAGAAGTCTCTAAACATCTTATTAAAATAAAAAAAAAGAGTATTATTGTTACTGGAATCAAACAAGCTGAACACAAATCCCACGTGTAATATGTTATCCAGAAAACACTTCCAACAAGCGTCCTTTCCCTGGACCACTCATCACCCTTCCCCCTCTCAATCACTATCCACCTACTCCTTCAACAACACCAAGTTCACCACTTCCAACGCCCATTTTAGGATTCTCAAACCCACGCTACTCAATCTCCAGTGATTCAACCATAGAAGATGACTTGCATCATCAATCACATTCACACCTACACTCTCTCTCACGCTCACACTCACACTCACATTTACAGCAACAAAATCAACAGCAACCCCCTCTTCCACTTCATCCCCATCCACACTCCCTCAACCATCATTTGAACCATCATCATCTGAATCATCATCTGAATCATCTGAACCCCCATCATTTGCATCACATGAACCAACAGCAGCACTTTATGCACCGCGTATCAAACATTCCATTGGTAAATTCTGCCCTCAGAGCCTACGAAAGTTCAAAGGCATCGTCCAGTGTAGTCAAATATGGTGCCGAAATGGTCGAGTCCTTTGCGGCCCCAATCTATGACAAGGTTGGCAAACGCGTCCTGTCCGGAGCAGTCGATGAGTGGGGGTGCAAGCAATTAGACAAGGCAGGTCTATTTTATCTTATCTTATTTTACTTTATATGCATATCTCTATACCTCTAAATATAAACCAATAATAATCCTAATCCTAATATATAAAACTACTCAGCTGGAGGAACGATATCCTAGCTATGTAACATCACCAGAAGAACAAGAAGATGCCACTATGGCGGCAGCTAGTGCGCTGGCCCGTGCATCTCTAACAGATGAATACGAAGGAGGTGTTAGAAGACGAAGAGAAGATTCGCGCGAAGATCAAACATGTAATGAAAAAAAGAAAGAAAACAAGACGACTCATCATTAATAAATAAATAAATAAACTAAACTAAATGTCATATGAATATTATTATAGATGGTTCAAGGTCCCGTTCTCGATCGGCGTCCCGGTCGACATCCCGGTCAACGTCCCCCCGTCGGCCCTACAATCTTGCCACCAAGACCACCGCCATTCGACACCGTACCCAGCCGATCGGAAAAAGCAAGTGGCACCAGATCGTGATGCACGCCGGTTCAGCAGCTGGCACAACCGCAGCCGTTGTGAGTGAAGAGAGTATGAAATGTCTTCGCTATTGCCTCAGTTGGCTTCAGGTAAAATAATAGAATATAATATAAAATATTCATTTACTTATTTATTATATATATGGTAGTATGCCACACAAAATATAGACCACCAAATGAATATCCTACGCAGCTTTCTGGTCGCACTCGCCACACACACCAACCAATCACAATCATCTCCAGCTACTGCGACAACTACATCATCATCCTCATCAGCATCTAATAATCCTAATAACGAAAACGAAAATGAAAACGAAAATAATAATTATAATAACACCGAAAACAATAACGAGAGCAATAACACATCATCATCATCATCATCATTATCATCATCATCAACAATGGCGCAGTCTGGCATAGTTAATAATAGTACATCAGCCCTTGGGGCCATCAAAAAGGAAATCATTGATACACTGCGTAAAGTGGTTGAGGTTGTGAGCCGGTACGCTGGGTCTGGCTTGCCTGAACAAGCCAAGGCAAGTGTACGTGGCTTTATCCTCGCCTTACCTGGTCGATGGGCTATCCTGAACTCTAACACTAATGGTGGCGGGATCGGGATTCATACTATTCTGGACTGCCCCACAACACCAGCAACGAATAACAATGAATCAGATGTGCATGAAACCTCAATTAGACTACTTAATTTTGGCGGCGAGTCTATTGAAATGCTCCAGTCTGTCAGCAATGTGTTTGCAGACACGATTGAGCGTGCCGAGTTGTGGTTGGAGCGACTGAGAGTCGTGGGCGTGGCGGGTGTGTCACGGCCAGAAAAATGCGGAGCTACCATGGAAACCGTTCCTGAACAGCCCAATGAATCAATGGACCTGAGCTAAAAAAAATTAAAAATTAAAAATTAAAAAAGAAAAAAAAAATTAAAAAATTAAAAGAAAAATAATACAATACAATACAATACAATACAATACAGAAATACAATTCAATTCAATTCAATACAATACAATTCAATAACCCACGCACACACTCACACCCACATATATATATATATTATAAAAAATCACAATTAAAATCACACGTATTATATACATACAAAAATATTGGATTTATATTCTATTCTATTCTACTATATATACTATTATTCTTATTCTTATTCTTATTTTATGATTTTAATCCAATAAAAATTTGCACTTCAAAACTATAAAACCTATTTCTATAATCAAAGTCATGGAAACGAAAATAAATAAAGAAGAAAGAGAGTTTTTGTGGTTCAGTATTAATGTGTTATAATGTTACAATGTTACAATGTTTCATGAAAAAGAATCAAGACAACACTCTAAATCAAGACAATATACAACAGGCGAAGAAGAGAGGGTTTGTATGATAAAAAGAGAGATATATAGACAGTGAATTACACAAAACCCTTTGTTACTTTATGAAACAAGAAAAATAATTGTAATTATGCTTAGCTTTTTTTTCATAAGCCAAATACAAAGCACGTATGCAAAGAGTTGATTTTATTGGGTAGAAACCATTCAATCCAATTAATAAATAAAAAATAAGAATTAAGGGGGAGGAGTAAGGTTAAGAGTAAGAGAAAGGAACAGATGAGAAAGATATATATATATATATATATAAGTTAATCAGTATAAAACATAAATAGCTTCAAAATATATATGCACAATGAATTTTTAAGAGAGCAAATACCAAGTAAATAATACAGTACAAATGTTGTACTTTTCTCCTTCTTCTCCTTCTTCAAATTGAATATTCAAAAAATAAATAAATAAATGAATAAATAAATAAAGAGAGCATACTGTGCTACCAAGCAATCGATCGATCAATCAATCAATCAATCAATCAATAGAGTAACCAAGCAACCAGATGACCATGTAACCAAGCAACCGATTAACCAAGTAACCTAGCAACAAAATGAGCTTAAAGAGAAGAGAGAAATACAAAAAGAAAGAAGGTTTTAAATAGCCTCATTGACAACATATATCTCATTTTCATTTTTATGCCTCACAAAATGCAAAATGCAAAATGCAAAATACACAATACACAATACACAATACATGATACACAATGCCAACAACAATAACAATATTAGTAAAAGCAAAGAAACCTTTTTTTTACTTAATTATCATTTTATTATTGATAGTACTTGTTACAGAAATACATGTATCTATGTGTGTAAGACAATAAGGCTTTGAATATTGTCAATTATATTACTTTTATTAATTTATGAATTATAATAGAGTCTATATATTTTTAAAGTTTTCTATATAATAGAAAATATAAAATATAAAATATAATGGAAATGGAAATGGAAATAGAAAGAGATAGATTGTGATGATGTCATTCCCATCGTGCGAAAATGAATGGAAGACAGCCAAGTTCTCCGCTATCTTTTCCACCCCCTTCCTCTTTCTGTCTTTCTGTGTCTGCGTCTGTGTCTATCTGTCTTTCTCCTCCTTTCAAATCAGTTTTATATATATATATATATTTATATTTTAAAATACAAACAAGTATATATAAATATAATATTTCACTCCTTTTGATTTGATTTCCTTCTTCTTCTTCTTTTTCTTATTTTTATTATCTATCTATATCTACATATAATACATACATATTATTTTTTTTCACCTTTTCTACCTCTTCTTCTACCTCTCTATTTTCTTAATTATTTCTGCTCTATATATATATATATATATATCTGCTTGGACAAATATACATACCCCAATCACATACAAAAATTCATACAGCAATTTTTGTTCTATACCTTTTTGTTTCATTATCTTCAATACAAACAAATACAACATTCACACACATACATATACATATACACATACATATAAAATGAGCCAACATTCTCGTCCTCAGCGTCCTGCTCTCAATCGATCCCAAAGCTCGCTCACCCTCTTGCCCTTCACAAACCGGGTGGGTGGACACATGTCTATGTTCAGACTAGCCGCCAATGGGGCTATATGCAAGGCAGTGACGGCAACAAAAGAGCGTGCGTTCTATGAAGAGCTATTTAAACACCATCCCCAACTCCTTTCATTTGTACCACTCTACATGGGAGTAATTCGGATCTCATTTGATCAACTCAAGCCTCAAATTGCCTGGCAGGACCGGCAACGTTTACGGCACTACTCTCTCAACAACCGACGAAACAACTCTTTTAATAATAACAGCAACAATATCAATGGCAATAATGGCTGGCGCACACTACGATCAAATCGTAGTCAGGAGGACACACCAGATTCTGAAGATTACCCAGAGTTTGATGAGCAAGAATATAACTACGACGAGGAGAGTAGCATGAGTAGTGCAAGTAGCTGCGGTATGAGCAACATCAGCATCACCAACAATAACAACAATAACAACAATTCAACCGCGGACATAAAGTCTACAATCGGCAGAGGAGCAGAAGCTGAATTAACAAACGAGTTTATTGTGTTGGAAGATCTGACGCTTGGACTACGTAAACCCTGTGTCCTAGACCTTAAAATGGGCACACGCCAACATGGGATCCACGCCTCAGCTGCCAAAAAAGCAAGCCAGACAGCCAAATGTCAAATGTCAACCAGTCAACAGCTTGGTGTACGTCTTTGTGGTATGCAGGTAAAAAAAAATGAGAGAGTAATAATATAAAATATTCAATTACATACATACACATGTGAATACATATAAATTATATTGTTGTTATCTATATTATTATCATTATCATTGTTATAAATATGTATATGTATATATGTGCTGTATTGAAAGAGTTGGAAACTAATCAAAGAAATCCCACCTATACACACACGCAAAAAATGATTTTTTTTCCAAATATATATTTCCAACAACAATCATTATCATCAAATGTATTTTGTATATGTGTATATATATATATAAAAAGGTTTATCATCCTAGAGAACATGTTTACAAACTGCAAGACAAATACGTCGGTCGTAGTCTGACACCTCAGTCATTCTATGACACTCTGGTTGGGTTCTGTAGTGATGGGGATCAAGTATTGGCACACCTGATCCCTGATCTTGTGGAGAAGTTACGTCGATTGTCTGAATTGATAGCATCTCTGCCTGGTTATCGATTTTACGGTTCAAGCCTATTGATTCTATACGACGGTGATAACGAGATAAAAGGCAACACCAGCCCTGACACTGTCACTGTCACTGGTCATACTACTACCACCACTGCCGCTGCTGCCACAACTACAAAAAAGGCTTGTGTTGATGTACGAATAATCGATTTCGCACATTGTGTCACTCAACGTGAAATGCAAGATAACCCGTCTTTTGTAATCTGTCCGCCTCAACATCCCGATGAACCCGATCTTGGATATCTACTTGGTTTGAGCACCCTGATTCGTTCCTTTGAACGCATCTATCGTGAGGCAATTTCACCTTAAATTGCCAATTTTATTTTTTACACACTATTCTACTCACAACTCACATCTATATACACAAATTGTATATTGTATATTATAATTTTCTGTTATTATTTTTATTTAATATTTATATAGCACATCACACTTCACTAACTCCATCCCACTTATACACTCGCAATCACAATCACTCACTTTGCTCTTTAAAATTTAGATAAAATTTTATATTCTTTATTGTCATTATTGTTAAGTTCTTTCTTTGTTCTAATCACCTTTGTTCTTTTATATATTTATTATCTATTTTATCATTTATATACATTTATACACAAATAAAGCAAGATTTACATACATTTTGGTTTTATTGTTATTATTTACAAAATCCTTTTATTATTATTTATATTTATTTATATATGTAAAATTCGTTTCAAAACAATTAATTTGAAACATTCTTTATTTATTTCATTTTAATTCAATGTATATATTATATATACTTTTGGTAAAGTTGGGCTGGCTTAGAGCTTAGCTTAGTTCATGGACTGGACGAGCTTGTTGATAAAGTTCTCGCGGTCACCGGCATCACCACCCTCGACAAAGTGCAAGAACTTGCGAGCGTGCCACAACTTGTTGGGGTTTGAGAGCTTGAAGGGCCACAAGAAGTTGGAGGCCTCCTTGAAGTGGGGACCGACGGTGGCAATCTCGTTGATGAGATCCTCGACGCAGACGATGTTGAACTTGCCGAGACCCTTCTCGATAACAGAGTTATCGTGGATGGGGATTCTCTGCTTGTCAGACTTGGCATATCCACGCTTGTAGATCAACTCACGGATGGTCTTCTGGTTGGGGTAACCGTAGGCGACGTAGGGCTGGACCAACTGGAGCATCTCAGAGGTGGCCTTGTTCAACTTGACAAACACACCGTTGTTGATCTGCAAGAGACGGAGCAACTGGAGAACCTTGCGGGGCTTGGGGGCAATGTTGTTGATACCGCGGATACGGACAACGAACACAAGCTTGGGCTGGGCAGGGACGTAGAAGTCACCGTTCTTCTTGGCCTGGCGACGGAGGAAGACCTCGCGTCTCTCGGCAGCCTTGTTCTCGGCGTGGTAGGTAGCAGCACGCTTGAAGAGATCACGTCTCTTGGCAATACGAGCCTAAAAATAAATAAATTGGTAATGATAATAATGTAAGTATAAATGTATGCATATGCACTTATGCATGCATGCATGCATGCACACATGTATGTATGTATGTATGTATGTATGTATGTATGTATGTATGTATAGGTATGTACGAATGCGTTTGTTTGCTCATGTAGTTTTGTTTTGTTTTGTTTTATTATTATTATCATTATTACCTTCTTGGCTTCAGCCTTCTTGGTGGCAAGGGCAGCAGCAGCCTTGGCGCAGGACTGGTTCTTCTTCAAGAGAGTCTCGGGGACGAGGACCTGGTTGGCAGAGGGGACGTTGCTATAAAAGAGAAATTGGGTACTGTTGTCAATGTACTGTACTATACCATACTTGTTGTTTCTTCTGTTCTCTTCTTTAAACTATTTGTGTATATATATATATATATATATATATTGGTGAAAAGATCAAAGGAATAAGAATGAATCCTTCAGTGACAGCAACAAAGTACGCAGTGCATGAAATATATATTTAACTAAAGCTGATTTATAGAATAGTAAATAAAGTATATAATGAAATATATTTATAAACCATCAGCAATAGTAATTTCTCCCAAAAATTCATATATATATATATTTCTTTCAACAAGATATTAAAAAAAATAATTAAAAATAAATAAATAAATGAGATAGAAAACCCAAGCCACCCGGTAAAAACCCATCTTTTATACATGTATATAAAAACAGATTTCCGGTTGAACAAGTAGGTGAATGGTATTAAGAAAAATAGACAATATGGACAAACATTGTGTGTATAAGGTATACATTTGGTGTCTTAACATATACGCCTTTAATTCCAATTTCCTATCACGACTATTCATTTAATAAATGTGAAATGAAGTAGCTTTATGTGACAAGTATTTCCAATCAACAAGACAAGACAAAGAAAACAAAAAAGCTCTTTTCTTTTCTTTTGTTGAGTCTTGAAGATACCTCGATCTTTTTTTAAAAAACTTTAAAATTAAAGTTATATAAAGAAACAAGGGAGAAGCACAGCCCGAAGATGTAATTGTGTGTGTATGTGTGTATGTGTGTATGTGTGTAGTGTAGTATAGAAGATGGAAGAAGAGTGGCATAGTGTGGGAGAAAAAAAGGTACTAGGTACTTGTAATAGGTATGGGTAGTGAGAGTGAGAGTGATAGTTGAAAAGACTATGGTAGAGTATAGTAGATTGTGGTAAAGTGAGGGTGGGGTTGTAGAGTGTTATACTTACTAAGCGACCATTTTATATTTTACTAGTTTCTATTGTGTCGAAGGAGAAAGAGAAAGAGAAAGAATAGGAGAAATTGGTTGAAAAAATCAAAGATTGACCGGGGTCTGGATAACAAGCCACTGGTAATTGCTGATTGGTTTATACACTATTGAGAGGATAAATTGACATTAGTGACCTTTGGGGAAAATAAGACGGTGTGCGTGGTGGTTGGCAGCCGCCTCTCTTCGGAGAATGAATTTGGAAAAGAAAGGAGAACGAAGTGTAGATGAGAGGAGCGAGAGGAGCGAGAGGAAGAAGCAGAGAAGGCCATAACAGAGGAAGTTTAGTGAAGATGAATAAAGTATCTCTTTTTACCTCGTTAAAATAACTTTTCCCATTTTATTATTTTGACAACTGATTCTCATCCCCATACACCTAGCCAACTAAATATTATTTGACTCATCCTAGCTATTGGAGTGAACATCTATTGTCTCGAGAACGTATCCTCTTGAAGTAGTTTACTGTCCCTCGTTACCACGCCTCCATTAAGGATATAGAATCTGTGCTAGCTAGTAACCCGGACGTAAAGAATATTCGACTGGAACGTCCCTCATCGCAGTAGTATCGTAATAAGTTGCATTGCCTCTTACAAGTACCATACGTGTCACGCTGATTAATAAGAAACTATGTAAAACATGTCTCAAGTAGTCAATGTCATAAGCATAGCTGTATGCATATATATCTCGTATATAGTATTTATTAATTGACCGGGCGCATTATAAAGTTGGATTTAGCTTTGCAAAATTGGCCCAGGCATCCTAAGCCGTGATACATTTATTTTGCCAGGAGCTAGAACTTGAAGCAAGGTCTCAAGAGCAAACAAACACAAGAGAAAAGAAGAAAAATATTTGGAGACACATTAATTTGATTAAAAAGATAAATTGCTTGTTTCCCTGCATGAATTTTTGCATGCTTGATCTTTATCTCATTTTACCTTTTATTCTTCTTTCAATGATTATGATTAAGCTCTTACTGATAAGCAGTTGTATAGAGCATAAGAATGTGATTAACCCAAGAAGGCAAATGGCCGGGATCAATCCTGATTGGCCTGATCAATAGCAAGACCAATTGAATATTTCTTACAGCACATATATATATATATATTATAGACAACTGACTTGCAGGAATTATCATGCCTGACACAGATCTTTAAGAAATAATAGTAACGATAAGAATAATATTTAAATAGAAGAAGAAAATTGTATAAAACAAATGAAGAAAAAGAAAAATAAAAGAGTTATATATATATATTGGTCTTGTAAATCGAGTATGTAATTGGTAAAGGTATAGAAAAAAATGAAAATAGAGTTAGATAGTTATAGAGATAGATAGAGAAAAACACAAGAAAAATAAGCTTTCCGGATTCAAAAGGCAAGATGTTCTTTTGTTGTTGCACTTCTTGTACACTTTCGATTCAACTGTACATATATAGATATATACATGTTTGTGTGCTTGGAAATATACAGTAGGTATCCTCATTTTTCGCCTTCTTCTTCTTATCTTATACCAATTGAACATAATTAGCTGGGAACATTCCCTGGCGAGAACCAATCTTGCCAGTCCACCAATCATCCTGATTGTCAGACTTTGTGATAATGGTGATAATATCGCCTTCCTGGAAACTAAGATCTCCTGATTGTTCACCTACAAAGGCATAGAGCGCCCTTGCGCTAGGCTCCTTGTGGCGGATAGGAGGGGGAGGGGGAGGAGCAAATCTTTGGATATTTGGTGTTGGTGAAGTAGGAAGTGATGATGGTGGCGTTGGTCCTGATGGTGTTGCTGTGTGCCCATAAGCAGGTGGCATGATGTACGCGGGTTCCGCAGGGGGTGGCTTGGCAAAAGGAGAAGCTAGTACAGGTTTGCTGTACATAGAAGGCGGCTGTGGTGGTTGATTTGTCGAATAAGATGATCCTTGCTCATAATTTGTGGATGGTTGAGGAGTTGAATAAGGATATTGTTGGTCGTAGTTTGCTGCGGGTGGCTGTTGCTGGGGTGCATGATTTCCATAATTCTGTCCAGAGAGTGGAGGAGCTCTGAGTGTACCGGGTGCAGAGATAGTGTTGCTTCTAAATACTGTCTGACCACTACCACCATCTTCTGAGCCTCGATTGTACATTGCACCAGTACTACCGAGTGTATGAAATTTGGCGTTCAATGCTCTATAGAGCGCATCAGCTGCAGGAGGAGGAGGGACTGATCCGTTGAGCAATTCTTTTGCAGTGACTTTTCTGCCGTAGAATTTCTCGTTGGTGTCATTTCGAGTCAAGATCACTGATCCTTCTACTGACACACCCGCAAAAAGTCCTTTGGTTTTGCTGTAAGAATAAATTGCAGAAACGTGTTTAAATGTTGCCGTTCCCGAAGCTTCGGCATTTCGGCCAATTGGACCCGCAGCCACTAGAAAAGAAGAAGGAGAAGGAGAAGATAGAGAAGAAGAGAGAAAGAGAGAGAGAGAGAAAACACGTACGTTTAATATAAATGATTACACATATAAACACATGTCAAGGTATGTATGTATATAAATATATAACATGATAATAATGCTTATTTTCAAGTATATCATATATATTCTCACCAGATACATTTCCACCGAGTGTAACATTTCCAAAGTGACTGAATGTCTTGACGGCTTCTTTAGTGTTAAGAACCAAGATAAAATCGGTCAACTCGGCACCTGTTATATAAATAAAAAATATTGGGCGTCAGTGCAGTAAATAAAAGGAGAAAAATAAAATAGAGTATCGCCGTATTGATATTCATACGAAGAAAGACACTCTCATCAACCTACACACCCACACCACCAAAGAGAAAAAACATGTTATATACTACACATACCAATTTGACCACCGGCACCAATACCACCTGTACCAATTGCAGAAGGAGCGGACCATGCTATATACAAAATATAATAATGATGCGTATATAAATAAATAAATAAATACATACATACATACATAGCACATGAGAATTGACCAAGATTTTCTTAACAAATAAATAATAATTCGTAGTTGCTTACAGTTATCGGGTAATCTATACCATCATCAACAAGAACAATATATATATATATATATAATGTAAGTACATGCACATGAATATTCATCTTTATATATATATATATATATTACTAACCTTGCTACAACCACACCAAATCCAGCTCTTCCCGAGAATAAGAATCCTGCTTTGATAACAGTGTAGATAGCCAGGCCCTGGGCTTTGGCGAGAATATCCGATGGAATAACCTTGTCAATTCCCTGTCCAGGATCTGTTTATTATTATTATTATTTTAAAAAATTGTCAATTAATTAACCAATTAATCAACTCATTCATTTATTATACTTTGATTGTACCCTATACTATAATATACTATCATTTTTGTACTTGCCAATAAACTGATTGAGAATCTTTGCAGCCTTTTTGCATTCACCTAATATACATAGAAATTTAGAGTCATATATTATACTCACAAGAAAAGGGCGAAGAATAACAACGACCAAAAAGAAGAAGAAGAAGAAGAAGAAAGCTTATAATTATAATTATTATCATTATCATTTACCAGCAAGGTTGGTTGGTAGAGGTGAGTTAATTCCGCTAAAGTCAAATTTCTTTCCTTTCATTGTTGTTGAATGACTTTTTTATACAAAGTATAGATTGTGATGAGTAAATGAAGAAGAGTAGATCTTGTGCCCTGGTTTTCTTTTTATTTTATTTTATTTTATTTCAGTGTAACAAAGAAATCAGTTTTTCTTTCTTTTTTCTTTTTTGGTTGCCAAGGAAACTTAAAGAGTTACGTCATTATATATAAATATAAGGTATTTCAACAGAATATACAAAAATAGAGACAGCAGGTTTTCTTCTTTTTCTTTTTCATTTTGGGATTATTCAGTAACTGACAACAGCTTTCTCTTTCCCCCCTTTTTAATTTTTTAATTTTTTAATTTTTTAATTTCTTGAAAGACTTGCTGAGCAGAATTGGCTATGTTTCTCTTCTATTCTATTTTCATTTTTATATCAAATCAAATCAAATCAAATATGAAAATTATGCTATAAAATTACTTGTCCAACTCAACTCAATCAATTTTCTCCCAACTTGCTTTATTAAACAACACCTTTATATATTTATATATATAATTTAATAGCAATTATTTTTTTTGTATCAAAGAAAACAAAAAAAGTGAGATATTCTCTCTTTCTCTATGCTTTAGAATATTTTATGATCTAAACCATTGACTATGTGTATGTAGTGTGTAGTGTAGAATATACCTTGTTATTATTACAGGAATAAGAAATTTATAATGTTGAATCAAACAGTAGATTCTAATGACAATCTCATTCATCAGTCAAAACTTGTCAAGAAATAAACAAGCAGAACACGAATTTCCATTAATGACGCATTGCTCATCCTCTCAGTTTCGTACGACTCTAAAGCGCATAATCCCAGATGGCGCAGTCGGTTCAGAAGAATGCTCTCCAAATATACATTCACTTTCATCCTTGCTTTCTTCTAAACAATCTGATACACTAAAAGCAACAGATAAAGATTGTAGTGCTTTGAACAAAGCAAAGTCAAACAGTGAGAATAAAGCAGACAGGACAAAGGTAAGATATAATGAGCTATATATATATGTATGTATATATAATCCAGGATTAGAAAGAGCACAAGACAATAGTGATTTTATACACACATTCTGATATTTATATATAAGATTTATGTATAAGATATATATTTTATATAAAATACAAAGTATACGTTTGTGTATTTGTTTTTTTTTTTACCTAAATTGAAATAACACCAAATAATATATATATATATATATAAGACCAGGCACAAAAGGCTTAGGAAACAGAGTTTGTCTCTCAATCATCTTATAAACTTCACTTTGACTGAACCACCTGTTCCTTCTCACATTCCTTGTACTTCAATGAGTTCACAAAGCCTCATTCCTCACAAACGAGATGCCTTTGTCAACGCAAAGTAAATGACCAACCATTTCCCAAAAATTAATAACGATTTAATAGGAATTATTATTAATTAAAGAATATATGTGTATATGAATATGAATAAATAAATAACATATATATGTATTTGTGCGTGTGTACGCGTTTTATTACCATTACTTCTTCTTCTTTATATAAAGCTATCGTTTCTTAATCCACCCAGACTCTCGAGACACTGTGGATGTTGTTAACCCAGATACAAATGTTGATTGGGATAATGTCGAGCAAGTAGTGAGTGTCAACCTATCTCTCCCTCTACTACTACTACTACTACTACTACTACTACTACTACTACTACTACTACTACTGTTATTGATAAGGGTATTATAAATGTCACTGGACTTGCACCTTAACAATATTGGTGTGTAGGTGGTGTCTGCTGCAAATTGTTCCAATTGTCCCGTGTGTCTTTCAACGCCAAGCGTTCCGAGAATGGCTAAATGTGGTCACATATTCTGTCTGGCTTGTATTTCACAGTTTTTCACCGTACAAGCCAATCCATACAGAACAGAACGAGGGTGTCCAATATGTATGAAGCATATTGAACGATGTGATTTACGGTGTGTCCGCATAATAGACTGCTTTGCCATCAAAAGCGACAAGAAAATGTCTTCCGATGATGATGAAAGCGACCAAGAAGATAAACAAGACGATGAGCAAACTGATGAAGAGCCAAGTGTCAAACCTGGCCAGACAGTTGACTTTTGTTTGCTGCACCGCAAATCTGACTATGTGTTTGTGCAACCAGTCCCCGAGGATAGCACCAACACTTCATTTCGCTCAAATATTTCGAAAAAGATCCCTTTTGTATCTACCAAAGGTGTGCTGGAGTTCTCAAGGTATATGTTGGCTACTCGCAAGCACATGGAGGCAGAATTCGAAAGAGAACAGTCGACGTTAGAAATAGAGGCCATTGAATCCCTGACGCTAAAAGACGCCAATCAACTGGGTACTGTAACTAAATGCATCCAAGAAATCGAGACATCCAACGAGGGTCTCAGCCAAAGGTACTCTACAGACTCCAATTCGACCTCAATGTCCCTTGCCAAAACAAGAGCGTCTTGGGCAGCCGGATACCGCCGAGCGACTGCCAATCCTACACGTCCAGCTGGAGTAGGACAAGACTACTATTTCCATCAGGCGGTAGACGGTCAATACGTCTACCTGAATTCTCTTAACATCCGCATGTTGCGACATGAATTTGGAGACTATTGTAATTTTCCAAAACGATTCTCATTATTTGTACTATATACTGAAGAAGCTACAATAACTCCAGTAAGTGTTTAAAGTATCACTTTTTATTTATTTATTTATTTATTTATTGATTTAGGAACTTCGTAAACGACACAAGTATATCGCACATTTACCGCTTTATTGTAATATTACATTTGCTCTTGTTGATCTAAGTGGTGTTGTTTCTGAACCAACTCTCAAACGCTTTGAAAGTTAGTATTACTTATACTATTATTATCATGATATATATATATATATATGTAAGAGGGCTGTTTTACTGATTTATAGTGCTTGATTACTAGATGATATGGCGCAGCGTCTTGATAAGCAATCCGATGAACCTGTTGATGTAACAAGAAGTTCACCAACTTCAAAAAACAGGAGAAATACTACCAATAGTAATAATAACAATTACGATGAAGATGAAGACGAAGACGAGGATGAAGACTGTTTTTACTATTATGGTACCCCTTCAGGTCAAAACCAGAACCGTAGCCGCAGCCGTAACCGCAACCCCACAACACAATCACCGTCACCGTCACCACCACAATCGTCATCAGCATCACCATTGCAATGGCAAGACCAATCCCCGGTGGGTTCATTAGTAGCGCGTACCTTAATTGCTTCACTCGCAAACCCTGCACCAACTTCGGATTCGAGATTTGAAGCTGATTCTGATGACGAAGATCTAAAGTATGTATTGCGACTATCAGCCGCAGAGTATGCAAGTCAGCAGGAGATGCGACAAGCAAATCGCGCAGAAACCACTGAGACTACAGGTAGTGCTAATTAATCTTTCCTTCGAAAAAAAAAGATTTTGGTGAATGTGTAAAATTCAATTCAATTTCACTTCAATTTTGAGTTCAATTTCAACAATTTTATTTATTAAAGATATTCAAAATGAAAACAAGTCCAGGAGGTTATTCTTTTAAATTGCATTAATGGTGAATGGTTTGGGTTAAGCTAAGATATAGAAAGAGATGTTGAGAAAGTACTATGTCCTTTAAAGAAAGAAACAATAGTTGGTCAAACTGTGATTAGGTATAAACCAAAGACTACAAAAACAGTACACAAAATATGGCATTATAAAAGAAAAGGCTATATATCAAATTACTATGAATCTACCCAGAAATTTGTTATTTGCATTATTTTTTAAATATATGTATTTAGTAGCCTCATCAAGACCAAGCAAAAAGCAATCTGTTATGCGAACGAAGTTTGTTTTAAGTACTAGGGACATGAAATAGTTTATCAATATATTATCCCTAATCTCTGCACCTACGACAAGATATCAGAACTCTAGTTCTTAGTCTCTTCCCTCCCTGCTAGCTTACCCTGCTTACCTACCTAAGCTATTGTATTGTATCTTGATGTACTGTGCTGTGCTATGCTCTTCGACGCTCTTCCTCATCACATACTTTTTTTTTCTCTATTTATTTCGAGAGGTTTCTCAGCAGATGCAAAACATATTTTTAAAGAGCCGGTTGATTTATTAACTGAGTCTTTTTGTCTGCATGATTCCTGTAAGAGCATCTCCAGCAGTATCTAAACCTAAATACTAAATATCCAAATTAGGAAACTGGTGTTTAGATTTTCCAAAAAAACGTCTCCAGCAGTTTCTAAACAAAAATCTAAATACCCAAATCCGGAATTTAGATCTAAACTTTTTGAATCAAAATCTAAACTTCTGTAGGTTTTCTCAGAATTTGTTTAGATTCTATCATTTACTAAATTTCCATTTTTTATATTGTGACTTTGAATTTTCAATTTTAAATCTCAGACTTTAGGAAAAACCTCACCAAAATCATCAGCTCTTTAGAATCTGTGTTAAGAAACTGCTGGAGTGACCTTGATATTCTTCATACTAAATTGCTTTATTTGTACTAGCGCGGTAAATCCTAATTTGGATATTTAGTATTTGGGTTTAGATACTGCTGGAGATGCTCCAAGGAGTTGGGATCCATAAGCCAGTGTCTTTCTCTATTTCTCATTAAGCGCGTATTTCCCCAAGCTGCTTGGTTCTCATAATTTTCAATACAAATTTTGAGCCGCATAAATGCAGATTTTAAATTAATAAAAACCGAGAAATTAATCACTATTCTAACATCGAATCCTGTTTGTTCCGAGTTTATTATTATTATTAAAAGATAAAATAAAAACCAAGCCTTCCGTTCACCACCTCCTTCTTCTTCCTCTTGTTCATCATATGACATATGTACCTAAAAAATTGTTTGGAGGCCGTTTATCTTTGTAATTGAGTTCACAAAGCTCAAGTGCAAGAAGTATTAGGCCTATTATGGCAAGATTTTCTTTATTTTATGTTGTTTTTGGTTTCTTTTGACATCTATACTAGTAAGTTGGTATTTGCTGGATATCCAACAAGATGTGTCTCTGGAAACTATAATAATTATTATCCGCTTATGTACCAATAAATAAAAAGAAGGGAATTGTACATCACAGGACACTGTTTAATGTACCTGAAAATATTTCAAGAAATTATTACTGTATGCGTTGTTTACAAATATATCTATATAACATGTACATCTTTATACATTTTATTCCATATATTCTTTGGGGGTAATACTCATTTTGACACCAGATTAATACTTACACCCACAAAGAGTAGGTGTCCGATGGTAAATAATATATATATATATATATATATACAATATAAATAAAGAAGAAAAATGCTGTGTTCTGGAATTACTTTAAAAGGGATTCAACATTGTTGAAGGCTTGAATCACATGCTTATCTACCAGCGTGTTGCTTGATATATATATATGTGTGTGTGTGTGCTTTTTTGAAAAGCACGGCCCTTTTTTTTACTTTTACTTTTATTTATATTTATATTTCATTCTTGATTGCTTTTGTCTGCTTGCTTATGCACAATTATTATATATAAAAATAAAATCGGAATACAAAATAAAGCTATTTGTCACCATGGAGAATTGATATATGTGTTTGTGCGTTAGTGGTGGTCTGTATTGTTTGTTGCTAAGTTACTAAATTAAAATAAATAAAAAAAATCTAAGGAGCTCATGTAAGTCACCGTCTGTTTATATATAATGTATGTATGTATGTATGTACGTGCGTGTGTGTGTGTGTGCGTGTGTGTTTATTTGTACGCATGATAAAGTGCATGTTTTCCATCTACTTCTCTTACTTGCTGTTCTTTTTCCAAAAACCTACATACGTACACACATACATAACTATATACCTTTGAGTATATATTAAGCAAAAACAAAAAATAAAACAAATGACCTCAAGATGATAGACTTGTTCTTTACTTATTACAGCTATTATTTTCTTGTACACCCCACCTGGCTTTTCCCATTTTATACATGGTCTATCCTGATATTTTAATTCTTTCACACATAAACAGCTGTACTTTTTTTGTTTATTTTATTATTTTTTTACTCTACTGTTCTCTATCCATTATGGCCACACCTCTATCTCTTCAGTTCCAACTCCTTTACCACTGGGAAAACAGCACACGTAATGACGATCTCAAGACATGCATGTACCCAACCTTCAAAGTCAATTTGAACAATGTGCCAATCTACCGACTGATCGATTACCAATTCGAATCACACTACATTAGTGCAGGACAATTATGGAAAGCGAGTGGACTGACAATTATTGAAGGCCTGCACCTCTTCCAACTCCACCCTTCTGACTACCAAGTTGATTTCTTGATCCCAGTATTTCCCTTCTGCGACATCTGGGTGACGACCAAAAAGGCACGGAGTATGGCGGCCAGTCTTGGGGTTGACATTGAACTCGACCGGTTTCTTGATCCAGGTCTAGATCGCTTCTATTCCTCTGATAATGCTGCCCGAAATGAGATTGTGCACAACTGGAAGGTCGAGGCAATTCCGAATGCCATGTATTCAACGCGCGCCTTGCTGGAGACCGAATTTGAAATGCCAGACCGGTTGACAGCCAATCGCAAGATCCGGACGCAGATCTCCCGGCTCAGACAACCAGGAATTATTATGAAAGACAGGTTCGAGAACGGGCTTGTGCGGTGGCAGGTTGGAACATACGAGCAATTTATCCAGCCTTCAGGCTTTTCTGCCTCCGGGATATCTCAATTGCGATCAGAACAAAGGAATAATCATAATAATAACAATGCTATTGATGATGACGAGGAATTGGAAGATGATGATTTGGAAGGATATCCGCAAGCTAGTTCGGTGTGGGATGTTTTGCAAGGTCTGCTGTGCGATCTTCAGACCCTGAGACGACAAGGTGTGACAACTAGTAACAATATCCGAGAATCACGGGTCCTGTCAGACACAATGCTTGTTGGAAACATCCCGCTCAAGAGAGAGTACCTTGGTCAGAGCATGGCTCTCCAAAACATGTACATTGCTGTTATGGCAGAAAAAATCTACAATGAGATCCAAGGGATGGCTACTGAATCTAGAACTGAACCTGGAAACAAAAATCAAAATCAAAATCCAAACCCAAATGAAAATGAAAATAAAAATAAAAGTAAAAAAGGCATAGAGATAGAAAGAGAAGAAGATGATGACGATTTGGAAGAAGAAGAAGAACGATCGGTAAACAAGGTGGCTGGATTAAGAAACGAAAGTCTAGGTTCTTTGTCAAGCGAATACTCATTAGGTGACCACATTGATCCACAGATGATGCTTCACGATCGAATGGACTTTCTGGAACAGAGCCTGTATCGCATGAGTCGCAAGTCGAGAAAAAAGGTCGATGAAGTAGTGACAGGACAGCAAGAACTTGAGAATCAAATATTAGCCCTGGAGCAGTGGAGGTCAAAGAGTGAGCTGGCAAGAAAGAGTGAACGGGTGTGGATGTTTATGGTTATGCTTTCTATTCTGATCGGTAGCTGGGTCCTCCGATGAATACAAAACACATTTGTACACAACTTACAAAAATAATACTAATTCTAATTCTAATGCAGTCAATCAAAAAGTTTTTTGTTTGTTTGTAAGAAGCATTTTATTAAGCTTGAGAGGTCTGGTGACACTCAAAAAGAAGATAATCAAAAGAGGAATCATAGAATTTGTCTTAAAGAATTTCTAGCCTTTTCAATGGTTTTTTTGAAGAGTTTATTTTGTTTTGTAGTGCAGTATAAAATATAAGTACCATTAAAAGAGAGGGTCGAGATTCAATTCTTAGTAGAGGCGGGTTAACGTCTTGCGAGCAGTACCAAAAACAGAAGAACGAATAAAAGGGGATTCGTAAAGAATGAAAGTTCAGTGGTGATGCCAAATGGCAATAAGGGTGCATCCAAAATCAACAGAAGGAGGAATGGACGAGGCCAGAGGAAAGGGAAAAGAGAAGGAAATGCCAAAATTCTTGCCAATGACGAGGTTCAAGAGAGAAATCAGGATAGCGAGCACAAACGAGACGGTAGGAGCACAGTCCTCATAAAGCGCGGGTGGAAAGACGTGCCCAAGTTTGAGAAGGTGCAAGTATATGAAAGAAAGAGGACAAGTCAATTGATGTGCCATCTTGAATGGGCAACGACGGATATTGCTGGACAAATTTGCTATGGTGAGCAACCAGCGCGAACAATGATTGAATGCAATGTGAGAGAGTTGAGTTGAAATTGACCACGGAAATTATGAAGGACACTATAACGCTGGTTGTGGCTGGTAATAGATATTGACTGTAGTGACGCCAGGACAGGATTAATGGTGTAGAGATTGAAAACGAAGAGACCTTTCAAGGTCGGGGGAAGCGAATACGTTGTCAATTGTTGAGGATGTCAGCCCGTGGTAAAAGGTAAGTTGAGCTACCTCGCCTGTTGAAATGATACAGTTCACGAGATTGTCAGTGAGAAATTGAAGCAAGGGGGAAGATGGAGTGTCGTGGATGTATAAGTATTGAGTGCGTGATTGAGGTCGACCAGAAGAATCAAATTAGTAGATCTGGTGGAGTAATGGGAAGAGTCATGATACAAACAAGCAATGTCGCAAGCTGTCAAGAATTGATGGCAACCAATCAAAATCGATGCCGTTGGTTGTTCAAAACCAATTTCGCGTTTTTAGAAATGAAAGTCGTAATTTTAGAAATCAAGTCGCTTGGTTTGTGAGAATGGTGATTTCTTGGCACTTCAAAAAATAAGCGAGAATCCTCTCTCATTACTGGGGGGTTCATTTTCTTCGATTCTTATTTTAACGCGACCACAATATTTTTATTTGAAGATGAGTATGGAATTGTCGCGGATGAAAATGGAGGTCCTGAACCAATAGAATATACCTTTGATTAGGATGAATTTGTTGTTGAGACGATTGCAACTCATAGTAAATAGTTGAAAAATGCGGCTTCAGGTGAATCTTCTGCATCTTGCTCAATGTTGATAGAAAAACCAAAAGATAAAGGCATATGTATGAAAGAAGCGGACACAGAACGTGATTATGTGCCTATAACGCCCAGGATAAGATTAGATCTTTTGACCTGAGAATTGAAAGGTATATGAGCGCATCAGCTGCACCGAAGCAGTTGGGAATCCACATTTGGGCTGCTCAGAGATGGATTAAGCAATACACCATATGTCTTGATAGTATTTTCTGAAGTCTCTAAGCAAGTTGGTCGTAAATTCATATTGAGTGAAAAACATACAACGGCCACTATAAACTTTATTGATGTTAATCCCTCAGTTTTTATTGTTGAAGTGAACGAACATCTGTTGAAGCGATTCAACTATCTCAAATTTTTACGAGAAGCAAATGTAACCTCTTGTTGAAGAAAACTTACCTCTACTCTGTTGGAAGAAACAGTCCAGCAAATACTGAGGAGCGATACGATTGAGTTTGCAAATAGAAAATTACAAAAATGAGTTTTCTGACAAAGTTGTTTTTGACATCAATATGAAACGCTCGAAAGATTGGTACAGAAAATGCATGCGCGTTACTGTTACCAAACCTACTACGGGAACGAACATAACGTCTATATTTGAGGCTATCTCTGCTGCAGGTTTGATTACAGCCGATGTAAAAAAAACCGAGACCTGGGAAGAAGAGGAAGACCGGGGGATACATAAGTTCGGAGACAATAACAGGACACTAGATAAGCTTCTTAAAAATGGCTCTAGATGAAATGAACAAGCATCTGTATAAGAAGACCAATAAATAGTAAATTATCCAACAAGATTGTGCCACAAAGTCTGCGATAACAACAAGTCCTTATAATCTTCTGCATAACTGGCTTTTGATATAGTGTATTTTTTATGACCAAGTCTAAGTTTAGGGCACAAACAGCTATTTTGATACGAATATATTGTATGAATTTCAGGACACATCATTTTGCCCTGAAGGGTTAGAAAAGGACACCGAGCCTTAGAAAGATGGTCAGAATTAATTAGTCTGGTTAAATAGAAGTGTCGTGTCCCACAAGAAAATGTCGGCCTTGTAGGATTAGTGTTTGTTTTTTTTTTTGAAATATTTTACAAATATATATATAATTTCAATTGATGTTTAGCTTGTTAAGAATAATTGCGCATTTGGGCTCAAACATTTATAAACTAATTAATTAATTAATAGTTAATTAATTAATTAATTAATTAGTCAAGAGAAAGAAAGAAAACCCGTACTCATTTGTTCTACTTCTTTACTAGAATTTTAGTGCGCTTTGTTCCCAAGAATAGAGTTGTAATCTATCATGAAAACGTAGTCAAAAAGATTCATTAAAAATGATTATCACAAAGTTCATATTGTTTCGATAAGACTTTGATAATAACTAGGTACGATATATGTATACGACTGCCACTGAATAAAATACATTTGTCATTTCTCTATAGCTGATAGAGATGCACAAAATCTAATAAAAGTAAAAGAATCTAGCCACAGACTACTACTAGTACATACTTTTATATAATTTATCTATAGAATAGCCCTAAGGTATGTGCGACAGATAATACAGGCTTTTTAAAAATATGTGACATCTTTTACTCTTGGAAGAAGTGTGACATGAAAGAATATATCCAGTGGGTGTGACCTTGGCATCCATTATTATTTATACGCTCATATAAATACTTATATAATACAATGTGTATATATAAAAGAAGAAAAAGATCAGCAATCTAATCTCAGCAAGATGGCACACAGAAGTTTGGGTTTTTTGGGTTTTTTTTTACTCGATAGGAACACAAGAAAATGAAGCAGACGATCAACCTTTTATGTATTCTTTTTTTTTTTACTTTGTAACTTAGTATAGCTTAATGAGAAACACAGAGAGAAATGTTGTAAGAGTGCTATTAAAAATTATGTGCATATGAATATATATTCTTAAAGATAAAAACAAAAGAAAACAAAAAGGACTCTTGTATACACAACGAGAAAGAAGACCCGGGATAAGCTCGATTATTTTTGGATAGAAAGAAAGCCAAATATATATATTTATTGGGTGTAAAATATTAGAAAATTAAGAAAGAAATAAAGAAAAGCACTTCCGCCCAATAATTTATATTTCTATTTGGGATAGAATGCTTTTGCTTGTGTTACAATAATGACAAAGGTTTGAAAATAAAGCTTTGATTTTGTCTGGTCTGGTCTGGTCTTGTTCTGACGTGTTGTGTTGTACTGCATTGCCTTGACTAAGTATATGTATACATATATACTATAAACTTGTATCTTATCAGATTAAATTGTAGTTGTAGAAAAGAAAATATATACATTAAGTTTTTGTGGGGTTTGTAGTAAGCAATGACTGCCAAGATCTTATCAATTGTTACTAGATTCACACTCAAGATATATCCGAACGCAAAAAAAAAAGATCAACGAAACAGTATATGTATATGTATTGCTTGCTTATAGTCATTATACTAGTAAAAATTATTCTATAGCTTTTATCTTTCTTGCGGTTACTTATCCAATTTCTTTAAAGACTCTTTGTTTTTTTGTTTTAACAAATCAACTAATCAACATTTCCTTCAACTCTCCAAACACCAAAATTGATTTACTCTTATAAACTCATTTGTAATAGTGGGTTAAAGATATATAGCTATATATTTTGGTTACTATGAAGGCGGGACATCTTTACTAAAAACCTATCTAGCGTCGGGATGTAGGAACCTGCAACTATTTTATATGACATCATTACTGTCATTAGCACTATTTCCAGATTTTGTTTTTTATTTTTAAACATATAGAGCGCAATTCTAATTTAAGCCTTCCATGACATTCAAGTTGACATTAAGAAACGCATGACTTCTACTACAAGACACGCTATAATAGAATTTGTAGGAGGTGTATATTAAAGAACGTACCCAAAGTTGAAGACGGAGGTTTGTAAAGCTATGGTAAAAGTCTCATAATAGAAATAAACTCTTCCTCAAGCCTGGTTTTAGTTGACATGCTTATCTCTTAGTCGCTTTACTGGTAACTTCCTTTTCTTCATCTTATTTTAGGGACATTATACTGTCTACATTATTTGCTTGATTCACGATATTCATAAGTTCGTAGCTCTTGCTACAAACTTGACTATTCTTTGATATAACATACATGGAATGTATAATCTACCTGCGTTGACGAATACAATGCACCTATACAAATATACAGTTATTTACATTCGAAACAAAAAGTCTTCTTTAGAAGGATAATCAATTAAGTAAAGAGAGTTGACAGTGTTTTTGTTTTTGCTTAGAAAGGTACAATATACTGTCCACTCAACCTCCCCACCTCTACAGCTTTTAATAAGGAACTTATTCTTCTTGTGTTTCGAAAGCACTTGCACATTTTTTCTTCGTATATTTATATCTTTTCTATTTATGTCTATAATTACAAAATAAAGCTCATATTTCAGTGATGTTCTTGTTATTCTTTTTCTAAGAAGATCCTGGCGGAACTGGACCTTGATATATATTTAAGCACTTTCTCTTTATACATAATTAAGTACATACATACATACTTTAGTTTATTATTATCTTGCTTCAAAATTCCTAGTTTTGTAAGTAATTTGGTATACCATTAAATTCCAAAATAAATAAAAAGAAAGGGAGAGAAAAGGAAAGGAAAGGAAGGAAAAGTAAAATATAAAAATACCACTTCCATATATATTGTATATATATACACAAAGTTTAATTTATATAAAGATCAAAGAAGATTAAACACAAAATAAGCTTTTTTTATATAAAAAAAGTGTAACCAAGCAACAAAGCAAAAAATAAATAAATAAAAGTCATATTAAATAGTGTATATTGATATATAATATAATTTATAGGCTGTTGGTATCTTCTTTCTTGGACTTCATAGCAACCACATTCTTGGCCTTTCACTTTAAACCAGGACCGGATGGATGGATAAAAACGGAGACTAAAATAACAAAAATACAATATAAAATAAAATGATTTTTTCTTATTTTTTTTTTTAAAAAAAGAAGTGGTTTATATACCATTTCAACACCGATTCTGTACGCCCATCTCTTGTCGCTGTGGCACAAAGCTTGGGAGTGATGTTCCCGATCTTTAGTCTGTACAGATTGCGTTCTAACACCAAAAGAAGGAAATACCAAGAAATAAGAGCGCCTTATATATTGCAATGTACCGTACTGCACTGCAATGTACTGTACCGTACCGTACTGTACTGTATTGCTCTGTATAGCACTGTATAGTATAGTACTGCATTGTATTGCCTCGAATTAAAGTATATTGTATATCATTATTATTTTCTTTAAAAATAATAATATAAAAGGTATCTGTACACAGACATAGTCTTCTTTTTGACTTGTTCCCCGCCAAAACAAATTCGTTCTCAGCCAACCTTTATCCTGCCCTCATTAAGCCTTGTCCGTCTTTTCTTTACTTTTTTTTGTTCGCGTTCACTGGTCTTTTTTCTTTTTCACTTTTTGTTCTTGTTCTCCCTCCTCCTCCTTCCTTTTTTCCTCCACATTCTCCAATTCCCTTATCTATGCCACCATCTTATAGTATCGTCTCGACAGATACGATAGAATTACAGCCAACTGGATCTACACCAAGTGGAACGAGTGCTCGTCATCTCGAAGACAATCGACATGGACATTCCAGAAGAGGATCGACCGCCTCATTCGTTCTCTTGAAAGCAGGAGTTCACCATGACTCCGAAAACGATACCGACACATCTGGACTTGGATGCTCTAGTAAACTAGCCGTACAAGTAAGCAAGGAAAAGAGGAAGAACAACAATCCTTTAAGCTTTATATATATATATAGAAATCACTGGAAAATTTATGATTTATGATCTACGATTTACGATTTACGATTTATGATTTACATACTATATATATATATTAGGCCTTGCCATCTTTATTAATAAGCGTAGTCGGCCTTGTTTTTGCAGGGTGGATGTTGGATGTCTTTCAAGTAATTGCACACATAAAAGAGGATCATAATGAAAATGATATAATCTTCTAAAATACATTGAAATTATATTATAGCATTGGCCTGTCTTTGTTCAAGTTTCTGAGCTATTTATACTTGTTCCTGTGTTACTAAATCTCAAGGGTAATCTAGAGATGACTCTGGCCTCTCGTGTTTCGACTTTTGTAAGTAAATTTCGTGTGTGTGTATGTGTATGTGTATGTATTTGATATTGATTAAATAAGTATCAAGGCAAATATGGGGCACATGGACTATCCCGATAAAAGGAATTCGATTGTTTTGGGTAATCTGGCCCTTATTCAGGTGCAGGCCTTGATCGCTGGTTCGATCGCTGGTATCTTCTCCTTTATTCTCGGAATCCTCAGGCACCCCACGGCCCCTACAACTGTCAGTGAGAGCATATTGGTGATCACTAGTTCAATGGTTTCTGCAACAGTTTCTAGCTTCGTATTGGGTGTATTTATGTGTATTCTTATCATTGTAAGCCGAATGCTCCGTATTGATCCTGGTAAGTGCACAAATTACCTAAAACATAGAAATATATACCAGATAAATAAAATTACCAATTATACAAGCATATTTTTTTCGAATATATATATATATATAAATGAGACTAAATCAAATCAAATTAATAATTTTATATACCTAATACGCTTCTTGATAATAGATAATATTGCATGCCCTATGGCTTCCTCTTTGGGTGATGTTGTGACACTTGGAATCTTGGCAGCCTGTGCACATTTTCTAATGGTGCGCCTAGGTAAGCTTTTTGTATATTTATACCTACCGCAAAAATTGGAAGAATAGGGGATGTTCTAATACAGATTCAAAATTGATGTAGATTCAAAGTTGAGCTTATTTCTGCTTATTGGGATGATCATCTCTATCCCATTTTTTGCAAAATCTGTTTGGAAAAACAAACATGTCAAGAACTTGTTGTATTCTGGGTGGACACCCATTATTCTTGCAATGTTGATTTCAAGGTAAGATATACAATAAATTAAAGATCAAGACAAGAAAATAAAAAAAATGCCCTTTTTATTAAGCAAATTTCATTAATCCATTAATCCATTAATACATTCATTCATTAATTAAATCTAAATATTTAGTTTTGCCGGCCTTGTTTTGGAGCGTTATGTTGAACATTTCAAGGGTTTGGCTATGCTTACTCCAATTTTGTGCGGTGAGTTTAACAAAATCGATATATATATATATATATATTTGAGGGCTTATCTCGGAAAATATACTTAATAGGTTTATCTGGTAATTTGGGATCAATCTATGCTTCACGTATCAGTACCTGCCTGCACACAGGTGTTCTTGAACAGTACACAAGAGTCGAATGGACCCTTATGTTTATGAACGTCCCAGTTCAGATATTGTTTCTCTTCATTGTCTGGCTACTGAACCTTGGCCATCTTGATTTCACAGTCTATTTTGCCTTTACTTATTTTATTGTCTCAATGATTTGTGTAAGTGGAATTATATTATGTGCATATAATACATATAATTATGAAATTTAATATTATTATTTAGACATGGCTTGCTCTCAAGATGGGTAAATCAATGACCCTTATCTTCTGGAAACATGGTTATGATCCTGACAACTATGTTCTTCCCTACCTGTAAGTTGGTACAAGCAGATATATATATATATATATATAATACAAAAGAAGAAGAAAGAGGTTGTTATTAATTTGTTGCAAATTAATTAGTACTGCTATAATCGATGTGATTTGCACTAGCCTTCTAGTGATTTCATTTACTCTTCTGTCAGAATACGGTCTATCAGATCTTTCTGCGCCGGTTTCCACGAGCAATACCCATTAACGCAAAAGAAGAAGAAAAGCAACATTCCATTTATATACAAAGCAAAAATAATAATTTAATCCATCGCACCCCATCCTAATCATCATCCTACTTACAATTTACTATTTAAACATGTACACAAAACTCTCATTCTCATGTAAAATATTAGACCCTTGTACTCAGTCTGTTTTACCATGATTTTCTTCCTTTTATTTCGTTATATATCTCCTTTACATCAAAATAATAATATATATATATATATTATATACAATAAAGTATTTCATTTTTTTTTAAATCGTTAAACTACAAACATGATAAATGCCAAATGATAAAATATAATTTATATTGCAATAGCAGCTATAACAGTTATAGCAATTTATTAGTATATCAATAATAGTAAAGTTATCTGATTTGTTTCAAATGTCTAATAAATTATTAATGACAAAATCCAAGAAAAATCCAAAAAAATCAAGATTTTTTCTCACGATTAGAAATCTTCTGTCTCTTTCAATTTCTTTATTTATTTTTTAAAAAAAATCAATTTTTTTTTAATTTCTGACATCTTCTGTCAGAATATTGGTTTCTATTGAGATGCATCGTGCATCCCTGTTGACCTTTCGACATGTCTGGGTCCTCCCAAGAAGAACTGCACAGAGGCATTTTACTTCAAAACCACTTGAAAGGCCGGCTGGTCATGCCTTTTACGATGACAAAATTATTGCTGTAAGCATCCGCGATTATCATTATAATATTCATTTACTAAAAAATGAAAACACAATTCCTTTCTTTCATTTTGTGTATATACATATCCCTCTCTCTTTTTGAAATCCAACATTTAGTATGTAAAAAGACCAATAAAACCTGTCACTCTTCAGCAACTTGTGCGGTTCGGCCAACCTCCATTATCAAAAGAAGGTTTACATGAGTGCACTCAGTACGCACGAACAGAACTTCCGGTCCGTCTTGCAAGACGTGTGCGTGCTTTTCAGGGTTTACCTTTTATTGTTGGAACGAATCCATACATCAAGGAAATTTACAAGCTCTATTATGAATCCTTTGAGAGCCTAGAACAATATTCCCACAATACAGACAGTACAGATGACCATGAATTTGGAGAAAAGCTCAAAGACCTTGTCAGTCGTCACACAGACAATATTCCAACTCTGGCCAGAGGTAAAAAGAAAAATGGCAATCTTTTCAACTTTCAAAACAAGTGAATAGTAATAATGATTCATATTAATGAGTGGAATTGAATGGAGAGGGAACTGATACTTACAAATACAAATTATGTATTTAATAAGGTTTCCTGGAGTGTAAGCAATACATGAATAGTCAGGATATGGCTGCATTCTTGGATGACATGATCCATGCACGGATAGGTATCCGCCTGATTGCTGAACAGTGTATTTCTCTTATGCATCAGCACAAAGCCTCTGAGAACCTTCATGAGGATGGTTATATTGGCATCATTGATACCCAGCTAAACCCACAAAAGGTGATCAAACATTGTGTTGACTTTGTGTCCGAGTTATGTGAATTCAACTATGGACAGAGTCCAGAGACAGAAATCGATGGTCAAACAAGCACTACATTTACCTATGTACCCGTTCACCTTGAATACATCCTCACAGAACTACTTAAGAACTCTCACAGAGCAACGGTCGAATATGCTCGAAAGACTGGCCGACCAGATATACCAAAGATACAGATCACCTTAAGCCAAGGAAGAGAAGATATCGGGATCCGTATCAGGGATCAGGGTGGAGGAGTCGATGAGGAGGATCTCAACAAGGTGTTTGAGTATTCATATACAACTGTGGCAAGCAAAGATGACAATAGTGATCCCTCAGATGTCTTTAGAGACATGGCTGAGATGGCAATGCAGAGTGGAGTGGGTGGTCCACTTGCTGGTCTAGGATTCGGACTTCCTTTGGCACGGATGTATGCACGGTACTTTGGTGGTTCACTTACATTGGTGTCCATGAACGGATATGGTTGTGATGTATTTCTGAAACTCAAGCACATCAATGAGTCCATGTCAGAATTAGAAATTTAAAAAGCTCATATTATACTCTCTTATTATATATCTATATCTATATCTTGTTGGAAAACAATGCCATTACATACATATTCACCGATTTATGTGAAAGTATCTTGTTTTATTTTATTTTTGTACAAACTACACTCCATCTCTCTATTTTTTCCCGACTATTATGATTAGTATTAAGGTTATTAAGGTTATTATTATTGTTATTATTGATGATGATGAATGATGATAAATGATATACAGAAATTTACATTTTTGTAGTTTATTTCTTAAATGTTGAAAATGCACCATCTCCAAAGTACTTTTCGTTGGCTTTCTTAACCCGTTCTGCTTGAACTGTAGGATCAATGAGTTCGATACCTTGTACAGGTGTAAAAGAAAGTGAGGACGCCAGCCCAGAGGTCAATCCAGAAGTATTCCACGATTTCTGCTTAGGTGCTTTTACTAAGAAATTATATATAAGAATAAATAACAGATCATTAGTTAACATATGTATATATATTGTTATTATTATTTACCTTTGTTGCGTTGGTCAGCTACTGAAGCCCTAATCTTTCCAATTTGTTTTGCTGCCATTCCAAGTCCTTCAGTCTCATCACCAAAATCAACTTCGTCTTCTGCTTCACCGAACACCATTCTATTACGGGCTGCTCTCAATTCAGTCATTGCATATGCTTCTTTCATCTTTCTAATTCTATAACCCAAAACAACAATAACAGTTAAATTTAAGCACATACATATCGATTTCTCTATATCTTTTGAAAGTATAAATGTGAGTGGTCTTACCTTCGCCCACCACGTCTCTTTTTAGGTCCTTCATCAGGAATAGGCAATGCCTTTGTGATTTTGTGAGGTGCTGCTTCCTGCATTTTCTCGACCTTGTGGTCAATATCCTCTCTAAATTTCCGTCCTTGTTCACCTATAAAAAAACATAAAATAAATAAATGGATAATATTTTAATTGATTTAACTCACCATCTGTGGATTCGTGTTGGGCATCAATACGAGCTGCAAGAACACATTTTGCTGCCAGGATTTTTGCAACCTTCTTACGAAGATCGTGTGGTACGGCTGACACAGTATCCGAGTGATAAATGTATCCAACATGTCTCTCCATACTTGCACTTGAGAATCCTGTGTTTGTTTTACGGTTGCTTCCCAATACTTGTACATTACAAGCCGGTATTTTACAGAATGCCATCAGACCACCAGCAGCCGTCAGTAATTTTGCGGCTGTCGAACTTCCGACCACATTTGAAAGGTTGGGAGCAATAATTGACATTCGCGATTCTACATAACTCATAATCTAAATAAAGAATACGTGGTTTATTATCATATAAATCTATATATTTTTTTGGATTTTTGTTACTGTAAAGTATGGTCTAACTTGACTTGACAAACTAACCTTTTTACGAGCAGCGTCCAATCCAAGAGCCATGTCACAAGCATCTTTGGTGATCTTCCATTCTTCTGGGCTAAGTTCACGCCCACTAGTTGTAGTGTGAGTGACAGTAATGACCATGATGGTCGCAGAAGGAAGAATAGGTCGTAAATCGATTTTGGTAATGTCCATGTTATTGCCAATGGCTTGGACTGTTCGTGCATAATCAAGCGGATTGAGAACAAGGGATTCAAGTTCTGGGAATCGAGGTGCATAATGATCTCGCAAAAACTAAAAACAGGCATTATGATAATAGTAATAGTAATAATAATAATAATAATTTAATTCGTCTTGTTTGGTATTATTTCATTCCAATAAACTCACTTTGTAAACAGTCTGAATTTCACTGTCAATGTCGGCTGTCATTCCATTGGCTTGAATAATCAAATTATATTCTTCGTCTTCCTCACCGGCATCTCTTGTCATGCCACTGGTTTGAGATTTAAAGTAGTCAATTCTCTAAAAATCAATTAGGTTACTTAAGTTTCTTGGATGATATATACATCTACACACCTTCAATATGTCCTGAGTATGCTTGCTGTAAAGTAGCTTTGATACTTTCTTAACATCGTTCGCGTTTTCTGATAGATCGCTAGTCGATGTCTCTTCGGGTGACGCCTTGACATCCATTGCTTCATCGGCATCTTCGTCTATTTCGTCTTCTTCATGATGCTGGCTTTCCTCATCCGAATCAAAATCCAGATCTGCTGCGAGTTCGTCTGCGAGAGAAGACATTTCTTTTTTACAGGTAAAAGATGTATAAGCTTAAAAAAATAAAAACAAGTAAATAGAGGTTTTTTTTTCTATTTTAAACTTTTTTTTTATTTAAAAAAAAAGTAAGAAAGAGGGGTTTGTAGGTGATGAGGGGGGGGGGAAGGATAGAGTGCCAAAGAAAGACAGAGAGGGGGAGGGAAAGAGGGGAGTTTTGTCTAAAAAGACGAGTCACGATAGATGGAAAAAAACAGGCATTTCCTTGGTTGCTGACATTCCCCTCTACCAACCACCACCGCTACCACCCCCCCTCCTTCCTTTTTTCTCTCTCTCTCTCTCTAAAAAAAAGCAGCGCCTTGACTTTCGCTTTTTTTTTTCAATTTATTTTTTATTTTTTATTTTTTATTAAATTTTAATTTTCACTCTCTCTCTGTATATATAATATATATATTTATTTATAATGTCTTACTACGAAGACAGAAACAGAGATAGTTATAGAAGAGGAGGAAGCAGCCGCGATGGTAGAGGTTCAGGCGGCCTTCGTCGACTTTATGTTGGTATGTCATGAGGAAAGACGGCAAAAAAGGAAAAACAAGGCAAAGAGCTGGCGATTGATGATGTTCAATTAGGCCATGTGAACCGCTATGTACGTGAACGCGACCTCAAGGACCTCTTTGCTAGAACTGGCAGAGTTAAGGACTGTGAGATTGTGGTAAGTGTACATGTATTGAAGCACATGACAGCTTTTTAAAGCATATAGTATATATATTTAATTACTTGAACTTTTTTGTAACTATTCTTTTTTTTTAAAAAAAAATTACTCACTCACTCACTTACTTACTTACTTACTTACTTACTTACTTATAGTCTGATTTTGCATTTGTTGAATACGAGGTAAATAATAGTAATGATTATTAGACTTATATTTACAAGACCACATTAGTAATATGCTTATAAATACTCTTGTATTATTTTTTTGATAATTATGTAGGATCCTTTGGGTATGATTTTACTTTATATAGAAACCATAATTTGGCTCAGGACCAAAGGAAGGAATAATATCAATGAATACCTAACAATGCGTGCTTATAATAGATGCTGAGGATGCTATTAGAGAATTTGATGGTTACCGCTTGGAAGGTGAACGTCTTCAGGTAATATAGTATTAAATATGCGTATACATACTTGGTAATCTTGTCATCATACTCACTTTTTTTTAAATATATAATAAAATAGGTCGAATTTGCCAAGAAGGGCAAGGGACAAGATTTTAGATCAGGACCTTCCCGAGGAAGCTCATTTGGCGCGGGTGCTGGTGCAGCAGAGCGTTGTTACAACTGCGGCGAGACTGGTAAGATATATATACGTATTAAATCAATGTGATAATTATATATTGACATTATGTGCGTGTTTTTTTAGGTCATATGTAAGTTGGAATTTGTTGTTCGTTTTAGAGATAATACACCTAATTGATATATAATCTGTGATGTCATAACAGTGCTAGAGAGTGGTAAGTTCAATACAAAGATACACACATAATTGCCCTTCTTTTTCTGACTTGACTATTTTTTTTCTTAGCCCCACACCAAAGGGAAGGTAAATACATTGACAGGAATAAGTAGTTTGGAAAGGAAGAGGATGATGATATTGATGAGTCTAAATTGTGTGTGTACGCATAAAAAAGAGGTGAACGTGCTATGCGCTTTGAAGAGAACCGTTGTTTGTAAGTGTCGTTATAAGAGCTGCTTTTGTGGATGGATTTGGGACTAATATTCTTCGTTTATGCAGCGAATGTGGACAAACTGGACATTTAGCTCGCAATTGCCCGTAAGTATAAGGAATCATATAAATATACCATGTTGTTTAACATGCTTGTATGTGTATAGTGAACGCAGATCCGGTGGCGATCGTGGTGGTGAAAGAAGCTCCCGAAGACGTTCACGCTCCCGTTCTCCTGTATCTCGCTCTCGTTCCAGATCTCGCTCTAGATCTCCTCGCAAAGCTTCGTCTCGCTCCCGTAGCCCTCGCCGCGAAACCCGTAGATCCTCGCGTGACAAAGAACGTAGCCCTCGCCAAGAGGATGACAGTGACCGTACAAGTCGATACAATGATAGACATGGCAGTGGCGACGACAGATATTAATAGCCTCTAATGTTATGGAGAAAAAAGAGCAGAAAAAAAAAGAAGCAAAAAAAAAGAAAACCAAATCACAATCACAATCACTATTCAAATTCAAACAAAAAAATCACGGCCCAGGAGATACAAAAAAAAGGGAATTTCATCACTGGAGACGCAAAGCAAGATATTTAATGGTGGGCGTCTCTGTCTAATGGTGAATGGTGTCTTATGAGCAAATTACTCTTCTGCACAAAGATTGGTTGGTGTCTGTAGGAAATGTTTCAAAATCCCAGGCAAATCTAGCTGTTGTTCGTCTACCTCTCTACATTCTCGCTGTGTGGTGCTCACAGGTTAAAAGAAAAAAAAAAGGAAAGAAAAATAGTAGGGGGAAATGAGAAGGAATATAGGTGAAAGGCGATGTCTTTTTTTTACAGGTCTGCCTCGGACTGCATGATATATACAGTGGTGGCGCTAAGATGTATTTATATCTATATACACTGGTGAAATTGCTTTGGATTTAAAAATCTCGACGTTTTATTTTTATTTTTATATATTAAATATATTATATATATATATATATATATATATATATTGTATTGTCCGAGGATTGCTATCTCACGACGTCATTTCTGATCAAGATGTCTTGTACATATATATAATTATCTATTTTTTTTGTACTTCTTCTTCTTTCTCTTTAAATAACATCAATTACCAAGGAAATCCTTTGATCTACCTCTTATTTGGCCATGTCTGAAGATATCTCCCCCTCTCTATCAAAGGCGGATTTTCATAAAATAAAATGCGCTGACAGAGTATTTATCGGTCCTTGGGATGCAAACGCGACTCAACTGGATATATTCTCTGTCCTTCCACAACCCTTCTCTCCCATCGAACCTACTACTTTCCCAAACTGTGATATATCGTCAACAAGGCAAGTCACGAATTATACCCAATCCGATCACAATTCATCAACTCATCGATTCAATGCAGAAGTGAACATGAGATAGCATCAAATCTCGAAAACCCAGTTGAATCGACTAACTTAGATAGTTCAAGTGCTAGCCCCACTAGTCAATTAAGCCATGCTGGCTCTCCTAGTTCATCCCATCCAACTAGTTCAAATGATCAGACTAGACATGTCAATCAAACACCTTCTTCTTCCCACGATAGTTTTTTTACTGCCTATTCCGAAGCAGTCTCTACATTCGAAAAGCATTCAGAAATTGAAAATAGTGATGATGAAATCGATTTTGACATCTTGAGAAACAATCCCGAGCCATTAAATTCTCCACATGCTTCGTCAATATCTGCTTCGTCGGCATTGTCAATACCTACAATTCGACCTCCACCGACCTCTCAAATAGCTCTTGTTGATGAAGAAATGGAACCATCTATTCCAGAACCTCTTTCCCAAGAAAGGCTTTCTGTGCAACCACAATTAAAGAAAAAGCGGTCGCTAGTCGATCGATTGACCATCGCACCAAAGAAGTTACTTTGGCATAAAGCCGGAGGTGTGTTTGTCCCGACAATGCCTGAAGTTCCGGCCAACAGAAACCCTGCCCAATTTCCTGGCCAGCCTATCAAACATGGTGTGATGCTCTGTATGAAGACCGTAAGCTATAAGAACGGATCAGAGCCTACACGCTACAGAGCAACCAAGGAAGCACGGCTGGGGATGTTCAAGGGTAATTGGCGGCAATTAGAGACTGTATTGACCTCGGATGGGATCACAACCTATTCAAACTCTGTAATGCAATATTTTTCTTTTTTCCTTTCTTTCTATTTGCTCTTAATTAATTGTCATTATTATCAAGTTTGTGCATTTTCTATACACAAGTTATGTTTGCGGATCTAATTTGTTTTTCTTGAATTATATAGCTACTTCATTGGCCGAAGAGATATGAAGAGTACAAGATCGGATTTTCTGACAAGGATAGACCTCCGAAATTACGATTATCCTTGGTTTCACCTTTAGATTATACATTCTGTCTAAGATACGAGTCAAAATCGGATGGGGAATATTCCAGTGTTACCTTTCGAGCCAGAACTCTTACACTGTGTCAGGAATGGTACATGGCTATCTACTGTCTCTTACCAGAAGTATGTAAAACCGCGTGTCCTTTGTTTTGTGAAGTTTATGTGCCAGAAATCGATATCAGAATACATCTACCTCTGATTCTGGATGAAAACAGACTAGTACCGTGTTATGATATCACTGCTGAAAATGTCAAAGACGTTCTTTTGGCTATGATTCACGAAGATCAGGCCTGGGCTAATTCAATAAATGAGCAACTTGGTGGAGGTATGTTTGGACTATGCTGGACCCGGAAGGACCGTGCCGAATGGATATATTGGAAAAACAATGTTGACAATGATAGTCGCAGAGATGTCGTAATTTGCCCTCAAAGCATCGAAAAGGTACTATAAATATACATCTAAGAAAACCATATTTAACTAAACAAGTATTTGCAAATGTATCTTTTTTTTTAAAAAAAAAAAGACACATCAATTAGAGCTTCGACGTGTTGAGCACACACCGCACGATGTTATCCTAGCGGGAGATATGTCCCTTAAAGTAAATCAAAACAGTTGGTTGATTCTACTGCAAAAAAAACGGATATTTACATACTATAATTCACTTTTAGGAGCCACAGCCAATCGAAGGGTTTCTTACACGACTAACAGACTATTACGGTAGAGAGATCAAGAATCGCCAGCTTATTCGTAGACGCTATTATATATCCTCTTTTGATCAGTATCTATTTTATACCAAGCCAAATAAAGTGACCGTTGCCGACCCAAAGTGTTTCGTCAACGATAGAGAAGTAGTTCTCACAAAAAAACCGTGCCCTTATATCGGTTTAATATCTCCTTATGGCGAACTTGGCTCCGACCTAGAGGCAAATGAAAGAAAGCGAAGAATGCAGCTCATGGACCTGGCTTCGGGTCTAATTGATCTCACTGAAGTGGCGTATGTAAGAAGAGCATTTTCAGCCGATTTTACACAGAGTGGAATATCAGAAAGCGGAAGTTTTGGTGCTACTTCAACCACGCCTGTTCTTCATCGCATTCAAAGTGATCAGCCAATATATCCCCCAAAACGGCGAGACGATGACATTGGATATTTAGAAATTGTTATGAATAGTGGGGTGATTATAAAATACGAGGTAAATATAAGAAAGAGAGAAAAGTTAGAGCATGGGACAGAAAAAAAGGGTGTATTTTTGACTAAAAATACTGAACTTTGTGTGTTTGTGGGTGCACACTTAGGCCTTTTCAAATGAGACATGTGATGCCTGGGTTCACCAATTAGCCAAGTTAATTGTTTATTGGAAAGCACTCAAGGAGGCTGAAAGAGATGTCCACGCTCGAAATAACTTTTATAATGGTCTCAACCACCATATGCAGCTAGCACTCGAAGAGAATCCCGTGCAGTTACCTAAAGATAAAAACTGTCTAGTAGATACCCGCATATGGAGCTTGTGTGCGTTTGAGCAATGTCGCGATGTGATGGTAAGAACTATTTTTAAGATCCATTAAATAAGGACGAAGAATTAACTTTTATACATATCTATTTGTATATACAGAAAACAGGAATAATGTACTTCCAACCTCATTCGCGTGGTACATTTACCCAAAAGCTTTTTATTCTGACAACCAGTGGAACTTTGCTTTATTACAACATCTTTAAACGGTCTTCGATGGTATCGCAGCCGCTTATCACAGCCTCTCACGTTAAGAAAGGCTCGTTTGATATCGCAAATTGCTTTGTATTCTCTGGTGACTTATCAATGGATATGGACAGACCTCCGAATCGACCTCCTAGAATGTTTTCGGATGGCTTGGTCACAGAAGACAGCGATACTGACTGTATATTCACACTCTGGAAACCACTCTTACGACGATCATTTAGTCCTCAGCGAAAACGTATCTCGGTATACACGTCTGACTTTAGGCCAAATCCGGATGGCGAAACATGGACTTTCCTAGCAAAAAGTCGGCAAGAAAGGGAGGAGTGGGTTTGGGCTATTAATCAAATTATCGAAAAGACTTTACGCTCTCAAATAGCCGCTAAAAATAAATAAATAATGTAAAAACAATGTAAAAGATAATGTAAGAATATTGAACAAGAAAATCCTTTCTTCTCAATTTGACTTTCCATATTGTGCCACACTCACACGCTGTATTTAATATTCGTTTGAACTCGATTCTAATTATTTTCTACCTTTAAATTCCCAAGTGTAAAATAATACCAATACTAATAATGAGGTTTATAGGATTCTTATTTGCGTTCTATATGATTTCTGTAATATAGTAATGTGCCACATTTAAGTAATATAATGCTGCTTGTACACATTCATTATTTTTATGTTTTTTTTTGTAAATATCGAAAAGTATTAAAATACCGTTTTAAACATAGAGGTAAAAGAAAAGAGCAAACGAGAAAGCAAAATGGATAAATTTTGGTACTGAAACAAACAAAAGAAGAATTGTTCATATGATCGCACAACAGAGTGTTGAACCCTGGGATTCTATTTGAATTTTGGCTTTATTTTTACAACATAGATACCAATAAGAACTCCCCTTTATCCATTCTTGATCTGATAAGATAATATCCAAGGGAACAAGTGCATATTAAGAATACTGGTTTTTGTTTCTACAAAGTTACTCCTCCTTCAATTGACAAAGAAAGATATGTAATAGAACCATGATATACAAGCCACTGAATAATGAGATTTCTTATGCCTTATTGGGTTTATCGTCCATATCAATTGTAGATTATTAAATTAAAGAGTATTATATTATATACATATCATTTTAGATTTCTCAGGGTTTAATTAATACAAATATGTCTATATAGGTCCTAATCTCCAACAATCACTTTTAATAATCGTGAATTTTTTATGGTTTTGAAAGAGCGGTGGTCTAAGAGAGAGAGAAGGAGAAGCCCTTATCTGCCCAACGGTGGAGAAACGTCAGATTAGCGTGGTAGCTTTAGGTAGTACTTGATCAACCTTCTTTTTTTCTGTTCAAGAATAAAAATACAAATGTTTCACTGAACACATTACTATGTGTGTGTGTGTTATTATTATCATTTTATTCGTGAATATCAATTTTTTTGAAACACTATTTTTACCAGAGGTGTACAGCGTACAGTCATGGTGACATAAACATTTAAAAATGGCCCGTTTCAACCAGACGATTGAATTAACAGCGTGATAAATGGTACATTACCCCAGTTGTATTGTCATTACTTCGTATCGATAAATCTATTCACTTATTTTTGTACCTAATATAAAAAAAAAGATATTTTCAATTTCTATAGCTGTTTTTCCCGCCAAATTTCCTAATGGAGAAATATGTGTGTATCTGGTTATGACTGCTTGAGGTTATGACGTAAGAAAGCATCAGACTGAGAGTGGTGTTCATGGTCAAAGTCTTGGTTCGCCATCAGTTAATCAAGTACCTTTAACTCATAATGCCATCCACTGTCTACGCATTCCCTACAACAGACGCGCTTTCCGGTGGACTCAATACATTTGTTGAGAAACTATCGCGCGAAGCTATTGCGGACCATGGCTCTTTTAGTGTAGCAGTATCTGGAGGCTCGCTCCCAAAACTGTTGTCTAAAGAGCTTGTGAACAACAAACAGGTTGATTTTTCCAAGTGGCACGTATTCTGGGCTGATGAGAGGTGTGTCGGATTGGATCACGCCGACTCCAACTATCTTGAACTCAAGAAGACGCTTTTGGATCAGGTCAACGTGCCAGCAAGCCAAGTGCACACCATAAACTCCAAGTACGCGGTCGAGAAGAATGCGGCAGCCTCGGCAGACGACTATGAGCAGCAGCTCAAGGGATTCTTTGGCTCCAATCTCCCATCGTTTGACTTGATTCTCTTGGGTATGGGACCTGATGGCCATTGTTGCTCGCTTTTCCCAGGACATCCACTTTTGGAAGAACACAGTCGATGGGTTGCACCTATTACTGACTCCCCCAAGCCTCCACCGGAGCGTATTACTCTTACATATCCCGTTGTTAACAATGCTAAGAACGTTGCATTTGTGACTGCCGGAGAGGGTAAACAAGAGATGGTCCAAAAGATCATTGAGCAGCCCGAATTACGCTTGCCTTGCCAGCGCGTCCAGTCCATTAATAATGGACCGGTCTATTGGTTTGTGGATGAAGCAGCTGCTGGAAGATTGGAGAAGAAGTTGGTGTCCAAGTTTTAGTGAGAGCTAATATAGTTTTGATATTAAAGAGATTTGCTTAGATAAACAATCGCATATAATCTCTCCATGTATGGCTTTTTTCTTGGCGTACTGAACACGAGAAATGAAATGTATTAGATATATTAGATATATTAGATATATATATATATATATATATCTGACAATTCCCGTCTTGTATATTGTTCTAAACCCAGAATAAGCTTTTTTTTCATAATAAAACGGATTATCCTTGTCTGGCTGAGTCGGCTGATGATTCTGTATATGCTTATAAGACGAGTTATTTGTGAATCTCATCTTGATAAAGATTAATTTTTAGGCACTAAAATAAATAAATCAATGCTCATCTGCCAATAAGAATACAGGCAATAGGTGTGCAGCTTATCATATATAAAGCAAATATTAGTTGTTATTGGACATGCAAAGTCTGACATAGAAATATATATATATAAATATTTTTATGAATTGCAATCGATTTTCAAGGGTGGGCTCTTTTTTTTTTTTTTGGTGTGGTAAAATAAAGGGTCCACCTTCTTTGGCTGAATTCTTTTTTTCCCTTCCTTCCAAAAACAAACTCGGCTTGTGTAACATTTAGTGAATGGGTCAAAGATGGAGAGATAGTCACATTAGGAACAACCCGCCATATACCGTTATTTTCATTCGCTTTGCCGCTTTTCCTTCTTCTGAAAAATTCCCACTTCCAGGCACGCTTTATCAATGCCTTGCTCGCCCCTTTCACTGCTAGACACAAATTCACCTCGTCTTGCCCATTGTCAAACTCAACTTGAACAGGGCTCTCTTATGAATTCATTCTCTCAATTTCTTCAGCCGCAGCAGTTAGCCAGTCCAAGTCATGAAGTGACAATGTCGTCTTTGATCTCCAAAGGCTTGGAATCCCCACCTTCCTTAAATCTCGACAACTTCTCAGCACCTGTATCCCCCACCTCACTCACTTCAGGAGTTCACCAGGATTATTTCAGTGCAAATATTAAAACAAGTCAAGTATCCACATGTAACGAAAAAGGAACAATGCTTGATTATTCAGGGTCCCACCCAGATTCTTATACCCGGGTAAGATTTGACTTGAGAGATTATTAATACCAACCAAGCTTATTCAAACGATTACTATCATTATTCGAATACTCATAATTTTTATATTTACATTCAATAGGCATCTGGCAAAAAATCTTGTCACAATGTAAATGACTACCAACTTATTAAAGATCAAAATACTCAAGCACCAGTCAAGGCGGAAAGGTACAAAACACACTAATTTTTATATAACATTTATTATTATTATTTTTTTAATCGGTTTACAAACTTGCATATATTCATTTTTATATGTATATATGTATATACTTGTATTTCTGACATAAAATAATAATAATAATAATAATAATTTGGTATATAGTTTGTACCTCTAACTTGCAAAATAATAATACTTATAATTGCTTAGTAGGGAGTCCATTTATCCTATCTCCAAGACATCAGACATAAACTCGCGCCACTCTCATTCTAGCCCTTTCATTCCCAGCACTGATGAGTAAGCGGAGGATGAGCCAGTAGTAATTAGATACTGATACTCCACATTTGCGTAGTTTACACATCAATATATTGGGTATTCCCGACGAAGGTGCGAAATCTCGCGTCGAAACACAGATAAAACTGAGCATTCAACTGCTCACTAAAGATGGAACAAAAGCAACTGCATGGCCCTATCTTCGCCTGCCAGAAAAGACCTTGGCAAAGTCAAAATTACGCAAGCATCTTGACTGTTCTTACCAAGATGAACGCGCCCCTGCATTGTTATCCGACGAATCGAAAGTACTCACATTAGAAGCTAGAGTTATATGCGAGTCAGACCCAACCAAGAAGGTCACAATGTGTGTGGGATGTGTGAGACGCGAGGTAAATATTTTTTTTTGAGATTCAAGATATCGTATCCAAAACTTAATTTTTATTTTATTTTTGCAGCGAAAGCGAGCAGAGCGTAAAAGAGTCAGTAGATCTGAAGGAGCTCAACGACTGGCTATGGAAAGCAGATTTTTACCGGAGAGAGATGCAATCAATTCAACTGATGCTGCATTTGAAAAAGACAGAGAACGCATTTTATTATTCAGCTGCGATCCTTTGGTAACATTTAGTTCAGGCGAGATTACGCTTCCTATTCGTATTACCTGCTATTGTCGGCACCATCGTGAACGCGTAGGATTCAGGTAATAACACCATACTCAGTCTACAGTACATAAATTCTAAACAACATACACAATAGAGTCTTGTTTTCTATGAGAGATTATATGGGAAATATCGTGGCTACAGGAGAGTCACCTTCGATTATGATCACAGATGATCACAAAAGCCTTAAAGCTCCCATTGAGATAAGAAAAAGAGATAGTACCGAAGCAGATTTGTCATCTTCCTCTACCCGCCCCATCAAGCAGATTGTAACGCCATCCACTTCTAAAAAATCATCTCCCATCACTTCTCCATCCGTGAAACCCATATCCCATCCTTCCTCGACCTCTTACCGTGCTGGAGGCAAAAAAACCAAAACCCAAAAAACAATGCCACCACCGCTTGATATCCGTCCAGTTAATCTGACATGCTCTCCCTCTAATCTCCAATCTTCACCAATCATTATTGACACACCCATATCCCTCGTCAATTTCTCTTCCCATCCCGCATTCAAAGCCCTCACAAAATTAGACACTCTTTCTATCGAACCACCTCGTATGGAGCTAATTGTACCAGCCCGTGGGCCAACATATGGTGGGACCGAGGTAACCATCCTTGGTTCTGGGTTTTCCCAGGACCTTACTTGCTATTTTGGAAGCCAGGCTGCCGTAACTCTCTACTGGAGCGCAACAACTCTAGTGTGTGTTCTTCCCCCTTCTGTCCAATCAGGTCCCGTACCGGTAACATTCCGAAAAAGGATTTCTCCATTGGAGTACAAGGCTGGGCATTTTGAGTACTACACCACCGATGATCAAGCTTTTATAGAACTAGCCTTGCAGGTAGTTGGTATGAAAATGACAGGAAGAGTACATGATGCGAAGCAGATTGCCATGAATGTAATCCAGGATGACTCTACCCAACGTCAACCTCACCCTCAAAACTTGGTGGACGAGAATCAATGTCGAATTAACCTTGCCAAGCATATTCGCCAGCAACGTACAAAGGCACTTGAGGTCAACTCTGCATCAGCCTGGTTAAACAATCGATCAGACAACAATGGCATTGGTCTACAGATGGGTCAACTTCAACATATGCATCAGCCAGGAATTAGCCAATCCGACTGGCTTAATAATCCAAACGCTGCTCATGATTCTGGATTCTATGCCTTATCAAAATTACTTGAAGAAGACACAGATGAATTGCTTGCAAACTGGGATCCATTGAGCAACACTATGAATGATAAGCACCGCACTGAACCAGCTATCGATACCCAAGCCCTGGCAGCACTTGGAACATATAATGGGTTGGATGACTGGCTTATGCAATCTATGAACGCAAGTGAGATGGACAACCCTTCTTGGCTTTCGCCTCTTTCATGCCCTTCTAGATAAAACTAGATTGCCCATTTTCTCCTTTTATATTTCTTTACTATCTATGCATTTCCTTGTGCCATGCCTATATTTGTTTCTCTTCTTCTGTGTATATCTTTGTTCTTATCCTATGACAAGCTCTAGTTGTAAATCTCTTTTTTTCCATGTACATCGTTTCTTCTTTCTATAAAAATAATAATAATTAATAATAATAATAAGTATGCTGTAATTTTCTTTACTTTTTATTAAACACATAGAAATAATATGATTTTGCCCCCCCCCCCCCCCCCCCTTTTTTTTTTTTTTTAACTTTGTCTACCTCAAAATACAGTCTAATATTGTTCCTTATCCATCACATAAATTCAAAGACCAAAATATTTCTATCGCTTGTATACCTTTTTTAATTTTAGTGAATCAAATAAGAAAAGAAGGGAGACCATATAAAATATGAGTGGCCGAAACCAGAGAAATATTCAGATAATTAGTTGGATTTACACAGTGTTTGAATAAAAAAGAACCTGGTGCATCAAAGATGAAAACAAAAAGTGATAATTCTGTCATGGTGTAAATATAAGAACTCTACAACTAGAAAACATGGGATATCAGGAGATGGTGCAATAGAATTGATAGCCAAAAAATATATATATATGGTAAAGTTGTTACTATCAGCACCGGATTTTCCAAACAGAGCGAGGTGGATCTAGTTCATGGTATTATTATCACCTAGAAAATAACTATGAGGGCATGCTTAATGTGTCAAGTAATTATTTTGGCTTTCTTAATAGTAGAGTTGATTGTATATATTGATATTTAACAAAAAATCTATTCTAATTATCATGCGCTCTTTATAAAGACCATCCCCGTCGGTCCACTCTTATTCTTGCGGGTTACAGTATGAACATATAAACACACATGAATCCTGTCCCATGTACAGCTAAATAGGGCCTTGATCACTTTAAAGTGTTCAGCCACTGTTACGTTTGAGTTATATACTTCTTTATGTACAGTAGCTCGCAGAGATAAATGGCCTGTTATATGGCATCCCAGCAAAAGTTGCCATAATACTAATTGGTAAAGTAAGCTTCTTCATTGCTTTCCCTCTCTGTTTTTCCTATCATTGCTTCTCTGGTCCTTCATATATTTTTTTCTTGTAGCTTATATTGGGGACTAATAATATCACAGGCTCACTTGGTCAAAGACATTCAGTAACTTAATGAACTTACTTACAATATTGTATAGGTGTATTTGTGTGTATATGGTAGCATAATCAGAGGGAGAAAAAGCATCTATTTCAATTTTATCGACTACTTACAGCTTATAAAAGTCTATAGTTATACGCCCACATTTTTTATATATGTCAAGTATTTACCATCTGTATACTCTCATATAGTCTTCAAATGTTTATCTTTTTCAAATGCTTGTGTTAGACTATATCGATTAGCTTTGATCTTTCTCAACGGAAAACGATCTTGTAGAAAGCTATACATCAAAATTAAATAGCTGCTTGAATCGTGTCTCTTTATGAAACTATTTACTACACTTTTTTCTCTCTCTTTTTCTCTTTGCTTCATGACACCACATAGAAAAATTATTCCTATTACTATCAGCATTAGTACTAGACATAAACTCTGGGATTTTATATTCCAAATGGTATAATATATATATCATATTGACTGGTGGGAAGCTCTTTGTAAAGTACAAAAAGGTCTTCCTGCTGCTATGGTAACCCATCGATCGATTGACTTGATTATGCATGAAAATCTCGCAGCAATCATATGAAATATTCCTTTTTTGGGATAGTGCCATCTATTTTTTTGATTGATTGATTGATTGATAGAGAGAGAGAGAGAGAAAGAAAAAAGAGATAAGTATTCCTCTTTTTTTTTGGTTTCCATTTTTTCTCCTTTTCCTTCTTTAATGCGGCTGTCGATTAGGAATTTTTAGCTCGGAATGTAGCTCTAAAACCGATGACCACAGAACAGTGACGACAGCCGGTACTTTGCCCTGAACTGATGCCAACAGGGTTGGGCCAAAGATGGGACGCCATTGCTGTAATTGCAAGGGCCAAGATGTGTTACATGCGCAACCGTGCGGTGTAGTCCTTGGTATTAGCGTTGCAGCCGTGCCGCTTGTAAAAGCGAAATGAGTTCAGTCTGAGATAATACTCTGCTGTCCGCCTCCCTCGCTGTCAAGCCAGGTTTTCGTCCTGGGGGAGATTGAGCCACCTTGTGTGGGGACTAAGAGCTTGACAACCTTTGTATCCTTTTGTTTATAACTATAGAAAAGTAAAGTAGATAGAAATAGTAGTAATAAATAAATATGTTAATAAATAAAATCTTCTTTCAAATAAAAAAGTATTTAAAACCATGTCTCCAAAAAACGTCTGTCTTTTATTGTGCATTTAAGTTGAAAAAAATAATGAGTAATGAATAAGTTTGACACGGTAATTACAAGAAGTCAAATGTAGAAAGAACTTGAGTATAAGTACCGCCTAAAAACACCCGTTCTTTGAATATTTGTGCTATTACACAAAATAGACTGATTTTAGAACTGAATGGCTCTCTTTTAATCTCACCATTCAAAATACAATTACGCGTAATACTTGTCTAATCCGATTCACATTAAAAGACTTTATGGGAAGATTGAAAACAAAAAACTCAATCTACGTACATTAGTAACTCTACTGATGATAATACGAGGGAGTATTGCATGCTGTTGTATGTGAATTTACAAGATTAACGCGCTTTTAATGTAGTCGACGTTGTTCCTGAAGCATTCAAGGAGATGGCTGTTTCAAAAATTGAAACGACTTGAGCAAACTCAATTCTTTTCTAAGAAAAATAATGCTATGTACTAACTAATCAACAAGTAAAAACAAAAACCTAATCACCGTGTAGTAGATGACCTATAGACAAGAATAGCAGTAATATTGAATTGTTATAATTGATCACATTCACGATTAACAATATCTAATACAGCCTACTCTAGCCTACTGCTAAAGTATTGAATGGCAAATACTCATCAAGGTTGATAACCTTAATTACTGCAGCACAGAGGTATATAATTTTTTTTGTCAGTCAAAAAAAATCTAGTAGAATTTTTTGCTTGTATGTGGCTGAACTCTGGTTTGTTGGTGGGATTCTTGTTCAAAAGAATTAAAAGATGCCAAAACTTGTTTTTTGGTTTCCCTCTTTTCCTAGTTTTTTTTTGTTGGACTTTATGTTTTTGTGAAGTATAAAATATTAAATTGCTAGATATCTAGACCTGGAATGGGTATTGATCAAGATTTTTTGGCGTGTAAGCAGTAAAGCAGAAAATTATCTCTGGTGATAGCATTGGTAGCAACAAAAAGGAGCTTGATAAAATACGAAATCCCAGTGGGTTTTCCACAAAGCGAAAATAACCTGGCCAATTATGGAAGCGGGTTGTAGAGTAGGAGCAAAGGAAGGTGGGAAGGTAAGATTGCACAACAGATTGTAGGTATCAGAAATTTGAGAGAAAAATCCAAAATACGTGTGCCAAAACGTCTGCCAGAGGGGAAGCTCGAGGGAGTATACAAAAAGAAATGGGGTTTTAAAAAAGAAAGGTCTTAATTTTTAAAGAAAGTCCAAGTAAGAGGTGGGAATACAGTAGGAACACGACATAGAAAGCTTATCAACAAGAAATCTCGCGATGAAGTAACCATAGACAGATGTTGTAAGAGGTATACGGAATGAAGAAAATACTAGGATTGTTGTCATTGGATGGTATGTATAGCCCGTGATACACCTTTGGTAGAAAAGATGTCAACTTCGTACGAGAAACGTTATTGGCGTGTGGATAAGCAGATCTAAGAAGATATAGAAGATACAGCTAACAGCAACGTGGATGGATCAACATTAGGGCCACTACAAACCATCATGTCAGGGAATTGAACAGCCCAGATATTTTGAGATAGACAAGCACGGATGACGAAAACATTAAGGAGATAGAGACCATCCATAAGCTGAAATATTTTGGGAAGGATGCGCAGTTATTGAGTGAAGGAATTAAGGCAAGCATCGAGAAAGAACACCCGAAGTTCTGTTGATCTTGCAGGTATCTCGGATCTGGAGGTGACACCAAGAGAAAGGGGAAAAAAGGGAGAACATGGGGAATAATAGAGACTAAAGTCAGAGAAACATCCAGACAGTTAGCCAGGTTTACCATAGTGGAGTCAAAGGTATGTGGTAAAAGAGCGCGCGCGGCAAACAGGTTAAAGAATGAACTGGTATATGAGCGAAATAAACTATGTCAATGGCAAGAAAAAATGATTGAAAGAAGATCATCAAAATTAAGCAGACAACGACGAAACAGAGGTATTACCCAAAGTATTACCAAACCAGAATGAGAGGTAGATTGGAACAGAAGTCAAAGCCAACGGAGCTGAAGAGCACCTTGCTGGAATTTTGGGTTCAAAATCCCTAATTTCCCCAATTTTGTTGGGAGACATAGGTGGGGGGTTTAACAGAGAAAAGGCTTCAGTGTCAAAAAAAATGACCCATGAGCGATCGAGCCTTTGTAAAAAAAAAAGGTACTGGGAACGTATACAACACAAGGAACGTGGTGCTTGAGTTTATAGCTTAAATCAAATGTCTTTTGGAAGTGACTTGTTTTTTATTCTGTGTTATTATAAAATATTATAAAATAGAATAAATATGTTGTATTTCACACTTGACTTGACTTGATTACCAAATGTCCAAAGCTCCAACCACATTTGGATTTCCATACGATGCTTATCCCATCCAAAATGACTTTATGGGAATGCTATATGATGTGTTGACTGAAAATAAGATTGGTATATTCGAAAGTCCTACAGGCACCGTAAGTTTGTTATATTGTACACATACGATTTATTTATATAAACACTTGAACATACATATACATCCACACACACACACACACATATATATATAACTATGTAGATATAGATTTAAATATAAACATACACATTTATACATGCTTTTGAATGCACAGAATAAACAAGCACTATTTTTTTTACTCGATTCAGAAAAGAAAAATGAAAATGAAAAATAACATATATCTATTTCAATTGAAAAAATAAATAAAGGGAAAATCACTTAGTTTAATTTGTGGATCATTAAAGTGGTTGAATGACAATGATGAATCTACAACCAATGCAAAAAATCAAGATTCTTCTGACTCATTTCAAGCAGATGGTAGCACATTATAAATAATTATAAAAAAAGCTTATTCATCTTTTGCTCATTTGCTTGACGCTTTCTTAATCTTATTGTACATGTACAATATATATAGAGCCAGATTGGGTCAGGGCATATCAAGGGAATCAGGTTGAGAATAAGCGAGATGTGTTAAAACAAGAGCGTAAACTTGCAATTAAAAAACGAATTGACTTGGTAAAAAGTCATGAAAAGAATCGTTCAATTCTGGAACTGTCAGGAAAGGAAGACAGATCTAGATGGAAAAGAACGAAAAAGGTGATCAAAAGACTACTCTAGTTCTTATTGGTCATATTCTAACACAATAGAGATATGTAGGATACAACTTCTACATCAGATGATATTAAAGAAAAATATGATGAATTTTTACTGGAAGAATATATGAGTGACGATGAAGAGGGAGGAAGAGCATCAACATTATCGTATACGACTGTTGGACCTAATAGTAGTTTCTCCAAAGAAGTACAAGACCTTTTGTCAAAGTCAGTAACAGATATATCGCAAATATTTTGATGAGTCTACTGGATAATTAACAGCATGCTACATATTTTAACTTAGATTTGAAACAAATAAAAAATCCATAGGGTATTCTGATGATGATAGCGATGATGCCTTGGAAGAAGACGACTTTGATGAAGTCAAGGTATTTTTTATAATAACATAATTTTTAACTGATCTAAATATATGTCTATTGTATTAAATTATAACAGATCTACTATACCTCAAGAACACACTCCCAACTATCGCAGTTTGTTCATGAAGTCAACAAGACTCCATATGCCGAAAACATTTGGGCTGTTCCATTGGGTTCAAGAAAGAATCTTTGTATCAACAAAAACATCAATAAACTTGGCAATGTTAATCGTATGAACGAAGCTTGCTTAGATCTTCAAAAGAAAAGTCAGTACAAACAATTCTCTATCCTACTTCTCTGATCCGAGAAATTCGTTTTAACATATTCAGTAGAAACAGAGAAAGATCGGTGTCCACACCTACCCTCACTGCAAGAAAAGGGGAAATGGCGAGACTTTAGAGACTATGCACTTGTAAGTATTACAAACCAATATACACTTTATAGGCATTAAGAAAGCATATTTTAATAGGCTAAAGTAAGAGACATAGAAGACATTGTCAAAGTTGGCGAGTCTCTATCTACTTGCCCATACTATGGATCAAGACAAACTGCAAGACCAGCAAGGGTATGTAATATATTAAGAAAAAATTTTGTGGAAGCTAATATACGGGTATTTATGTTCCTATTTTAGCTTGTTATATTACCTTATCAACACTTGCTTAATGCACACACACGAGAATCACTCGGAATATCCCTTAAAGGGAATATTGTGATTGTTGATGAAGCCCACAATCTGATGGAAACCATCAATTCAATTCATACTGTCGCATTGACGCTTCGTCAGAGCCAACTAGCACTTAAGCAGCTTGCAATGTACATCCAGCGCTACAAAACACGTCTATCGGGAAAAAATGTTTCTTACATCAGGCAAATCATACAAATTATCAAAGCATTCATCGGGATCCTTACTCCTCCAGAGAGTGAAAAGAAGGACCTTATCATTGGAGTAAACGAATTTCTTCACTTGCTCGGTATCGACCATTTCAATATGTTCAAGCTTGAGAGATATTTAAAAGAGAGCAATCTTGCACGAAAACTTCTCGGATTTATTGAAAAGGCACAACAAGATCAAGATAGCGAAAACCAGCTTCTGGGACTCAAGAATCCACAAGTCAAAAAGTCCGCAAATGCACCATCATCACCATCACAATCACCTTTAGCCTTACCTACATTAACACAGATCCAGTCTTTCATTATGACGCTTACAAACCCTGATAAAGACGGCCGAGTCTTTATAAGTTACAAGGGAACAGACACATTAGAACCACAGCTGAAATATATGCTACTCAATCCTGCAGAAGCATTTCGTCCAATTGTGGAAGAATGCAAAAGTGTGATTCTCGCTGGTGGAACTATGGAACCGGTAAGAACCTTTTTCTTTTTTGGTTACTATGCTTTTAACCTTATTTTTGTATACCTTAATCCTATAGGTATCTGACTTTATTAAACACCTTTTTCCATATGTCCCGGATTCTCGAATAACCAACTTTTCGTGTGGTCACATCATACCTCAAAAAAATCTATTGACCATGTGTATTGACGAGGGACCAACGCGAAAACCATTTTTGTTCAATTATGAGAACCGCCAAGATACTTCCTTGGTAAATATGATATAATTGTAAAGTCTAAATATATTTATTTATGAAAATTTTTAGATTGATGAGGTTGGAAAGACCATAGTGAATTTGTGCAATGTGATTCCAGATGGGGTTGTGTGTTTTTTTGCTAGCTTCACATATCTTGAGGAAGTTTACTCTAGATGGAATGGTGCTGAAAGTGGAAACATTTTGGAAAGGCTTGCTAAGAAGAAAAAGGTATTTATATCGGCTTGGTCGCTTTAATAGCTTTGTTTACATTCTTCTAATCAGACTTGAATTTCCTTGATAGATATTCAAAGAGCCTAGAGATAGTGGAATGGTAGAATCAACTTTGAGAGATTATTCGCTGCATATTGACTCAACTAAAGTAAGCTTATATTTATCAAAATAGTCTGAACAACTCACAGAGTTTCTTTCTTCCTTTTCTCTTTCCCAATTGTGGGATATAGAAAGAAGCTTCAAATACTGGAGCTATACTACTATGTGTTGTCAACGGGAAAATGTCAGAAGGAATAAACTTCTCGGATAGGCTTGGGAGGTAATATTATTCCATGCATTTAATTTAGGATGGGATAAACACTAATCGGGCATACACAATTATACATGCATATTTAGAGGTGTGATAATGATTGGACTTCCCTTTCCCAACAGAGGGTCGGTAGAACTTAATGAAAAGATCAAGTATATAAACGAACATGGGGTAAATTATGTATTTGTTGTTTAAATGTTTGATAGATACTTATAGCATTTTACTGTAAGGATGACCCATCTGGAACAGCTGCCGGAAGAGAATACTATGAAAATCTGTGTATGCGAGGTGTTAATCAGTCTATTGGTAATCCTAATCTATAGTGAGATCTTTCATAGCCAGGCCGTATATCTTATACGAACTTATTTACTATTAGGCCGTGCTATTAGGCACAGGGGTGACTTTGCAACCATTGTTCTGTTAGACAAACGTTATTCGACGGCTCGAATCCAGAAAAAGCTTCCTTCATGGATCGGAACTGACATTGTGCACTGTGATCGATTCGTTAAGTCAATTAGTAAATCTGCTGGTTTTTTTAGGCAGCATAAAGAAACATAATTATATTTGACCCACAACAAAAATCCATATGGTGTTTGTCTATAATAAAAAGTACACTCTTAGTGGTCTATTGTAAAGTATATCTAAAAATGCTGTATATCACATATACCTAATCTGATATATGGTTCCCTCAAAATGATCAGGCGCCTTTTAAGTTCTATGCAAAAGAATGCAGGACATTTACTATCCTCAGCTCTGGTGGTGAAACATGTATAAGTCTCACATAAGTATAGTTTGCATACAAACCACTTTATAGTGTATAAGCTTTATACTGATATAAATGCAGCATGAGCTCTATAGAAGGCGGGTGCATATTCAGTTCGTTTAAATATATAGTCAAAATATAAATATAAGCTGAATTTTCTTTCCTAAGAAAAACGATAGCCGCGTAGAAGGAAATATTTTATGTGAAAACCCTCTCTCAGACTATCTAGAGTTCAGACTGTCGTAAAGCTCTTATCATAAAATCTGACAGCTTCCAATAATGCGGTTTGATATTCTAGTTTATTATACTAAAGTAGCATCATATCATAGTTAATATTTCCTACAAAAAGTTATATATATATATATGGTTTTACTTTCCCCTTGTGATTTTTTATAGAAAAAAATTTCAACTATACGATTTTCAAAATGACTTTTTATTGGAAAATACCAAGCTCTCCTGTGACGAATATATAGTAGGAAAAAAAAGCATACTTGTTGGACAGACTTGCTAAGTATTGGTCTTTTTTATTATCATTAAAATTACTATTCGAGTTATCCTGCTCGAAGAGGAAGTGAAAATAAACCTGATATACATTATGATAGAAATATTAAGATACAAGGTATAGGGGAAAGATGATATAGGATAGGAGATATGGAATACATTTACTTCTTTAGTAAGAGTAGATAAATAAGATTAAATGACTATAAATATTAATAAGAATAATAAGAATAATAAGAATAATAAGAATAAGAGTAAGAATTACTCGCAGTCAGCACAGCAGTAGTCGTAGTAGGGAATATCGGCATTATTTCCAGCCCAGGTAGGGAAAGGTCTGTTGACACCATCGCCACCACCAAAAACAGACATCGCCAACACGAACGACATGAGAGAAGACCCAGAGTCCAAAGCGGCAGACATCAAGTAGTTGTGTTTGATGTACCACTTGTTGTAGCGACGTTTGACGTAAAGCTGACTGACAAGAACAATGACGAAGGACAGGGTGATCCATGATGTATTTCCACCAGGAACAACGCAGAGACCAATCATAATCATGGGTACGTTAACAAGGTTAAAGCCAATCTTGGGATAAAATCTGTGGAGAAGCCAGAAAGGAACGGGGAGAGCAAAACCAACAAGGAAGGACCACAAAACGAAATAATACTCGGTATCAGGACCAAACATGTACATGGGACCAATAGCACCCCATGTAATAGCAGCAGAGTTCATAGTCTGAGGGCCAGTACCACTCCAGATGTTGCCATTGGGATCCAAAAGCTGTTCTCTCTTCGAGTTGATAATGGTCTATTGTTTTTTTTAATTGTTGTTAGAAACCAATAATCAGTCATCAGATTTGACTAGTTTTTTTTTACTTACATAGTTGACAATGTAGTTGAAGATGCAACCAACAATAGTACCGATCATTTGAGCAAGGAAGGTAAGTCTTGGTGGGACCTTGAGGTAGTGACCAATCTTAAGATCGGCTGCCATGTTACCAGCCTGGCTCATAGTGTTGTAACCGAGAGTCTTGAAGTACATGTTTGCAACTGCGTTACCAGGAAGTATGAAACCACATATCATCTCAGCGACGACGTTGAGACCAAATCCATTACCAGTAATGGCGGTAATCATATTCAATGGGAGAGACAAAGCCGTAGACAAGAGGATGGCAAGCAAGAAACCCCACCATGGAAGCTGACTCTTGTTAGCATAACCAATGCCAATGTTGAGTCCAATACCACAAACAAAGATAGTGTAGTACCACCAGGAAGGAACTTCTTTGTAGGAAGCCATGAGGCGGTTGTGGATATCGTTTTCTTGAGAATCCTTGCGTTTAAAGATAGAAAGAGCAATTTTCTTGATTTCAGGGCCGTAGAAGAGAGCAACGTGGGAGATCATGGCCGTGACACCAAAGTTGATGATTACATACTGGATAGCGTATATACCACTGAAGTAAGGGCGACCAACTTCTGCGAGAGCGGTATGATTAATGTTGTTGTGCTCATCGAGAACGAGCTTCTGGGGATAGCGTTGGGAAACGCCGGTTTCGGGGTCCCACTGGAACAAACCATTAGACAAGAAGGGGAAGCTCTTAGCGTGCCATACGTCGCAGTAGTAAACAAGAGGGGCCAAGAGCCACAGGATTAGTATACCACCATAAATGTTGAACTGCACGTATAAAGGGAGTACTAAAGGGGCGTAGGACGATAGATAGGACCAATCAAAACTGAGGGAGCCAATACCAAGGCCTTCGTTGACTGATATACCACCGAAAAGACGCTGGACCCAAACACTATCACGCTTGGCAAGGCAGACAATCGAAACACCACTGAGGAGCGGGAACATGTACTGAGGAACGATCTCCCAGACAAAGATGACAAAGAAGATTGTAAAGAAGAACTTGATGAGAGTTTTGTTTTCATTTCCGGGCGTATTGAACGTCTTGAGAAAAGAAACGGTTGGAAGACTGGTAGGCCAAATCATCTGAGAGGGATAGACAAGGAAAGGACGAAGCTGACCGGCGATACCGTAACCGATAATCTGAGTAGCAAACAGCAGAAAAATTCCACCAGCTGCACTTGGGTATTCCGAATAGTAAAGTTGCTGGGCGCCGAGAATGTTGGTACCGTAGGCAGATGCATTTGCGGTTGAAACAATGACATAGATGAAGGTGTGCTCCTTGACATTGAAGGGGGAAGGATTGAGAAGAGTGCCAGATTTAAACAAGCGGGATAAGCCGATACATATGAGGTAAGCGAGGATCATCATGAACATGTTGGAAAGAGTGATGACAACTGGCTTAAATTGCATCAACTGGTTGACAGAGGATCCAAGACATGCAAGTAACTAAGATACGTATAAAAGTATAGTTTAGAGAAAGTTGGGATATGATTTGTGTACACTTACAATACCAACTACCACGGCACGAATGGTTAAGACGATTGTTGTTGGATCATCTTCAGTGCTTGCGATTTGATTGACAATTTGGATATCAAAATCTTCGTTCTCATAGTCAAGATCTTTTTCATCTCTGGTGCCTCTGTGGGTTTCAGCAAAGGAGGCCCTTTCTTCCTTTTCGTCGAGGTATCTTTCTGATTTCTCGAAACTTGTATTTTCGGGGATAACCTCCCTTTTTGTGAGGGTTGTTTCCATTTGATATATTAGGTTTGTAAATTAAGAGTAGGGGGGGTTGAGGGAGAGATTATGATATTATCAATTGAAAAGCAAAAAATAAAAAAGTCAAAAGGTTTGAATAAGAAATAAATAAAGAAAATAAAAGGGTGATAATCGCCGAGGAAGATAATGAAGAAGGATGATGAGAATCAAGGCTTTTTATATAAATTTCTTTTTCTTTGTAAAATTGGGTGGCAGATTAAAATTCCAAAAACATCCCTAGATATAGTTTATATATATATATATGTATATATATATATATTCTTCTTCTGCTTAACCGAACTGTAAGGATAGGACATTGGAAGTATGCAATGTAATCAATGGTAAGCATGTTCCTTGGTACACAAAATTGCTCTGAAATTACATCTACATCTACATATATAATAGACGCCAAAAAAGCTTTATTTTCACCCTTACATGTTCGCTGATAGGCTTCTTCTCTATTCTTACTCATCGTATCATTTCTTGTTTGGGAAAATAACGACTAAAAAAGACATTTTATACTTTGTAACTTGAGAAAGCACTCTTACTATAATACTGACGCCATTTTCTTTTTAATTTCAAATGAAATATCCTCACCTGTGCCAGTTGCTACTTTGGCAGAAATCATGATTTACATTTTATTATGTTTTATGTCATATTTTATGCTTGAAGAATCTACACTTGATCTTGTTCATTATAATGTATTAATCAAGTATTCTAGGCGTATCTATGTCACCTATTAAACCAGCATTAATTCTTTAAATATTTCAAGGGTATATATATATATATATATATATATTGTTGGAGTTCAAATTACTAGGTGATCTATAAACAGGTCACTACCAATGGCGCAAAGTACAATTAGAGTACAAATGCAAAGAAGTTGTACAAAGGAAAAGTAAAAATAAAACATCACAAGCCATGTGAGTTGAAAATAGTACTAATTAAGACTGGTGAGGCATAAGCAATAGGTTGACGCCTGAACATTGTATAATCAACCACTATTTAATTTTCCTTTTTTCGACTTACGGTCATAATTCTGAAGAAAAATGTCGACTTATTATTATATTAAACGCAGGAAGCATACTTAATTTTATTCATTCAACTTGCTGACATGGGGTCTACGTTATTTGAGACACAGCAGGATTTTTGTCCGCAATAGAGAAATAAATTCCAAAATTAGTGAAAAGATTGCTATTACCTACAAAGTTTTTTTTTAGATATGTAATACACTCTTTCCAGAAATTATTTGCCCACACATCGAGGAACAAATTGCCCATTTTCTAATAAAGTGTTTGTACAACCAAGGAGTAAACCTTTTTCCAACTGTCAATTGCTTCGTATACCCGTGGGACAAGTATTTGCAACTCTGATACATTAAAAAGAAATATACCCATGGTCAATGTATTACACATGACCAAAGCACAAAAAGTGCAAAAAACATTTTAGAGATATCATTGCCAATGTAGCCATTATCAAACATCACATTTTTATTAAAGGAGTCAAAAGTAATTGGAGTGCTCGTCAAAGAGCTAGATAAATATTCACGGCTTTTATATCAGCAAAATTATATACATTATCATGCCTCACTTACAAAATTTTGCTGTGTTTCTGCTAAAGGGTTTCATTTCATTTTCATTTGGTGTGGACAGACTAAAAGTTCAAAAAAAAAAGCAAAAATTGAAGGCATATTATTGGACAAGAGTTTTAATTCATTTTGCCCTTTTTTTGAACCTTTAGTTTGTCCACACCAGCTGTACTGAGTTCAGGAATAACCAACAGCAGCCCCAAGCTTTAGCAGAAACAGATAGCAACTTCTCAGAGGCTAGGAACAGAATTTTGACTTACAACACTCAAGAGAACAATTCATCCGTGGCGAAGTGTCATCTGTCTGAACCAGTACCTGCAACAATGTCTTTGCAAGCTCCTACTGACACACGATGGGTTGATTATGTGATGTAAATGTTCAGCTCAGTGACAATAAAGTGAATACTGGTAGAAAGACAGTTTTATTAAAGAGCAAATAAGAATAGCTCTTTAACTACTTCGAAGCTCACTGCGATGAGCGATACAAGAGACCCCGGTGGATAAAATACACCTTGTCACTACCACAGCAGGTGGCTGCCCAGGGATGTCTGTCCCATTAGTCCCAGCAAACACAGGAACACCTGGCTTACAATTATTATTACCATCAATGGCAGAGACAAGCTCGATTCATCAGCGCCAGTAACAGCAACCTCTTAGACAGCAGACTTATAGGATCACTGGATTATTGGTCCTTTTGCTGAAAAATTTCGACTGTATCAGTGCATGGCATACATTATTCCAAAAAGTTGTCCATTATAACCCAATTTCTAAGAAATCCTAGCTTTGGTCAATTTTTTTTTGGCTCTAGAACAACACAGCGAAGCAAAAATGACAGTTTTTGGGCCAGGAACTTCTCGACAAAGCGATGTCACATCAGACAGAGATGTTACTTGGCAAAGTGCCTATCCCTTGCTCTGGATTTACCCCAACTAACTTCGTGACCATTGTTTACGTTGTTTCTGCAATCAACGTGAAAACTATGAGCCCAAAGTAATCCAAACTTCAACTTTTGGCCCTGGTCTCCATCATAAACGACTTACGGGCAGATGTAATAAAAGCCATTGCTGATATGTATGTTTTGTGTATGACGTTTGTTCAACCTTCATCCACCCACTTTCCATTTTATTCTCGCTCTGCACTTATAGGCTCATCAATATGTCATAAAACTTTATCGCAGACCAGGGGAAGTTTGGTGAGGCCAATCTGCAAACATAGTTCTATAATCCTTTGCTTGCGGCAATACCTGCGGATGTCGCTAAGAAAGTTCTATTGCGCTAGCCAAACAAAATAGACAAAACGGTGCCCCAAATACTATCTGACGCTATAGTGTCCACTGTTGTGTCCAAGGGTGAAGCTCTGCTCACTTGCAGAAAATAGCCACCTTATTTTCCATGACGGGAAAATTGAGCTCAAAAGCTAGAGTTTTCAAAACGCGCAAAAGCATTTCATTAAATTGGCCTTCTATTCAAGCAATCATCGAACCTAGCGATAGAATATTTGAAAAATCCTCGAAGATCACCAATAAGAGTTTGATTGCAACCCATTCGGATCCTGATCGTCAAGATCTCTTCTTCCAAAAGCTGCTCTCTCCTGAGCTTGTTTTTACGAATGGACCAATATTGCTCAATCGGATTCAGTTCCAGTGAGTAGGGCGGGAGGTATATACATCGATACCCACAGTTTTCTATATGCTTACAGATATCTTCGTGTTGGTTGGTAGGGAAATTATCCATCACAATATGATTGTCTTTGAACATTTTGTGTCTGTTTAGCACGTTCGTTGTACTCAAGAGGGGGTTAAAGTAATGACCAGTTATAGTTCCACGCTTGCTCGTTGCCTTGTAGACAGTTCTGTTCCTCTCTGCTGCTTTACGCTTTTTGGATGAATCCATTGCCTTTGGACATCGCACCGAAACGTTTACTACACAAAATGGAGAGATTGTACCGAGAATGGTGGTTGTCATTTCTCTGGTTTTTGGCACCTTGACAATTACACATGAGCCCTCTTCCGACTAAGTATACGAACGCTTCATGTTGATGTGGAACACGGTTTCATATACAAACACACAGTTGCTCAGATAATCCATATCGGTTTGTAGCCACTTTGTCACCCAAGCATGTCAATCATCGATTTTTTCAGAGTTGTTTCGTTCAACTGATTGAAAATAGTTTCGCCTCAGACTAATCTTGCATTTTCTAGTCATGAAATGGTGTAATGTGCCTTGCTTGATGTCGAGGTTGGCAAACTTTTCCGTCAAAATTGCCAGGATATTGTCTAGCACAAGTTAGGTGTTTTCATCAATCAAATCAACCAGGAATCTACGGTGCTCTTTGACTGGAATCTCTGGTTGTCCTGGTGGCCTATTGCCACCCACATCCTTTACGATCCGATCTTTTGGTTCTTTTTGATCTTGATGAATTCAATATTGCGCTGTACGTGGTTTGATCTGCATTTATAAGGCCGCAGCTCGCACTGATATGCCTTTCTCATACACCAAAAAAAAGAGCTCCTCTTTTACATATCTTTGTAACATCGATAGAATTTGCGGTTTGGTGTTATGGGGTTTTCCAGTTTCACTTCATCTGACCCAGCTTTCGTGACCACCATTCGTTCAGGCGGTTTCATGTCCATGTAATGGTTGTAATTAGTGATCATCTCCCCTGGAAATAGATGTCTTACCCTTTCAATCATAATATCTTTCCATCTTCATCCATCATATTTCCCAACCCGTCTTTATGAATGAACGAGATCGTTTTGAATGTAGGTTTCTGAAAAAGATGATAGGAGCTACAGTTGTGGCATACACGAAATACAAAAATTGTGGGATACAAAGTCTTTTCTGATCAATGGCCAAAGTTTATTTTTAGCAACTTGCAAACCATTGCTTGTGCTTGGCGCAAAATGTTACACATAGTATGCGCAAAAAAAATCTGGAAAGAAATATGGGCATGTAATATATGTAATTAGGGGTCATCATTCATGAATAATCGTAGGTAATAAAAAAAAAAGGCGAAGATTCACTTTAGCCAATAAGATTCGTTTGCTAATGATGCCCTTTTTACATAAAAAGATGAACTAGTTTTTTATAGCAGCAAATTTTTTGTATTTCCCAATTTTCACCTCTTTGAAAGGTTCACCTTTTTTTTATTACCAATGGTTATTCACGAATGACAGCCCCTAATATAAAACTATAATGAAATTTGGGTATGTGAAACATAATGTTATTTTTACTTCAAAAAGACCTAACTTTCTACCCAATGTTGGGCTGAAAGATTACTATAATTTTGTGTGTGTAAATATCCGGTGTGAATAGTATTAGCACAATGTAGTAGGCAGAAGGAATAAAAAAAACGAAAACATAAAGACAAAAGAAAGGTTAGATTTTGGTAAGAGCCACATGAGTTCTAGACTTGTAAAAAAAATAATAACGTTGACAAGAAGTACGAAACCTGTACTACTCTTTGAAGTACAGAAGTGTATATACAGTCAAAGATCTATATAGTGATACTGTTTAAAATCGCATATCATTCTATAGATTTTAAGCTGGAGCAAAGTTTCAAGTTAAATGCAGTTCTTATTGGAAGATATTTGAATAAGATAACACGAAATAACAAAGAGAATATAAGTTAATTTCTTTTTTTTAAAAAAAATATAGTAATATCTAAAGGGTACTTGAATCTATTGTAAAGAAAGCTTTGAATAAATCTTTATTTTATCTCTTGTGAACAATGCGATCGAAGAAATTATAAAGATAATTATATTGGGTCAACTTTTATTATTAAATCTAACTGTTAGAAATAAACCACGTAGCTTATTTGAATAGAAAGGATAAGATAATAATAAATGGAATAGAGAATACATATAATTGTTTATTAATGGTAAGTAAATAATAGTAGGTAAATATAAAGTATAATTAAGGATAACATTGAGTATATGTTTTACTCGCAGTCAGCGCAGCAGAAATCATAGTAAGGTATATCCTCATTGTTACCAGCCCAGGTAGGGAAAGGCCTATTGATACCATCACCGCCACCGAAAACGGTCATGGCCAACAAGAACGACATAACAGAAGTTCCAGAATCCAAAGCAGCAGACATCAAGTAGTTATGCTTGATGTACCACTTGCTATATCGCCGCTTGACATAAAGTTGACTGACAAGAGCAAGGATGAACGACAGGGTAATCCACGATGAGTTTCCACCAGGAACAACGCAGAGACCAACCATTATCATAGGTACGTTAACAAGGTTAAATCCGACCTTGGGGAATAATTTGTGGAGAAGCCAGAAAGGAACGGGAAGAGCAAATCCGACAACGAAGGCCCACAAGAAGAAGTAGTAATCGGTATCAGGACCAAACATAACCATAGGACCGATGGCACCCCAAGTAATTGCAGCAGAGTTCATAGTCTGAGGGTTAGTACCACTCCAGATGTTTCCGTTAGCTTCCAAGAGCTGGTCTCTCTTGGAATTGATGATGGTCTATTTAATTGATTTTTGTTGTTGCTGTTAGAGACCAGCATATATATATATATATTGAATTTGATTTGCTATTCTAGTTTTACTTACGTAATTGAGAATGTAATTGAATATACAGCCAATAACGGTACCAATCATTTGAGCGAGGAAAGTGAGTCTTGGAGGAACCTTGAGATAGTGACCAATCTTAAGATCGGCTGCCATGTTACCAGCCTGGTTCATAGTGTTGTAACCGAGAGTCTTGAAGTACATGTTAGCAACTGCGTTACCAGGAAGTATGAAGCCACAGATCATTTCAGCGACGACGTTAAGACCGAAACCAGTGCCAGTTATAGCATAAATCATGTTCAAAGGGAGAGACAGAACAGTAGACAAGAGGATGGCAAGCAAAAAACCCCACCATGGGAGCTGACTCTTGTTGGCATAACCGATGCCAATGTTGAGTCCGATACCTAGAACAAAGATGGCGTAGTACCACCAAGCAGGAACTTCTTTGTAGGCAGACATAAGACGGTTGTGAATATCATCTCCTTTAAATTTTCTGCGTTTAAAGATGGAAAGGGCAATCTGCTTAATTTCAGCTCCATGGAAGAGCACAACATGGGACACCATTGCTGTGACACCCAAGTTGATAAAAATATAGTGAATAGCATATAAAGCACTGTAGTATGGACGGCCAACTTCTTCGAGAGCGGTAAGATTAATGTTGTTGTGCTCATCAAGAACAAGCTTCTGGGGGTAGCGCGCGGAAACTCCGGTTTCAGGGTTAAATTGGAACAAGCCATTAGACAAGAAAGGAAAGCTCTTGGCGTGCAAGACGTCGTAGTAGTAAATAAGAGGTGCTAATACCCACAAGATCAGGATACCGCCGTAGATGTTGAACTGTACGTACAGAGGGAGTACTAAAGGAGAATAAGACGACAAGTAGGACCAGTCAAAACTGAGGGAACCAATACCAAGGCCTTCGTTGACTGATATACCGCCGAAAAGACGCTGGACCCAAACACTATCACGTCTGGCGAGACAGACAATGGAGACACCACTGAGGATGGGGAACATGTACTGAGGAACAATCTCCCAGACAAAGATACCAAAGAAAATTGCAAAGAAGAACTTCATGAGGGTCTTGTTTTCATTACCGGGTGTATTGAACGTCTTGAGAAAAGAAACGGTTGGAAGATTAGTAGGCCAGATCATCTGAGATGGATAGACAAGGAAAGGACGAAGTTGACCGGCGATACCGTAACCGATAATCTGAGTAGCAAACAGCAGAAAAATTCCACCAGCTGCACTGGGGTATTCAGAATAGTAAAGTTGCTGGGCACTGAGAATGTTGGTACCGTATGCAGATGTATTTGCGGTTGAGACAATGACAAAAATGAAGGTGTGCTCCTTGACATTGAAGGGAGCAGGATTAAGCAGAGTGCCGGGTTTAGCCAAACGAGATAAACCGATACAGCAAATGTAGGCAATAATCATCATAAACATATTTGAAAGAGTAACCACAATAGGTTTGAAATGCATCAATTGGTTGACGGAGGAACCAAGACATGCAAGCAACTAAGATAAGTATAATGATATAGTTTAGGGAAAATTTTCAAGACATGGTTTTTGCATACTTACAATACCAATAACCACAGCACGAATGGTTAAGATCTTAGTTGTTGGGTCATCTTCAGTACTTGTAATCTGATTAACAATTTCAAGATCAAGATCGTTGTCTTCGTAATCGAGATCCTTGGGATTTATAGAGCCTTTATGGGTTTCCTCGAACGATCCGGACTCTTCCTTTTCGTCAAGGTATCTTTCTGATTTTTCAAAACTGGCAGTCTTGGAAACTACCTCCTGTTTTGTGAGGGTTGTTTCCATTTTGTGTATTTGGTTTGCAAACTAAGAGTGAGGGGGATTAAGATGTTATAAAATAACTAAATATATAAAGAAAAGGGTGATAATCGCCAGGAAGATGATGATAAAATGTATTTCTGATCAAGGCCTTTATATGACTTTAATCTTACACAGAAATTTTGATGGCAAAATCTAATTCCCAAAACATATTCAAATAAACATTTATCTTTCTGTTTGGCCAAATTGTAATGATAAGACACTGTAATTATGCAATATACTCAATGGTAAGGATGTTACGTGCCACACTATATTACTCTAAAACAATATACAATCTTATGTGTATAAAAAAAAGCACATAGCCCAAAAGACATCAACTTTATCTTTACTTGTCAGCCGATATATTTCTTCTTGATTTCACTCATCGTATCAATTCTTATTTTGGTAAATAACGGCTAAAAAAGTTTTTTGCTTTGTTTTTGTTTTCTCACAACTTGAAAAATATAATATATTCTAGATATTAGCATCACGCTTGTCTTTTAAAGTCAAAAGAAGTATTCACGCTTGGATCAACTGTTATTCTGGTATAAATTATTATCTTGATTTATTAAATCTTAATATTTTACTTTATCTTTGATAGATCTACGCTTAGAAATTTGATCAACTTTAATTTATTAATTCAGTATTTTCGGTATATCTGAACAGGCTATCAACAAGTATTTTTTATTTTAAGCAATTCAAGAAGGGTATCATCGTGGTTTAAAGTACCAGGCAATCTTCTAATATTGTTACCAATGGTGTAAACTATTGATTGTCACATCCGCAAGAAAGTTGTACAGATATATAGAGTGGTCATTGCTCATGTACGACTGCAGCGTATATATAGACGAATTCACAAGCCAAAGGAGTTGAAAAATGGCACCAATCAAGTCTATGAGAAACATAACCAGCAGACTGTAACTTGAACACTGTACAATCAACTATTATTTATATATTTTATTTCTTAGCTAGTAGTTATAGCTCAGGATAGATACTGCACACAATACAGAATAACAGAGAAATAGGATATAAACATAAAAAAATTATGAATAGAGACTTTAACTAGTAGTATCTAATAAAAAAACAGTGTAGTTAATTTAGTAAATTTGACAGACTAACATTGACCCTGATCTTGTTGAGATACAGTGGAATATTAGTCTGTAATAGAGAAATAATTTCTAAATTTGGAGAGTAAGTGTTTGCTATCAATAAAGCTCTTAGCTATAGATATATATATAGGTATATTATACAAAATAATTACTGTTGCATATAATTGTCACTTTAGAATTTAATTGGGATAAATACATTCTCTACGTAGTAAATATATTAATAAGCTTTCTTGTTTTCTTCTTTTTCTTCAGAGATACCTGGAAGCGATTTATTTAATAGAGTTAAGAACTGTGCTACTAAAGAAAGAAAAATGGTTATATTCGGGTTATTCCATAATAATATTCTTCTTCTACATTTATTGTCTTGTGTACTAGCTGGAACTCTTGACAAGGCTTATATTCAGTAGAATTTACGTACCCAAACAAATCCCAACATTTATTACTTACATTAAGAATATTTATAAGCCAATATTTAATATATCTTATTTTCCAAATATAGCAATATATAAGTATCAATAAAATTTTATATTTTACACCTCTCAAGTCCATATATTCAATTAAGATCTTTGTCACTATACCCAGATTGCATAATGGTAGAGCTTATGAAAACTAAAATAAACCTTTTTACCCACCCAGAAAGGCGGTAGTATTGGTCTTTACAGAGGTATAATGAATATTAGTCTCATTACGGTTAATGATGCTGTACATCTATATATAATTAACTCTCTTTCATCTATTTGTTCTTAAATTTTGGGTTTATTGGCAATAAAAGATCTTATGGAAGAAATAAGAAAATGTACTCACACAGAGAGAACATAAAATACTACCATCAAATTTCAAACTCTGAAAAATATGCTATGTGCACTCTGGGAGGAAGATAAGGGAAAAATGTACCAAAGAAAACATCGGGAGAAAAGGCTTTCGCAAGAATAGACAGATACCAATATTTAACTAAACTTTAGACTCTACTTTTTAACTAGCACATTTATTAATATCGAATTAGACGCATCAATACAAAAAATTATGAGAGCTAATTGGAGATTAACATATGTGTTGGCTTAATACAAACTCTCATTCTACAAGAATGATAGTAATGGTTATTTCTGGAACATGCCTAATAAAAGGGTATCAGTGCATTTATACTGTTTCTAATATTAAAAGAAATAGATACCTAGCCATTCTTTGGAATTCTGCTAGGTTTCAGTGGTTTGGATCGTCTGCTCCTGTGAATGATAACATAAATGTTCATAAGCACGGAAGAACCCTTGAGAACTTAATATCATCTTCACGCATCCCCGGAATTAACTCATATTTCAACATTTCAACAAAATATGCTATGATGTGTCTCAGCGGACCAACTGAAGAATATATTTCTTTTGTTGAATAAATTGATTTTCCAAGAAAGTCATTATTCTAGAGCAGCTCATATGAAATGAATTTCTTATAAATGTTTAGTATGTACATAAAGCATAAGACTAGCCAATTTTTCCTCAATAACTGGGACTAATAGAAAATCATTTACAATAAAATTCTCCTTGATTTTGATTCACAAAGCATGTGTAGCAACTAGCACTTAACAACTATCTCTATAAAGATGTGTTTTAATATTTATACATATTGTTTGAGCCCAAAAAAAATACATGCATAGCCCTTGGATCCTTCGATATAAATATAGCCAGGTTGTTTTGTCAGATTATTAGATGATGCTTTTTTTTAGCAAAATGGGAAAAAGCAATAAGCAGAAGAATAAAAAAATAAAGATAAAGCTCTGCATTGATATAAAAAAAAGGCAAGAAATTAGCCATATGATTGTTACAACAACAATGCATTGTTAAGACCAAGCAATGATCCACTACATAATTTGATATAGTAGCTGCCTACCAGAGTATGTCAGATATCCATTGTAAAAGACAAAACAACAAAGACATTTAGAAATCATACTAAATTGTATTATGTTGGAATAATCCATAAAGTAAGAAAACGATATCTTCTTACTTCATTTTATTTATTTATTAAGTAAATCTCTCTTTATTAAGCTACTACCCAAGTAATTATACTTAATAATGGTAGTAGAAATGAGTCAAGAAATTAATTATTATTATAGTAGTAAAATAACTTAATAACAAATCGAGTATCAATATACTGCTTTAGTAAGAAGGGATGATAAATGATAGTAATTAAGTAGACATATAAGCACAAATATAGATATAAGGTTTACTCGCAGTCAGCACAACAGTAGTCATAGTAAGGGATATCCTCATTGTTACCAGCCCAGGTAGGGAAAGGCCTATTGATACCGTCACCGCCACCGAAAACGGTCATGGCCAGAATAAACGACATGAGAGAGGTTCCAGAATCCAAAGCAGCAGACATCAAGTAATTGTGCTTAGCGTACCACTTGCTATAACGACGCTTGATAAAAAGCTGACTAACAAGAGTGATGATAAATGACACGGTAATCCACGATGAATTTGAACCAGGGAGAATACATAAGCCATACAAGAACAGGGGTATGTTAACAAGGTTAAAACCGACTTTGGGATAAAATTTGTGGAGGATCCAGAAAGGAACAGGGAGAGCAAATCCAACAACGAAGGCCCACAAGAAAAAGTAATAATCGGTATCAGGACCAAACATGACCATGGGACCAATGGCACCCCAAGTAATGGCAGCAGAGTTCATGCTTTGAGGCCTAGCGCCACTCCAGATGTTTCCGTTAACATCCAAAAGCTGGTCCCTCTTGGAATTGATGATGGTCTATTGGATTAATTTTTGTTGTTGTTTTTGTTAGAGACCAACATATAGATATATTGAATTTGATTCGCTATTATGGTCTTACTTACGTAATTGATAATGTAATTGAATACACAGCCAACAACTGTACCAATCATTTGAGCGAGGAAAGTGAGTCTTGGAGGAACCTTGAGATAGTGACCAATCTTAAGATCGGCTGCCATGGCGCCAGCCTGGTTCATAGTGTTGTAACCGAGAGTCTTGAAGTACATATTAGCAACTGCGTTACCAGGAAGTATGAAACCACATATCATCTCAGCGACGACGTTGAGGCCAAAACCAGTGCCAGCAATGGCAGTAATCATATTCAGGGGGAGAGATAGGACAGTAGACAAGAGAATGGCAAACAAAAAACCCCACCATGGAAGTGCACTCTTGTTGGCATAACCGATGCCAATGTTGAGTCCAATACCTAGAACAAAGATGGCGTAGTACCACCAAGCAGGAACTTCCTTGTAGGCGGCCATGAGACGGTTGTGAATATCATCTTCTCTAAATTTTCTGTGTTTAAAGATGGAAAGGGCAATCCGCTTAATTTCAGCTCCATTGAATAGGGCAACGTGAGATATCATGGCTGTGACTCCGAAGTTTATGAAAATATACTGGAGAGCATATGTAGTACCAAAGTACGGACGGCCAACCTCTGCCAGAGCAGTGAGATTAATATTGTTGTGCTCATCAATAACAAGGCTCTGGGGGTACTGAATGGCCACACGGGTTTCAGGATCCAATTTGTACAGACCATTAGCCAAGAAGGGAAAGCTTTTAGCATACCATACATCGTAGTAATAAACAAGAGGGAACAATATCCACAGAACCACAATACCGGCATAGATATTAAACTGAATGAACAGAGGGAGCACAAAAGGAGACAAAGAGGACAGATAAGACCAGTCAAAACTAAGAGAGGCAATACCAAGGCCTTCGTTGGTTTGTACACCGCCAAATATACGCTAAACCCAAACACTATCACGCTTGGCAAGACAAACAATAGAAACACCACCGAGGAGGGGGAACATGTACTGAGGAACAATCTCCCAGACAAAGATACCAAAGAAGATTATAAAGAAGAACCTGATGAGAGTTTTGTTTTCATTTCCGGGTGTATTAAACGTCTTGAGAAAAGAAACGGTTGGAAGACTGGTAGGCCAGATCATCTGAGAGGGATAGACAAGGAAAGGACGAAGCTGACCGGCGATACCGTAACCGACAATCTGAGTAGCAAACAGCAGAAAAATTCCACCAGCTGCACTGGGGGATTCAGTATAGTAAAGCTGTTGGGCACCGAGAACGTAAGTGCCATATGCAGATGTGTTTGCGGTTGCAATAATGAAGTAGATAAAGGTGTGTTCCTTAATGTTGAAAGGACCAGGGTTAAGAAGAGTTCCGGATTTAAATACACGGGTTGAGCCATGACATATGAGGTAGGCGAGTATCAACATAAACATATCAGAAAGGATAACAGGAACTGGCTTGAACAACATCAGCTGGTAAACTGAGGCACCAAGACATCCAAGTAACTAAGAAAACATATAAATATTATTAAAAAAAGACATGGGAGTTTTTTTAGGACATAAATTGCATTTACTTACAACGCCAACTACTACAGAACGAATGGTTAAGACCTTGATTGTCGGATCATCTTCAATGCTTGCAATCTGGTTAACAATTTTAAGATCAAGATCGTTGTTTTCATAATCGATGTCCCTTATATCTGTAGGGCCTGTATGGCTATCCTCAAATAATTCGTTCTCTGCTTTTTCGTCAAGGTATCTTTCTGATTTTTCAAAACTAGCAGTTTCAGAAACTACCTCCCGTTTTGTGAGGGTTGTTTCCATTCGATGTATTAGGCTTGTAAACTAAGAGTGGGCGGTGAATTATGATGCTCTTAATAAAAAATAAATAAATAAATAAAAGAAATGATAATCGCCAGGAAGATGATGACAAAAGATACCAATGATCGAGGCTTTTTATAAGAATATATTTTTTTAGTAAAACTAGAGGAAGGTATATTGTTTGACAAATAGTTCTCGATCTACCTAAACTTCTTTCAAACCTCATAGCAACGGTAGGATGCTATAATTATATAGCGTAGCCAATAGAAATCTTATTCTCTACTAAACAATGGTACACGATGGTCTTTTAAAATAAAATATAGGCTGTATGTCTATAAAATAAATATAAAAAATATTGTTTATGTCTTTGCTTGGCAGCGGATAGATTTTTTGGTTTATTTGTTCTCATTCTACTTATTCTTATTTGAGTAAATAGTGACAAAAATGGGTAATTTATTTCTTATAGTCTGCGAAAATAGTGGAACAGACTCTAGTAGTACCTTCTTTTTTAACTCTAAAGAAGGATATACACTTTAACCAAGTGGTATTTTGGTATAAATTATAATTTCACTTTATTTGGTTCAATATCTCATTTAATCCTTAACAGGTCTAAACTTAATATTCTTGTTGATTTTTAAGTATTTACATACTTATTTATTGATCCAGTAGCTTTGATATTCCTAGACCAGATATCTTATCAGATTTAAAAATCTTGACTAATAAAGAAACATATCACCCAAGTATATATTAAAAGTCGGTCTATATAAGAAATTTAGTAGCAAAAAATACAGTTTGTCATATCCACAAGAAAGTTTCCCAGATATATCGAATAAAAATTGATTGTACTTGACCTCAGGGTACGAATATAAATGTGCACACGGTCAATAGAATAGAAGATGGTACCAATCAAGGCCATTTAAAATACAATATATAGTTTGAATTTTGAACATTGTAAAACTCATTACTACCTAGATCCCTTCTCTTGACTTATAACGGCAGATCTGAATAGAAATACGTTTCTTTACGTCTAATATTTGACATGAGAAGATTATTCTATTCAGTCGATTCGATCTACTTTTATTTATTTATGCTTTAGTTAAAATCAGATACGATTTTGTGATCTATCCTGTTCACATTATTCAAACGCAATATTAGTCTATAATGAAAACATAATTTCCAAAAGTAGTACATAAATTATTGTTATACAAAAAATTATGTGTATATATTTGTATATATTATACCAAATGAATATTCTCGCATAAATTAGTTGTTCTACGATGTTGGTTGGTTTACATCGTGTGTTTTGTGTATCAGTAGATAGGCTTAAACTTCCTATAAAATTTATGCCTCGTGTAAAGTAAATTATCAAGACTTGGCTGTTATGCCATTAAGAAGACCCCTTTGCTACTGCATCTTCATAGAGGTATGAGAAACCTTTTATTTATTTATTTATTACTAATAAAGGTGTAAACTATACAGATAAAAGGAATTATGCTGTTATACTTGAATCGTTCCACGCTATTATTTTACTCTATTTTTTATTCTTTTATGCGCCTGTTTTCAGTTTCTAGTATATTTTTATAATTGACAGAAGCTGTTCCTATACAGACTCTAGAACTTTGCAATTTTATCAAAAATGTTTAGCGACTCATTTTTAAAATATTTTTCGTTCAAAAGCGGCTATATCTTTTTCTTTTATCTTTATTTTCTACCTTCTACTTATACCAAACCAATATATTCAATTAAAGGCTTCGTCGTCATTACTTAAATGCAAAAAAAAGTGTCATGCGTGACTATTACAACACATCTTTATCTTTCCAAAAGGACATAATTGTTAGGATTTACAAAGATAGGATAAATATTAGTCAAATTGTGGTCAATAATTTTATACTAATAGATACAAATAATTCTTTTCCTCTTCAATAATAATGAAAACAGACGACTGGCTCTATTGAAAATAATATAATCAACCGAAAGAGCAAAGCTATTTAGATCGATAAAATACTATCTCACCCTTATAGCTAATATAGAAATAAAGAAAGTTTTCATTGTACTTTAAGCTCTGGAAGACATATTTTTCAAATTTAGGGCAGAGTCGTGGGAGAAGTTTATCAGAAATTATGGTGAACAGAACCTCGCGTAAATATAAATGTACGCCAATATCTAGCTTACTATCCGTCTCTATTTCTTCTTCTTCTAATGAGTATCCTTCTAGGCATCGAACTTGGCACAATAATTTAAAGATCTAAAACAAATATTTAGATATTTATGCTTATAATAAATAAATCAAGGCTGTCATCTTTTTTTTAGGAAAAAAGAAACATATCTTACTCCACTGTTTCAAGTATACAAATAAGTGAAAAATCGGTTATGCTTTAATTGTTTGGTGGCATTTATAGTGAAATTAATATTCAAAAGTATGTAAAAGAGTTTGGTATATATTCATTAAGAGCTTTAGCTACCCACTTTATGTTTACGTTAACTATTCTAGTTACCAGAAATATCATAACGCATCTCATAATACTAACGTGTCTAACTGATACTAATTCAATGTTGGCTTAAAAGGTTTGGAGTGGAACATAAAAGACGCTTTTATACAGACCCGCTCAAAAACGTCTAGAGCCACTCCTCTCCCCTGCCTTTTCTTTTTTCATAGTTTAGTGTACCAGTTCTCTCACCGAAAATATTATTTTTAGACTGTCAAAAAGAATCCTACAAAACAGTAGAGAAAATTTAAACATGCAGAATTGCTCGACTGTACTTCGAACTAATAGAGGTATATCTACACTCCTAGATCTCTCATTGGCAATATCTTTTATGTTTACTGGTATAAAGCGTGTTTTACTTGGAGTAAATATGTATATGTTGTAGAGCTCTATAATTGCTGTACGTATTCTACCGTTAAGGTCATGATACTCATTACACTTTACATAGATATTATGTTAAAGCGGCGGTTAATACATTTAAACCCCTGCGAACCTGTTAAAAGAAGAGTATATTATTAAGTTATATTTATTAATTTATTTTATTGTATCTCTGCTTTGGTGAAATAAATAAATAAAATAGAAGAATGAAGGTTGAGTATTTAGTGGCCTTTTTATCACAAGTTACATAATGTGCAATTTATTGTGATGTTGTATTTATACTCGATTGCATGACTGTTATTGTTACTTCAAATATCAGAAGGTTCAAAGCTGAACTAGCTCAATCTCATCCAATTTCTAAATACAGAATCTTTAATGCATAATACCAAAGAAATAGGTATACAAAAAAAACTGACATATAGATATATATTTAAATCGTAAAGGCTAACTACTTTATGATGAATTGTGGTATTTCAGGTACGAAACAATAGAAAAATAAAATATTTGATAATAGAAACGTATAGAAATACTTTGAGACTGTATATAAGTTGTCTTTATTCATAAATAAAAAGTGTCCCTTTTTATAAGAAAACACAATCTGCTCTTGTCATTACGTCTTAGTTTCTTAAGGCTTTCTTCCTTTACTATATTTGGTTATTAGAGTGTATTTACTGCTTAACTAGTGTCGGTGTTACAATTATGACATCAAGTCATAAATCGTACTTCTTTAGCTCTTAGCTATTCTTTTCTCTTTTATACTAGAGCTTTAGGACTTCCTACTAAATTAGCTCCATATCGATCTGACACAGTTTACCCGGCAGTATGATATAATTATCTTAACAATCTTTAAGATATTATCTACAGTACTAACTGTAATAATTATTGGGCTGATTACTTAATCGTTTATATATATTTTATACTGACAAGATGATAGCTACTACGCTATCCCAATATGAATATGTTCTTATATGTGATAAATCCAACATCCGAGTGTCTGGATCACCACATGAATAACCTATAAAATATATAAAGTATAGAGTATATAGAATATATAATATAATATAGTATTAGCATATAAATAAACATTATAGAAGTTCCACAGTGGTCCGTGTAACAGTAGTTAGCATAAATCTCATTCTCACAAAAAAAAGTTTAGGCAACATGAATTATGTGTTTTTTATGCTGAACAAAAATGATAAAGTCTTTAGATAAATGCTTATTACAAAAAAGGAAAATTGAGTTTGTTGTAAGTTTTTTTTTCTATTTTTTTCTCTCTTTTTCATTCATAGAATCTAACCAAAAAGAGAAAAAATCGGATTATTGTTACACTGTATTTTGGGCGTGTACGCTTTTCTTTTTTATCTCCATGGGTACAAAGGATTGATTGTCAATTTTATCGAAAAATTAGCTTTTGACATGGGCCCATAAAAGGAAAATCATTTGGATTATTGTTACATGACATTCTCAATACACTTATTTTTATTTCACTTAGCATAAAAACGGGATGACTTTTGACTTGGCAAGAAAATACTCCGTCAAGGTATACACGTACAGGAATATTATAGCTATAGTTTGTCCTTGCGAATAAAATAAAATAAAATAAAATAAAAAAGACGTATTATGATGTATCAGCTACTTGTAATCTAAGCATGATTTGATATAGATCTATATAGTATTTTCAGCCTTAAAGATAATCCTTCTGTAGTATATTCGTATTTTTCCTGTCAAAATGTATATAAGGTAAATCAAGTATATCTACTTACTCATAACCCTTGATAAGTCTTGCTGACCGTGAACCAAATTGTGTATTTCTTCTTTATTCTAATATTCAACCATATTCCAGCCTTCTAGTCATTCTTTATAGTATTAGTGAAATTCAGAAGTATAAATTAAATGAAGATTGACTATATACTTAAATTCGAATCGAAAAAAAGCCTACTCAGCTAGATTGTAGCAATTATAATATAAAATATCAACTCGATTCATATATAAATACATGAATACATTTATTTTAAAGAAAATAAAGGTCCATCAGCAGATTCGGATTCCCTGTCTGTGTAAGCAAAAGACGAGATAATATATTACAAGTACGCCTTATTTTATTGTATTTACCCAAAAGCACATTATCGCGATAAACTTGGGGTTACTTTTGGCATATTGTGCATTCAAAATGCCTCTATATTTCTAAACTTCGGAAATATAGGTAAATTTGTTACAACCGACCTTACCCACTGTTCCCATAGGCTTCTTAAAACATATACCCGCACTTTCCAACTAGTCAGCTGTATTATACTGTGATTTACAAGCAAAACATAGCACAAAAACATAGTCAAGTATATTTATTTACTTTTTTTATATCTCCTAAAAAAAATACACGTATAATATAATATCTTTTTATTATTCTTTTTCTTCTTCTTTTTCTTCTTTACATAAATTATTTTTGCTCTTACTTGGTACCAAACTCATAAAGCATCTGTATTAAGAGAAGAAGCTGCTGTTGTAAAGATATACAGAAGAAAAATATAAGTAAAGCCGGGTGTTTTTTTTTAAAAAGAAATATTTAAAAATACCTTTATATTACAGATATTACAAATAGGAAACAATTTACTATTTTGAAAACAAGTATATATATCACAAAACTATCGGAAAGCTTCTCTGTGGTTACAAAAGAGCATACTCTAAGAGCCGTGTATCAGTAAAGATTTTTATTTTATTTTAAAAAATGGAGTCATTCAATCATTTTTTCCGTAGATATTGTTTTTGTTTGTTTTTTTACTTTATCCCTTATAAATAAATAAATAAATAGACAAACAAATGAATAGAAAAAAGGTATAATAAAATATAACGGAAAGCAATTATGAATGGCACAGAGTGGTCTGTACAGTAATTAATTTATTAATATTTATAAAATAAATGAGGGTCACACGGTTAATTATACACGTTAATAACATATGCAAGGTAGGGATTCAACTGCCATTAGACTTATAAGCCAATATATAAAAATACAGATAATATCAAGAAAACTTTAACATGTGCATAGAAATAATAAGCTGTATTGAGTAAAATATTGATATTAATATTAAATTATAATTATACTTATAGATTAATTGTCGCAAAGTATTAAGAGCTAGACATCTTCTTTATTTATTGGTAACGTATGCTACAAAAGAATAGTAGAATTCACAAAATAGTTACCCGTGACTTTCTTTGTTGCTGGTACCTTGCGTACCTCTAGGTACATAAGTCTACATTCTTTATATTTTACGCGTTATTTATAATTTATACAATTTATATAAGCATAACGCGATGCTAACGCTTTTTGATTCCACAGTAAATAAATTGATGTAAGACAAAGTCATGCTACAGAATAGATTTAAGATTATTCAAGAGTCTGGGAAATACACGCTTGATTCTAAAGATTAGGTACTACCTGAGACATTTCTCTAAGAAACAAAAAAAATATGCCTATTTTGAATAATGTGCGCGAAGCTGAATCCAATAAAACAAGAAGGGTTTTATAAGAGACACATATACAATATATTACTGAAAATATCAATACATATATACACCAAAAACAGGCTCACAGAGCAGTTAATACTCTTTCGAAAGCAAACTAAAATAGCTGAAAGGAAGAGATAAGAGGCCTACTAGCCCAAAAGGGAATATATGTCTAAATATATTCATGTTTTGTATCTGTAGGATCTGTAGATGTAGTTGAAGCTCACTTTTAACAAGTTATTTCTACCGGGAATTAGGGATAAAATAGATTTATTTCTATAGTAAAATACAAAAGAAAAAGATAAATCAAATTTTCTGTCCTATCTAGGAAACACGAACGAAAATATATGACACGGGAACAAGTATTCTCTCTAAAAAAAGAAAGTTTTGCCTTGATCCAGGCACATGAGTATTTTACGGAAACTTGTTTTTATATTTTATTAACATTTCTTACAACCTATGATAACGAATAACATTAAAGGCTAAAAGACTGATCTCCGCAAAAGATGAAATAAAATCAATCACAATAATCAAAGCGTATAGCGAATATATTCATTTTTAATGCAATTAAAATGAATAATCAGCACAGACTAGCTTAGTGTCGAATATTTAAGCAGAATACTTGGAATTGGTAAGAGCCAGATAAATTTCGATAATATTAAAGACTATGTACATGTGTTTATTAATCGATTTAATATACAATTACTATGTGAATTTACGTCCACTTTGAAGTAAATTTGCTTCATTCAATATCAGCTTAATAAAAAACAATAGCAGAAATCTTAATAAAGTTGATTTATTTTAGCAAACATATCAGCACAAGAATCATATTTATTTTAACTTCAGAAAGAAGGGAATTGTTTATCTCTAACTCCAAACGGGCTCGATAGTCTAAATTCTCCATTTGAGCTACTCAAGAGTCGCAGAAAGTGAAACTGTTCAAGTACAGAAAAACTCTACTGTCAAATTAGACGATTTATTCCTATCGCGTACATCAAATCATATTGTCTTTGTAAAGGAGGAGTAATAGAACATCAGGCCTTTCTTGCTCTCAAAAGAATTAATTCTATATTCTGATGCTTATTTTGTACATAGTAGGTCATTCGTTTATTATCAGCTCCTTATTTTCATAAATTGTGCCTCTATTATGAGCCAAGACATTGTTGTAACCCATCCAGAACCGAACCAGTTTTAGTAATTCAAATAAACTAAAGTAAACACTCTTCTTCTGTTAAATATTCAAATATTCAAATATCCAGAGTTTTCATCCCAAGCCAAGAATTACAAAAAGAATAAAAAATGGTAGTAGTGGAATATGTGGGCAAACCTTCTTGTCATTGGGTATGTCTCAACAATCTTGATTGGTACCATGTTCAAATCCTTTAGCTTGTGAACTTTCTTTTGTCTGTACACTGTGGCGGTGCACAATCAATGATCACTCTATGTATCTGTACAACTTTTGTGCGGATGGGACAGAACTATATTTAAGCTATTGGTAATACTCTTCTTTTTTTTTTGCAGATTGACTGGTAATTTAAACTACGATAATAATTTTTTTTTAAAAAAAAAAGAAAAACTATTTGATAGCTGATTTAGATACGACTAATATTTGATCCTTAAGTTAAAGGTGCCAATAGTAATAAAGAAATAAAGTATATATTAATTGTAGGTAGAATAACTGTTAAATGTGATATTATACCCAATAAACCAAGGCAAGATATTTGACCAAAGTAAAGGCTGACTCAAGTACGAATACTTCTTTTGAATTGTTGAAGAGAAAATACCAATTCTGATATTTAATAAGATTTAATTATAGTCAATATTTTTTAACCTGGGTAGAGTACCAAAAAAAAACAACAACAAGTGATACGGTAACTAAAAAATAATGCGAAAATACCAGCTGATAAGAAAGAAGAAAATCACAACTTTTCTTTACTTTATATATATATTTGTACATATATTTTTTGAGAGTGCGTTTGTGTAGCAAGAAACACGATTTCATTGATTGAATTGTATGCATTCTGTATTGTATTATAGTTTGGTTAAACAAAAGGATAAGTAGGTATATTGAGCTGATATTTATAAAAAATATAGGCTGTCATCCAATTTTACAGAAAAATGGGATTCATATAAAAAGCCTTGGCTCTCAATATCCTTTTTAATCATCTTCCTTGCGATTATCATCCTTTTATTAATTAATTACTTCTTTCTCACTTTTGGCTTAGTTGTTGGCAGAATCACAATTATTTCAATTCTTAATCTATAAACCTAATACCCCAAAATGGAGACAACCCTCACAAAGCGAGAGGTATTTTCCGAGACTCCCAGCTTTGAAAAAAAAGAGGAATTCCTTGAGGAGAAGGCAGCTATCGCATCTTTTGAGGAGACTCCAAGAAATACCAACAATTCAAATTTTATTACCTACGAGAACGACGAAGATGATCTTGCAATTGTCAACGAAATCGCCAGTACTGAAGACGATCCAACCATCAGGATTTTAACTGTTCGTGCCCTAGTAGTTGGTATTGTAAGTATATATACATAGTTTATGCACCTAAAAAGGAACTCATCTTAATAAAATTCATCTTTTTATTAGTTACTCGCTTGTCTTGGTTCTTCAGTTAACCAGTTGATGCAGTTTAAACCAGTTACTGTCATTCTTTCTGATGTGTTCCTACTTATTATTGCCTATCTTTTCTGTATCGGCTCAACTCATATATTCAAAACCGGCACTATTCTCAATCCTGGTCCCTTCAACGTCAAAGAACACACATTTATTTACTTGATTTCCTCAACCGCAAACGCATCTGCCTATGGTACCAACATTCTCGGTGCTCAGCAACTTTACTATACCGATTACCCCAGTGCAGCCGGTGGTATTTTTTTGCTGTTTGCTACTCAGCTTATTGGTTACGGTATCGCTGGTCAGCTTCGTCCTTTCCTTGTCTATCCCTCTCAGATGATCTGGCCCTCCAGTCTTCCCACCATCTCTTTCCTCAAATCCTTCAATACATCTGGTAGGGAGAACAAAATCCTGGTGAAGTTCTTTTTTGTCATCTTCTTTGGCATCTTTGTCTGGGAAATTGTTCCCCAGTACATGTTTCCTCTCCTCAGTGGTTTCTCGGTTGTCTGTCTTGCAAAGCGTAATAGTGTTTGGGTCCAACGTATCTTTGGCGGTGTACAAACCAACGAAGGCCTTGGTATTGGCTCCATCAGTCTTGACTGGTCAAACCTGTCATACTTTGCTCCTTTAGTATATCCTCTGTATGTTCAGGGCAACATCTACGTTGGTGTCCTTATTCTATGGATACTGGCTCCTCTTGTTTACTACTACGATGTTTGGTATGCCAAGAGTTTCCCCTTCTTGTCCAATGGTTTGTTCAAGTTAGATCTTGAGACTCGTGAGGCCATTTCCTACCCTCAGAAACTTGTTCTCGATGACCATAACAACATTAACCACACTGCGCTTGAAGAAATTGGGCGTCCTAATTTTGGTGCCATGTACGCTATCCAGTATATTTTTATCAACCTTGGTGTGACAGCTATGATCTCTCACGTTGCTCTATTCTATGGTCCTGATATTAAGCGAATTTCCCTTGCCATCTTTAAACGCAAGAGTTCCAAAGAAGAAGATATTCATAACCGTCTTATGTCTGCCTACAAGGAAGTTCCTTCTTGGTGGTACTACGCTATTTTTGTTTGTGGAATTGGACTCAACATTGGAATCGGTTATGCTAACAAGAGTCAGCTCCCATGGTGGGGTTTCTTGCTTGCCATCCTCTTATCTACTATCTTGTCCCTCCCATTGAATATGATTACCGCTATTACTGGCAGCGGCTTCGGTCTTAACGTCGTCGCTGAGATGATTTGCGGTTTTATTCTTCCCGGTAACGCGGTTGCTAACATGTACTTCAAGACTCTCGGGTACAACACTATGGTCCAGGCTGGCTATATGGCACGCGACCTTAAGATTGGACACTACCTCAAGGTCCCCCCAAGAATGAATTTTCTTGGCCAGATAATTGGTACTGTCGTTGGTTGCATCTTCAACTATATTGTCAACAACGTAAGTTAAAAAAAAACAAATTTGATAACTTTTTTGGTTTTTGGTTTCTAACAATAACAATCAAATAGTCAGTTATTAACTCCAAGAGAGAAGAGCTTTTGGATCCTAATGGCAACATCTGGAGTGGTTCTGGCTTCCAGAGCATGAACTCTGCTGCTATTACTTGGGGTGCCATCGGCCCTATGTTCATGTTTGGTCCTGGTACTACTTATAACTTCTTCTTGTGGGCATTCATTGTTGGATTTGCTCTCCCTGTTCCTTTCTGGATTCTCCACAAATTTTATCCCAAGGTTGGCTTTAATTATGTCAATACACCCATGATTCTAGTGGGTCTCTGTACTCTTCCTGGTTCAAGTTCATCGTGGATTACCGTGTCATTTATCATCATTATTGTCAGTCAGCTGTATGTCAAGCGTCGTTATAGCAACTGGTATGCTAAGCACAATTACTTGATGTCTGCTGCTTTGGATTCTGGAACCTCTCTCATGTCGTTCATTCTGGCCATGAGTGTTTTCGGTGGTGCTGATGGTATTGAGAGACCTTTCCCTAGTTGGGCTGGTAACAATATGGATATCCCTTACTATGACTACTGTTGTGCTGATTGCGAGTAAACCTTATCTTTACACTCGTGTTTATATTAATATTCAATTACTATTATTTATCATCACTTCTTACTAAAGAAGTATATTGATACTCTATTTTTGTTACTTTTTTATTGAATTATTTTACTACTATAATAATAATTAATCTTTTGACTCCTTTATACTACCCTTGTTGAGTATAATAACTAGGCTAATGGTTTAATCGAAAGGGACCTACTTAATAAATAAATAAAATGAAATAAAAAAGTATATTTTTCTTATTTTATGGCTTACTCCAACATAATACACTTTAGTATGATATACACTTGTCTCGGATGGTTTGCCTTTTACAATAAATAGCTGTAGTAAACTCTGGTAGGTAGCTAATATATCAGATATTGTAGGAAAGCATTACTTGGCCTCAATAATGTATTATTGTACGCATTGATATATGCGCTTCATGTTGTTTACAATACAGCTATTTTTCACATGAGTCTAGTTCATGTCAATAAATCGTTGTTGTAACAACCATATGACTAATTTGCTTTCTTACTATTATTCTCTTTAAATGTCAAACCTTCCCTGTTTCAGAATATATAGAGTCTTTTATTCTTCTGTGTGTGAGTATGAATTTTATTCATCTTGAACTCTCTTATTATTAAAAAAACAGATTTCAGGAAATTTTGATCATTATACTCAAACTCTACAGAAATTCATTGGATTTACTGATAACGATATGCTTGGAGAGCTTTATATATATATTGGTGCTCGGTTTATCGAGGACATTAACTGATTAAGACGTTTTCAGAAATTAATTCGTAATGTAAATAAGGGCTTTCCTTTATTCTTTTTTAAAAGAATATACTTTCCTTCATCTTTTTGCTCTTTTGTCTGGCTCTTTTTCTTATTCTTCTTTTTTTTGCATACAAGAAAAACATTAGTAACCCTACATTTCTGTATTACTTTATCAATTACATTTAAAGCTTGATATATTCAAAATTGTGATTTGTGAAGATCCAATTTTATTAAAGACGACTATCGCAGCTTACTAGTTGTAGCGGATGCATTTAGTTGTAATGTGTGGGAGGCCATACAATAAGAAGGATAAGAATTGAATAATTATAATTGTAAAGATGAAGATAGTGTTTATTTGTTGGGATATTCTACTAACATATTATATCTAAATATTAAAATGTACAATGGTCTTGTCAAAAAGCTCTATGATTATGAATAACATGTAAATATATAAATACTAAATACTAAATACTAAATACACATCTGGTTAACTCCCTTTGTCCAAATATAAGGGCCAAGAATAATAAACATCAAACACTGGGCTATGACTACAGTAGTAATACCATAGACATAACTGCGGCGTAGAGAAAGACCTTTCAGTTCAACCTAAAAAAGAAAAATAGCGACATATTATTTATGTGTTAGTCGACACTTATATATTTTGGCTAGATGTGTATGTACTCATACCATAAATGTGGATATCGTGGTAAGACATCCTAATAGACTGATTTTAGCGTTTTGTATTTGAAAAGTATTATACTCCTTACCACAAAAGCCATCAGCAAGTGCCTGTACAACAGTACAAGATATAGAAGTCATTACAGGGCCGGATTGAGATAAAGCTAGTGCAGCCAGTACAGCAGTCCCGAATATGTTTGCAATAAACGTACCAAGTGGAAAACGTTGTGCTCTGTATATATTATAAAAGGACAAATACCAGCGCAAAAGAGCCCCAACAGGAGCAAATACACAGGCCAATGCTAATTCCTTTTGCTTTTGTGTGAAAATGGCTGCAAAAATAACACCCAGCCAGCACAAAATACCGAACCCAATCACACTGTAGTCTGGGGCACTCAGATAATCCAATGCAAATCCACGGGGTATGATCTTTATCTCTTCTTTGCATACCTTTGTTGGGCTTATCTTTTTCACCAACCACTCAACCAGGTGCCCAGCATGCTGCCCAAAAACAAATCCGTTGAATGATATGGCCATTGTTACAAGCAATTGAGATATTGCATCCAGAATATTGTATCCTCTTGTGTGTGGATTGAAATAATAATTTGAAAATCCCTTGAAAATGTCCAATTGCCATGACGAAAATGTAGTAATCGATCCACAAAGCCCAGAAGATAGACCTATCTGGAGCGGCAAATACCTATTGATATATCTATTATTAATTGATGTACAAATAATAATAAAGAAATAATAAAAATGCATAGTGTATTGCATTGCGCTGTATTGTATTTATCACCTGCCATTTATGAATCGCATTCTTATTTTCAACTGCAATACCCATTATAAAGCATCCTACCCACTGAGCATACACCAAACCAAATACAGGTGCACCAGGGTAAGTTTCTAATCTCTGGAGACCAATTCGGATCAAGACACCTAGAACAGAGAATGGGATAATTGCTCCCACGATAGCCAGCTTGTTTTCATGAATCTCCAAACTGATCACTGTCGGTCTCTCATTAGATATCTCCGTCTGGGCATCTTGTCTTAAAATGTCAGGTTCCATGGAAACTTGATTGAACTGATCTCCGCGATTGACATGATGAGGGCTCAGGGATCTATTTCCTTCACCAGTAATGCGAGGATCATTGTTTGTAAACTGCCGCATTAAAAATAAGGCTTTAGAAACGTTGGTATCGGTGTGAATGAGCGGGAATTATGGCTACTTTTACTATTGCTATTACTACTATTACTATTATTCTTTTATCTTATCTTTATTCTCAGGTACATAGAGTGCGGAATGAATTGATCTCCTCACGTGATTCTGTGTCATACTAGATGTAACGGTGTCCTGTCAAAATCACTAGGTGTGTTATTTCCCTTCCTCTCTTTTATTCTTTCTTCCTTCCTTTTCTTTTTTAGAAACATACTAGATAATGTCCAAGCCCAACCCTCTTGACACATACTACATTAGAGAAGCTACTAAGGAAGATCTCCCCGAGATTCTGGAAATCTTCAATGAGCGCATTCGCAATTCAACTAGTCTATTTATATACGATCCTGTTCCCCTGGAAGATAGAGAAGCTTGGTTCAATGATGCCAAAAAGAATGGATATCCTGTTATCGTAGCTGTTGAAAAGTCTACCAATAAAGCAATTGCATATGCTTCATACGGAGCCTTCAGAGCTAAGATAGCCTACATCTTGTAAGTACTATATATATGTATATTAACCTATAGAATATTAAACTGTATATATATATTTTAATTGTATATAGAACTACTGAAATATCATTGTATATTCACTTGGATCATCATCGCCGAGGTCTCGGCCGAGTTATGCTTAATGAAATGATTCGGATAGCCAAAGAGATGGGACTTCGCAGTGTTATTGGTTAGTAAAAAAAGAGAGAGAGATATCCATATCTCCTTTTGGAAATATTTCTAATCGTGTATTCATCCTCCTTCTTCTTTGTTGACAGCGAGCATCACATCTGAAAACTCGGCATCAGTATCTCTGTTCACCAATTTTGACTTTAAGCTTGTAGGAACTTTCCATGATGTTGGACAAAAGTTTGGTAGACATTTGGATGTTGATTTTTATGAGCGTATATTTGATACTCCTCCTACTGCTCATGGCGTTCCACACTTTAACTCTTTCCCCTGGGGTCATTATGTTTATGGTGGATCCAAATAAGCTCTGTGGTCTGTAGCCATTTAGACACTACATTTAATTTAATATCAATTGAATCACATATTTCACTCGTATTTGTATTTCTACTTCTACTTTTGCTGCAGATTTATTGTTTGTATCTTTATTTACATAGATCAAGAAGTGTATCAACAAAAAGTCCAAGTTTAATTAATAATTCATATCTGTTCACTTTTAATTCTTTAGATTTGTTAAATAAAAACTACTGCTATAGTTTCGCAATAAAAAGCCAACTGTTATATATATATATATATATATATATTTGTATTAAACTTAATTTAACCTTTTCTTTTTTTTTTATTTATATCTTCTTTTTACTGGCTTCCAATGTACTGATGGAAGTTTAAGTTTTTTTTTTGAACCAATGGTTTCTATGGTGAATTTCACATTAAATGAATTTTTTTTTATCACTTTTTTTTTTGGTTTTTTCTTTATAAATATAAAAACGTGCACATAGTAAAGTACTATATATTATTTTGTAGATCTTAACGGCTGTCATACTTTATCAAGACCAAAAAGAGGCTAAACTTGGTTTGATCTAATAATTATATTTTGCGCCTTTTTTTTTTATTTATTTATTTAGCACAGATATTATGACGCTCCTAGTTTTATGGTAGTGAGTATTTATTGCCCTTAGTTCTTATGGGATAAATACAGAATGTATACTAAGACGAGTGATATTTGTACGAATGTCGTCATTTTGACCATTATTATCATTTTATCAAGAATCTATCATCCCTTGAAAAACTTTAGTTGTTACTCAACTTCCCACTTTCTTTTACATACACACATACTTGCCTACATAAAGACTTGCTTATGTATATACATTAGCTATGTAGATAGTAAATAGACCAGGGTGTACCTTGTAAAAGACAAAACATTATCAAAGGACACAAAATTAAAAACTTCTTTATCATTTCTTATTTTACTTCTAAAGAAGTATTTAATAAACGGATATTAAAATGAACTGGATTTTAAAAGAAAGAAAGACCAAAAAAAAGGCTTCAAATATCGATGCACAGGGACCTGTCAATTCCCTTTTCATTTTTCACACGCTCCATATTGGTATCCAATCAAGGCTTTTAACCCAAAGAACAGTTGTACAAGTCTAACTTTACAATCTAGCTACCTTTGTTAATCTGTTGTCTACGAGAAAGTAAAGAGAAGAAAATATAACCATTGCACGTATTCTTTAAGCAAAGAGAGCAAGTCTCCAAGACACACAATCCATTAATAAGACCAAAGAAAGAAAAACCCATATGCACACAAATTTTAGGAAAGATTATTGTTTGTTTATCTTTATTAACACAAATAGCAAGGAAATGCAATTTTAAAATGAGTTGACTTGAAGTAAAAGGGTAATTTACTTCTTGCCAGCCTTGGCAGCAGCCTTGGTGACCTTGGAGGCCTTGTCGACCTTCTCGACGGCCTTGATGACACCGACGGCAACGGTCTGACGCATATCACGGACGGCGAAACGACCGAGAGGGGGGTAGTCAGTGTAGGCCTCGACGCACATGGGCTTGGAGGGAACCATCTTGACGATGGCGGAGTCACCAGACTTGATGAACTTGGGGGCATCTTCCATCTTCTTACCGGAACGACGGTCGATCTTCTCGAGGAGCTCAGCGAACTTGCAGGCAATGTGAGCAGTGTGGCAATCGAGAACGGGAGAGTAACCAGCACCGATCTGACCGGGGTGGTTGAGGACAATAACCTGGGCAGTGAAGGAACCGGACTCCTTGGCGGGGTCGTTCTTGGAGTCAGAGCAGACGTTACCACGACGGATATCCTTGACGGAAACGTTCTTGACGTTGAAACCGACGTTGTCTCCGGGGAGACCCTCAACGAGCTGTTCGTGGTGCATTTCGACGGACTTGACTTCAGTGACAACACCAGCGGGGGCGAAGTTGACGATCATACCAGCCTTGATGACACCAGTTTCGACACGACCGACGGGAACAGTACCGATACCACCGATCTTGTAGACATCCTGGAGGGGAAGACGGAGGGGCTTGTCGGAAGGACGGACGGGAGGGTCGATGTTGTCGATGGCCTCGAGGAGGGTCTTTCCGGACTTGACACCAGCCTTGGTCTCCTTGGTCCATCCCTTGAACCAACCCATGTTGACGGACTCCTCCAACATGTTGTCTCCGTGCCATCCGGAGATGGGGACGAAGGGAACGGACTTGGGGTTGAAACCGATCTTCTTGATGAAGGAGGAAACTTCCTTGACGATTTCGTTGTAACGGGCCTCGGACCACTTGGTGGTGTCCATCTTGTTGATGGCAACGATCAACTGGCGGACACCGAGGGTGAAGGCAAGAAGAGCGTGCTCACGGGTCTGACCATCCTTGGAGATACCAGCTTCGAACTCACCGGTACCGGCAGCAATGATGAGGACACCGCAATCGGCCTGGGAGGTACCAGTGATCATGTTCTTGATGAAATCACGATGACCGGGGGCATCAATGACGGTGACCATGAACTTGGGGGTCTCGAACTTCCAGAGAGCAATATCGATGGTGATACCACGTTCACGCTCGGCCTTGAGCTTGTCAAGAACCCAGGCGTACTTGAAGGAACCCTTACCGAGTTCAGCGGCTTCCTTCTCGAACTTCTCGATGGTACGCTTGTCAATACCTCCGCACTTGTAGATCAAGTGACCGGTGGTGGTGGACTTGCCCTGAAGAAATGGAAGATGTTTTAGAAATTTGTCTTTCGTTTTTGTAAATCAGGACAAAAGATTGCCAAGCCAACTCTTTTTTTTTCCTTTGGATGTATAAAAAGGCTATGTATATACTTACGGAATCGACGTGGCCAATAACGACGACGTTAACGTGAGTCTTTTCCTTACCCATTTCTATAATGGATGATTGGATGAGTTAAAGAACATTGAAATCGGATTGAATCGAATTGAATTGAATCGAATTTATTCGATTTTGTTTGATTTGGTTTGTATTGCATTGCATTGTATTGCGTTGTGTTGTATACTAGACTAGAGTTATCAAGTGTGGCACAGATGGCTATCCTTTTTCTTTTACTCCATGCAATATGGGAAAAAATCTTATTAAAAAAATCTTACCTGTGAAGTTTAAAAGATAAACAAAAGGAATAATCAATTGAGAGGATAGTTTAATTTTTTCTACTTTCCTGTGAACGGGCCAAGCCACTGATACGCGCAAGTCACACAATCTGAGCCTAGAAAAAAAAAGTGAACTGTTGTACGAACTCCGTTTCAGGAACCTTGACCGGGCTCATGGGATGTGAGAAGAATATATATATAATTTTCAATCTTGTGTGCATTTAACTTCTCCACTCCCACTTTGAGCCATCAGGGCTTTACACCGATGGCTGATTGGGGAAAGATTGAACATGCGGTTTGTTACATGTGACGGGGTGTACAACCAGATTGTCTAAAAAGCAAAGTAATAAGCTTGATTGCATTTAGTATAATTTTCTTCTTCTTCTTCTTTTTCTCTTTCTTTTCTCTACATTCATGTTTGATCCGGGATAATAGATAGTCTATTAATCTCAACTACAAATACCTTTAGCCACAAGTAATTGATCTCCAAGGCAGCATCTAAAGACAAATCTGCATTGACGATAGTTTTTAACAAAGGACCCCATTATTTTGTCTAAATTTAATTATCCAAATTTATTTATCATTTTGTCTGCTATTCAGGTAAGAAACCGGATTTCACCGATTCTGTTATCATTTTGCGATAATAAACCACCGAGATCTTCTTTTGTTGCTATAGATCTCCAGATAATAAGATAACAGATATATAAGAAAGATATGCACAATCGAGCCTGCAGTCTATCGCAAGGAATCTTTATCCACCCTCCCACTTACATCGAATACAAAGGAAAACGCTTCTTGATTGTTGATACGCCCAGTGCTCTCAGTCTTCCTCTTTATATCAAAGTACAATCCAATTTATTTTAGTTTTGATAGAAGCCAAGAGAATTAAAATACCCTTTTTCCATATTAGGAGTTTGAACGATGGCATGTTACAGACGTAGTACGGTGTTGCGAGGCCACCTATTCTCAGCAAGTGTTGAAGGATCGAGGGATTCAGGTCCATGATTGGGTATTTACTGACGGAGAAGCCCCGTCGAACAAGATAGTAGAAGGCTGGTTAAATCTAGTCGAGCAGCGTTTCGGAACACCTCAAGAGGTTGATTTCGAAAAGAAGACACCAGATGATGATTATCAGCTGCCTTGTATTGCTGCCCATTGCGTAGCAGGATTGGGAAGGTCAGTTTCAACCCTCGCACCCTCACACCCACTCACGCACACGCACACGCACACGCACACGCACACGCACACATACACATGTTTGTCTGTGTGTCTGTGCTTGTGTATGTATTCCTTTTTGTACGTACCACAATAACTGACGAACATATTCAGGGCCCCTGTTCTGATAGCCATCGCTCTGATGGAAGAAGGCATGTCACCACTTGACTCTGTAGCTTATATCCGCGAGCGTAGAAGAGGCGCTATTAATAATAAGCAAATCAAGTATATTGAAGGCTACAGACCACGATCAAAAACCCAGTGTACTTTTATGTAATATAGACAGCATATCTCCCTATTCTTATTCTTATTATTATCATTACTATTACTATTACTATTACTATTACTATTACTACTATTATTGCCTTTTTTTTGGGGGGTTTATTTGTACTTGTTTTACTATTAGGGTTATACTGTATCATTGAATTACATATCTTTATAAGAACCCTAGAAAAAGACAATTGATTCTAAAGTATAAAACATATTGACTAGACAAAGTATGAGATGTATAGGTTATTTAATGATGAAATAGAATATGAAAGAAATAAGTGAATGAATGATAAAAGAAAAGATGAAAAATCAAATTGGATTTAGAGTATATTGTATTGTATTGTATTGCATTGCATTATATTATATTATATTATCTTTTTTTGTCTCGTAAAGAAGTTCAAAAATATCTGTGGACTCTTTGAATGAAGTTCTGTTTCTCTTCTTCTTCCTCTTTGTCTTTATCTTTTCTTCTTTTAATAACATGGCCTTGTAAATTAGAAAGGAGGGGCGGTAGAAGGAGTTAAGAAAGGAGAACAAGAGGGGAAGTAGGAGTAGGAGAAAGTAAAAGTAAATTCAAAAATAAAATAAAATAAAATAAAATAGATAAATAGATAGATAGATAGATAGATAAATAAATAATATATAGATAGATGGCACAAATGTGAGCTCCATCTGTATACCAAGCGATGTTACTTTCTTCTTATTTTTCTTTAAAAAACAGAAGCAACTACTACTACACCAACTGCAGCTGCAACTACGGTTAACTCCTTACAGAGACGGAAGATCGAACTTGCGCCTGATGTAGCAGATCCGTTGAGAGAAGGCTTTGCTGAGCTATAGATTGAAGGATCTGATGTACAAAATTTAGTAAAATTAAATAAATATTAAAGAAAGAAAACTCACTGCTTGGATGGAGCGAAGTGTGAACACCACTGCTGGCAGCTGGCCAGATTGAGGATGGCCAGACAGATGCTGATGCAGACGGGGAGGCAAGGCTAGAAGAAATGGCATGGCTAGCGCTCACGGCTGAAGAATAGGACGAAGGAATAATTGATGATCCTGTTAGAGACGCACTAGACTGTGCCGATATAGAATTAGACGCTGAAGATGGCTGGGAAGATCTCGAGAGAGCGGAGACAGTGGTGGGCGAGAGGGTAGAGATTGCTAGACTGGACTGTGCTTCTGACTTTTGTACGGTGGCAGAGGCTGCAGAAGGCGTATAACTGGGATCTCCGTTTGGCCAATGATTAGATATGCAGCTAGAATAGCAGGCGTTGTCTCTGCATCCAGCCATGCAACTTTGGGTTGTTCCGACTTTTAAAGAGTGGTTAATTATAAATTTAATAGACTCTTAATTTCCTATCAAAAAAAATTTGACATTAGACTTACCACACTCGCCTAGACATGAATGATCATTAGGGTCGCAAGCACATTGGGCATTGATCTGAGTAGTGAATGCAAATAAGCCAAAGAGAGTAGCCCAACCCAAGTTCTTCATTGTTTTTTTTTTTTTTTTGAAAAAAAAGTATCGCTGATAAGAACAAAGAGAGTATATTCTATACAAAGTATCTGTACTAAGCTTATATAAAAGAGCCCTTCTTTTTACGCCCCCCCTCTTTCGTGTCCCCTCGTCCTGTAGTAATCATATATACATATATATATATTGATAAGCTCCTGGCTTGATATTTCCTCATTCTGAACTTGTTCTTGCTTAGACTGTCTCCTTGATGAAGATCGGCTGTTAAGCCAATGTATTATTCTGTCTTTTGTTTTATTTTATTTCCTTTTACTCCTTGCATTAACAAGGGAACGAGATGACTACAAGTCAAAGGTAAAAAAAAAGAAGAAGAAGAAGGAAATCCTTGTATATAGATCTATATACTTTTGCCACCTAGGTAATGATTTCTCACACCAGCATTATACAACGTGAGGCTAATGACATTGCAGATCTCCCTATCCACTCTACACCACTGATATCATGCAGTATATCAAAGCTCATTCAATTACATATAAATATAAATATAAATATATATTTCAACAAGATAATAATAACAGATCTTAAAGTCTCCTTGGTCAGTTTGATATTTTACTCAAAAGTCAACCTTTGACAACAGTGATCTACATTGACACCAAAAAAAAAGAAAGAAAGTGTAAACACTTCTTGTACTCACCAAGCGGTAGTCCAATACATATTTCTGGACGAGAGTTCAATTGTCAGTCACCATTGTGTTCCCAATAGATGGTACACGCTTACATTCCTCTCTCTCTCTCTCTCTCTTTCTCTCTCTTTCTCTCTCCCTTTGTTTCTATGTCTCACACACACCAAAATAACATAAATACACCTCACTTTGTGTATCTGTGTGTGTGTAAAAGAAAAAATCGCACACCTTTTTGCTCTCTTTCGCTATTTCTTTCTTTTCTTTCTTGTCTTTCCTTTATTTTCTTTGGCCCATTAAAGTAAATCACTCATTTGTAAGCTACCTTTTAGAGAAAGAATAAAGGTAAAAATATATTAAAACAATTATATAATTTAAAGATTGAATGATATATATATATGACTTTTTTTGGATCGAACCAAAATCACACACACAAAAACAAACATTGAATAAGAATAAGGGTGACTTTGGCATGATCCCATTCGTATATATTTGTACATAGCATGGTCGATCTTCTTTCAAATTCTGTTTTTACAAGTGTCTTACTTGTCACAGGTGGTTGTACTATTGCACTACAGGCAGGTAACCTAAATAATAATAATAAGAAGAAAATACACAGACTGGTTACAAGTACTGATTTACTTTTATTTAATTTTATTTAATTTAATTTGATTTGATTTGATTTGACTTGTACTGTATCTGTGGCAGGATGTAATGGAACATTGAATCGATATATCGGCAGATCTGCGTCTTCTGTCTGGTCTTTTACAACAGGTGTATTGGGGTGTCTTGTATTTTTTGCCATTGATGTTACTCGGCTTGGGACTCCTTTACCTTCCGAGAGTCTCAGAGGTAACTAAGGACGATTCATTTTTTATGATCTTTCCAATTGATCCACCCATAAATTCTTTCTGACTTTATATATATATAGGTGCACCTGGCTATGCTTGGATTGGTAACAAAACAGAAAAAAGAAAAAAGAAAAAAAGATCAAATTTATTGATCGATGTACAATTTCTTGACCTAATTTTCTGAAATTGAACAATTTATAATACATATATATTTATAGGTGGAATTCTAGGTGCCTATTACGTGATTACCAATATATTGACTGTACGACGACTTGGTGCTGCCACAACATTAAGTATTTTTGTCTGCTCTCTGGTGAGAACGAAAATAAAAGCCATAGATGAGATTACTATAATAAGGACATTATATAATAAGATGACATGCTTTATTTTACTAGGTTATCATGGCATGTATAATAGATAACTGGGGACTCTTGGGTGTAGAAGTAAGAAAGTATTCCATTGCTCGAATATTTGCTTCACTTGGTTTGGTATTATTTGTAGCGATAATTACTCGCTTTTGAAGACCACAGCAGAAAATGAAAAAGAAAAGTAATAGAAAACAAAGAGGTTCGCTGTATTAAAGGATGTGTATCAAATTTAGATTAAATTTATATAATTTATACACATTTATACATATACCACATACATATACCACATATCTATCTATGTATATATATGTATTTAAGATAAGCATCCCCACTAAGTAAAATATTCTTTGATTGGTGATTCGTTATACATATATCTTTATATCGTACTACAGTTGCAATCTTGATATAGCCAAGAAATACCCATAGTTGGAAATTTCAGACTATGGTAAACGAACTAAGGGGCGGATGGTTGGACACCATTTTCATAAATAAAATTTTAAACCACCACAAAACAATTAAATATTTCTCGTTATAATTGACAGGCGAAAGCACAAATAATAAATAGCATATCTCTCACAAACTCCTCTTCTTATTTATTTCATTTAGTCATCTCTTTTCAACATTCAAACAAGTCTTTATTTATTTGTTTATTTCTTCTTCTTCTTTTACCAAAATGGACGAATCACCCACAGATTACAATCAAGAAAGCCAATTTAACTTTCACCATTTCAATCAAGAGTACGATTTTGGAATTGTAAACACCAATGGCGAACGTATTCGTAAACGTAAATCACCCGGACGCAAACCAAATCCACCTTCAATCTCGGAACGAAAGGCTCAGAACAGGGCATCGCAAAAGGCATTCAGAGAGAGAGAGCAACAACGTCGTCAAGAACAAGAAAATATGAAGAACATGTACCTAGAAGAGATAGCGCGGCTGAACAAGCGAGTAGAGTTACTGGAGTATGAGTCAAACTATCTTAGAGGGTGGGTTCTGCAGTACACATTGTCAAGTATTATGGAAAGAGGCACGGTAGCAGATATCTGGACATCATCTCGAGAGTTTTTAGAAACAGAAACTCGGCCAGACAAGGGAGATGAGTCAAAAAAACTCCCTTTTGCGATAAACTCGCTATTAAAAGATAATCGAGTGATTGGGTTAAAGAATGCCATCATTACTCGGTCGCCAGGATATTGGAAAGGCAATGAACCAAGTGAGGCAGGAAACATGATGTTTAGACCTGAGACACGTTTGGATCCAGACATGGCAAATATCAACCGACTAGGAGCCAAACTTGCTTCTCCTGATAATAGTTCTCAAGATCTGACAGAACCAGGAAAAACCTGTACATTAAAGCCTGCCATTGGCACAATAACATCACCACCAACACGTAAAACTGCCGCCGATCTAGCCCATATGCCACCAATACAGGCTCTACAGATCATTAGACTTCAAATGAAATGTGGGAATCTTTGGGGAGATAAATTGAAGCACGCTCTGATTCCAAGTGAGTTTGAACGACCATATATATATTGATAGTTGCAATGGGACTCTTTATTTATTTTTTGGCTTCTTTTACTAATGTGCACCACTAGCTGAGCTGCAAAGAACAATTCCCCATGATGCTAGAATAGATTTTCTCACTGGAAGCAGTACTCGAGATAGATTGATCATCTTCCAGGACTACTATGACACGGACGAATGCTTCGAGTTTTACTCGAAATGGTCTATGTTTAATGGTGGAAATAAGTACGATACTCGAAACTGGGCTGTAACTGGCGGTTTCCCTGAGAGATATTGGTTTTTGTCGCACGAAGTGATTGAAGATTACTTTTTAGAACGTCACTGGAAAGTCACACAAGACCTAATGCTGATCCCATCATCACACGAACAAGTACCTCAAAATAGAGAAAAAAACGAAGAAGAATGCGAGTTGCTGGCCAACCCCAAACCATACTAAGTCTTCAAAAGAAATAGAAAACCGAAACATGTTACCCCAGATAAAGATAAAGATACAGACAGTCATAGGAATCATAAAAAAAGTAACCATACTCATAAAACGTTATACGTTATAATTAAAGAAGCTCTCCCATAATATCCAACACCATATATTACCATCATTCGATCATTTACTGTTACACGCCATAGACAATAGATTTTTTTTTTCTCTTTTAACATAAAATTTTACACACAAATATTTAAATGCATGATAAATAATAAATAATAATAAAAAAAAACAATAATAGTAGTAATAAAGCCTGTGAGAAAATATACCTTGTATTGCTTGACACATACATACACTCACACATGTTCTTTAGATTTCTATTTTTGGAATTTCTCGTCAATTAATGGAAAGTTTTACAGAAATACAAGAGTAACAAAATCTATGAAGCAATATTAAAAATACTATATCTGCTGATACCTTTATACTAAAGAATCATCTTTATATATATATATATATATTCATTCTTTTCTTTTCGTATAGTTTATTAAATGTCGAGAGCCACTGAGACAAAAACAAGTAAAAAAAAAGGTAAACAGTGGATATAAAGAAACGCTTTTGTCTTCTTCTATACGTTTAATATTTAAAGTAGCTAGATTGGAGATGATATTAGTGCCAAAGGAATTATCGTTAAAAATACGATTTTACAACCTATAGTAACGAAAGTATATATATATGTGTGTGTACTAACAGTGATGTTGTTATTTTTTTTTGGCTTGGAGTTTTAATGAGTATGGAAGGCCTTTGGAACTTTTGAGGTATTCAAATTAAAGTGTCTAAGGATCGGCCAGAAATCGATCGGATATTCGTTGCCATACTGGTCGTTTGGTGAGACATTCCCAAAAGAGGTATTGTCCATCTCCTTTGAACTGTCACAAATGGTACAAGTCTTATACTATTCATATATCAAATAACCCGGTCAAAGAGGCGCTATCGGCTAAGTATCTTTGAGCACATAAGCCTCCGAATGGCTGTCAAGACTTTGAGTGTCAAACTGAAGTTTCAAGCCCTACGCCACTCTTTTGGTCAATCTTGAGAGAATTATGGTGTAAAAGGTCAGGGGCGGAGGATATTCGGGTAAACAGATAACCAATGTTTTTTTTTGTCACTAGCTAGTTTAGCAGGCATGAGTTTTATCCCCTATACAGGGCAACACCGACAAAAAACCAGATTATGGTTATTATTATTATTATTATTTGGGAGGTGGTGGGAAGAACATAGAAAACTATTATGCTAAAATGTGGGCTTTTCTGCTGATGAGGTCAGTTGGTAAGAGCAAGTAAGCATATGAGTTATTTAGCTACATGTTTCCATTATTCAGGAGATTAAATGCTGTGCGGATTGTTACTCTGGGCTTATTGATATTCATAGTATCAAGACTTACATAAAGATTCAATACTAGAATCACCATTAGACATCCTAGAATCGCAATATTTTCTTAAAAGATATACAAATGTAAGTAAATCTTGTATTAGCTCTAGTGAGGCAATGCCTAGAAGCTCATCTTTTGCTTATTGTAACTACACTTAACATGAAACATTTTAAGCCATGAGACAGGATGACTGGATTTAAGGTTAATATCAAAGGAAGAGATTTATTACAGTGTCACTGTGTTGCCGGAGTTAACAAGCTAGTATATATCCCGCAAAGCTTCGACGTGTAGAAGAGTTCAGAATAGCAAAGGATTTACCGTGTCTGTAAAAGAAAGCGTTGCATCTTTGGCTCAAGTATTTCGAGATATTATTTGTGTACTAAAGTATTCGCAGAAGTTGATTTTCAGATGACGTTTAATAAATACACCTGTCATTTAAAGGCTGTCTTGGAGTTTTTAACTGTTTTTTCTTCTTTCTCGTCATTTAAAGCGAATAATAGTATATAGCAATGGGCAGAAAATTTCCCGAACATTATACTCCATATAAAGCTGCCAATCTTGAAACGATTTGATTTGAATTTGCGATGTTTTATATAGGAAATAATGTAATTGTTCATAGAAATAAATTAAGAAGTAGGGACACAGCTGTAAAAATTACAATGTAAAAAAAACTCTTCTTTAATAAAACTGTCTTTTGTACCCATATATCTTTTCTTGTCACTAAGTTGAACATTTACACCCACTTAGTAATTAAATCCATTTATGTTTGTTTATAAATAACTCAGTTTTTGGCTCCAATATATCCACCTTTTTTTGCATTTACTGACTTGGCTAACATGAGGGAATATACGTATCGGTAAAAAAGATGACTACGCTAATATACAAGAAAACGAAGTACATTGAAAAAGATAACGGAAAAACTAAATAACCACCTCCAATACACTGGGTGTGCTCTATTACTTGAATAGAGATTTATGGGATAAAATCGTCCAAGAAACCCATATAATCAAAATAATTAACTCATGAGCTCTCCAGATTGTCTGTACAGTGGCGGAATTAGCAAGTATCTGGAGATTCAGAGAGTGAAGGCAGAAAAAAAATGATACCTAGCGATGTGTAGTTGTGCTCAAATAACTCGGGGTATCTAACATTCGGAAAGTTTCTTAATAGTTCGATTGGTTGAACAAGTGTAATTTTCAACAGCGGTTAAACAATAATCTCAAATATATTTACATGCTAGCAAGCCTGAACATCGTGAGCTCATTAAAGTGAATTATCAGCCATTGACTGGAACCTTTAACTATCAGTGCAATTTGACAAAAGCATTGTCCTCGGAATTCATGAGCTACGATCTCGATTTTAATGATCGGTATTATATAAACCTTACAAAAAAAACATCCCCAGCCTTATAATATGATGATATATGCAAATGAATATAATTCCTTTATTGAACTCACAATCATACTTACAATTCAGTATTGTCTAAAATACCTTATAGGCGTGGGATTATATATTTAAAAGTTAAACCTATGTCTTTAGTGAACACGCTTATAATAACTTGGCTTTTTCCTGTGCTCAATGGTTTGATATTTGCCAAATATGCTATTGAAATTCAATAATGGTATCAGTAATAGTGAACTATCGAGTACATAAAATTAGATCCTTTATTTTCATGCATAACATGCGACCCAAATTGACTAGTCCACTTGCTGTTGGGAAAATGACATTCCAACAGGTGGAAATTTGCGGGCCATATGTAGCCATTTTAAAAATCAGCAACTCGAATATTAAGACAGCATTTGGTTATTGCCAAGTGAAAGCAAAGTAAAAGGATGAGAGCAAATATACTCTGTATATTGATACCTTTCACCTGGAAGTCTCCAGTGATAACATTAATAAATACAATCAAGTTGAATAAGTCGAATGACCTTCGCTTTACAATATTGCGGTAAAACTTAAAAACAAAAACCAGGGACATATCCTTTTTTTTTTAAATAATTTCCTCTAATATTAAAAAAGCACTTTATAACACGGGGATAAGGTAAAGGTGTCAAGTAATATTAGATAAGTTATTTGAAAGTATTAATTGATTCATTTCTAATATCGAGCTTTACGATCGAGCTCTTGTTTTGGCCGTGAGAGTTCTTGACCGTTGCTGCTTGGAATTAACAATATATTTTGGTGTTTGTCCAGAGATTCTGATAATTGTACGCCATAGATAATAATTCTCACCTTGGAACAGTGGTTTTATTTTTGTTTTCTCTATTAACTTTTTGCTAAAATACATATTTTTATTATCCTTCCATTCCACAACTTTTTATTTTTGATCTTTTTATTTTAAAAAAAAAATAGTAGTAATTGAGAGATATTCAGGAAGAAATTCTAAACTTTAACTTTTCCAATGTAAAAAAAGTATGGGCGACACAGCGATTATATAAGAAGAATATGTTTACTCATTTAATTACGAAAAAAAAATCAAGGTAGTATGTCTCCTTCCGGCCAAAGAACAGTGGAAGTGGTTGTAATTTTCTGGAAAATACAAATAAAAGATCTGTATGATGGCCACTCGGTCTTTATTTCACCGAATATGCCACTGCATAATTTTAATTTTTCTGTCTTCGAATTAGAGACATGTCAAAGATTTAGAAGAGTAACTCTCTACTGTATTTAGCGATCAAATATTTAGTATTAAAATCTCTACTATCTTTACAACATAAAGAGATAGAAAGGTCAATGCTAAGTTCAACCTAAGCTTATTAAATTTAGTGAGCAATACACTTTGCTTAATAATATTATTTTAACAGCTATGGAATCTAAAATCACTCCAAAGATGATACACAGATTTAACCAAATTTACCTGTCTGTCATTCCTAGTCCTTTTGGAGCATTCGGATTGGTGTGTAAGATTTACATAATCCTTTGTATCCTGAGACAGCTTTATATTCAATAGCTTTTTCTAAAATATGGTTACAACAACAAGAAAACTTATATATACTTGGTCTATGTTTTCAGTTGCATGATTGTCGTTAACATCTGACTTGTACATATCCAGATTCAATGATTAAAAATAACGATACGCAAAGCTAAAAATAAAACAAAATAATAACAATAATAATTAAAGTGTACAAATAATATATGTAGATGTAGCACAATCTCTTGAAGCGACACACACCAAAGTCATACTGACTGCAAGAATTACTTACAGCCTGTAGATCAGCAATCTTACGGGGACGACGTTTCTATCTAACCGGACTAATTAATTGTGACCACCTACCCGAGGTCCGGTGTCTTTCTCTAATCCTTCAGGCCAAAATGACGTGTCCTAAAAAAAACATAGTATATTCATTGTACGCATTAGCTTTACTACTTTGTCCCCACACTTTGTGTTTATCTATCTCTCCCCAGAAACCTACCTCTCTTTCTTTTAGAAAGTACGATCCGTTTCTGACCAATTTAGTAATAAAATGATGTCTCATCCAAGGAAAAATCCTGTATATTCAATTAATAGCTGTTTATGCCTTAGATTTAGACTTGACAATAAATATATAATAATTGGTCACAGACACACTATCTCAATAGCCAGTTCCGCAGAAGATTATAAGAAGTTGTTGTCATTAGAGTGTGACGCAATCTTTTTGAATCCTTTACCATTTATTGGCCTTCTTACGCGTATGATGCTTTTCTCTTTCTTTCACATACTTATATTACCAGAAAGAGGCCCAAGGTCTGTCATTGAAAAAAAAAGAGAGAAAGGCAAATACATTCGCCCTTTCCTCCAAAGGTATTGATTCATGCCATGCCGTTCCAGGCAAAAATCGTACCAAAATGGGCGCAGCTGGTAAGTAATCCCCATCTACTCTTTTTATTTTTAAAGTAATAAAGAAAACCTTGATATGAATATTCTATATCCTGGCTTGTATTAATTATAATAATAATAATTGATCCTTAGGGACCAGATGTGGTCCAGTAGAATCAAAATGTCGTGTCCCACCAGAAAATGCCGTCTCCTTAGAATTAGCGTTTTTTTCAGTTTCGCTCAGGCTTCGTTTACGTGACTAAAGTAAATTTCTCCATTTTTTCAAAGCCGGTACGTCCCGGAGCAGGTATTATGTCAAAAGGCATACTTAACAATCCTAAAATAATCAACATCATCTACTCTACCAAACGTACATAATGATTAGATAGCAGGGAATTCTGAGTGGGACAACGACATGCGCTCAAATGCTGTCCTGGAAGCAAAGTCATAGGTATTGGATTGTGTCCAAGAGAATACTCATAGCACGCCTTTGGATCCATTTTTCGTTCTTGATTTATTTCTGACCAGCCGCGCTATGATGATAGATGATACACTCTATCCAGATTATCCAACAATTTAATGTTTATATACCTTGGCGTTACAAACGCTTCAAAATCAGTTTGGAGATCAACATATTGCTAATATTTTAGTGCAAGTACTAGAGGTCCAAGAAAACGAAAATAACAGAATATTGGGACCTATGTATAAAAAGTTATAAATAATTAAAATTGATGATCAAAGCCATCAAGAATTTGGAATTCAAAACTTTGCAATAAAAAGGAAGTAAAATGATATTAATGTCGATTATCGAAAATATCAGCTTTATGCCAGAATCAGTCACTTCATAGGGACGAAGCATCATGTTGGTTGATAACTATAATCAAGCTAGAATTCAAAAAGGGGTCTTAAACGTATGGGTTGGTCAGAGTGTTATTCGAAAGGTGTTGAATTAAAACCGTTTAAATAGAAAAGTACGGATGTTCTTTGTGATCAATTCAATAAGTGCATAGAACAAAAAGAAAATTAAAGGCGCCTATTAATGTACGAAAAAGAAGGATTTTTATTTCAATTTAGCTTGTAAATAAAGAAAAGCATCGATAATTCATCGATTTTACTATTTTTTTCTGGACCATTTGAATTTTCCATGGATTGACAATACTTCTTTACTGCCTACACTTGAAGCTATACCATGTCTTTACAGATTGTAACCCAGAAATTCATAGGCACCATATCATTACCCCCCTTATTATGTTTTTTTTTCTATTATTATTTTTGATGGTATATATATATATATCCTCCATCAGATAAATACGAGTTAACAAAACGGCATTTACGAGTATGCGGACCTCTCTGTGTCTGTTTGTCCAGAGGATTTGCCCCAAAAGATTAGGATACGATTATCAAAAGGGTAAAATTGCGTGCCGAGCTACATTTACAATTTGATTACACAATGAAAGATACTCTCTATAACTCTATAAGCTCTCTTATATGAAGAGGTTAATGTATACATTTTTATCAAGTGCACTATCGAACTGTTTTTTTTTGAAGGATATGTCTGTTTCTCTATTCTAAGCTGATTAATCATTTAAACACAGATACAACATGACTGTTACTTCTGGTAAAGGGTAAAAGGTAAAGTTATAAGGTATTTATTGTTGTAAGAAGCAGTGTACTTAAAATATACAAATAAGGGATCAGTATGCTTAAAATACATTGTTGGTACAAAATATGTCACCTCATACAAATATAATTACACTTGTCCTGCAATCGTATCGGATAAATCTTTCTCCTCTTTTTATTTTTTAATTTATTTTCACTCATACAGAAATGTGTCACCTAAGGCTCAGAAGAGCTGTAGCCACCAAAAATAAGTCCTTGGCTGCAATATACCTCTCAAAAATAAATATACACAAAAAAAGCTAAAACTGAAACAAATGAGCATCAGAATAACCTCCACAAAATGCAACCACATCTGCCACAGAAGCCCAAGAATACACAGCAGCAAAACCTTGTAGACGTCTCTTTTGTTGTTATTATTAGTAGCAAGTACCACATCTGCTAATTTATCATATGTGGCTACATATTAAAACACAACAAAGAAGAAGGGAAACATATAATTTTTTAAAAAAAGGTATAAAAGACCAACAAGTTGGCAGTTCTTCCCTTTTTTTTCATCATCACATTCGCTCTATTAATCTTTTCTTTAACCAAGCAAATCCAAAAGAAAAATGCAATTCTCTGCTCTTGTTTCCTTTGTCTCTGCCATCTTTGCCCTGGCTATTTTTACCGCAGTTGAGGCCGCTCCTGCCAGCACCAAGGTCAGCGCTGCCTGTCTTGGCTTCCGTATTACCTCCCCTGTGGCATCTGGCTTGAAATGGACCTATGGTCAGTGCTACTCTGTCGATTGGGACCTCGGTGCCAGCCAAGTCAAGACCATCAAGTCAGTCGATCTCTATAGCTCTTCCACCAAGAAGAAGATTGCTACCGAAAAGAGCAACGTTGCTGGAACTGCCGGTACCTCTGGAAATTTCCCCTTGTTGATGGGTGACGATCTCGAGTCCGGAAACTATTACTTCCAGGTTAATGCTGTGACCGCCAGTGGCGCTACCTGCACCTTGAGCACCGTTGCATTCAACGTCAATGTGAACCCTAACTCCCCACCTGTCACTCATTGTTAAAGTCTGCTTGTGCGTGTGTACTACATATTTACTATTATATCCCATCAATAAACCTTATTCTTAATTCTGAGAACACTGTTAATATTCATGCATTGCACAGATATTCCAATAGTCTCTCTATACTTTTATATATATATAATATAAAAATTAAAGCCTCGTAACTATGATGATGTTACAAATACACTAGCTATATATTTAAAAGTGCACTAAATAGGATGCAAACTCATACTAGACCGTATATGTTTATTTTATCACTGAAAAGAATAATAATAATTTAATTCCTATTTTCATATATCTATTACAATGAAATTCAATGCAATGTCATAATTCAAACCATATAACCATCAAATAATTTACTAAGAAGGAATGTTGAATATTATCAAAGAACAAAGACGACAAAGAAAATAATGGCTCATTAAACAAGTTTGTTGTGTGTATTTTTCTTTTTGTCTTATTCTTATTATGAAAGGAGAATTAACAGCAAATAATAATAGTAATAGTATATACATGTGTACAATCTTGTTTCTCTCTGGTCATTCTTCTTTGGAGATGGAGAAGCGGTCGCAACTTTTGCGCATTCCTGACCAGCAAGAAGCTCGATTACAGGCTTGCTCTGCCTGTAAAAAATAAAAAAAAATAAAAAAAAATCCCTTCATTCTAATCACCACACATCGAGTCTATAATGTTATATGCGCAAAGACAGATTTTTTCTTGTCAATAGTGTAAACATCCCACATCAAAAGGACACGACACGTACAGACGAAAAATGCGTGCTGGATGTTATTTTACAGTATATATATATAAGAAAAGGGATCTACTTTCTACCGTGAGATTGGTTTTCCTGCCATGACATCGACCATTTCTTGGTAGTTGAGTGTTTCATATTCTATCAATGCAGCCGCCAAACGGTCGAGTTCGACCTTGTGAGTGTTTAGGACGTCTTTTGCTCTATCTTCTGACTGTTGGATAAGACTCTTAATCTCGTTTTCAATCAATTGCTTAGTTTGGGAACTCAAGAGTTGCATGTCTTCATCATCAAAATTAACCGGTCCTACTTTCTCGCTCATTCCGTAGTGGCGTACCATTCGCTTAGCAACATCTGTTGCCTTTGCAATATCGCTATACGCTCCACTCGTCACATTATCAGTACCAAATAACATTTCTTCGGCTACACGTCCTCCCATGCACACATCAATCTGAGCAATGAACTCTTGTTTCGTAAAAGAATCCTGTTATATCGTCAATCATAAATCGTTATTACCAGAAAGAAGCACTCCGGTAGAACATATGAATTTACCTTGTCCATCTCGGGCAATTGGACTGTCATACCAAGTGCCGAACCGCGTGGCATAATTGTAGCCTTGTGAAGAGGCATTGCACCAGGGGTATAGTATGCTACTAATGCATGTCCACCCTCATGATATGCTGTCAATTTCTTACTCTCGTCTGTACTAATTGCCGACCGTCTTTCTGCACCCATTATAATCTTATCTTTCGAAAACTCCATGTGTTTAAGCGTGACCTTATTACAACCTTCTCGGCTTGCTTGAATGGCAGCTTGATTGACAAGATTAGCCAAATCAGCACCACTAAAACCGGGTGTGCCTCGAGCAATCACACTCAGATCCACATCACTTGACAGCTGAACATTCTGACTGTGTTGTTTCAATATCTCAACACGACCACGAACGTCTGGCAAAGGAACATTAACATGTCGATCGAATCTTCCAGGACGAGTGAGTGCCTTGTCCAACAGCTCAGGAAAATTGGTGGCTGCAATAAATATAACTCCCTCTGTTTGAGAAAAGCCGTCAAGGTCAACCAAAAGCTGATTGAGGGTTTGTTTCATATAAGATTGGTCTTTGGGATTTCGCTTGGATCCAATGGCATCAATTTCATCAATAAATACAATACTGGGGGCCTTCATCCTTGCGGCAGCTAAGTTGTACAGTACATATAGTAGAAAACATGTTTTTATAAATATAAGTAAATAGAATAAAAATAAAAATAAAAATCGTACTTTACCAAATAATTCACGGATACGTCTTGCTCCCACACCAACATAAACTTCGTCAAATTCACTTCCACTCATAAAGAAGAAAGGAACATTTGCCTCGCCAGCAACCGCTCTCGCCAACATGGTTTTTCCTGTTCCAGGAGGACCAGTCAACAAAACACCCTTTGGAAGCTTACCGCCCAGCTCAGAAAACTTTTGTGGATTCTTCAAAAATTGGACGATTTCCTCTAGTTCTTGCTTGGCTTCGTCTACACCCTGGACATCGTCGAATTTGACTGGTGTATGCATAGCAGCCTCATATTCTGTCTGAGGAGTGGGTGCCTTTAACATCCCCGAACTCTCGAGTGCCAGAGAAATGACGGTAAGGATGCAAAATGCATATGTAACAGTAACACCAACCCAACGCAGTGCACGCCAAATCATGTATCTTGGTGCTGTAGAATACACCGGGTGTATTTGTACATATATATTGATTTAATGGTGAGCTTGGATTTACTTGTATTTTTTTATTGGGTCCTTAAACAGAAATTACCTTCTTCAACTATGACATGAACTGGATTTCCCTTTGCACCGTTTCCTCCTCCAATCATACTTTCTGATATGTTTCGACTTCCTCCTCCTCGACCAGCCACCAGTTTCTGAAGAACCTCTTTGGGCAGACCACTGGATGTTCCTGATCCATAGTCAGGAACGTTTACCAAAAGAAAAATCGGACATCTTTTTTCTTTCTCTTTCTCTCTTTTATATCTTTTTCTTTACCTTCTGAGAATTGCCCTCCGCTCTCTTTTTCCAGCATTTGCATAATTCTTGGTAGGATAGACTCTGATCTTCCTGTTTGTGCCAGGGCTGCAATATAGCACTGCCATGATTCTTCATTATGTCTAAACCCTCCATGTTCAAAACGAGCAATCACAGCTTCAGGGTTCTTTGCTGCCAGCCATTCCTGCACATTCCGAAAATTTCAACCATTTGGTCGTTTATATATATATTTTTTTTTCTTTATTGGTTGTTTCGTTTTTTTTATATATTTTTCTTTAAAATAAAAGGATGGAAGGAAGGAAGGAATGGTATGTATATATGTGTGTATATATATATTAAAAAAAAATGTTGTACCTGCCTTGTAAAGCATCGATTGTCGCAGGGGTTCGTCTGGAAAATTATTGGCTTCTTGTTCCAATTTTGCTGTCTTTCGATTGGAGCGGAAGGGGCGGATAGAACGATCATTTCCGGTAAATAATGTACGTCGCTGAGCAATAGATTGTGCGTTTTTGAAAGGATGAAGGTTGTTTATTCCAACTCTGGTGGAGTCTAGTTTTCGATTCCAATCTAAAAACTTGAAATTTTGTGAGAAATATATTATGATTCAATTTGTCATTGGCAGGATTGTATTAAAACACCTACTGCTAGACGTTCGATCCGTTCAAATGTCTGTTTAGTGTGGGCCGAATGAATCTTTCTAAGCTGCTGTTGATGAAGTGAAGTGACAGGTGCTGTGTATGACGTAACTTTCAGGTGTCTTAGATAGTTTGAAGCTTCCGCTGTTATTGCCGCGAGCTAAAAAGTATGGTTTAATATATATATTAAAAGGTTAATCTTGTACTTGTTCTGTATTAAGAATCAATATTGACTAGAAAGTGTGCTTTACCTGCTGCGTAAACGAAAATGCCCCATTGATGCTCATTAGACTCACTCCAAGATATCCAGGGGTAAAAATAAGATAAAAAATAAAAAATAAACAGGGAAAATAGTAAGGAAAAAAAAAGGCTAGTATAAAAAAAAGAAAAAGGCAGCAAGAGAATTGACCACACAAAACTCAACCCTACGTCACCTTGATATTTCCAACCTTCACATTAGATCTCCGAGATAAAAAAAAAAGAAAAAAGAAAAAAGTATTAATTTTGCAGTGTCGTTTGGATGACATCGTTATGATTTCATACAAAAGGAAGAGAAATGAGTATAAAAGAGTTGCTTGAATTTAACTAATTCACTTTATTCAAAAAACATCAATTACAACCCTCTCTATTCCATCTAATAAAAATGTCATTCTCAAGAGTCTTCCAATCCCGTATCGTCGCTCGCCCCAGCCATCGTCTTTATTCCACTGTTCCTGAGCCCACAGCTGGTGGCAACAATGCTGGACTTGTACTTGGTGGTATTGCAGCAGCAGGTGTCGGTTATTATCTTTATAAGCAGCGCCAAGAAGGTAAGAGCGCGCTATATAGTAGCGGTATAATGTGCATCTAATGCAATATTAGATAATAAATATTAATTAAATATTAAAAAAAAAATTATTCTTATTATTCTTATTATTCCGTGTTCCCAATAGCTCAAAAGGGCACGATTGAAAAAAATGCCGAAAAGCTCGGAGTTCAGGCACAAGAAGCGTTTGACAAATCCAAGGAGAGATATTCTGATGCCAAATCCGAGGCCAACCTAAAGTACGAAGAGACCAAGGCACAGGGTGTTGCAAAGGCAGAAAATGCGGTTGATTCGGCTAAGCAGAGTGCTGCCAATGCAGCAGAATTGGCCAAACAAAAGGCACTCGATGTACAGGCCGCGGCGGGTGAAAAGGTCAAGGACGCAGGAGAGAGAATTAAGGATGCCACAAAATAATGATACATAGTAATATTATTCTTGTTCTTGTATAAAATAATACTTATTATAATAATAATGACAATAAAGAAATATCTGTAAATATCAAATGATTTAATTAATATCATTAATAATACTCCATTGGTCAATTGAAGCAATCAGCAAATGTTGTCTATGGTAATGAATACAGTCATATTGTTTTGGTAGAATGTAGATTGTAAAAAGTCGGGCTTAAGTATAAAATATGGCCACTGTTTTCGTGTAAGAGACGCGTTTTAGGTACACATTTTACGATAAGGCAATACATGTTATAGATAATTGTGTGCTGAGCCAGATGTACTAGTAACACGAATTGAGGTTTTTAAGCGTGAACAGTGTGCCGGATCTCGCACAAATTTGAATATATTCACAAGCCCTGATCCAGCGAGTGGGGAACTAATAATAATGAACACAGATCCTCGGTCTTCATTAGGTTACCACACACCAAGTATGTTGTTTAAATTTTGCCGATATGGATTGTACCATGAAGCTCGATTCTTTTCTATGCACACAACCCTCATTTAGATCTCAAAAAAGGATAATGGCTATGGAGATCTTGCCTTGCCAGAGGTTATTATAGAATGAGTGATACGCCCTTTAGGGATACAAGAGAAATAAAGTAAAAGGCACGTTTCTGTTATGTTCTGTTCTGTCAACGTCATCTGAACCTTTAATTCACTTTCTTATTTTTAAACTCTCGATCACAACCTTATTAAACAAGTCGTATATAAATCAAATTAATTCATCTTTAATTGTATCTGTCATCTCTTCAAAAAATTTTATATATTTCTTTAAGCGTCTCTTTTGGAATAATGGACAGATTACCCTATCCACTCCTTTTTGACATTATGCATTATCTCGACCCCTCTTCTCTTTTGACTATGGCCCAAACGAACAAATTCATGTCTATCCCTGCTCTTCAATCGCTGTGGAAAAAACCAACTCTTAGTTCTCATCATATGCTGTCCTTGTTTACATCTTCTCTTAACGCCTCTAGTACTTCTGTCAGGCCCTATTATCTATGGGTTACCGAATTAACCGTGTCTTTTTCTATCAATACAACATATGCCCTTTTGCCTGATACTTCCTATGTTATATTACCTGATACATTCTATGCCTCCCTACGTTTGATTCATCTCAACCGCCTTTCTCTTTGTCGTGTCCAGATAAATATGCACCCTCAGCCAGCCGTGATTGATGCTATTCGCCACCAGATGACTTTATTAGACAGTCTTGATTTATTTGATTGTTCGCCGTCTACCCCAACAGTGTTCCTGATGAAAGCAATCCAAACCAGCCTACCATTAACTAACCTCCGAGTATCGGAATGTTATCTTAGTGACTTTCATGTCCAACATTTTGCTGCCTACTGTCCAGAGCTACAGAATGTCCAACTCAGGAAGACTGGGTACCTGTCAGACAGTAGTATCACAGCTCTTGCTAGTAACTGTCCAAAACTCGAAGCCCTCGCCATTACCTTGCCCTCGAATATCGTACAATCCAACACGATCACTTTGGTAGCCATTAAGTCCCTGGCAGAACATTGCCCTCGTCTTAGACAGTTCATCTGTCCAGGACAAACACGAATTTCAGGACCACAAACCCAGGCTTTTATTGAACAACATTGCCCTTTGCTAAGAGATTATGATTTTTCTTTAACATTCTAAAACAAAACACAAATATGACAGCACAAAAAAAAACACAAACATACATACATACATACATACATACATACATACATACATACATACAAATTAACCTATGAAAATAAACCTTGGGCCGAGAAATAAATATGCACAAATATATATATATAGTATTAATATTTTTTTTTCTGTGTACACAATATTCTCTGGAGAATTTTTTAGACCTTTAATAAGTTAATGGTTTATTTCCCTTAATGGATATGACCAATGAAATAGTATGACCAATGGTTTAGATAAAATCTATAAACTGCTAGATAATAATGTGTATTTAATTGAAACATTATTGATTAAAATTGGAATCTATGCTTGATAACCAAAAGAGAAAAAAAGATTCTTTGTTTTATTTTATTTTGCTTTGCTTTGCTTTGCTTTTCTTTGCTTTTTCTTAAAGAAAAGAAGTCATTACTTCTTTAAAGGTGGTGGAATTTTGCACCTCCAAATAACAAAGGGTGGCTCTGAACCTTTGCCCTTGAATCCAGCAGTGGTTTGTTTTTGGGGCCGACAGTGACATGTGACATGTCTACCTGTTGTTCTAGGCCCATCTTCGAGAGAGATCAGCAGAGCACTCAAAGCATCCATTCCGCCCTGCAACAAGGCTACTCTAGCAAACTGCTTGTGGACCAGCTGAGATGCGTACTATAATACAAAAAGTATAAGTATATGAAAGAATAACCGTTGGCTCTAGAAATCTTACTTCAGGTCCACCACTGTCAGCTACAACAATGTGATATTTTCTATTCAGCTTTCTTAATACACCAGCATAGCTATCAAGTTGAGCAGCCTGTACATTCAAGGCCGATGGAAAGTGACCTCGAGCAAACCTAAAATACAATGCCAATAAAGATTAAATCCTTTCCTTCCTTTCCTTTCCTTCCTTTTTTTCTTTCTTTAAGAAAAGGGATCTAAACCAAATACTTACTCTTGGTCCGATCGAATGTCTAACAAAAGAGTGTAGGGAAGGAGTTTAGTAAGATCCTCAATATCTATCCGAGGAGCTAGTTCTTGCTTTTTTTCTTCAGTTGAAAGGGGTTCCTGCCACCAGGCTGGTTTTCTTGAAAACATTCCATTCGTATCACCAAACTCGCTGTCCAACAACTGCGTGTTGTCTTTTGGGCCATGGACGCGTCTCATAACACTAGGTGGTGTGACTTTGCACATGTTCATTGCACTCTGAACACATTTTTCAATATCAACCTTGGGAAAACTTTCGGAAAATATGGTGATACAGTCATTGAATTCACAAGAAAGGAGTGTATCGCGTATCTGGCGTAGAATTGCAATGCCAGCAAAAAGAGGCAAGGACGGTGGCCCAACCAATAACTTATCCCAGAGATGGTAAATCTTATCGAGTGGAAACACATCTAAGGTTTTGAATTAGTCAAATAAGTATAAAGGTAGATATGCTTACGAGTAAACAACGTAAGGAACCAAGGAATTGCGTAGAGTTCAGGGTTAAACCCAATGGTATCCAAATGACTGGACAGAGCTGGATCATGATAGCTCAATAAATGACGAAACACTGCAAGGTACTCTTGTAGTACAGGGGCATTGTCTGACAAGAAAAAGTTATTAAGGAACTTTGGAATGAATTCCTGAAGACACATGAAGGCAATCGCCTCGTCATTGAAATTGAGTGTCAAGAATGGAGCACAAAGCGAATCAAGGCCTAGAAGAACAAGAAAAACAACAACAAAATGACGCATATTTAGAAAAACAAAAAGTAAGTTCCTATTAAGCTTTTCAGTCTAAGCTTATTTTAAAACATAAAGAAAAATATATAATTACCTTGCCAGTACACCAATTTACGGTTTGCTGACACCCATGCCTTCAAAAGTCGTCTGAGCTTTTCATGTCCCACAGAAGACGCAAGCAATTGGTTGTACTGGTGACATCTTGGTACATCTATGTAGTAATTAAAGATCGATCAATATGTACAAATACATTCACTTATGAGAATATTACACCAAAAAAGAAAACAAACAGTAATAATAAGCTTACCGACTTCAATCTAAAATATATACACAAACACAAACACAAACACAAACACAAATACAAATACAAATGCATAAATAATTAGCTGTTATCATTATTGGTCTCAAATTTCTTGACGTCGTACCTGTCTGTCTGCACCAAGATCAGTGTATTTATCCACACTGTCATAATCATGCTCAAGGTCTCCGCTCAATCCCAACACAGCCGCCCACACCTTGCCGCGCAAAAGAGGGGGTATATCAACCTTTGCGTGGTGAAGAAGCTCTTTACGCGACATTGGGTACTGACGAAGAAGCTCTGAAAATAATGCTTGACGGTAGTATTGGTAGTTTACATCCTGTTCGCGTAAAAACAACGGTAGTTTTGGTGCACTTGGCTGAGTGGGGGTAAGTGGAGTAGGGCTAGTGACCGGCAAAGATGAGGCTGAGCCCGATCTACTCATACCAGACCAAGAGAAAGAACGGTTCGTAGAGCGGGAGGCTGAAGGAGTGGTCGGCAAAGGTGTAGACACAAATGCGCCTCCGTGGCCTGGTGTTTGCTGGACCAAATCCTCTGCATATAGAAAATAGTTTTCAGACAAAATATCATCTTTAGATTGCTTGGCTGGTTCCTCAGATGCCAAAAGAAAATTGACATCATTTTCATCAACCACCATAAAGTAGTCTGTATCCCACTCAAATCGATCGGTGTGTGTCTTGCGGCCTTCTTCTAATCGTTGGTAGAGCTCTTTGAAACCAAGAACGTACATCGTATCGGAGTACAACTGAGCCGTGTCATTGGTATTTGCGCCCACTTCTAGGTCATGAAGGGTACAAATCCGCGGCAATCGTTCGATGACAGGTGTCGAAAGAAAAACCCCTCTTTTGATCAAATCAAGCTCAACATCACCACCTGCCAATCTCCAGAGGTGGTAAATCTGGGAAATCGGCAACCCATCAAGCGCATCTTTTGGTGCCGGATTTGGAGAATCAAACGGGTCGTCTGGATCGAGACTATCGGATGCAAGCACAGGTCCACGTTTCCATGTCCCTGTAGGTTTGACAGCATCACTCAGGAACGCGAGGGACAATACTTGACTTGTGCTCGGTCGAGAGGCCACTGACACACGCAACAAGCAGAGTATAAAATTGCGAAATTCAGAGGAATCATTATCGGGACTATCGGTATCTTTGGTCTGCAAAAATCGTAGTACATCTTTATTGATATCCAGAGAATCGATGCCCTTGTAATTCCAGATATCATCCGACTCTTCGGCCCATTCGGAAAGCGTCATTAGTGAATCGAAAATGAGGCCGACATCTGAAGTCGTCCAAAATGAATTGTGCGTAAATTGCTCCACAAGAATAATTGCCACGGCCCAGCAATCTCTCTTTAATAATAGCAATAGTAATTAAACAGAAAATAAATAAAAAATTAATCAATCTAAAGTTCATTTGAACCCGTATGGTCGACTTTGTTCTATTATAGGAAAGACATCCACACAGATCGTTCACTTACTTTGTCATAGCCTTGTTTTCCCGTGGCCATGTCTGTCACACATTCTGGTGCAAGATAAGCGGGGTATCTGGGAGGCTCCATAACACTGAATAAACCCCTCTTCTTGGCTTATTTGCCCATGCAAGCTTACCCAACAGGAAATTCTACATCCACACCTTGTCCGGTCATGTAGAACAAGCCGAACCCCGATAGTTTGACTTGTTGCTTTATTTTTTTTAAAAAAAAGGTAATGATAATAGTGATAGTAATAATAGTTTAGTATGACAATATTTATACAATTAGATAGATAGGTATATTAAAAGGAAAGAAAAAAATAAAGAAAGTACATGGTTACCTTGGAATCCAACAATATATTGTGCGGTGAAAGAGAAGCATGTACAATCGTGTTTTGCTGCAAATAATCCAAGGCTGAGAATATCTCATATGCCCATTGTTTCAGTAAGCTAATACTATATTCAAATAACCAAGAGAAATAAAGAGGATTATATATACATATATATTTAGATACATTAATTAAAGCATAATTATTATAATAAATCATAGATAATCTATAGTCTTCTTTTACTTTGTCGTTAGACCGATATCACTTTCAATACTGCGTGCCTTTTGAAGAGACTGGTCAAAATGCTCAGACACGACAAATAAACGATCTGTTTGAAGCATTTGAGTATCTCATTCATCTCAATCTTTTAACTGTCTTCTTATTGTGTGTGTGTGTATGTGTGTGTGTGTGTGTGTAAATCCTACCATGCTTTCCTCGATGAATATCAACATATTCACACAGATTAGCATGCGTAAGGGTCTATTGAATTATAATGATTATAACATGAAATGAAAATTGAACATAATGTTTCAGACATTATTCTTTCTTTTTTTAAAAAAAAAATCAAACAGCGTTCATTAGAATGGCAGGCTTGCCTTTAAGAACTGAAATCTGCCAATGATTTGAGAAGGTGCTGAGACAGCCAAATGACCAGATTGTGCAAGGGCTTCTGAGGATCGCGCAGATGCTACAAAATTACAAGATGCAAGTTTCGGAATAGATCTATTCTTGTGGACCTGTAGGTCAATCGTATTGGCAAAGAGTGCCATTTATATTTATATTTATATATATAAAAGTATGTAATGTGAAAATTAAAGAAAAGACAGAGTATATGGAGTGTGTGTGTATGGGTGTGGGTATATACTCTAGACTAAATAAAAAGATTAGGTTGTAAAAGAAGCGTAAAAAGTAAGAGAGAGAGAGAGAGAGAGTTGAATACCCGCGCCTCTTTGCCTTCAAAGATGTTCACTATTGCAAATGTATAATTATTGATTTTATTTTATTTTGCTTTGCTTTGCTTTTCTTTTCTTTGCTTTATTTATTTGTTAACACTTATTTTTTTCATATATAAATATAAATATATGGGAGTGTATTTATATGTGGTTTATCTTTTCATAATGTTTTCTTCGTTAGATATATATTATTTTCATTTTTGCTCTTTTCCTCAACGTAAATCATCGTCTCTGTCACTACCCCCAATATCAATCTCCTCGTCTTCGTCTTCTTCTACCACAGTGCACAGAGGCAAGGTAGTCTCTCCTTTGGAAGACGGAGCATGTTCGACCACCTTGTGAATATTCTTTTCATCCTGCTTTTCTTCTTTACTTTTCCGCGGACTAGCTTTCTTTCGTATAGAGCTATTAGGATGTCGCCCAGTGGAAAGGGCCCCATTCCAAGAGGCAGCCTTCTTGATAGCAGAGGACACAATTTTTGTCTCATTTGACGGTCTGTTGGCAGACCATTTTCCTCCAGAAGGTCGTCTACGTCCATGCGCCGCCACTGGGCGTACAGAAGATTCCTTGTTAACCGTGTCAACATGCTCAAGAAACCGCTCAAGGCGACTCTTTTGATGATTATTCGGGTCAACAGGCATGTCTATATCGTTATCCATCTGGTTCATAGCTGCCTCTCGAACGCGCCAAAGACGAGCCCTTACTTCAACAACATCTGTGTCTGTGTCTGTATCATCGTCCGTCTCTTCCTTGCGCAAAGGATCTAGCATATTCCATCTATGGTTGCCCTGGCCGCCCTGGCTGTCCTGACTGTCCTGAATTTCCTGAATGTCCTGGTCCGCCCTTCTTTTGCCTTTTTCTTTACTGCTGTCTTGACTTGACGATGACACTACACAACAAGGCCTCGGCAGAGGGTCTTCATCTCCTTCAAAGGATCCCAGGACAGGAGGTTTGGAAGCAAAAGATCCACCGACAGTTTGAGGTACTAGCATCAGCTGGTGAAGTTGGGCTGCCTTTGACGCAGACAATGGCATAAAGAACTCTCGCTTCTTGTTAGTTGGCAACGAAAGCTCTGTTCCAACAATCCGGCGTGGTCGTGGGGCTGGAAGATCGATCGGCAGAGGCGAAGGGAAATACTCAAACATCTGTTCGGTCAAAAAAGGTCCCAGCCTATCCTGTATTGAGCAAGTTGCAGCCAGCTCCTGTGCACGCCTCAGGGGGATCCAGGTGCCATACAACGCACTCGCTTTGTTTGCCACCCGGATCCGATTCATTTCAAAGCTCAGGATCATGCTTCTTTCCCGCTCTGTCTCAATTCCGCCGGCTGTCAAAAGGCTCGTTCCATGCACGGTTCCTGAATCGAGTCTGCGGAGAATCCGGTGCTCAGGTGTACTGTCTGTTTTTTCAAACACTGCTACACACACGGGCGTACTATCTAGTACAGTAATATACATTGGTGTCGAAGATGGCTTGATGGCATACACTATTTTTGGGTCGTTTTCTTCTATCTCTTTGTCAGGTGCTACAGTTGTCTGCTGCACCGAACTTTTTGGGGTAGGCTGCGAAGGTCCTGCAGCGTTTTTGGCAGCCAGCTGCATACAGGCAGATATTATGCGGGTCAGGTCTATGTTAGGTGAAAGGTGAACAAGGCCAGTAATTGCTGCAGTCATCTGGTGCAATGCCGTCAGATTACACGACCGCACATTCATTCTTTTTAGGATATCTGCAATTGATTGTGCACTTGACAAATCAACAGTCGGAGCACCACCAGTGGTGTTTAAAGGAATGCCTACAGAGTCTACAGAACTAGTTGCAGGTACAATGGAAGGAAGTTCAGCTTTGTTCATAGGTGCATTTCTTACAGGAGTAGTCGGCGCCACAGACGGCACGATAATACTCTCTGACTTGATTTCCATCTTTACTTCATCTTCTCCATAGTTGACAAAGGTGTCCTCAGTATAGTCTGATATTTCGTCTGAAGAATTATATGGACTTTGTGTTTTCAGAGGCACATTTAGCCTATCTTTTTCTGATTGTAATGTAAAGTAGTAATTTAGATATATATATATATTTATGCATAAATATTGATGGGATTTATTTGTATAATAATTACCTTTATTATTATTACTACTACTTTCTTTCTCCCCCTCTTCTTCCTCTTCTTCCTCTTCTTCCTCTTCTTCCTCTTCCTCTGTGTGACCATTATCATTGCTAAGAATATGTACAAGTCCGGTCATCTTTTCCAAATCATTTTCTTTGAGCCATTCGCGTGCTTGTTTTAAGGGAACCCTACAGAAAATTTTAGACTTCGACTTTAATCATACATCAATTAACAAAAAAAGATACAATAATAAAAAGGGGCAGTTACCAGACACCACGAGTGGCAAGAGGTCCTTTTGTGATTTGAACGACACCGGTTTTTTCTGTTTCTGAAATGTCAAGTACATGGTGGTGCAGGAGCTGGTATATAAGTTTGTCTAATTGGGTTGCATTGACATGTCCCTCTTCAAGAAACACGCAAGCAAGATCCCCGTGATCTTTTGCACCTTGCCGATCGGTTAGTCTACGAAACTTGAGAACTGTAGAAAACATGTTGTCATTAAAAGCAAGCTCGTCGCAAACAAGTGATCCAAGCGTCTTTTGGGAGATCGTCCATGGACGATCAATAATTTCTTTTAGTGGTCTGTCCCAAGGCATTTCACATGTACTCTGTTCCGGCCAAGACTTCCGCCGTAGTCCGGCTGGATCTCTTTCCCCAGAAAGCGAGCGATTTGCGTTGGCAAGCAAGACTTTCTTTGGTAGTGAGAGTGGAAGGTTATTGGTATTATTATTACTGCTATTATTATGATTATGATTATTATGATGATTATTTTTGGTGTTATTCCGTGAACGTAATGTGTGGTGGCGAGAAGCCTTTTTTGTTGTATGAAAGTAAGTATCGAGTTCGGACATGGATGTGGATTCTGGGGTGTCGATGTCGAGTGAATCGGAACATGAGGATGGAGTTGTGCTATTTGAAAGGAAAATTGTGTCTAGATCGTGGTCAAAGCTGTGTGGGGCCCAAAAATCATATTCTCCAGTGTGATTTGTGCGTTTTGGTGGCCATGGGTGAAGGGGCGATGATGGTGGGGCTGGAGGAATTTGGATTGTATTTGGTGTATTAGGATTATCGTCTCCTTGGAGCATGTCTTCGTGGTAATCTGACATCTCGCCTTCACTCTCATCTTCCGGTAAGGTACTAATGGGATCGACTGTGTTTAAACGGGGACGCTTCTGGAGCTGGGTATCGGCCTCGGAGTCAGAGGTAGGTATGTCTATTGCGGTGGTACGTTTTCGGGGAAAGGTTGTCTGTTGCTTTATTTCTTGTCCAATGTCGTGGGTTGATATCCGCCGTGTCAAGGAATGTGTGGAGACTGCTTCTTTAGCAAGAGAGTAGTTGATCTTGCGAGAGTGGTTTTGATCCACATGCTTTGCCAAAAGCGGGGCTCGTGGAGGGTTGTGTTTGGCGGCCCGCTTGAAGTGCTGCGAGATGCGAGAGGATACTGTGGCAAAGGGTGTTGCGCCTCTAATGAAGAGAGTAAATCTACCGCTTTTAAGGCCGAACTACTACAACGTACCCAAGTGTTGCATACTCATGTTGAATGATTACATTGGCAAGTTCTTTTGGTGAGCTCGGTTTGTTCCCCATTTTTGATAGAGCCATTAGGATAGCAGTGAACACTTTGTCTCTGGCATCGTCTGGGTGAATTGCGACAGGCAATTCTTGGTTTGTTCCATCGCCGGTTGTCGAATGATGTACTTGTTGAGGCATCCTTGTGGTTAATGAGCAAGAGACACTACTAGAAGAAAATAATAAAGAAATGCAGAGAGAGAGAAAGAGTGGGGAATAGAAGGGAGGGAGAAAGAGAGGAAAGGGAAACGACTCTTGTCGCTGTAGTCAATATTTTATTTGGGGAAAAAAAGGGCGCCTGTACATATCGCCTTTTATCTTGCGTTCTCGTCACTTGTATCAAGAAAAAGCGGACTTTGTAGTGACCACGCTGTCTCTTTCTCTGTCAAACCCCCTGGCCAAGTATTGTTCTCTGGTGGCGCTTGATCCAAACCCAAATAAAAGGGCTGGACCAAAACGTACCTTGAATAAGCTATATTGGTGAATTAGTAATTCATTAATACGTGCAAACAGATGTAGCGTATTACTATAGTGTCCATGGGCCAATTATATAGCCACAAATGATATTATACTTTTAAATAAATTGTTGTTTCGTTGACTGAGAATCCGAAAGACAGATTGTTACAACACTCTTTTTATAATTTTGAGAGACCTGAGGTATATATTTATATATATACTTATATAATAAGGAGTCGGCCATAAAAGTATGTTAATTAGCTAAAAGCCATTACATTTCATAGCAATTAGTGCGATTGATTTAGGTATATTTATGTAGATAAAGGCTCTATACTGCTGTGCAAATATTCAATTGAGCAATAGTTAACTTGGTTCAGTAAATGATTACTACTGCCGTTCATAAAGATGTATTTCTTCTAACAATATAAGATGAAACACTTTTTTTTTCTTTTCACAAAAAAAAAACATTACGTTGAATATAAATGTTTCTTTTTTACCTCGTATCACGTTGTGCAAGGAAGATACAGAAGAAGAGGTAGTTTGAGTAAGAAAAAAAAGTATATTTGAACTATGGCCAGGCACTTGGAATTCACTTGCTTGCATGTAATTCAACCTTTTACTAGATGATTTAGAATACATATTTCATAACTCAAAATAACTCAAAAATACAAGCGCCTCTTGAGTGCGGGAGATTCCACGGTGCATAAAATAAATAAAAGTCTTCCAAGTTTGGACTATTTCCAATTTTAAAATCACAACAAATAAGCAACATATGTATTGACCTTAATTTGTTTAGATAATACTGACTGGTGTGCACCGACGTGCATAGGCTGAAAATGGATAACGGCAGCTCTAAAGAAGTACCTCATTAATAAAATAAAATTATAATGCCAATTGGCGCCATCTAATAACTGCGTCTGTTCTCTGTTGCAGATCGGCTTGGATCGACATAATCTCGATGACAGAACGAGTTTCTGGGACATTAGACAACCTTTAATAAGACTTGGCCATTAAATTTTAATATATATATTATTATTATTCTTTAAGGAAAGTTTGACTGGATACCCTCATTTAATAAACCAAGTAGATAGTAGATGCATTTCTCTAGTCGTGGTACCAGAATTTTTGCTTTCTACGTTTGGATAAAAAGAATCACAACAAATATATATATTGTTATTTATTGAAGACATTATATGATAATTAAGCGCGAATATTATATGGCTATATACTATTCCGTTGAATTCTAAAGAGAAAGGCATATAGTATGTGTAAATAGAAGCATGAAAATGAGGTAAGAATATTGGTATATCTTGCCAGAAAGCAAATAGTACTAATCATGGATCAATCTTGATCTCGTTCTAATTCTAAACGTTTCATTTCTTCTTTGTGCTGCCTTTTCATATAAGCAAGACCCAAAGACTCTATAGATGATATTATAAAGTAAAAAATCATCAATGACAGGAATGCATTCCATGCGATGCCAAGCATATTAATCTAATAGAAAAGTCAGTAATATAATCAAGTGAACACTAGTATCTTACCTGCTCTTCTGACTCAGGATTTGTTTGTCCCTGTCCCTTGCCGAACTTGTCGGCCTGATCATGGATCAAATCTTTGACAACAGTATGCAGATATGGGACATTTCTCTCAATGATAGTCAGAAATATCGAGAGAGAGTCACTTGAGAAGGCCAGGATAACAATCATTGACTACATTCTCATATTAACAAGTTATCTTGGTTCAATTTAACTTACCTGCATAGATGCCTTGACACAAGCCTTTCCTACAAATGTTGCTCCAAAGAATGTTGCAAATGGTACGAGAAAATGACCACATGTAATCCCTGCTAGGTCGAATAACGGGTTTGGTATGGAAGCAAACAAAAGGATCCCAAAAAAGCCAAGACGTTGTATTCCGTCATAAAGATAATAGGAAACAGTCTCCTTTAAATCACGGTCCTTTGGTTTCTTATTCAATCCAGACTCAAAACCACTTAGTTCTTCGCTCTTTCCTCCTGACAAAGCCACTATTATGTATATATAGATATAGATATAGATATATATTTGTGTGTGTGTAGCCAATTGTATCAGCCTTCAATGATTTCATTATTATTATTTAAATATATATATAGTAGTTATTATTCATTGACTATAACATTTACCTGCGCGGGCAATGAAATATGGAGGAAGCTCTCCCATGGCCGTTCCTGCCCCCCAAGCAAAGCTTTCCCAACAAATCTGGCGGTAAATAGACCAAAGAGAAAGATTATCGACACCCTCTAATCCGACCGGTGAAACACACTCTAGTCGGTAGCTGTTACATGTTCTTTAGCCTTTTTCTACCCAAACCACGTATTCTTTGTTTGTGTTTTTGTTCGTTTGTTTGTTTGTGTGCTTGATTTTTTAGTTGTTTACCTTGTCAAGTTTCTTGTCAATGAGTCTGTAGTATTGCATGCATATGCAGCAATTGTGACTTCGGCAATATATGGGCCCAGAAAGAGCAGAAATGTATGTAATCCAGTACCCAGACCAATTGCAGAAGCTACACCCAACAATAGCCAATATCCATACCACGCTATCTGTTGTTCTATCAGCTGTACAGCCTAGATAAAAGGTGTGGTCAATACTTTGCTGAGTAGAATAGCTCACTAGAGTTTCTTACAGCTTGGTGTGGCCCTTCGAATGTGTAAAGAACTAATGAAAGCACTGTGGACACAATTATGCCAAGCGATAGACGGCTGTGGTTATAAAAGTATAGAAAGGCCGACTGGACTTCGTAAAAGGTGTACATTCCAAAGTATGAAAGCACTAGAATGGGGCTTGTCCAGATAGACATTGTCTTATTCTCCTGTTCAATCTCATGTTTTCGACGAATAATGTAGTCTGACAATGTGTCAGCAAGAGAATCACACATCTAATCTACTCACCATCAAACTTTTCTCCGGGAGCTGCTCGACTAGACCTTTTTTGTTGGACCCGAATGGGGGTTTGTTGGGCTGAGGAATGACTTGTACTTATTGTAGTCATTATAAGGAATCTTAAAGTTGTGGAATGAAGAGTGAGGCAAGTATGGTATCCTCCACACAAAATAAAAATGGTCGTTGAGTTACACTAGGCTCAGATCGACATTCTAGTATGTGAAGGGGACCTTATCAGTCTGCCCTGGTTCATGGGTTCACGTGTGAGCCCCGAGATATATACGTATATTAAAAAAATGTGCCTAGAAAACATCCAATAATTTGAGTAAAACTACTAAGCAATAAATAAAAGTAAAACAAAAAAGAACTTCTTTGATGGCCAGAGCTGACTAGCTTACTAAATTCTTGACAACTGGCTTGAACATCCCCAAGGTCTGTTTAATGCTTTATCTTTTATATATCTAAACCATCAATGTTTGATAATTCTTGTAACGAACTGGCCAATTCCATTTTAAATCCGCCAAGACTAGCTAGCATATTAAATATTGGTGCAGGCAATATGTGTATTGAACAGCAGAACAAGTCTGTTGATACTTGTGATGTAATAAATCTTATTTTTTGGTCTATGAAAATATTGTATGAAATGAACTCTCCGGTAATACTATTCTTCAGTTTGCCAATATCAGAAAACTTTGATAAATCTGAGCCTGTCACAGCTCCATCCAAACAAAAAATCAGTTTGCCAATAAAATCACTACCCCCCTTTTTTTTTACTAAAACATCAGCGCATATTTTTTTGACATCTAAGATGAGCAATTTCAACAACACAAATTACTTTGCCATTGCTAGTGAGGCTTCTTCAAAGAAGTACGATGCTGCCTTGACCGAGTTCAACTCGATATTTCTTGCCGGAAGAGAATTCTTTTCGACTGTAGCTATTCGTGAAGCCGTTAAGGCATATGGGGCTAAGCACAATATTATATTCACCACTTATTCTTCTTCAAGCACCCGTATAAGAATGATCAGTAAACCCTATGGTGAATATAGAAACACTGAAAAGGCCGAGAAAGTTGTTTCAGAAGCCTCTGTCAACCAAGAAATCCCTCTTCCTGGGTGGGAGAGACAACGTGTAAAGAATACGTAGAAGAATGGCTATCCATGCTTCGCATATGTCTCGAAAAAGAAAGACGGAAAGATTGTAGCCCACTCCTGCAAGATAAAGTATAATCATGCAATTGTGGAAGACCGTAGAGCATATTTCATCCATCAAAAACTCTTACCTGAGGTCATGACTCTTGTTACGAAGCACCTGGAAGACAATGATGATGTTTCCACAATCTTCAAACTTTGAAGAAAAATGGATTCACCAATATCATTTGCCGGAATATTGAAAATAATAAGCAACATTTTGGAAAGTCCAAGGAGGGAAAGGAGGTGTTTAGCTTTATCACAACCTTACAAGATCTTGACTTCCAGCTCATATACAGTTGGTAATAGTGAGGGCAACAATATAAGCATGGTCTTCTTTTTCCATGAAGATACGATTGGCAATGCTAGACGAATGCCTGAGACAATTGTGACCGATGCGACATATAAGATAAATAGCTATAGAATTACTTATGTCAACTTTTTTGGTATCAGCAATGTCAGTGGAGATATTCGTACCACTTTAAAGACATTTACAATTACTGGTCCTTGGGTGGAACAGGAGACAATAGACAACTGTCTCTGGGTACTTGGCTGTCTGCGTGATGCATTTTGGCTAGATGTCAGTGATAGCAGCAGCAACAGCGAAAACAACCATAACAGCACAACCACAACAACAGCTCTTCTCCCAAGGGCGTTTATTACTGATAATGAGAAATCATTGAGAAATTCAATTACAGGTGCTTTCCCTGAGTCTAAAAAACTCGTGTGCTCTAAGTGCATTAAAGATAATTTTAAGAAGTAACTTTTACCAGTGATGAAGGAAGATAATAATGGTGACAAGAGAGGCTTCTTGGATGAGTTGGCTGGTCATCTCGACCGAATTGCTTTGAAGTGTACCACTTCTGAAGAAGAAAAGAGAAAGATAGATGCATATCTCAGTTTTGCAAAAGCTAACTGCAAAGACCAAAGGAAAATAGCCCGAACTTTCCTTGAAAGGTATACAAGGTGTTGTTATATTTGCTAGAAACAGTTTAGTAACTATAAATAATGCCATTTTTTTATATGCGTTATCAAAAAAAAAATGGATGACAAAGAGAAATGGGTGAACTATTATGTTTATAAGTATCTTCACTTTGGAAATCGCACTTCCAACCGTGCAGAAAATACACATGCTTCTCTAAAGCATGCCTTTTGTACTTCGTCCGGTAAGCTGAAGACAGCTACCATGAAAATTACCAGGTGGTATGAAGAGTTGGTAGGTGTATGCTTTATTATCTTAAATATAAATTGATTAAACTTTATAATTACAACAATTAACTGTAATGCTCTTGTAAATTTTACAGGTCGATAATAGAAAGCGTAGGTTGACAACGGGGTGTCTCGGAGAGAGCACTACAGTTGTGTTTGATAAGGTCAATTCTTCCAGGCTGAATTATATTCGCCACAAAATGTGTCTTTTTGCAGTGGACCGAATCAACCTTGAACTCGCCAAATCAATAATACCTGAAAAACTTACAAAAGAGTGCGAATGCCTCATTAACTACAAATATCTCTTGCCCTGCTACCATCAACTTGTGCAGTATAATAAGATTCTAATTTCTTCTATTCCCAGACGATGGAGAATATACTACTTTGAAGGAGAAGGTAATGTATAGATATGTATATATAATTTTTATTAAACTATTTTCTCATTTTATATATTATTATGTACAGACCACTCAATTATCCATAACGCACTATCTGTACCTAAAAACATCACCAAAATCACCACTACAACACCCCAACTCGCATATAAGCTTGAACGGGTTACCCAAATACTTACCAACGCCCAAAGCGAACAACAGCAAATACATTCCGAAGAATACATCGACAAAATAATAGAATTAGACTCCAAAAAGAAATTTGAGGACCTTAATTGTACAAAAATAGTGAAAGCTATCAAAGGCAGACAAAAAAAACAACAACAAAAAAGTAAGCTTTTATTATAACATATTGTTTAGATTTAATCCACCCAAGCTTCCCCAATTTTCTAGACAGCAATGATCTTTAGAAGAAGAAAAAAAACAGCAAAAAGCCTTAAAAAATCATTAAGCTTGGTTCACCATATGACCATACACTTTTGACAAATCTTACAATCGCACCAAATCAAATATCCGAGATATTTTCTTGAAAAGCAGGCGGAAATTGTGAATATATAGCAGTAGCGATGGAGGTGTGCCAGGACCAGGAGCGATGGCCTGAAGTCAAAGACAGAATGCTAGAAGAATTTTTAACATACCAACATACACACTACCGGGGAAGAATAGAGAATGGCCATATGTCTGCACCCACGAACCCATTAATCATCAATCTACAAGACAAACACTCGCCCCTTCCTCAACAACATTGGTTTGGTAAAATTGACTACCCACAACTTGTAGTAGATACATTCAACAGATCAATTGCAGTATATTGGAATACTCCAAATGAAACACGCGACTGTCTCTTTGTACTATTCGCCACCTCAAACAAGTTCGAACCCATAATTATTATTTTAGAAATCAACCTCTTTCTTCTTGCAAAACGCACACCAGCCAGAAACTTTGTTTGTCCGTGGATAAACCCTTTCTATAAAGCCGTAGTCAAAAGACATGGTCTAGAAAACTTTTCTACTATGTATTAACTACCAATATATGGCTTTCATAATGGAATTATTCTCAATAATATTAACATTTACTATTGCATTTATCTCTTTATCAAATTTTATTCTATTTTCATACTTTTACATTATCTTTTATCTTTATTATCGGCTGTCCGTAAGTTTTTCTGCATTGATCAACGATGATGACGTCGAATACAATACGCTCACACATAAGAAAAATCTGCATGCTTAAAAATATGACAGAATGAAAGTGTACTCCTTGGTTCCGAAATAAAGCGCTTTTGAGGGGTCAAAAACGATCCAGACAACACCCATATCTCTTTACAGTGTTATCAGTACCGTACCACCTCATTTGTGCCAATACTTTATGAACTGAGTCTATATTGAACTGACAAACGGTATGGCTACGTCTTTAACCCAAGATTGGTCTATCCACAAAAGCATGAGGTAGGCTTTCAGCCGAGATTTGGTCGGATTAATGTTATTAAATGAATCTATCGCAAAAGCACTGTTTGTGAATTTTGGCCAGGTGTTAGGTTAAAGAAGAACCTTGGATGCCCATCGAGAATCATTTAGAGCAAAAAAAAAAGGGAGACAGATGCGTACCTCAATTCCTTTCGAATACACGATATACAAAAATGTATAACGCGCAACAATAACGGATGTGGATGACCCGAAACTTGTAATTGGAACAAAAACGTTTAATTTATGTGTTGCTTCGAGTCTGCGTTTAGATCCGCCTTGCAACCCAGAGGTAGTACCAAGCGTCGTATCCTTTGACCTGAACGACAGTCCCAAAGCAAAAACCATCACCATCTTTGTCAAGGAATCAGCTTGGAAAGAGGTAGCTGAAATTTCTCAAAATAACAAAATAAAATAAAAACCGTGAGCTTTGTTTAAACTCCAAATTAGAACATATTGTTCAAGAGCATATTGCCTTTGTCAACGATATAATACATGGTTTTCGACCTGCCGTACTTATTGACAATAGTACCATTTCCATCTTCATATATACCACGCTTATAGCCATACCCATTTATATAATTTTCAAAAGACAGATAATTCAAGTATGAAAATTCTATTGATGTCCCTAGAAAATATATAACTTCGTTCAAAATATGAAAATTTTGTACAACAATTCCCCAGGGCCTCTAATTTTCGAGATTTCCTGAAAATGTGTTAATAGCCTGTCCCAGAATTTATTCCATCACTGTACGGATTTTTCTTTTTTCGAAAGTACAATAATTTTTCCCAAAGTGTGCGAAATTTTTCTGAAAAAAAAAAAAGTATTACCCCTCCAAAAAAGAAAAAAAAAAGGAAATCCATGGATTTACTCTCTTTTAGCTCTTGGATGACTACTTTAATATTAATACTACTGTCGACTTCTTTATATTTAATATTCGCATATTATCGGAGGAATGACAAACCTTTGGCCCTTAAACATGGCCAACCTCAATATAAAATGCGCAATTCATCACTATCATCACAAAAACCAACCAATGATCATAATTCCCAAGATTCTCACATTCCCAACTCAAAACTCCCAGTTCTTGACTCAGTTGAAGAACGCCTGTTAATGAATTCAAAGTTAATTATTGATCTCCAGAGACGACTCAATCTATCAACGCAACAAGTTCCCGATCCTCTTTTGGAAGAAGTAGACTATTGGCGTACACGTGCAGAAAAGAAGGAAAAGGACTTTGCCCAAGCTAGGGTAGATCTATCTATTGCCCAGAATAAAATTGATTCGATTCTACGGCAATGCAAGGCTGATGAACGAGAAAGAATATCTCGGGCAGATCAGCACAGACAAGAAATAGATAGTCTTCGGAACGCACTGACAGCCAATCTCGAGGAAAGGAATATGTGGGAGGACCGATACGAATATGTATCAGAACAGCATCTAAATCTCGAAAATGAGACTTCAGAACTGCAAAAAAAGTATGATTTGTTACTGCAAAATAAGAAGAGACAAGACGCCGTTGTACAGAAACTTGAGAGTCTTGTTCGGGGACACGAAGAACAATGTCGGGAGTACGAAGATAGTATCCACGAACGAGTGCAGCAAAACATATTCTTGAACCAGAAGCTAAAAGATGCAGAAGAACACATCAAGAATATGCGTTTGTCACTCGAAGAACAAGAAGATGTTTTTGAGAGAGCTGTATGGCTTATAAAAGAAGAAGAGAGAAAAGCAAAACACGAGGAATATCAACGTGAGCTAAAAGAGAATGATGATCGTGAATCGTTCCAAGATAACGATGCCGATGTTGATACTACTGACATTGGGTCTGCGCAACACCCTGACCCCAGTGCAATACAGTCAAATGTATCTACTACCCAATCACATCATTTTGTCAAAGAAAACCCCACTTTAAAGGCTCAAAATGCATACAAGTTGGAAAATGTGAGGTCATGGATACAACAGACTGCTGTTGGAATGCCCAGTCAGATGCAAGATTATGCAATAGAAAAAGAAGAGGAGCTGGAGCCGGAGCTAAAGCCGGAGCAGGATCCGGAGCCGGAACTGGAGCAGGAGGAGCAGGAAGATGAGGAAGATGAAGAGGAGCAGGAACCAGAAGAGGAAGAAGAGGAACATGGTGTTGAACATGAAGAATATGGAGAAGTAGTAATAAGTCAACCATCGATTCAAGATAAAAGCGAAAGAGAAAACTACAGTGAATACCAAAACCAAGTACATGAAGAACAAAAAGAAAGAGAAGTAGAAGGCTATAAAAATGAAGAAGAAGAAATAGAAAGAGACGATGAAAAAGCTATAGACGATATTGTAAAGCAAAATGAATTGCGTATACAGGCCCAGCTACTTGAATATGAACAAGTACAAGAGCATAGACATGAGCATGAGTACTATCACAGAGATGGCTATGATCATGAAGACAATCAGGAACAAGAGCAAGAACAGGATCGAGAGATAGAACAAGAAGTACCAGAAACAGAGCCAGAGCAAGAAAGCAGTGATTATAAAAGACACGATACCCAGGAAGTAGATGAAAATAACGTCTATTCAGAAGACCAAGAATATGTCTATTCTTACCGCGAAGACGATGTTGGTGGTACTACTGAAGATATCCAGCAAAGAGAGGAACAAGAAGATTTTGAAATGGCAGAAGAGCATAAAGAGCTTATTAATCGCATGAGAAAGACCAGTAGGATACCCATTAAGACATCCTCTTCTGCTTCTACGTCTACTTCTCTGCTTCCACGGCCCACATTCTTAACCCGTGGATCGAGCCAACGCATTCTCCAACCATCTATATCACTTCCATTACCACATTCTATTTCAGGAAGGGAAGAAAAGGATGAAGCGTCAAAGAAAATGGGAAGGCTCTTTGAAGAACGACAGGGTGTTATAGACCGCAAAAATGAACGTAAAAACCTAGTGCAACGAAATAATCGTGGTCGCCCATTAGGAGGCTACTTTGACAAAAAGACATTTAGCAAAATGGAAAGTGAACGACAATCCAAAGAGTTGACAGATCGCATGTACAACAACAGAGAGAATCGATTCAATGTGGTTCGTTCTTGAACCATTTTACTGCATGTATTAAGATTGACACGTCCACACACACACACACACACACACACACGCACGCATATACGCATACACCCACGCATACATATATAATAAAGTCCCTTTTTTTAGCTTTATTTAATTATGTCTTTTGAAATTACTACTATTACTACTATTAAGCATATATCTTACATTTATAAAAAAAGCTATTACTTGAAATACGCAGGTAGGGAGACTTATTTTCTATAAACCCACTTTTATGTTACAATGCTTTTTGAAATAATTGCACGTTTTAATATCTGGAGTAAGAAAAATACACTTCCAAAATCGTGACATGAAATACTAATAAAGAGCTTAGCAGACACAAAACGGTATAAATATATACTAGCAAAATATAAGTATGGGAGTAATAAGGGGTGTATTCATGCTTGCTCTTCCTGTTTAGTTAAAATTATATAGTATGCTTAGAAACCGTTTAACAGCATCAAGATTATGATTGATCTTAATCTGGATCTTAATCTGGATCTGGATCCAAACAGGAATAATTGGTCATTGCTCAAAATCATCAACAAAAGTTATGGGTCAATTTCAAGGATACTTGATCTAACGACAATATATATATACAGTCTAATTATATTTCAAATATTTTTCTTTAGATATATAAACAAGTTTAAATGCTACTACTTTCTTTACAGTAGTATTGCTCTTTTTTGAGACCTAATTGTAACTCGACAACTCAATATGTTCATATTTTTATAAGCATTTAATATTGTAAAGATACTGTGAAGGTCTGAGATGTGCACTGCCTGAACTGAAAATACCCAGCTCGGTTGACAAATGATTGAAAAATATGTATTATGTGCCTAACCCAGTATGTTCGTTTTGGATTGATTTTCTGGTGCTTTTTATTTAGTGGAGTTGCCTGCAGATGTCGCAAGGATAAAATCAGAAGCCTCCATAAAATGATATTCACAGCTTATATTCGCGACATCTTCGTTTGCTTGTGTCCGTATCCAGTACAGCAGTGTATCTAGAGATTGCTTTAACACTATGGGAAATGAGTGGTGATTCCGATGGGGATTTTGGGAAACCTTCTATAGGAATTTTTCAAAATCGCCACTTCTTTCCCATAATGTAAAGAAAACAGTAGGAATGCTTGTACATGTGTGAAAGAGTGAATGGTACGTAATTCTCTTTGTTTTCGGCTTTCTTTGGCTATCTCTTACCATCTTTGGGAGATTTTGCTTGTATATATTGTGTGTTGCAGAAGAATTAATCGATTTACCACTGTCTTTTGCAATAGATACAAGCGTCTTGGTTTTATTCTCGCCTTTTTCATTTTGATCGAGAACAAGTTCATTGTCTCGTTTTACATGTACCTCCGGGATATGTGAATTCAGGTAAATGATTCAGGGAAAGTGGAGCAACCATGTAGGGCGGTCATGTTCTTCGTAGGTAGCTTGCTTTTGACCATAAGTAAGTTTGATATATATGTAGTTGACATTGTGCCGAAGTGCCTTTTTGTTGAATCCGTTGATGAGCGCCAAAAATCACTGTAACAGTGCTTGACATAAACAATTTTACTCGTATGGTCTTTTGTTAAAATAAAATGAGGCGTACCCTTTAACAGCACTTGTTCCATGTTTTTAAGGCTACTAGAACGTCTGCAAGGGTTAAATTTTAGACAACATTATATATTTCTTCTGGGGAAACCACTATCAGGTTTCTTGATTTCTGATATCGAATAAACTGTACACCAGCTTCTTTGTGTTATATCTTCCAAAGACTCGACTGAATAATATGAAACTTCATTTTTTTCATAGATAAGTATATATATATATATATATATTTTAAAATAAAAAGAAAGCTTACTATAAGGTATAGCCACCGCAAGATTTTATTATTGGTTGTTGTCCAAGGTATACTCGTATGCTTTATAATATCAGTTGGGATATTATTGATTTGATAGAGCCCAAATAAAACCACCATGGTCAAATCCTAATAAGTTTGGCCTAGAAGGCTGACTTTTGGATCTTTTATTTCTTGCTGATATGATAATTGAGCTGTATGAAAAGCTTTTGTAAAATGAAAGCAAATGAGGTGTGGTCAAAATAATGGTGTATTTATAATAAAAAAATAGGAACGCCATTTTATCTTGTTGGTGTTTATATGATGTTGATTAACTACACAAGGTATTGAATGCAGTCAAGAAATAGGGCCAGATGTGGTCACATTTGAAAATATTTAAGTTTTACACTAGAGGTAACCAACCGTGAATATTCGTTGAAATTAGCATGAAGGTGGTATGGACATACTAAAAAGTTCAAAAGATCAAAATGAGCCCAACCAATCAGGTCAATCTATAACTGTCCGTACAAATGATATTGATTTTATACCTTTTATGGAAAGAGACTTTCTATTGGAGTTCTCAGTGAGCCGATTGAATTCTATGGTTTAAAAATAACTTGCTTCTCTGGAACAACCTTTTTTAAGCGTTTTGGTTATTTTTTGCACTGCGCCACTTTTGACTCGTATAAATTCAAGACTCTGCTTTTAAAGTTTACACTAATGTTTACTCGAATTTGCAACGTATTTTTTTTTGCGTTTTCCTCCCCTTCTTCCATTTTGAAACAAATTGACAAACCAAAGCAAAATTGAAACAAATTAAATAGCCACAAAATGATTTAATGTATGTAGTTATGTGAATGGATCCTTATAACAAAATACTTGTCGTTTCTTTCTCTGACAATCATATTAGAGTATAGAAGTTACAACACATTAAAACTTCTATTAAACAGGCTCTATATATTTCTAATTAAAAGCAGTAATATCTTTAAGTATATATATTTATTTATTAGAAATGGATCGTCTAATTGGTTATTGAAGCCTTTGAAAGATGAGAAAGATTATTATTGATTTATCAATGTATGCTTTATGTTCCATTTATTTATATATGTATTGTGTAAAGCCTGTATAGAGGGAAAACAATATTGGGAAAAAGTAACTTTTCTTTCTTGTCTTTAAAAGAAATGTCATTAAATCCAACTTCTTGGAATCTTTAGCTACTTTTTCTCGCATGAAATTCTTCTCAAATTATATATTCTGTTAGTACAGCAAAGCAGTAAAATATTACCCTACATGATTGTTACTAAACACAGGGACTTATGTTGGTTGATTTGGAAATATAGTTGAATTAATAAAGCCAACTTTATCAATACCATATTCTCTTTCTCCTGGAACATCGTTCCCATAATGGGTGTTTCAGATAAATTAACCCCATAACCTTGAGCTACGCATTGTTGCCAGTGAATTTTAGAAATATTCCATGTTCACTATTTTGAGAATTTGATGCTTGTTCTCAAACCTTTTAATTGAGTATGATTGATAACTTTACATACTTCTTGAATTATAAGCATTCCAAACACAATAAATTAACCAATGTATATATATATATATACGTGGATATTTCAATAATTAATACTTTATTGGAATAGAGTAAAATGTTTAAAAGTCCAAAGGCTTTTAAAAAAGGCACAAACCCCCTAAGGATCGTACGGTATTTGTTTATCTATAAGTATAATTGAGGGAAAGAGTTGATCCATAAGACCAATAATATGGAGTCTCTATAGTGCATGTTAAATATTTTGATATGGCTCATTAACTACTCTTACTTTAGGAAATTCAGACTCTCGGTATACTGACATTTAACCACGAATGCAGAAAGCTTGGGTGATGTGACTTTTGGACCCGAATCCAAGCTGGAAATTATTCTAGGCATATTCATTCTCTTCTACAACACATTCTACCTTGTGTGTTTTAATCAAAACTGCTGTAATAATTCTGAAGATTGTGTGGCTACTAAACATATCCTTTATTATCAAATATGAGTTTGGGCGCAAAGATCCAGGAGTGATAGAGAAAATTCCTTCTAGATAAAACAGTAAAAAAAATTAAAGCAAGAACAAACCTGCAAAAGAATATTTGGGCAGTGACATACTCTTTTTGTATATTGTTTATTGAAGATAATGTATGGAGTAGTGAGCTTGGATCTGCTCTGCTTTATTATATCGCCAATGTAGGCAGGTTTTGCGTTCTGTACATTTGGTGAAACAATATTCAGGCTTGTGATAAGAGCCAAATGAATAGGTACTACAAATTGTGGTAACGCAAACGACACAGTCATCTTCAAGTAGAATGGCTTTTGATAAGTATAAACTACTCATAACAAATAGAATATTGGTGAACTTGATGAGGGTGTATACCCTGTTACTTAATCAGTCTTGGAATAGACGCGTGCCTACATTTATGCACATTTCATAGTTTTCCACAATATCGCATATACCCTTAATCAGTGATACTTTTTTTAGTGAAACATTTGAGAAATAGAATTTTTATCAGCCATGTGTCATACGCAATCATAGTAGAGAAGGTGGCGTATTAGTATTTGAGCAGTAATTACGTTTAATGAAAAGAAAAATAGAAAGAAAAAATTGGCATTTTACTAATGAGATTACAATTTTCACAATTGGGCGTTTCAAAATCTCATGAACAGCCAAAGCAACGACAATAGTGACAGGACGGGTGAAATGAGCAATGCCTTTAATAAATCTCAAATAATTACATTGGCATAAGATATACCATATAATACAGTGTGAGTCTGCACTTATAATCAGCCTTGATATTGATAAAGACACCATTATTGCGAACATTGTGAAATATTGGTACTACTGGTAATCATGATGTTGGGCATTATTAGCTGGTCATAAAGGTTGAATGTTAAAAGTAAAAGCTCAAAGTGAATTAGGTTAGTGAGGTAAATATCAAGAGACAAGGACAGACAGGGTTGTATGTTTCATGTTGCTCTGGACGAGAGTGAGGATTAAATTCTATTTATCTATTTACTTTAATATGCAACTTAAAAAAAAAAATTAAAAAAAAATGAGGGGGGCGGAACACAGAATATTTCTTGGCATTTTATTGGATGCGTGCATTAAACTTTTCACAGGTGTTTTTTAAAAAAAGGAAAGGAAGAGGCACAAACGCAACTTTGTGGAAATGGTGTACACATTTGCACGCTGTGTTTAAATATTTCCATGTTTGGTAGTCTTATTCAGCCCCGTTCAGGTGTCTCTCGCTCTCTCGCTCTCTCTATTTCCTTTCCTCTCGCCCGCCCGTCCCCCACTACACACAATCTATATCCGTTTCTCCGCTAAAAAGTCAAAGCCTCCTTTTGATTCCATCACTCACAATACACTTGCTTTTCTTTCAAACGTTCTGTTTTATTTATCCTTTTATTTATTTGTCATAGCAACCAAATTAAACAAGATCACTTTGCCTTCCTTGCTTTATATTAAGCATTTTTCTTGTTAGCCTAGGTCTTGATCTTTACTGATATCAAAGCAAGATAAAGTAAACATGTCATCTGTTTTGAAACCCAATAAACGATGCGTAACTGACATTTTATTTTTATTTTGTATTATATATATATAAATATATAAATATATATATGTATATATATATATGTAGACATAGTTTCTCTTTTATTCCTTTCATAGCTTCTCACGAATATGGCCACTGAGCACCTATCCCCTCATGTGCTCCAAGCCGTCGAGGTCTATACCAAAGGTACTCGAGCATGGTTCGAGGATGACCGAGATGGTTGGGTCTCTGCCTCTGTTGTCTCCAACCAAGTAGATTCCACCAAAGTTAAGATCGTCTTTGAGAATGACGAAGATTCCAGAAGAGTACGTTTGTTTGTTTTTTCTTTGTGTTTTTTTTTTTGTTTTGCTTTTGGTTGAAGTGTTCTCTTGACTGATATCAGATTTAAAAGGAGCATGTGTTTGAGAGTACTCTGGCTACAGTTGAGAAAACCAACGGTACCACACTTCCACCTTTAAGAAATCCTCCAAAGATGGAAAATACCGATGATTTGACCAACCTAAGTTATCTCAACGAACCTTCTGGTAAGATACATACACACACGCCCATGCAAGTGGGATCAAAAGAAAAAATGAGTATCTCTAATTTGTGATCCACTCTACAATTTTTTCTCTTAGTTCTTAATACTATCCAAACTCGTTATTCCCAGCGAAACATCTACACTTATTCTGGTATCGTTTTGATTGCTGCAAATCCATTTGCACGCGTCCAGTTATACGAACCAGATATTATCCAGCAATACTCCGGAAAGAGAAGAGGTGAACTAGAACCACATTTGTTTGCCATTGCTGAAGATGCCTATCGCTGTATGATCCGTGAAAAGAAGAACCAGACAATCGTTGTTTCCGGAGAGAGGTAAATAAGATGGATCTCATAAGGGATAGGATGGGCGGAGGGGATTATTTGGGGGTTTTAATAGAATGCATATCTCGTTGTGTGTGTGTGTGATTGCTTATTTTATGTTTCACAGTGGTGCAGGAAAAACCGTCAGTGCAAAATTCATTATGAGATATTTTGCCACTGCAGACGATAAGGAAGCCAAAGGAAAGGCTTCCAAGGAAGGAGCGGCCAGTATGACTGAAGTTGAAGAACAGATTCTAGGTTAGTGGGATTACACGCATACGGTTATTTTTGGTTGGTTGGTTGGTTAGTTGGTTGGTGTGTGTGTGTGTGTGTATATATATTTATTTATTTTCTCTACAAATGTATGAAACCAAAATACTCACAATAAATTCGTTATAATCTTTAGCTACCAACCCTATCATGGAGGCATTCGGTAACGCAAAGACCACTCGAAATGATAACAGTTCCCGCTTTGGTAAATACATTGAGGTAAAGAAATAGCAGTAATAATAAATAAATAAAAGCTCTCTCTCTCTCTCTCTCTCTCTCTCTTTATTTCCCTCTTGATATTTATATTTGTCGAAAATGATAATAATTTCCAACTTTAAATGTATATTGCTTCTTTAGATTCAATTCGATAAAGACACGAATATTGTCGGTGCAAAGACTCGCACCTACCTTCTTGAACGCTCTCGTCTTATCTACCAGCCCGAGATTGAACGTAACTACCATATCTTTTACCAGCTCTGTGCAGGTGTACCTCCAACAGAGCGCAAGGAATTCGAGCTTAAAGACTGGACCAAGTTCCACTACCTCAACCAGAGTGGCACCGGAACTATTCCAAATGTAGACGACGTTGAAGAATTCGAACTCACCAAACGATCACTTTCAATGGTCGGTATATCCTTACAGACACAATGGCAGATCTTTAAACTCTTGGCTGGTCTCTTGCATCTCGGTAACGTTGAGATCGGAGGTCGTGGTGATGCCACACTGGCAGAAGATGATGCCTCGCTTGAGATAGCAACCCGCCTTTTGGGCATCAAGAAGACATCAGAGTTCCGCAAATGGTTGCTTAAACGCCAAATCATTACCCGCAGTGACAAGATTGTCAAAAGTCTCAGTCCTGCCCAAGGAACTGTCGTCAAGGATTCTGTCGCAAAATACATCTATGCTAGTTTGTTCGATTGGCTTGTGGTTGTAGTCAATTCTAGTCTGTCGTGCCAAACACCAGGACTGGTCACTGCATTTATTGGTGTATTGGATATTTATGGATTCGAACATTTCAAGAAGAATTCATTCGAACAGTTCTGTATTAACTATGCCAACGAAAAGTTGCAGCAGCAGGTAAATCTGGGCAAGAAATTAAAGAGAAAATATGTTTACTTACTTGCATTATGTTATAGTTTAACCAACATGTATTCAAACTCGACCAAGAGGTAAGACATATACAGTGCCATGTATTAGAGGGAGCTATATAATAACAAGATGGTGTTTTGTTAGGAATACGTTCGAGAGAAGATCGAATGGAAGTTTATTGATTTCAGTGATAATCAAAAGTGTATTGAGATGATTGAAGCCAAGATGGGTATTCTTTCTCTCCTTGATGAAGTATGCCAAATACACGCATATATATATATATATATATCCGGCAAACACAAAGAGATCTTATTATTATTTTTCATAATTTTTGCAGGAATCTCGTCTTCCTTCTGGTACAGATCAGGGTTTCTGTGACAAGTTGTATGCCAACTTTTCCACACCTGCATACAAAGGTTATTTCCTCAAGCCTCGTTTCTCAAACAGTGCATTTACTGTTTGCCATTATGCTCACGACGTTCAGTACGAAGCCGAAGGATTTATTGACAAGAACAAGGATACTGTTCCCGATGAAATTCTTACACTCTTGCAGAATTCTGAATCAGAGTTCTTGGTAGACATGTTGCGTACTGCAACTGATGCAGCTACTGCTACGCCTGTAAGTTTTGGTTTAGCAGAGTAAATAGGGTATCATGTGTTTATTTATTTCGCGTGTGGGATTTGTGGGTAGACTGAGACCGTCAAGAAGATGACAACTCCAAAGAAGCCTACACTTGGTTCTATTTTCAAGGTAAACTTGTTTTATTTTATTGTCATGTCTATAATAAAACAAAGCAAAAATATAGCACTTGCTAAATCATCTTCATTTTATACTATATTGTGTCTGTGTGTAAAATAGCTTTCGTTAATTAACCTAATGGACACGATTGGAGAAACAAATGTACATTATATTCGATGCCTGAAACCCAACGAAGCAAAGGTTGCTTGGGGCTTTGAGCCCAACATGGTACTTGGACAGCTACGTGCTTGTGGTGTACTCGAAACAATTCGTATCAGTTGTGCGGGATATCCATCTCGATGGGAGTTCCCTGATTTTGCAGACCGCTACTATGCATTGATCAATTCCAAGTACTGGGATCCCAATACTCATACCAACATTGATTTCCGTGAGCTGTGTAATGTCATTCTCACCACCTATATCCAAGATCCTGACAAGTACCAGATCGGTCTTACGAAGATCTTCTTCCGAGCTGGTCAGGTAAGCCAAATATATAAAATATTAATAATTCACATATACTTGTATATAATTAACCATTTTTCTTTTTCTTTTTGTAACGTGTGTGGCTTTTTAGCTGGCTTACATGGAAAAACTGCGTGCTGATAGATGGAACGAATGCGCAGTCCTGTTACAAAAGAATATGCGTCGATTCGTAGTTAGATTGAGATACTTGCGTATGAAGGACATCACATTGATGATCCAACGGGTCGCACGTAAAAAGGTTGCTCAGGCTGTATTGGCACACAAGCGTCAAGAGAAGACTATGATTATGATCCAATCCCAATGTCGTGCGTTCATGGCACGCAAGAAGATGGCTCGCCAACAAAACTTTGTAGTCCGTGTCCAGACAGGTAAAAGAAAGAAATAAGATTGAATGTTTGAGAAATATTGATAAATTGGTTGGTGTGTACCCATTTAGCTATTCGTAGTCGATTGGCTCGCAAGGCATTTGCAGGCTTTAGAGAAAACAATGCGGCTACTCAGATCCAGTCTCTCTTTAGAGGATGGTGAGATACAACAATGCGCAATTAATTGATTCGTAGTGAAAAGAATACATAATATACTCATCTACCATATTTACAGGGCTGCACGTAAGAAATACTTGGCTCAAAGAAATCACATTGTGTGTGTCCAGACACAGATTCGTCGTCGCCAGGCTCGCAAGCAACTTGCAATCTACCGCTCTGAAGCCCGTTCTGCAAGTCACTTGAAAGAAGTGTCCTACAAACTTGAAAACAAGGTAGTAGAGTTGACTCAGACATTAACCCAGCAACGCGAAGAAAAGAACCAGATCCAATCCAAGGCTACACAGCTCGAGACCCAGATCCAGTCTTGGATCCAGAAATACAACAAACTTGATAAAAAGGCAAAGGAACTTGAAGCATCGCTTGCCGAATCAGCTGCGGTTCAGACAGAACTCACTTCGTGGCAAGAGAAGCACAACTCTCTTCAGTCAGACCACGAAAGTACCCTCGAGAAAATCAGCAAGCTCGACCAAGAGATTGCTCGTCTGTCAGCTGAGAATCTTAAACAAAAAGAGGAGGTTGCGGCACTTAAGCAGCAACAGCAAACAATGGCTTCATTGCCGCCACAGCAGCCACAGCCCCCTCAGCAACCTCAGCGCCGCACATCTATGCACACCAACTACCACAATGCTGCTGCTGCCGCTGCTGTCACTAGTGCCACTGCTAGTGCGGCTTCTGCTGCAGATGATGCCGAGGTGGCTGAGCTCAAGAGCCAGATCGTAGCTCTTAAGGCCCAATTGTCTCAGAGCCTCCGACGCCAGCCTACACGCCAACAGTCGATCAATGCGTTCTCGCGCACCCTGTCACCTGCACGAAATGATCCTTACCGTCGTGGAGTGTCACCTGAAGGAGCCAGTCCGCGCGGAAAATCCCCCACTGGTTCATCTATTGCGTCTTTCCGCCGTAACAGTGTAGGAGAACCACCTGCTCGCCCAGAAACACATGCCTCCAAGGTGGTTTACAATGAACCCGAGCAAATGCGGCCCATGTCAATCGACCACATCAATACTCTCAAGAACAAGAAGATGCCTAATGGTAGCAACCCTGACGAAGCCGTAAGTTTTCTTGATTGGTTTTTGAGTATCAAATATTGTAAAAAAAAATTAATAATAACATTTTACTTTTTATTTTTAGATTCATGCTATCTTTCACGATCTGGAGACCTTGGATAAGGAAATCCATATTGGGCTGGTCCAATCACTCAAAATTGTTCCTCCCAATGTTCAGAACCCTCCTTCGCCCGAGGAAGTGCTTTTCCCTGCCCATATGATTGCCATTTGCGCCACTCAAATGTGGAGACTTGGTTATCTAGCAGAATCGAACTCTATGCTATTCTCGGTCATGTACACCATCCAGAAATACTGCGCCGTAAGTGCTATTGGTTTTTATAAAAATAAATCAACAAGAGAAGAGTTATAGTTATTATTATTATTATTATTATTATTAACTATTTATATTTACATATATAAATGACTTGCAGAGTTTTACTGGTGAAGATACCATTATTCCCTGCGCTTACTGGCTCTCTAATGCTCACGAGCTTCTGTCCTTGATCTGCTCAGCTGAGCAAGAACTCGAGCGTGAGATGCACTACAACTCTATACATGGTCGCCGCGCAGTCGGATGGCACGAATTTGAAAAGCTAGTCGAGACTGTCAAATACGAACTCCAGTGCCTTGAAGACAATATCTACCACAACTGGCTCACCGAGCTCAAGAAGAAACTGACCAAGATGGCCGTTCCTGCCGTGATTGAGAACCAGTCTCTTCCAGGTTTTATTGCCAATGAGTCCAATCGATTCTTTGGCAAGATTCTGTCGAGCAACAACCAGCCCGCTTACTCGATGGATGATTTGCTCAACTTCCTGAACCGGGTCTACCGTACCATGAAATGCTATTATGTTGATCCATATGTGGTGGCCCAGACATTGACTGAGTTGCTAAAGTTGATTGGCGTCACTACCTTTAATGACCTTGTTATGCGACGCAACTTTAACTCATGGAAGAGAGGTAAGAATAAAAAATAAAATAAAAAGAGAGAGAGGCATAAAAACTGACATTTTGTGGTATTGTGTACAGCTATGCAGATCCAATATAATATCACTCGGCTGGAAGAGTGGTGCAAGGCTCATGAGGTTCCTGATGCCACTGCACAGCTTGAACATTTGATGCAAGCTGCCAAATTATTGCAGTTGAAAAAGGCAACTCTGGAAGATGTCAAGATCATCTATGATGTGTGTTGGTTATTGGCTCCTACTCAGATCCAAAAACTTATCCAAAACTACAGTGTGGCTGATTACGAAGTAAGCTTAATTATTCTTTTCTTACTACTTCTACCACCAACGACACCAGATAGTGTAAAGTGATATGTATAAATGTTGAACCATTCTCTCTATCCTTTGTATAGGATCCTATCAGCAACGATATTCTGCGTGTAGTGGCATCGCGGGTGAGCAATGGAGATTCCAACGACATCCTGTTGTTGGATAATGTCTCTTTGGATGATAGTCCATATTCTATGCCAGAAAACCACGTGGTCGAAGCAAAACTCTATCTACCTGCCTATCTCAACCTGCGACAACTTCAGCGCCTCACATCTTTGGTGGCCATTGTCAAACAGAACCCATCACGTCAAGAATCCCTTTAATAAACATCGAAAATATCCGAATAAGGGAAAGACGTTCTTCTTCTTTTTCTATTTCCCCCCCTCCTTTCTACCCTCTACAACTTCTTTATCTCTTTATCTCTTACTCTCTCGCTTCTTCGTTCTCTCTTTTCCTTTTCTGTCTTGTTATCCCATTTTATTAAATATATAAATCTTTCTATATGTACAAATGTACTAGACTGAAATATGTAATTATATATACTTTGTGTATGTGTGTATGTGTGTGTGAGTGTATATGTGTATGTGTGCTATATGTGCTATATGTGAGTGTTGTGTATGTGCTGTGGGCTTGTTAGTGTTGATGTGCGTATCTTTAGATTGAAAGGTAAGGTCTAGAGCCTGTTGTCTGTTTGGTTAAGATGAAGTGGTACGGGATATAAATTTCTGTTCCAGGTGACTGAGACGGGTGGATAGTTCCGAAAAGACGGTTTGAAACGGTGGTAGATTTACTACAGGATGTGTCGGCAAGACTTTCATCTTGGTCGCTTGTGTTGCCAGCAAATCGAGATTACACGCCACGCGGCCTTCGTCTTGCTCTCTTTGTATCGTGGGTACTATTTGTTGTGAACGTGTTGTCTCGGCCCGATCGTCCCGTCTGAGAGGAGGAATTTTGTAGGTCTTGTCCTTTTCCCACTCATGATCAAATGCGTGTGCAGTTAAGACAGGAGAAAGGGGATGATCGGAAAAGGGAGAGGTTGACCAAACTGGGGTAGAGACGCGCGCTGTACTATGTGTGCTGTGTGGACTGTGTGTGCTGCTGTGATCACTGCGCAAGGGTGCCAATACAGGAATGCTATCTGTATTAACTAGTGAACGACGATACTTGCGACGACCAGATACAGAAACTGAGACAAAGCTAGTGCTAGTGCTAGCGCTAGTGCTCGTGCTCGTGCTTGTGCTCGTGCTGATACTAGTACTTGTACTTGTACTAGTACTAGTGCTAGTGCTAGTACTGGCACTGGCACTGGCACTGGCACTTGTATTTGTATTTGTATTTGTATTTGTATTTGTGCCTGCACCTATTCCTGTTCTTGCACCTACTCTTGTGCTTGTTCTTGTGCCTGTGCATGTTCCTGTACTTGTTCCTGTTCCTATTTCTACTCCTGTTCCTGTGCCTGTGCCTGTGTCTGTGCCTGTTCCTGTACCTGTGCCTGTGCCTGCACAAGCTGCAGAAGCAGAAGATGATGATAATGAAGATATTGAAGGCGATGATGGTGATAGGGTTAGGCTGTCACCCAAGGTGCGTTTGATAGGCCGTTGGCGCATTGTCTTTTGTCTTTTGCGGACTGGTCCAAGCCGTGTGTCGATTATGACAGCCTGTTGTGCGCGTGCTTCGATGATTGCCTGTTGCTGTTTCCTGAGTTTTGCGGCAGTCAGCAATGCTTTCTGAATTTCGTGTGGAGATTCATTTCGTCGCTTGGCTAATCGAAGTATCCAGCTTTTTGTCTTTTGCTTGGCTTGACGCTCAGTCTTTGGTGGTAGCATACTGGTTGGAATAAACAATATAGAAAAATGATATAAAAAAAATGAAACTTTGTGTCAGTAAAATTCCATAAAGCCATATCACTTTTTATTTATTTATTTACTTTTTTTTTATAATATACTATTTATTAAGAAATTGATCATAATTGTAAAGTGCTTCAATGTCACACATGCTGTCAATTTTGGCAGCACCGATTCGTTTCAGATTTACAAAAATATCTCCACAAAGACATTTCTCCTTCTATCCCTATTAATTCCTTCCCCTTGTTTAAATTTGTATATTTATATATATTGATAGGAATGTTGGTCAAAGAATGACACAAAGAACAAGTCAAGTCTGCTTGTGTGTGTGTGTGTGTGTGTGTAGATAATATGTAAAATTAAATACAGTCTAATAGAATATATAAAAACGACTCACCATTCCAAAAGAGTCTGTTCAGTATCTGAAACTGATTCTTGTGTAAATTCGCCATCGTCAGAACTGATATGGTGCTGTTCAATGAATAGATGAGCAAGATGTGACAGAGTAGCATCGGTTATGCTCCAATCCAATATTAATGTGTGCTCAGTTATGTGCGGGTGTGTGTTGGGTTTGAGAGTAAAGGATAGACTCTGGAGTAAAGGATTGGCTGTTCCTGCCAACAGATCCTTGTGAGAGAGTCTACATAACTCTGCCAAGGCATAGAGCTGCAGACGACAGGCGATGGCGATAACCAATTGAGACTGTAGATAGATATGGCCGTTTTGGTCGGTACATATGGACTCTGGACTACTCTGGACTAGCCGAGTGATTGAGTGGATTTCCTCTGAGGTTGGAGAGTGAATTATGGTGAATATATAGCGTAGATCGTCAAGAGAGAAGAAGTCGAGTGGTTGGTTGTCTTGGATAGGTATCATGTAGAGAGAAAGAGCTGAAGGATGTGTGGTGCCTAGGGTAATTGCTTTGACTCTCATATTATTCCTGTCTACAAAATAAGGTGAGAAGATTAATGATAATATAATAAGCAAGGAAGGGAGAGTGTATTTGGGGGGTAAATAGATAAGTAAGTAGGTTTCCTATATTTTTTATTTTTTTTTTAAAAAAAAAAAAAGGCAAAAAATTATGGGGGGGTAGAAGGGTATAAAGATAAAGAGATAAAGAAGAGGAGGGTGGGGGTTGAGGATCCCTTGAGATGAAACGTATTATTATGAATATTAAATATATAAGGTAAAGTAAAGTAAAATAAAATAAAATATATACATAAGAATCCCCACAAACATGTGTTTTCTTTTTTTACATATAAAATTATAATTATAATTATAATTATTTATATTACATTTATATATCAATTATTATAATAATTAAAGGTGATTTGCTCTTGTTCTTTATTTTATTTTATTTTATTTTATTCTCTCCTTCTTTTTCTGAAATCCATAGTCTTGAACCCCCTTAAAAGACAACAACGAAAAAAGAAAAAGAAAATTAAAGTGAATTGAAGTGAATTTGAAGCTGAAGTAGCAAATTCATATTTTTTATATATAAAAAAAAATATTACTCCTTGTTTCATCATTTTGAAAGAAAGGAAGAAAAATATTAACGTTTATTGTGTGCATGAAACAACCTCTTGTTTTGTCTGCTTTATTACAGCGTTTCATGTCTAGAATTAAATTTACCAGGAATTTTTTCAGTTAAACATCTACACAAGCCACACACTCTATTCTTTTTCCACTTAAACCTTGGTCTGTCCTGACTTCAATTGGCGACTAAGCTATAGCCACCAACCTACAAACCAACAACCAGTGACGAGCCACTTGTTCAATTTTTAAATCACTGCACACACACACACATATATATATATATATATATATACATATATACATATAAAACATGTCTTCTGATGAAGATGACCTTGACTTGAACGACGACACTACTTCTCAATTAGACAATGCTACAGACGATGGTGATGTAATGGACATTGAAGGTAAAGCACATTCTTGTCTCATTAAATACATAAAAACAATAAATTACTCTTATCAGTATTGTCTTCTATTATTATTATTATTTTTTAATTTTTATCAACAACAATAACAATAACAACAACAAACTCATATTTATACATTTGTTGATATATTGATATGTATAAATATAATACAATAACAATAAAGACCCCTTACCTTCTGCTCGAAGTTCACCGGCACCTCAACAGGAGTTAATGGACACAAACACATCTCACAGACAACGTCTCTGTTTGTGCATCTCACCAGACGCAAGGATCTGTAGATCCTACGACTGTGTTCCTCATGCAAGTTATTGTAGATATTGAAGAGAGAGAGAGAGAGAGAGAGAAGGAGAGAAGGAGCGAGATATTGATATTAAATATAAACTTAGGTTGCTGCTATTCACCCTAATCCAATCTATAGTTTGGCAGCAACTCGATGTTATCGGTGGATATTTACAGGATCGGATGATGGCTATGTACGAAAATGGGATTTCTTTGCATCGATGAATGGCAAACTACTTCTCACTCAAGCACAAAGACATCAGCATGTTGAATCTGTGAGCATGGTGAGTATTAGATAATTATTAGTATATCATGATGTAGTTTAAATAATATTACTGTGGGGAATATATATAATTTTTCTCTGAATCTGGCAGGCTGGTGTCCTGAGTTCTTGGTGGGAGCATGAAGAACATCCAGGTAAATTGACTATTGCTATTATTATTCCTTTAATTTCATAACTGTCCTTTGTATTACTATTACTACTTTACTTTTATATAACATTTAAATAAAACCTTTAATATGCACACATATACATACACTTGTTTCTAATAAATAATATAATATAATAATATCAATATTAATATTAAATAATAAGTAATGGGTAAAAAAGAAGTAAAGTAAAAAAAGAAGTGTATAATTAATGCCTTTATGTATATATGTATATCTATAACCTGCATTCATCTAGAACCTGTTGCCAAAATAGAACCAGTCGATTCTACCGGAGAGGAAAGTGCTGGTACACAGGCTGTTCAAGGGCCACTACTAGAACCCAAGGCATCTCCTGTATACAGCATGGACGTTCATGCAGAAGCACTCTGGATGGTTCTAGGCTGTGACAATGGTAGCATTAATCTTGTCACTGTACGACATGAGGAAGGCAAGTGCCGTAATGTGTTAAGACATCACAAGGGTCCAGTATCGGTCTTGAAGATCACTCCAAGCGAAACAGGTGTCATCAGTGGCTCTTGGGACCGGACTGTAGCCGTAAGCATAGTTTCTTAATTTATATATATAACAAAAACAAAAGCAAAAAAAAAGTGCTTTTTTGTTTGTTTATTTATTTATTTATCTATTTATGTGTGTATATCATGTGGATTGTTAGGAGTGGGATCTTCACACAGGCACAATAGTCAGATCATACCAAGGTCACAACTCACAGATTGCATCGGTCGCCTTTCAACCTATCTACACACCCTATGTGCCTACAAACACATCAAAAGACACCCAAGATAAATCTGTTCTTGACACCACAGATAATCCTGACTCTGCGCAACCCACAGACCCTAGCTTGATCTGGGACCAAAAGAACCCTGACATTCTGCTAACAACCAGTGTCGACGGCCAATGTTTGTTGTGGGATCGACGGGAACCTTCAAATGATGCACGAAAATTAGGGGTACCAGAACGTACCCCACCTTGGTGCTTATCCGTGAGTAAATACCGACCAATACTGTGTATCTGTTGTTGATTTTAAACAACAACACCAACAACAACAACAACAACAACAAAAAATCTCTTTGTCTCAATAGGCATGCTGGAGTACTGACGGCACAAAGATATATGCAGGTCGGCGCAATGGAACAGGTATGTCTTAATATGGAGTAGTCATACACAGAAAAAATTCAACACTATATTGTCTTTTTGTTTTATTTATTTTTTTGGTATTAGTTGATGAATATGACTATGCTTCTCAAAAGCATATCCAGACCTTCCGTATGCCATCGAATTCCGGTCCTGTATCTTATGTTAGCAGTATGCCAAATGGAAAACATTTGATATGGTAAATATCAAAAAGCTCTATTCATGTTTTACTTTTGTTTTACTAAATATGTACATTGGGATGTAATTATTAGTGCTTCAAATGATAATGTGCGCCTCTGGGACACATCATTAGATTCTGCATTTACCATCCGACCAGGAGTTGAACAAGAATTTGTAAAACCCTCGAAAACACCATCAGTAATTCCTTTTATCATTTTGCCTGGTCATCATGGAGGAGTTATCTCACATATATGTAAGTCATATAGATTTTTATATATATAAAAATTGATCTATATCATGTTATTAATTTTAATAAACTAGATGTTGACCCAACATGTCAGTACATGATCACCACGTCTGGAAATAGAGGCTGGGAAGGTAGCTCTACAAATGCATGTCTATTTTATGATATTAGTCCTGTTGTTTAAATAAACGTGATTTACTTTCTAATATATCTATATATAAGTCTCTTTACCTTAAGGATACAAAAAAAAACTAGAGAGAAAGCAAAAGTTGTACTATAAGATAATGTTTAGCTGATTCATATTTAGTTTCAACTACATTCTTGTATATTATTATTATATATCTTTGAAATCCTTTGAATTTATTTATTTATTTGTTAGACAATGTTAATCCTTTCATGTTTATACAAGTAAACTCTGCTGTTATGTCTGTAATATTCTTGACTAAATATAATTTTAATAAATGTCACAAAAATATGCTATAGAAAATTATATTTAAGATTTAAATAATACATTGGTCTCTTACCCTGTAGCTATATGTAAAATGTGACTCAATAGACCTTAGAAATAAATATAACTATAAAAAAAAACAGAAAACATTAATTCAAATTATTTTTCTTCTATTTCTACTACTTATTTACTGTAAAAAATATATAAAAGCTGTAATAATATTGTTTATTTAAAATTCTATATACTTTCACAGTATATCTATATCGTATCTAAAATTATTTTAATATTACAGCTATCAAATTATAATAAGTATATAAAAAAATAAAAAAATCTAATTGTGGTATTTCAGGTACAAAACAATAGAAAAATAAAATATTTGATAATAGAGACGTATAGAAATACTTTGAGACTGTATATAAGTTGTCTTTATTCATAAATAAAAAGTGTCCCTTTTTATAAGAAAACACAATCTACTCTTGTCATTACGTCTTAGTTTTTTAAGGCTTTCTTTCTTTACTATATTTGATTATTAGAGTGTATTTACTGCTTAACTAGTGTCAGTGTTACAATTATGACATCAAGTCATAAATTGTACTTCTTTAGTTCTTAGCTATTCTTTTCTCTTTTATACTAGAGCTTTAGGACTTTCTACTAAATTAGCTCCATATCGATCTGACACAGTTTACCCAGCAGTATGATATAATTATCTTAACAATCTTTAAGATATTATCTACAGTACTAACTGTAATAATTATTGGGCTGATTACTTAATCGTCTATATACATTTTATACTGACAAGATGATAGCTACTATGCTATCCCAATATGAATATGTTCTTATATGTGATAAATCCAACATCCGAGTGTCTGGATCACCACACTAATATTATAAATAAAAATCTAATACTTTATATATGATTTAATTAGTAATATCCTTTTAAATGTCTAATCTAAATAAATTATAATAGACAGCTAATTGTATTATAAAAACTTTGAATTTTTTTTTAAAACAAATAGAAATTGTCTTTCGCCGCTACTGGGAATCGACTGCTTTTATAACTGTTATAACACAAGTCCGAGGAATTTACCGGACAAGTCCGGGCCGCACATAACAAATTTTATTGATTAAATTTATAATAACTAAAACTTTAATTTAAAAGTAAGCCGCAATAGCTCAGCTGGGAGAGCGTTAGACTGAAGATCTAAAGGTCGTGTGTTCAATCCACACTTGTGGCAGTTACTTTTATCTGTTCTGATTAGTTTTTTTTTTGGTAATTTTTAGTAAACAATTGTCGTTTTCGATCTGGTATTTCTTTTGTCAAGTCTCGACTGGGTGTATCTTTCTATTATTTTAACTTGTATAAGTTTTGATAATAGATCACCACCAACTAGGACGTTGTGAATAAATAGGAACAGATAAGAATATAGAGAATTGAATGCTTTTTATTGATATAAATCTTTGAGTATTTATACAGATTTCTTAAAAGTGAAACTTGTGGTGATCCAGACACTCGGATGTTGGATTTATCACATATAAGAACATATTCATATTGGGATAGCGTAGTAGCTATCATCTTGTCAGTATAAAATATATATAAACGATTAAGTAATCAGCCCAATAATTATTACAGTTAGTACTGTAGATAATATCTTAAAGATTGTTAAGATAATTATATCATACTGCCGGGTAAACTGTGTCAGATCGATATGGAGCTAATTTAGTAGGAAGTCCTAAAGCTCTAGTATAAAAGAGAAAAGAATAGCTAAGAGCTAAAGAAGTACAATTTATGACTTGATGTCATAATTGTAACACCGACACTAGTTAAGCAGTAAATACACTCTAATAACCAAATATAGTAAAGGAAGAAAGCCTTAAGAAACTAAGACGTAATGACAAGAGCAGATTGTGTTTTCTTATAAAAAGGGACACTTTTTATTTATGAATAAAGACAACTTATATACAGTCTCAAAGTATTTCTATACGTCTCTATTATCAAATATTTTATTTTTCTATTGTTTCGTACCTGAAATACCACAAAACTATCTAATCTAATTATTTTACCCAGGACATATTGGTTTTACATTTATGGAAGGCGATATAATATGTCTTGGCTAACGAAAAGGGGAACCAATCGGTATAACATTGAGGGCATATGTTAAAAGGAATAACCAATTGGATACCTGACTTAAGGATTTCTATCTACGATGTCAACTCTGACACTTTTATGGCACTTGTAACTAAGTCGCATAATCAATACCACTGTGGATAGTCAAGTTTATGAGTAGCTTTTAGATAGAAATAATCATATCTTTTTATTAAGAATAAATGTTAGCTGTCTATACAAAATTATTATGATATTTATGATAAATAAATAGCTACAACAATATGTCTTAGATGCTAGATATCCAGTAATATTTCTACAAGTATATCAATCATCTTAAATATATAAAGTATACGAGAAAGACCAATTGGCGAAGTCTTGATCTTTTATCCAAAAGTAATCAACCATTACTGGTTGTCTATGAATGCCAATTTTGGTCGCTAGTATCAACTCTGACACAATGATATTTTGTTTTGATTATACATTGTTACACATTTTAGAAACTGTATTCAGAGTAAAAAAGTAACTATTCATTAGTTTGTTAGTAGCTTAATATATTACTTTATTTTATTCTTTTAGCCCTAGGGCAAAAATTCTATAAATTTAAATATTCTTTTTTTTAATACATGTATATATATTATGTAAATTCTATTGGCTTGGAATGAAGAGCAATTAACCTAGGAGAAAAAAGTAACAGATATGAATTTTATTAAAAGTAGGTTATAAATCTTCACTTTTTTTTGCAATGTTTCTTTGATTCAAATTTGTTTATTTATCTATCTATCACAATTTTTTTAATTACATAACAATCAATATGCATTCAAATTCTAGCATAGTTATCAGCAAACAAATATTAGCAGATACAGTTTTTAGTGAAAGATTAGAGAAACACAAATCTACCATGGAAAAACAAGCTTATATAACAGGAATATGTATCGGAAGATCTCTTAAACCAGGTTGCTATTTGGTCAGCTTTGATGCATGTCCTGAAGAGCGTTTCATTATCCAACATAAATATGTATCTGAAAAAGGTGAGAGATATATAAAAGTAGTTCTTTAAAAAAGCAAGAAAATCTAATTTTTGTTTGCTGTATGTATTTGAAACAAAAAAGAATACACATTAGACAAAGAGAAAACCATACCAGCCGACAAATTGTTTTGGAAAAGTATTCAGTATCCTCAAAATTATATGACTTGGGCAAACACAAAACCAGGTCGAGTCTGCATATACAACTACCCTGATACTCCTCGTCAAGTATTTACTCAAAATACACTTGTTATATCAGAAAAAGACAGAAAACCTTTATCTTTTCAATTTTTAAACCTGCTTCCAGGAGACTACATCCGCAATACTATAATACCTACTACTAATATGCGCCTAAAAAAGCTCAATGAATTTCTGCCGTTGCTTGATTACGGGGAATTTCTTATATGGATATCAGTACTTATGATAAGAATGGACCATATGTACGAGGAAATCGAAGACTTTTGGCATTATCTGAGCAAAGCTATGCGTCCTAGAGATATAAATATGTACATGACACTAGACAGATTCTTTACCTTAACATCAGAAATAGCTTTAGCAGACATATCAATTTGCTCGTAAGTATTGAATCGTATTTAAGCTCAAGTACATAAAACTAACACTTTATTTTTTTCGAAAAAAAAGTGTTGAGGCTAGTGTTGAAAAATTTGAAAAGGCTTTTAATGAAAAACTTGCCACAAAGATTATTCCTGAGAAGTACTTGGTTTTATACAGTAGAAAATTATCAATCAGCAAGCATAACAATGAGGTGACGACATTAATCGACGAAGCCACCTCAAGTATAATTCAGGTTAATATTAAGACACGCAAGAAGGTCCAATATTATACAAAGGCATTTATCAAAAGAAAAATCAACGATTTTAAAGAGATAACCAAGCCGTGGCATCATACAAAAAGAACAATCGTTTCAAATTGTTTTCATGGGACACCGCATATCCCGGTTTCTTTGGAAAAGTGTGGTCTATTCACTATTTTACAAATATATCAGCCTGGATCAGAGTACAAGAAAATGCCAGAATACAAATATATTAAGAATCTCCTCGAAAAAGACAGTGAGGATGTTGCCTTGATATCAGAAAATCCGTATTGGTATATTGCACCGCACAATGCTGCCGAAGACCAGCTTATCATATCAAACTGTGGAATAACAACAAAATACATTGCCGATAATCAGACGGGAAAGGATTTACCTAAACAAACTAAATATCAAGACACAGTATTCCAAGAATATGACTCTATTAAAGGTACAAAAACGAAACATTTTTTTTATAACGCTGACAAAAAAATAGATATAGAGCCACGCATTAAAGAAATCACCGAAAGATTCGAAAACACAAGTTTTCTAAGCTTAAATATATTTGCAAGATATATAGCATTTTTTCTTGAAATCACATTTCACAACCTATGTTGTTTGCGAGCTGCTCAATCTAATGAACCAATATCTTTATATAAGAGCCTACGTTTGGAAATAGCAACAGCATTACAAGACAATGTATACGACCTTAAGCAAACCCTTGCTAATGTCAGTTCTTATGATAAAGCATTTTTGGAAATATCTAATATTTTGAAAATAGATAACCTCGATGAGGGATTTAACTACTTTAAAACAGGGTACAGACAAGAATTCATAGAGACACTTGTTGAGGTCGCCGGTATTCAACTCAAAGCACGTGAAATCGAGAAACAAGTATAATCAAAGGAATATCGAGAATACTCGAACTTGAATGCATTTGTTTTTATCAACATTGTTTTTACTGCTTTTATATTTTGTAAATATATGCAACAATACTTTTTTTACAGATGAACTCTTTCAGTAGTTTCATATTTCAGAGTTGGGGGGGGGGGGGGGGGAGGTGCTTGGGAATTGCTGTTCATGCCATATACTTTGATATATATATATTCTTTATCAATTACTAAATAAATAAATAAATATAGTACTAGTTTATGGATTTTCAAGTAAGCTGTATAGTTTGAATGAAAAGTACAAATCGAGGTAATGCAAAAAGAGTAAAAGGAAAGAAAAGGCAAGGAAGATAAGACTATACGGGAAGATACATTTTTTCTGGTATTATATATTAGAAGCATATACTGCCAATATATTACGAATTTAAAACCATTATTCAATGATACCAACAATAGGAAGATGAGGTCAAAAAATATAGCATGAACTCGAGCAAAAGTTTTACACTCTGAGACGGTCATAATATAGTATATTTGACCACTTGTCTATCAATATCTAATTGCGTCCTTTTTGAAAACACTTGGAGTAACAATGCTGTTCCCATTAGCCCACCACGTTTATATTTTGAGGAGTAATTTTTTTCAAACCACATTGACAATCAAAATGATTTTCTTCTTCTTCTTTATTTTTATAGTATCCCTCTTTCTGTTATTTTTTTTTCATTTTTATAAACAATGCATCCTTCACAGTTTAAGCACAAATATAAACTGATAACTATTGATTATTGATTATGTTTTCCAAAAAAAACAAGCAATTTGCAATTACTAAAATTGGGTTTTTACCAATTTTCTATTTTAGAATATATATATATATATTTATAGCCCTGAACCTTGTCTATTTTTCGCCAAGACGCCATTTACGCTTTGAAAGGACCTCCAATTGCTTTGTTACAGGTCTTACATAGACAATCAGCATGATTAAACCAACAATTACACACATGGTTCCAGCATAGTAGTATCCGTCCTGTGTAATCTCACAGCTACCACCCAAGTCCTTGCACTGTGCCTTTCCATCTTCTGACCCACAAGAAAATTCTAAAATAAACAGTTTCACGATAAGCACTCCTATGTTTTACCAGAGAGAATATAAAAATTCTACCTTGATTAAGGCTATCAGGAACGCTGCAAGTAGAAACAGTGAAGTAATCAACAGCTTCAAGAACGAAGAATTTGGGCCATGTTCCGCCAAAATTACTAAATGTGTTTAGAAGCTGCATATAAAGTAAAATAAGATTAGATATTATGAATATAATAATAATAATAATAAAATATTACTCAAAACTTACTGTCATGTATGTTCCACCAATTACAGGGTCAGCAATACTTGTCATAAAAGCCGAAATGCTGACAAATTGAACAGTCGACATAAATGAGCTAAGTACAGTAGACGACATGATGATAGCAAAGTATATAGGGCCGACTTCCTGATCTTTAGGATAACCAGCCACTACAAGCATTCCTAGAGCAGAACACACGAGTCTTCCAAAGAAGGCATAAAGCCACTATGGTCATACAGATAAGTAACACTAATATATAGTCGATACGATTTAATCGCATATTATTGAATGGGACTCACAGGTTTTAACGGACGAGATCCATTAGACCATTTGGCGGCGTAGTAGCCAAATAATACTTGAAGAGGGAAATCCAACAAGACGGCCAGGGCAAGATCTTCCTTGGAAAATCCTTTTTCGAGCAACTTCAGAGCTGTCACTGTCTCATGACAAATAAACCCAATCTTGGACACCAACAAAACAGCAATAAACGAGCGTACATCTGTGCCAATCAATATGTAAGTCTTTTTTTCTTTCTTGCACTCGATGTATTTTAACTTTATTAAACCTACTGGACAGTTTGCAAATTTTGATTATTGTTTCATAGACACCGCGTACACCCATTTGGTCGTCTTCACTTGGGACATCATTCTGGATAAGAGAGAAAGTCAATATTTTGTAAAAGTTGAATGTTTTGGCAACCAATCTTACCTCTTTGGTAACAAAGGCGAGCCAGGCAGTAACGACAAAGTACATAATACCCCAGAACTTCATATAAGCTCCAAGAGGAACTAAGCCTGTATCAAGTGGCTCTGAACGCAAATATTTATTACTGAATTCGGCTGAATTGAGGGCAAGAAAGACAGTAAAAGACAAAAAATAGCCTGTGTTGAGACCAATGGTTTGGGCAGTAGATGCATACGACAAACTTTCCTTTGAGAGGAGTGTAAGAGCCCAACCATCAACAGCAATATCTTGTGTTGCACAAAAGAAGATTGTAGTAAGGAAAAGGAAAGTGAGATAGTAGATGGGAACATGTTCAGCATTCATAATAGCATCAATGCGACTTCCCAGCCACAAGAATAGAATGCCTGTGAGAGTTTGAATAGGAATGATCCATGATTTACGTCTGCCTAACTTTGGAGTGTAAACAGCATCTACGATTGGAGACCAGATGAGTTTTAGAGAGTATGGCCATGATGATGAGAGAGAAAAAACTGCGATTTGTGAATAAGACATGTGTGATTTGAGTAGAAAGGGAATGGATCCGAATGAAAGGCCCACAGGGATGCCCTGGAGCAAGTAAAGAATAACAAGCAGCAAGAAGTTGCCTCTGTCTTTTTCACTGAGAGCTTGATCTCCTTTGGGTTCTTCTGTTGGAGTCATTCCTTCTTCCTCTTTGTTGCGAGGTTCTTTACGGCGAGTGGTGGTGGTGGGTTGTTCCATAGCTGTAGTTGTTGCTTTTGAAATAGCTGGTACGATAGGTTCGTCGTCCAGAGTTGAAAAGACGTAAGCAGCCGTCATGGAAATGAGGCGTTGTCTTGAAAGGGGAGGGGAGGGCAAGTAAGTGAGAGGGGACGTGGAGGACGATAAGAGGGACGTGGGACGGAATTGACCAATCAGAGGAAGGGGGGAGAGATGATGTTTATTGATTAGGCTAAAAACTAAGAGGATATTGCGTAGATCTAGTCGACATCCATAAGGTCATGTCGTGGCTGTGTTGTGTCTGGTTCCGCCTCTACTTCTGTAGACGAGCCTGAGGCAAGGCTACGAGTAGAGCGAGAGTTTCGCCTGCGATGATGATAAAAGAGCCGTGGATCACGCCTAGGCTGATCTGGAGTATGATCCGGACTGTTCATAGAAAGAGAGGAACGATGGGTGTCTTCTTCTACAGGTTCTGTATCTACTTGAATAGTTTGATGATCGATAGTAATAGGTACTACTTCAGTCCCTGTTGTTTGATCGAGTGGAACAACCTGGTCAGTAACTGTTGGCAGCTGAGGAGCTGCCGCCACAGCTGCTGCAACTACAGCAGCTGTGGTGTTGAGGGGTGCATTGGTGGCTGGAGAATTGGCTGATTGAGTCCTTTCAACACACCACCACCTATGCCCCTCGGCCCAAGCCTTAGACTGACAGGATTTGGAGCAATATTTTGCCTTGCGACTAAAGTACAATTAAAACATAATTTTGGGTGGTTGGGGGAGGAGGGGAGGGGGGGATTTTTTTTGTTTTGTTTTAAAAAGGGGGAGGGGGAAGCAAGTGAATACAATGAAGAAATATAGTATAATCTCTATAGATACAATATACACAGCATTTACGTACCACCGTCGACATTTTGCAAACTCGCGTGGATACTGCTCCCATTTACCGCACTGCATGTGGGCACATTGTCGTCGACCACCTTGTGTTTCATCTTTGCGGCAAGCATTGCGCATAATGACACCTGCCCAGTAAATGATAGAGGTCGGGTGGAAACGGTGGGTGAATTTCTCGACTACAGAAAAAACATTACGATGATGGTTGGTGTGAAGTGCCTGACGTAGCTGAGGGTATTTAGATAGATAGGCGAGAAGCTGAAGAGATAGAATAATGTCGTCTTCACGATGAATTACAGCATCGGGAGTGAGGTTGGAGAGGAGAGGAATAAAAGCACTGGTGGATGAGGGTTTTGTTTTTGGCTTTGTTTTGGGTGTGCGGATGATGAAGGTGCGGCGAGTGGGTGTAGAAAAAGGAACTATTGTGGTTGTCGTAGAGGAGAGAATAGAAGAGTCGGGAAGATTGAAAAGTCTCCGGGGGGTGATGGGTGTAGACCTAGAAGGATGCAAGGGCATAGTAGGCAAACTGAGAGCAGTGACTGTAGTGTCTGGCTTGCGTTCATCTTTTTCAAGCTTGACTTTCTCCAGTGCATCCATAAAGTTCTCTAGGATCGCCAGCACAATATGGATCGTGCCTGCATTTACCACACGGGTCCGGATCGTCTCTGTCCCACGAACACCCACATTTACCACACACTGAAACGCAAGTGACCACTTCCACAGCGACCGTCGGTCTGTGTGTTGACAAGTAGCCAGAATCTTCACCAGTCTTTCTAGTCCACCATCTGTTGCAAGGATCTCTCGTATGCGTGGTGATGTCGACGTCATGTAAGCCAGGTGAGTCAGCGAGTTTACCAATGGAAGTGTCGCTGTGCAATCCAGTGCCCGTCGATCGTACAGTGTCGACGAGATAACGACCGCTGCCTTATGTTGTGATGGGACGCTAAAGTTGGGTTCACGCATGATCTACTGATTAAAAGATAGAAAACCGGCCTTGATTAAAAGAGATTGAGTAGATGAGATGGCACGAGCAGGTTCGCTTGTATTCGAGCGAAAAGGAAACGTAAGGGAAAAAAAAGAGGGAGAAGGGGAGGGGACTGAATTGTTATAATATGGCTGTATAAAAAGTTTGTGTCCTACCCTTATTCTGATACGGAGATGAAATTCAACTTGTCTCGATAGGTTTACCATTGTTGGAATCAACAAATCCTGTTTTTCTTTGTCTTCTTTCACAAACATCCCACATTGGACAATACACAGAAAATAATGTATAAGATTGTTCTGATACTATGGTAAGTATCCATGGCAATTGAGAAATAAGATTTATATTCATTCATAACCATAGAAACCGAAAAAAATAGAGTTTATATTTTAATTATCATTACATTTGACTTTATTTTATTTTATTTTATTATACTATACTATACTATACTATATTTTATTATATTATATCAATCATACTAGTATATATTTATATTTCACCTTACGCTTTATTTTGATTCTTGCTGTGCTTCATGAGCTTTTTACTATTTTATTTGTGAGGGAAAAAACAAAAGCAGGAAGGGAAAAATACTACGTTGTCAAATAGTAAGAATACTGGACTAAATGATAAGGATAGCCAATAAAGTACCTACACTTAAACTTCCGTAAATCCACAGACATCCTTACCCAAGAATCTTAGTAATTGAGAACCGAACCAAAGACATAACACCAACCTTGCACTGTCTGTTATTCTTGATCTGGTGGTACTGTACATCAATAGCTAGCTCAGACAAGATACATATAGCTCAGTACAATTGCAGACGGTGGGCTGATTTCGGGAGTCAGACTCAATGCTGTCTCTCTTCCGCTCTTTCTCCCTACCTCTCTCGTCTCTCGCTCTCTCCTTCTCTTAATATCTATCTTTCTCTTTGGTTCCATGTATTGGCCGATAATTTTAGTGAGAATATCATATGGTCTAATAAGCGAAACTATGATATACTTTATCTTTTCAAGAGAAAAAAAGGAAGGGCTTTTTATGCATGCAGTCCAAGACAACGCATGCTAATCAAAGGAAAAAAAAGGTGATTTGAATTACATCGTACAAGCACACTCGCACCCAAACCCACAGAATTAGTAAACAATTGCCTACCTGCCTACCTACCTATCAATGCCTTTATGATTTGCTTTTAGACTATCAATCCCAAACATTATCTTTCATATATACATCAAAGTGTTAGCTCGATCACCATATTTAGAAGTAATACAATGAATCCTGAAATTTAAAGACTCAAGGAGTAATGATCGATTCAATTTTTTCCAACTGATTATAATTGATGTCCCATACTTAGACAATACGATACTGTATATGGCATTTGATTATTAAAGTCCCGGAACTTTATCCCTGCTGTTTTTACAAAGGATTAAATATTTCTGATAGCTATATTTAGTGTTTGATTTCGATTGCTATAAGCACCTTTGGGATCATCATTTTATCTCATAACCACACCTCTTTTTCACTCTCTTTTCTTGCTGTAAAGCCTGGTATTTTCTTTTACTCAAAATAATATACTGAGTACCCAAGAAAAAGAGCATAATTCCTTAGATAACCAAATTCCAGGCTAATGTGTACTTTCTTGAGTCCTAAGAAAAGTGTCAAAACAAGGAGCATATATATATAATATTACATCAATATAAAGTAAATTACGTCTATATTAAAGAATACATAGCTACATTTGTTATTTATTAATAGCTTGTGGGATACCATTTGTCATCAATTACTGCCTGACACCGTCGATTCATACTTGAAATCAAACTATCAAAATATTTTTAAGGAATAAGCTTCCATTTCATTTCAAGAGCAGCACGAAGATATTTAAGGCTACACACAATGTATTTTTTTTTGTGTAGGGAGCCGTAGGCTCTGATTTATTAGTGAGCCTCTATGCTGCAAGGAAATAGAGGAAGTCACGACTTGTTTTTGATTTTTTCTATTTTTACTATGTTTTTCTAATATATATATATATATATATATGTTATATATATATGGAGATGATATTGAAGGAGGAAGCTAAAGGGAGAAATTATTGAGATCAATATCGCTCTTGAGGCGGCCAAGAAGAGAAGAATCGGTAGAAAAGGCAGCAGAGGAGACGAAAGGAACTTGATCAAATATTAACATCCAGTGATTGCGCCATATTGCTAGCATCGTGCAGCCAAAAATCGAAGAAGCGGGGAGAGCAGGATCGGCGCGAGGAGGGAAGGTGAAGGATTGGAAACAAGAAAGCAAGATGGTGGGTGTTGCGGTTTGTGCAAAGGACAATGTCCAGATCGACGAGGATACGGATCGTTTGACCGGACAATGGAAGAGAAAATGAATCTGATTGTCGAGAGGGTGAGAGCTGATGACACAGGATGGGTCTGGGAAGGCTGTGGGAAACCTAGAATTGAGGCGAGAGCGACAAGAAATTTTCTTGTGCAGGGCACGAAACCAAACATTACGGGCACCATGCGGGAGAGGAAAAGACAAAAACCGACAAAGCTGACGGGGGAGAAGTGAAGGGAGGATGGGGTGGGCGGCTTTAGAGTGAAAGTTGCAGAGAAGGCAGAAAGACTGAGTGGACAAACGATGCCAAGGAATGTCAGGAACAAGAGCCGTCAAGAAAGGACCCACTTCAACGGCTGTACCAGTAGGCGGATCAAACGATGGAAGCTGTATGGCACATATTTCAGAGGGAATTGTGGCACGGTACAGGACAGGATGCAAGACAGGAGAGCGAGTGTAGAGTCTTTCGAAGAACCGGTGGCGAACGATGGGACGGCGAAGTATGCGGTGGAGGAGGCGTTGAGCGAGCACACCGAAACTAGGGTCAACTTCATAGGCATCGGAAACCCGGAGGTCACGCCATGCAGATGGAAAGGGAAGATGGTCTAGTTGTGCGATAGTGAGAGATGAGAGAGTCAGAGAGAGACGTGTGGGAACGTTTATCACTACGTCGGAGAAGTTGTGAGGGAGAAGGTCAATAGCAGCAAGTAGGGTGGCCAAAGGAGAGTTGAAATCGAATTGATGAGAGGATTGGAGAGATGGAAATATTAAAGGAACGAGTGGATCAACAGAGGAGGAATCGAGGCAGAGGACGTACGAGAACCAAGGTGGGACCAGACCAGAGGGGGACAGTGGAGAACAGACGAGAGGCCGGAGCCAGCGCAACTAGAGAGCAGCTTGTTGGACTTGAGGATCAAGAATACCTAGACCACCAAGTCGAATAGGCCGACAGAAAATGCTGAGGGAGATTTGAGGAAAGTAACGGTATTGTAGAAACTTACTCATGATCGAGCGAAGTCGACGCAAAAAGGAGAGAGGTACAGTGAGGGCTCGGAAGATATTCCAGAGCTTAGATAGGATCAAGGAATTGAGCATCATGTCACGGCCACAAATGGAGAGAGATCGAGAGTCATGGATATGCCAGGCAGATTAAATCTTGGAGAGAAGGTCTTTGCAGAAATAATTGCGTTAAGGTAAGGATTGAATGAGTGGAAAACCGAGATATCGTAAGGGAGTGGAGGAAGATCTGTCAGACCAAGCGGTGATATCAAAGCGTTGTAGGATGGGATGCCATTCTGGAAATGAAAGGCCGGTGGTGGTGACAGAGCAGTGCGCGGTGACAGAGAAAAACCGGTAAAGGAAGGATCATGGATCATTCGACGAAACAAAGATTCAAGCGCAAGGTTAAAAAGCACAGGAGAAAGATGATCACCTTGTAGGAGTCCACAAGCTTGATGGAGTGCTCGGGATAGATGTCCATTGACATTGATTTGAATCTGTGTAGAAAAGAAAAGTTGAGATATGCGGGTGACGAGGGAAGGGTGAAAGTCGAAATGCTGTAGGACCTGACGAAGGTATTCAGGACGGACTCTGTCGTAGGCTTTCTCCTGATCCAGAAGAAGTCCTATACCGGAAGAACCGTCTTGTCGGGCTTGTTCCATAACTAGCTTGGTCCGCATCCCGTTTTTAGCAATGAATCATCATTGCACGAATCTGGTCTGGAAGAGCATGTCAAGCGAGGAAGCAGCAGGTACCATGCGACAGTTAATGAGGCGAGTGAACACATTTGCATCGGTATTGATGAGAGCAATCGGGCGTCAGTTTCGGAAGGAGGTGAGGTCACCTTTCTTGGGAAGAAGACAGACGCAGGTCGATTGCCAGGACGAAGGAAACACACCGAGGGCAAGCCCATCGTTATATATTCGAACAAGTAGATCGGCACACATAGAATGATCCATTACCAGTCGCAAAATTTAGTAAGGCAAACTATCCGGCCCAGGGCTACTGGCATCAGGAGTGCGAGTGGCTCCAGCTCGGATGTCATCCAAGGTGAAGGGTTGAAGGAGTGTCAGAGAGGAAGAGGTCTGGTGGCAAATGAAGGAGGAGGTCGTCAATAGCTGTCTGAGCAGGAGGGTCGGGTGTGTAAAGCTCTTCATAAAATGCAGCAGCAGCTTCCATAAGATCATCGGGGTCAGTGCATAAGGTGCCTGGGGAGGAGTGGCGGATGCTGGCGATGGTGGTTCGAGCTTGGCGAGTAGCAACTGTGCGTTTCAAAAAACCAGCGGAAGTTTCGCCCTGTTCTCGCCAGTGTTTTCCGGCACGGAGTGCTAGTATCTCGATACGTTCCTGTTGAACTCGCTGAAGCTGAGGCTCAACGATAGGAAGCTGAAAGTCCTGAGCAGGCCGATAGCGAAATTTATGTATCAAATGGTCATGTTTACTCTGCAGTTTTACCTGCAAAGTGGCAAGGGATGGGCGGGTTGTGCGTGAATATGAAAGTGTGAAACGGGCCACTTCGACTTTGATCTGATCCCATTGTGATTGAGGGGAGATCGAAGGCGAGAGCAGTGGTAGGAAGGAGGAAAAACAGTCGGACAGGCAGGAGCAGTAGGAGGGGTTGTGAGTCAAACGAGGGTTTGCACGCCATAAACCCCGACCAATTTGAGAAAGCGCAGGAAAGCGAAGGCAGGTACGTACAAGGCAGTGATCGGTCCACAGGGGCTGAACATATGTGACGGTGGATGGTGAATGATAAGATGCGATGTCCTTAGAGGCATATATGTAGTCGATAGTCGATGAGGAAAGTTCGCGATGAAAAATAGGCATAGGTCGAACGTCAGGCGATGTGACGCGGTCTACAGAGTGATTAGCAACAAAATGCAGTCATGGACGTGGCGCGAGACCAGCACGAGAGGCATTTGCATATGATGAATAATTAAAATATCCTAGCATAATATATTGAGAAGGAAGGGAATGGAGAGGATGTGGGGAGGATAGAAGAGAGGTAAGAAAATCATATCGAGGACGATATGAAGCAGGGACATATAAAACGCAAATACGAAATGGGACGAATAAATTTGAAGAGTGAACAACGGTGGCAGTAATGCAACGACCACAGAGAGAAAAAATGGGATCAGTAAAAGAAATGAGGGGAGAGATGGAAACCAAACCACAGCGAGGAGACCATAACGAGTAGGATGCTTGAGATTGAAGATGAAACGTCTGTTGAAGAGCGTCTGTGCTGGCATGAGTTTCTTGAAGGGTAAGTATGTCTAAAGAGAGTGAGCGAAGATATCTAATAAAGAGAGAGCGAGTATTTGTGTTTCCAAACTTGACAAGTCCGCGGCAGTTCATGGTAGCTATATTAATTATAAAGTTAAAATAGATCGCCATCTGCCATCTCGTCTTCGGTTAGTGCATGGTGAGAGTCTTGGTCGTCGTCGCTGTCAAATGCGCTGGGGTGAAATGCTTCCTGTTCTTCAGTAGTGCCCGAAGTAAAGTTTGATGGAAGAAAGGCGTTTTGGAGCGGGTGAAAAACGGGGTCATATTGGGTGTTGTGCGTCCTAAGGAGAGGTAGAATGAAGTTGACGAGTGCGCTTGTGCTGCTGTTGTCATTCAATTCGTCAAGTGGAGCGAACCTATTAGCAGACAGACGGGAGGAGGTAGGAAGGGAAGTGATAGAAGTCTGTGGTGATGACTAGATAGTGTTACTGTCGGCGTATGTGGTGTCCTGGGATCCCTCAGCCATCGTCGCTATACCTTGTGGGAGAGTCAACTGCTTAGTCGGTGTCTTGAGACAATCAGCAGGGGTGCTCTTGGGTGGTTGAGGGTGGGATACTGGTTTCACGGGTATCTTACGGGGCTTCTTGGACGAGATGGCATCTACTGGTGGTGCTCTAGGGCAGGCATGTTGCAAGTGACCAGTCTGATAACAGGTAAAGCATCGCCGGGAGTCTTTGGGACGTTCAGGGCAGTTCTCAATGTCGTGTTCCATAGCCTTAAAATATTTACAGTGGAGACCCATCTGTTTCCAGGTACCTAAGAAGTAGGAGCCACCATTGTACGGGATCTTGTATGAAAGTTTGGCAAGAGTGGCATCGGGGTTAGGTGGTTGTTCAAGGTAAGCAAAAGCAAGCAAAACCAGTATCGGAGATCCAAACCGTATTCGCGGACAGTGCCATACGCGGCCAAGGCTGTTTCGATAGCCTCTTGGAGCAGAGGGCGAGGAAGGAAGGGAAGCTGGGCGAGGAAGATACACAAATTTTTTGTGCCTGGGGCAATACCCATATAAGGGAAGTATGTCTGGCTCCCTACTGGGAAGCCTTTGGTACAGATGTCGGTACTGATGGCGGAACTGGTAAGGGGTATTTCGTGGATGAGCGGCTGTTTGTTGGGGAATAACACTCCCAAGGTACATTCTTCAGGAACGTTGGCTCGGAGAGCAGTCCAAAATTCATCAGTAAGGGTGGGGGCAGCAGGTGAGGTGAAGAAAAATCGAGTGAGGGGAGGTATTTTTGCGGCAAACGCGATCTGTAGATGTCGGCAAGTTGGAAAAAAGAACAGCTGGTACTTGAACAGGCTTAGAAGCAGCTGTAGCAACATCGAGATATGACCTAGGGGTTGGTGTTGAAGGGGTGGTGGCGGAGGTTTGTGAAGTAGAAGTATTGGGTTGACTTAATGTTGTGGTAGACCCATTGGGCGGGTTTGGTACTTTAGCGGGAAGAGCCATGCTACACACAATATATCTGTTTGACCTGATTCTCTTGCTTATATAGTCCAATATGTACTCAATGTTATTAAGATCTGGGCTTTGAAGAGGCTTACCAGACAAAACTTTCAACTTATATTGTCTTGTCTATTCTAAAGCTACCTTGCCTGTGTGTGACATTGTATTGTCTTCTTGGGCTATAATGTCCTTCTAGTCAGCTGGATAATAGAAAATTGCGAAGGAAGAATGATATCCCTTTTCTAATACCTTGACATACTTCTTGGGATTGGCTTGTTCGTTTATAATACTTAAAGCACCGCTACCCTTACTAAGAAGAAGCCCCAAGACATAAAAAAAACACCTCTAAACTTCATGGTTGGAGAGATGAAAGGAGAGTGAAGACTGGTATTCTTTTTATGGAGCGCTTTATTGCACCCATCGCTTCTAAAAAGCCCGAATCACTTCTCATCGCTCCAAATGATTCTATTCCAATCCTCAATACTTCAATCAGGATGAGCAGTGTGACATTCAGACCACTCCTTTTAATTTTCAAGGTAGATCTTAGGATTATTTAAAAATCTACGTAAATAAATGCCATAGTTATGAAGGAACCGTTTGAATGTACTTGATTTAGGAGTGGCGACAGTTCTTTTAATGGTTGAAACTTTCTGCGTTGTATACTTTGAAATACACAGGATTTCTCTTTCATCTCTTGAATTTAACTTTTTTTTATTGCCTTTCTGGTTTTTTGGCTCTCTAATAAGATCCAGTTTTTCTGCGGTGTTCGAGAACTCTGGAAGCAATATAAGAGCTAACACTGAGCTTCTTGGCGATGTCACATTGCTTGGTATTGTTTTTAATACTCTTGTGTACAGTAATGGCATGAGTTACATCGTTTATTTGCTTCATTTCTTTCTTGAGATCTGAGAGCAGGTACCATATTTGTGATTTTAGTTTTTTGATTACTTTTTTTCTGTATTGTTTCTTTGATTGGTCTATTGAAATGTGGATTTAAAAGAACATCGCGCAAGTTTTAGAGAGTTTTCGGGTTATAAAGCTTGCATTACTTTTTGATACTCAGTGTATTTTTTTATGAAAATCAGTTTTACTACACTACGGTAAAAAAAGGGCTATTAAGAGGGCGATTTTGAAAACTGCTTATAGTATTTTTAAAAGCCACCCCTGAATCGCCCCTTCTTTCTTATAGTGCCATTGTATTATATATATGTATATGTATATATATTTGTATTTATGTATTGCTTCCAAATTGGTGGATTGCCCTTTTTTAATTGACCCATCATTTCATAAACACCTTTAGCAATTCACAAAACAGCAGGAACTCCGATATCTTTTGTATAAATTTGAATCAGATATTCTCAGCGTTCATGCACCTCTTTGCTCTTGTAACCGCTAGGTTTTTTTTAAAAATATTTATATAAGCAATGCCACGCGATAATTTGCGCCGTGCAATCGAAGATCGCTATCGTTTGCATCGAAAGATTATGCGGGAGCCCGAAAATATGTCAGAGGAGTCCTTACTTAGCACAACGCACAATAACGATGGACGTGTCGAACCTCACGATGATCAAAGCTACCGTAGTCATACTCATAGTCATGCTCATCGTGGCCACAAACTTAACCCAATACCCTTTTTTTACAATCATGGGCTCACCCGTACAGCCAACCCTATTCTCAATGCCCAGTCAGGTCGACGTCCTATATCCACTGGAAACCCAGCCGTAATCGGTATACATCACATATGAAAATATGTAGTCGCCTTTGAATAAGCTCCTGTGTTAACCACCCGTCTTTAAAAAATAAAATAAAGGGAACTGGTCTTTTGCTGTTGTTACTATCCTACTGGGTACATTCAACATTTTTTTGCCCGATAAATCCAACCACATCATTCTACCTACAGCTATAATGTTTGGCGGGCTTGCACAGTATGTAGCAGGGTAATAGTCGAAGATACAACGAAACACCAATTTACGCCATCTATTAATCACAGCTTATCTTCTGACACATCATACAGTTTCATTGATTTATATTTCGGAGGTACATTTTCAGGCACAATATTGGTATCTTACGGCGCTTTCTGGACAGGCTCTGGAATGTTTATGCTCCCAACCGTTTATCCTACTTTATCATCCTTGGACGATGAGAGAGACTTAGGGCGAGCAAATGCTGTATACAATTTTCTTTGGGCGGCATATACTCTTATGCTGGCAGTGATATCTGTTAAAGTAAAAAACGGCACTTTTGTCCTCACATGGTAATACAGTACATTGCATTCTTTATATACTTCATCTAAATACTTTGTACATTCTTGGCTCGGATTATTCTATATTTTATCTGTTAGGAACCTCTGGTGGGTTTTCATGACATTGCTGTTCACAGCCATATACAATATTACAGACATAGTGCCAATTCTACGTGTTAGTGGTAAAATGCCTCTTTAAAATTTGGATTTTTTTTAATTATATATTACTTACTTGGGATTTATTGGTGTTAACCAGGTGTATTCGCATATCTAGCTGCACTGGGGGCATTTTACAGTGGAATTGCAATCGTAATGGAAGAGCAAGGTGTACAAATGTGGGTTGGTGCTTTCAGACCTTATTCAAATGACTGAAAGTAGCTCTCACTAAGATTGGTTTTTGATCTACTAAAAATCCTTCCACGCCCGCATCAACATCCACAGCCACATAAGCAATCCAAGTAGTTAAATCACTTTGTGTACTTCTTCTGTATATACCCTTATACCATAAAAATATAATCTATAGAATAATCTATAGAATAATCATATAAATAATCATACAATTATTCAACTCTTATGAATTCTTCAATGTAGCAGATATATTAATAATTCATTTATCCCAAATGCGGCAAGTTTTTACCTAAAGAAGTGTGACTGTCAAAGAAAAAGGTCAAGTCAAGCGATGTCATGAAGCACAGGATGATTAAGTACCATGGAAGTCCAACCAGGAATCGTCTTGCAATCCAAGCCTTTCTTCTCTAACTGTGTCTCATGGTCAGAAGACTGTCATATTCTTGCTTGCTTTGAATCAGCGGTGCATGTACTGGTGCGATCATATAATAATCAATCCAAATTGGCAATGCATTGACTTTTGCTTTTTTTTTTGCATGAATGTGAATGGGATTAATTAGACACCTATCCTAGCCGGGATGGCTTCTGATCTTGAAGGTCACATTCACGAAGGAATCTTGGCAATAGATTTGGAACCAAGTGAATTTGGAGAGTCGCAAGGCAAGTTCTTGTTTAATATGCGTCAATCGCGTATGCGACTTTAGCTTATAGTTGAGCTCCAATATTATCTAGTATTTGAGCAATATGTTGATCCATCCTATGCCATGCCAGAGTCCTTTCGATGGGCTACATGGTCGCCTAGTGGGCTATCAAGTAGTCTTGGGTAAGATAGAAAGAATATTATAGCCAGCCAACCGACCTCTATTTTTGTTATTTTATATGTATATCTTTTTCTCTGAATTTTGATAATGCTATAAAGGTGCTATTTGACAGCAGTGACAACAAAGCACCGAATCGTGTTTTATGAGCATCCAGATAATGGCCAATCACGTTGGATACCTACACTAGATTTGACTAAGGATATTTACAAACATGTAAAAAGTACGGATGAAAGTGCTATGGATATCGATGAAAAGGCAGCGGCATTAGCTCCAAGTGATGAAGAAGATGACGAAGAAGAGGAAGATGACGAAGAAGAAAATGAAAGCTCAGACGATCAAAAAGAATCAAATCCAAAGAAGCTTAATAGTCAATTTCAGTTTAAAAATATCGATGAGATGAAGCGATTCCAGACTCTCTGTGTGTAATAGATAAGGACCTCATTTTCTAAAAGAAAAAAAAGAGGCTTACTTCCCTTCCCTTTCCCCCTTTCTTCTTATGCTTAGATTGTGCTTGGACATCTAAGATTATTGTAGATCCATTAGCAGAAATGCCTGGTGTTCTGGCCTTATCACACAAGAGTGGCCATGTAACTATTTGGAGGTAGGAAGCTTAGGTATATAGGTGATATACTTTACAGAGCATTAAAAGAGAAAGGAAAACACAGCTATTCGCGTCGACACGGCTTAGCGTTCATCACAGAATTCAGACCCACAAATAACTACGTAAATCTATTACAATGGTCCAAATGGAAAATCAGTGGAAACACATGTAAGTTTTATGTTTTGCAAAAGTATTGATAGAAATAGATTAAGTAGATTAAGTAGACTATATGTATAAATGCATCTAAATACTACTTTTAGACACTGCCTATCTTATGGCTTCTAGCAATTCAGGCGAAGTATACCTGTCTTCTTTCACCATCACAGTAAATGCTGATGCAAAGGGCCAAGTGCATATTTACTCTCCTATCGTCAAAAAACTATTTACCTGGTTTAAGGATAGCCCTAGTATCCCAATTTTACTGACTACATGGGATGATTTCGTAAGTATTTCTATTTATTATTTGTCATAAGCATACAAAATCATTGACTGGTACCATGTATGTATTATTTGTAGTCTGATGACGGTTCTACTCTCAAACTAGTTGTCTCCAAAGGCATCAGTATACTGACTGCCTTTCTGAAAATAGAAAGCGATAGTGCAGAAATGATTGGAGACTGGCACAGATATATACCTGAAGATACAAGCATGGGACTGTCTAGTAGGTCAAATTCTTTTGTACACGCGTTTGTTTAACATGTAAAGTAAATAGGCGCTTCCTGGACTACGGATGGTGAATATTTGCAAGCTTTTACACACGAAGGTCAAGGTCTCGTCCTTAACACTAAAGAAAGCACAATTTCTTTGAACCTTCCCCGCTCATGCGCTCTTACGGATATTCTGTTACACAAATATAAATTCCAGTGTATGGAAATCGAGTCTAAGGCCGAAGAGGATGCTATAAACCCAAATATCGATATTGTGCCTATTATGTGGGGAACAGCAAACTCTTATAGCTCTCTGTACACTGCTATTGCATTCACCATGAAACCGGTAATCGATATATCTAATCGATCCAACTCTGTGTTTGATACATACATGGGATTCATTTTACAATCCACAAGAGAAGAAACAGAAACACTGGAAATGCTATGCAAAAATATTGAGAAGTGTATTAAAGATCCTAACTACAGTAAGTTATTATAAAATACCATACAATCTCTTTAACTTTCTTACTAACGACCTTTAAGTATTCACATACCCTATTAAAAATATTATTCACGAGGCTTTGGAATATGTTGCGAACGATGAAAGTGTCGATACTATTTTTACATGGTTATCAACAGTTGGAAGCCTTATGAAAGACACACACAGAAAACCAAGGTGAGAACAGTGTTCAATTGAGAGTTGCATATGCTAATTTACTGACGAGCATTTATTATACCTCTTTATTAGGGATCCCAATACATTGACCAAGAATATATACAGTGATACTACATCTGCAGCAGCCATGACAATGTGCACCGTCAAATTGGTATTAAAGGTAAAATATTCATTATATAACAAGTAGCTGGATTGTAATTTCTGGTGAGCTTTTGTGTATTTATACTTATACTTTTATCTATATTTATATTAGTATTTTGAGCTGCCAAAAATGATTAATGAAGATTTGAGAAAATGGTGCGCGATGGCCCGAAAGATAACAAGGGAAAATTATGCAGATTCTGTCCTACAATTTGCTATCGAGCGTGAAGACGAAGATTTTAGAGAGTTTGACGGTAAATATCTAATGAGAGATCACAAGAGACTACTAAATGTATTTCACTAAAATAGAGGACGACATTATGGTGATTCAGTTGATTTGCGATGATGCACTTATAGAAGGAAATGTGTCATCTTATCTATTGGACACCATTCGAAATGTCCACGACAAGTTGGAATCTTGCTTTCCTGATCTGGGCCCTTACGACGATTTATTGGCTGAGATCGACCGTGCTTCCCAATTTTCTAAAACCACCGAGCCATCAGAAAAAGTTATAGGACGAGAACACTGTCCAATTTGTCAAGACAATATCCTTTTTTTTTCTTCGTCTTATTCTTTTTCCCTCTCGCATATTGATTCATACACATATATATTCTTTAACTGGTATAATTACTGATCATGCCTTCTAGAGGAACTTTTGCTTCTTGCACATCAGGTCACACATGGGGTAAGTTCTGTACCATGACAAAATTAAAAGGAAAATAGCAACAAGAGAGCTAATAGCTGTAATCGATATACATAATATTTCAATAGAGAAATGCTGTATGACCATGCGAGTTCTCTCAACACCAAGTGCGCGTAAATGTACCTCTTGTAATTCCAAAAGTTTACAGCCAGGATCATTGGATTTCATCAGACTTCCAAACAATAATCCCGAACATATGTCTTTTACAGATACTATCTTACTCAAGTGCCAAAAATGTATCTTCTGCGGATCAGATTTGATAGATATAAATGCACTATGAGATTCTATCTTTTTATAATTCTAATACGCGCATGTCTATCTAACACCATATCATTTAAATATCAATAAAAAAAAGTATTCGTTTCAATGTATATTGTACACACAATTATTATTATTTTAAAAGGTTCGTGTGAATATAGTAGTTTAGGATTTAATAATATGCAATAGAAAAGGGGGTGGCAGATATGATTTGATGATGTGTTTGGCTTATGGGCGAGTAATTTACAATGGCTTTTTGGTTTCGTTTTAATGGATTACCAACGGAGGTAGTGGGTAGGACACTGAGAAAGCACGCATTAGTAATCTATTATTCTCTAATTAATTATTTTTTATACTTACTGCGTAACCTTCAGGATTTTTCTCCAAGTAAAACTATTGTGCAATGAAGTCTTACGGTTAGTAAATGTAACACACGATAACAATTGGCTCTGTCTTCATTACCTGATGATATTCTTCTCCATCATAGTATTGTTGTGCTGGAACAATTTGGGTTGCGATTCCCTCCTTTTTGTAATGCTTTTCCAATACTTCCTGAGTTACTTTCTCAGCAATAGATTTTTGTTCAGGGCTGTGGTAGAAAATGACAGAACGATATTGGGTACCAACATCAGGGCCTTGGAAGTTGAGAGTGGTGGGATCTGAAGATAAATATAAAAGTGTTTAGTCAACAGGAACTTGTATTACAGATTATTGTATTCAACATATATATATATTGCAACAAATAAAATGTTTGTAACTTACCATGCATACTATAAAAGAATTCGACCAAAGTCTCATAGCTCACTTTGCTAGGATCAAATTTTATTTCGCAAACTTCGGCATGGTCAGTGGTCCCTGTTTTCACCTTTTTTTTAAGAGAAAAGAAAAAAAGAAAAGGAAAAATGGCACATACACATATATACATATATTTAAATTTCCAGTAACTAAATGCTTCAAATGGTTTGCATTACCTGTTTATATGAAGGATTTTCTAATTGACCTCCCATATAGCCAACACGCGTGATAATGCCATCTTTCAAGAAATGCTTGTTGAAAATGTGCTCAACACCCCTATGGTCAATTGATTGATTAATTATAATTGCGACAATTACAATATAAAATTAGTCTCACCAGAAGCATCCAGCGGCAAATGTGGCAGTTTCAGACATTGTGATAGTTTTGAGAGAAAAAGTAGTTATATTTGAAGAGTATGATTTTATTTTCATTTTTATACTCATCGGTTTCAATATAATTTATTAAGTATGGCGGAGTTTCGTCATCTACCTTGAATGCCATTGCTTGGTTTGATCTCCATCTCAAAATCTCCATCAGAGTGCTGATTTTGGCTTCAATGTATCGGAGATTGCGTGATCGAAAGATCTGATGCTTGTGTAGAAATCGGAAAACTTTCTATGGCTTTATAAAATGCTGTAAATAAGATGTGATCAACATTAGTATATTAAAGAAGTACTACAAGGCTATACGTACCCATTGAGGAGCGAAAACCATTCTATTTGAAATGCCATTGTTCCCTTTTTGCCTTTCTATCAAACTCTATAAAAATATAGACCTATTTCTGTGTTACATTCTGCCGCATAATTTAATATTAAAAGAAAATTGTTCTATGCTGAGACTATGGAAGAATAAAGATGGTTCCGTTCTATTGTCCTCTACGCCGACACTTGTACTACAGCTGGCAATCACTTTTCTTGAAATATAAGGATAGGAGTAGGCTTATGATTGACCACCCAGCAGCTTACTAATGAGAGGCATTACGATTTTAATCTCAGTCTCCAGCAGTGCAGTTAACTTTTAACTTGTCTAAATCCAAACATCGCCACTTTAGCTAACGAAAAGGTCACTTCGCCAAGCAGTTCAATTCACCCTTTTCTTTAAATAAATTATGAAAGCGTTCTCAGTAAGCAATCTTAAATCTTTATTAACTTTTTTTATTTAAAATAAAGTAAATTGAACTGCTAGGAAAATCAACGTTGGCTAAATATTTCAATTTAAGAGAAAAGTTGAGTTAAGGCTGACTACTGGAGATGCTCTTATAAACCAAAAGGCAACTTTAACTTTCTTTTTCATTTTTACAGACTGTATAAATATCCAACCATGGTTTATAATCATTTCATAAAATACCAATACAAAATAAGTAACTCTAGAATAGAAATATTGAAAAAACCCAATATTTTTTTATAGAAACAATGGCGGGACTCTTTTTTGTCACTTGGAATTAAGACCATTTAATCATTCAATTTTAAGCCACTGCAACTCAACAGTAATTGGGGTTTTTTCTTAATATCTAGAGTACTTGAGTACTTTTAATGACGAAATTTCTTGGCAAATGGTCAATTGGATTTAGCTCAGTAATATATAAGTATGAATATAAGATACTTTCTGCATTGATGCTCTGAAATCTATTATTCATATAGAACATATAAAAGCAAAGACTTATCAATTATAGACTCCAAATAATACTAAAGTAATGCGTTTTTTATTTAAAGAACGATTATTTCTTTCTTATTGAAATCATCTGGAAATCCAAAAATACAATCAAGACATGTTACATGGCTTGTGTTGAACACTTGGAAGAAGAGATACATCCCTCAAGGATTGATTCTGATACATTCCAAACCCACTGTACACTTATAGCCTCCATTTATCAAAGTCTGCCTTTTTTTTTTGTTAGTAAGACTTATTGCAAAAGCGATTTTATTGATAGAGGGATCTTGAAAGTTTAAGCGTTTTCGCCTCCGATAGAGTTTGTTTTGATTGACATGTAACGTGTAACGTGGGATATAAACCACATTCCCTTAAGAAATTTGCGAATTGTGTTTGCATATCTGTGAACGCTCTTCTTTTTTTTTCGAATTGACGGCGAGCATCTTCGGCGGTTTTGAATGTATAAGTATAATAGACGCGGATAAGGTGACTAGCAAGTAATATATCAATTTTAGTCGGTCTACTAAGACATTGTCATATCGGAATGTCCAATTTGAGACGAAGCCTTTTAATTGTAGTGACCTATAAACCAATGATATTTGTAGCATCCTTGACAGATTTTCTATTTCGAAGTTAAGCTTCAACAAACTTTTGATTGCCTTTTGGGATACGACGCATAATGAGAGTAGAAATGTGTTTTAATTTCCACCAACGATGATAATAGTAATAAGCTTTAATAATAATCAATGACTGACTTTGGAGACATGAACATATGTGTATGTGTATATGTATGTGTATCTGGATACATTATTCAATGTATTATCATAAAACCAAAAGCAATTCTCAAGCACTATTTTATATCCTTGGTTTTATCCTTCGAATGTCACTATAAAACGAAAGTTGCAGCGCAAACCATAATTTCTACACTCCATTCAAATACTAATCATACCTATTCACAATTGCTTTATTATACTGTTTGGGATATTATATTGTACTTTATTGATGCGAGTTATTAGTATCTTGAATGTGTTCTTATTGTCAAATACAGCCGATAGAATAGTTTTATTCTGATCGCCTGCTGAATGGCACGCGACGATGGTCTTTGGTAGCATTTCTCTTGCGTCGCTTCTCGAGAATCTTGTCCATATTCTTTTTGCCCAATTTGTTGTATCTGTCGACAAGGTCCAGCTTTCTCTTTTCGGCTGTATAGGCAATGTGATAAGGAGTCAGTACACCATTATGACAGTATTATGATACTTGTATCTGATACTTACAGCGCTTGAGGTAAAAAGGGGTTTTACCCTGTTCAACCAATTCAGCCTCAACCTTCTTTCGCTCACGTGCCAGCAACTGCTTTCTCTTGGCCTCTTTCGCAGAGTATTCACGAGATGTCTACAATAATTCCGTTTAGGATACCACCTTGGTGCCAAATGTGACGCTTACCATTCTAATTAATGCACTCTCTAGTTCAGCACGAGTATCTGGATCCTTTTCCTTCTTAATTCTATCTCGGAGCATCGCTTGTTCGTTTTGTTTATAATCATCCAAGAAATCATACGACTTTTCAAACAACTCCTGGTTGAATTGTCCTGACATTTTATCAAAACGCGGATCTCTTCGTTTCTATTAGACAAAACAGTTTTAGTTTTATTTTTAAAAAAATGATATCCTTATTAAATAATAACACATTCACTTCATCCACTTACTTCTGCAGCAATTGGAACAACCTCTCTAAATCGACCGACAGCTCTTTTTGATGACATTTCCATAGGACTTTTTTTAAAAAATAATAATAAGAAAATCTATATTATGCATTTTGTATATTAGCCCATTTTTACCTGTGTTTGCTGTCTCGTTTCATATCTTTTTTTGTTCGTTTCACACGGTCTCCCTTTAACTGTTTGGATGCCCCCCTGAGATCTTTTAATATCTGAGCCTTTGACACAGTTCCTTTTTTCTTTCTTGGATCTTCTTCCTCAGACTCTTCGTCGGACTCTTCATCAGATCCCTTGCTTTTTCTAACTTTGTTGAATTCCTTCATTCCCATCTTTGCTTTTATCTCAGCCAGCTGCTCAAAAGAAACATGGGCAAGACCTTTTGCCATGTTGAGAGATATTAAGACTTGGTATGTTTAGATGCATACAATACATATACATACTTCTCTTCAGTTGTGCAAGTTTGGCCTTTGGATCTACCTTGCGCTCTTCTTCTGATTCTTCTTCGCTATCTTCCTCCTCGTCATCGTCTCCCTCTTCACTTGTATACTCCTAGAGTAATTGAGGTCTCAATGTTAATGGATCTCCAAAGACTTGGATGCATTTCTGTGCGTCTTGCCTCTTCGTTACTACGGTCAATTTCCTCGTCGTTTTCGTATTCGTACTCTTCTTCAATGTCGGATTCAATCACCTCTTCATGCTTGGCTGCTTTTGTTCGTCCCATGTTCAATTTATCTTTCTTTGCTTAAGAAATGTCAAAAAGTTTTGAGCATAAAAGGATAAAGCTAATTTAAAACAAGCCACAATAACCGTCCTTTTCCTATTTTAGTATTCCCTTTATCTTTGGAATCGATCATTTTCTTCAACCATATTTTATACTAGTTTTTAGGACAATTAAAAAAATTAAACTGGACGATTTGCACTTATGAGTTGGACAGTAACTAGAAAATTTTCGGGTATGTGACAAAAGGAAAGATAGATAATTCCTTTTGATTTTGTGGAGGATGATTAATTCCTAGAAGTCTGATTATTTAATGTAGACTTGAGAAATTTTGCAATAGTTGAAGTGATAAGAGCATCCACAGCGGTATGGGGGAAATAAATGTGTATTTTGGAACGAAAAAACAAATTTAATAGCGGTAGACAGGTGAAAATATTTTATTGTGGGTCTTTCTAGGCCTTGCGCATTTTATCTAATATGTATTTTGAACTAATTTTGAACTTTTAGTCTGTCCACACCAAGTCTTATTCCGTATATGGCTCACGACAATTCAGAGCAAAAACATTTGTATTCTCGTGCAAGGTTGAAGGCCTATATTTAATTAATGCATTTTTGTCAGAATTACTAGATATTATTTGTATACAGCTTTCATAACTCCATACAGGGAAGAATACACTTTGAAATATTTTTTCTTCTTCTGTGAGAGCATGAATGATTTACAGCTTCAAGGACTCCTATACGCTTTTTTAATATCTGCTTCTGCTAACTGTAATTCTAATTGGCGGTTATTAGGACAAGAGAGCGACCTTTATGTTTCTTATTATGTAACTAATTATTACTTTCTCAATCTTTTTCAATGAGATCTGCACGTCATCCGGAAGCGCCTTCCATTCCTTCTTTGCTTGCCGGAGCTTCTTCATCTGGCTTCACTGAATGTCACTAAAAAGTGAGCACTGTAAACCTTTTGATTTGTCCTCATTAGACAAATCTAAGATACTATTTAAGACATTACTATTTTTTCAAAAAAAAGGTGTGAGTACAATGTGGCACAACATTAGCTTTCACACAGTACCTGATAGTGGTTTTAGATGTATTATCTAGGCTGCGATACTGATTGCCTTCATACAACGCATAGGCTTTTTGCTTAATCAAAGTAGCTACGCTTTTAGAAAAGGCTTCCAAGCACGTTTTTTTTTCTTCAGGTAAGCTCTATATGTCTAGCAGTAAACAATTGGGCTCAAGGGTTTATAGATAATTACTATTTTCCCTTTTAGCCTCTTGCTTGACCTCGTCTCAGCTCTCTATTTAACAGGGCGCACAGCTGAATACTTTGTAGTCAAAAGAAAAAAGTCAGAGTTACATGCTCCTCATTTTCAGAGTAATCTTCGGGACTTTCTCGGCTAGACCTCTATCAATTGGGGGTGAATGCGTCCGATTGGTTTATTGCCGATAACGGTTTGTTGACACACCTTGTAATGCAGCAAGCCCAGATAACTCAAGATCCGGGTATTGCACTGTTGCTGGATCAGGAGAAGGCGTACGATCAAGTGCATCCCGCGTACCTTCGACTCACTATTTCCAAGCTTGGTCTGCCGGTCGTATTTTTTAATACCGTGTGCCTTTTCTTCTCCACGTCGGCAGTCTTGGAATTGCAAATCCTGGTAGTCTCTATAACAGCATATTCTATCTGGCGGGCCCACTAGAATTTTGTTTTTGAGGGAACTCCTTTTCTTCCTAGCGTGATGGCTAACAAAGTCTCAAGCTGGATTTCGCAGAATCGGTCATTGGGCACTAATGTTGTCAAAAATAATAGCTGGTTTCTACATTTGTTACCCCATTCTTCCCATTGACCACTTTTCTCTCTCTCTTTCTCTGCCCTCACATGCATAAGCACAAAAAAACCAGTAATGGCCGCGCGACAAGCACGGCTGCTCTACCAATAAAAAATACTTTAAAAAAGAAAGAAAAATTGGGGGTGAATGAGAATGGGTTTAGGAATACTAAGATTTTTTTTTCAAAGGATACCTTTGTTGGTACAATGACTCTTCGGTGGTAGCATCTATTATATGAAACAATCAGTGAATGACAAAACAAAATTGCCTTTATCAAGAACACTATTATTTTACCTTGTGTTTGTTTATTGTTTTCTTTCCTGCGCCTCTGATATTATTGCATGACATTTTTGCTAAAAACTAAATATATACTTAAAAGGTTGTAAACGCCTAAAGTTACATGTTTCATCTAAAGCCTATTTTACTAGAGGAGGTGTTATCTAATGGAAAAAGTGCGACTGTTAAAAAATAAAGATTGGACAAACCCAGTAAAAAACAAAGCACTCCGGCAGCAGTTGTGGAAACTTATCAATTGATGAGAACATCATACTGTGTCAAATATAAGAAAAATAAATCCTCATAAATTTCAATCTTTTTTTTTTAAATAAATTCGACCTTTAAAGATCGAATAAATTAATTACATATACAATAGACACTCCTGGCTACCCTATACCTTAATTTGAGAGTGAGATAATAAGCTTGATTTTGAGGAAATAATTAATGGAAAATGTTAGTGGAAAATTAGGAAATTCGTAATTTTCCACATACATTTTCCACTAAATCGCGTCAACCGAGAAAAACGTATAACAATCATTGGAAATTACATCGCCGTTTCAATTGAAAATGGATAAAATATTCAATTTTCCACTAGATAACACCTCTACTTTCTAAATCAAGACACTTTGTTTTGTTTTTCTAGTCACGAGCAAAAAAAAACAAAAAACAAAAGCAAAGCTCTGAAAGCATGTATTTCCTTACAGACTCTTTCTCTTTTCCTCTTTTTGTTTCTTTAGAGGAATACAAAATAAGGTATAAAATCAGCGAAAGGTGATAAAAAAATGTTTTTCTGATTAATAATCTAATTATTGATATCTTGCGAGGACAGCGAAGGGAAAGAGTAGAGAAAGGGCATCATATAAGATATCGTTTGCCAAGGGACGAATACCTTCGAAAGCCGAATCAAGCAAATACAGATCGGCTACCGGCAGTTGGTGCCGAAAGAGGGTTTCCAGGGATGCTAGGATCCATAGACTGTATGCATTGGGCCTGGAAAAACTGCCCAACGGCTTGGCACGGTCAGTACACTGGCCGGAAACATGAGCCAACCTTGATCCTTGAGGCCGTTGCTTCTCAAGACTTCTGGCTGTGGCATTCGTACTTTGGGCTCCCTGGCAGCCATAATGATATTAATGTTCTTGATCGATCTGATGTCTTTCAAGAAGTCACTGAAGGAACAGGCCCTGTTGTGAGTTACAACATTGGAAGCAAGACATATGACATGGGGTACTATCTCGCCGATGGAATTTACCCAAGGTATGCACCATTGGTAAAAACCATATCAATTCACGTATTAGCAAAGGAAAAGGTAACATATATTTGTGTACTCTTATATTTATTCTTATCTTAACTAACATTTACTACTTAAAATTTTATAATCTAGCTGTTTGCTAAAAAACAAGAGGCTGCAATAAAAGATGTTGAATGGGCTTTTGGAGTACTGCAGGCTCGATTCAACATTGTAAAGCTTCCTGAAAAGTTGTGGAGAATTACCGACTTAAATATGATAATGAAAGCATGTATCATATTACATAACATGATAGTGGAAGACGAACGCGGCGTGGATGGCCTGGACATGGTCTATGAACAAAGCTTGACGGCAATAGCGTTATCAGACAGAGTTAGTAGAAGAGCAACTAGTGAAGACGTTACTAGAGGAACCTTTTCTGAGTTTGTCGCAAGATATGGTGAAGTTACAAGCAGAATCAACCATGCCGAGTTAGTAAAAAGCCTTGTAAATAACTTGTGGAGTATGACAGAAAATAAGGAATAAATAAATAATTGTATAATAAAGTTTTATGTTAAAAAAGTGCAAAAAAATATTCATCAGAAAAAGTGTTTTCTTCATCACTTTAAAGCTCTTCAGCTCCTTCTGCTCAGCGAGGGGCTTGCTTTTGCTTTAGCAGAACACAGTGGCGTCCTACTGGATTGTTGATGGTGTCTGTATCCATCATAAAATATTTCACGCCTAGCATCTCCCTGAAGTTCTTGTCCTTGCTGCTTCCAGAACGCCGGGCTTTTCTTTGATCATCCACCAGATCAAAAAGAGCCTCCTGAACCTTTCTTTTTCACTGCTATGCGTAAAGGATTCTTGCTTCAGAAATTTAGTTTTTGTATATATAGAGATTAGATATCAATCATAACGTAACCAATTTTTTAGCTAGGATATTACCATATCTAGGACATTAACACCACTTTGATTGCGTCGCTCAACTTGAGCCACACAGCCACAAAACTTTGCTACTTTGCTTTGGATATGATTCCAGTTGGATATCAAAGAGCGAGCAGAGCGGAACATACAGCTCGCATTGATATTTTCGAGGTAGTTCATTCCAATTCTCTCCCACATTGTGGTATCCCTTTGATCTTTACCCGTTATTGGGACTTAAGAAATAGCCAGCAAGGACTGACAAATATGAATATCTTCCAAGTAATTCCAATTGGCGTTACGGCTACTGGTAGACATGGGAACAGGTACAAGAGAAGATACATTATCGGTAGAGGATTGCAAAGTAATGCTGTTCATTTTAATGAGTTTAGCAAAGTATAAAGAAAATAATTCTCAGAATTCATATCAAAATCTGCCTTCAGTTTATATTGTCAAAGGTTTTAGTAAAGTTCGAAACATCCACATCCACATCCACATTCACTTAACATTTCTCATAAAGATTTTAGTTCTGCACTTCGTATAGCAAGACCACTGTGGATGAAAAAATCTAAATAATTTATTTAATTTATTTAATCTATTTAATTTATTTAATTTATTCAATTCTCATATGCCGCTGTGGATGCTCTTATCTCAACAACTTGAAAGCCCAATTTGGCAATATAGTTAAAATGTTTCTGAACTTTACGTAGAAATCAAAAGAAGAGTCTTCTCGTATTCGAATTAAAATGACACGAGAGAAATACACTGAAAAGTTTATTAAAGAATTGACCAATATAGCCCGTGACTCAAGTGTATAGTAAGGTCGAGCAAGCATCCAAAAAAGAAACGTGAGTGCCAACTGACAGTATAATGTCGCCTGAAAGTATAAATAAAATTTAAAGCTTCACCTCAATATACCCAGCAGAATACAAGCCCAAACAATTGTATATATATATGGCGTCAAAGTTAACACCCAAAGCCATTCAAAAGCGCTCTACAAGCTCGCTTGATTGTGCCAATTAAGCAACCTGAAGACGGCTCATTGCTTCCCAATATGGTGTCCCTTCATATCTGAATATACTACTTTGGGTGCAGAAATAGTAAATTTTCATATCTTAAAAAAATCACATATGAAAGGGAAGGAGAATATTGTTTGGGAAAAGGACGTTTATTTGAAGAAGAAGGCAACGAAAATTCAATAGGTAAAAAGGTTTGCATTGTGAAAGCACCATCAAAACATAGCTTAGCATTATTCGGTATGAATGAAATTCAACCTAGAATACTGTACGGTGAAACTTTGAGCAAAGAAATAATAGTACCTCATCAAAAGCCAAGAAAACCAAATATTTCACTTTAAGGTTATTGCTCTAGAAATTTGATACAATCGTCGATTTTTAGGATAATGTACTGTAAATAGTACATAATGCTGTTTAGATAATATCGTATATGACAGCTTTTGTTTATCAATATTTTATACTTTTTTGTTATATTTGAATATGTATAAAGTCTTTATTTATGTTTGTTAAGATTATATATGAAAGATTATTGTAAAATATTTATAAAGTTTGGATAATAATGTAAGAAAAAAGCTATGGTTTATACTGAAAAAAATGTTAGGCTAAAAGGGTGGAGGATAAAAGTCAAATGAAGAGGGGAAGCTTTGACGACCTTCAAATCCCTCAGGTCCACCATGTATACCGTGTATACCATGTCCACCATGTCTACCATGTCTACCATGACCGCCGCGACCACCACGGCCACGACCACCAAATCCAAAGCCTCCGTGCATGCCATGGCCACCGCGACCACCAAATTCAAAGCCTCCATGCATGCCATGGCCACCGCGACCACCAAATCCGGAGGCTCCGTGCATGCCATGACCACCAAATTTACCGTGTTTACCGTACTCACAATGACGGGTATGAGCAAAACCCTCGCCAAAGGCTTCAGAAACACCATCTTTTGCACAGGGAGAGTGATGGTTGTAATGGCAACAGTTATCTGTCAAGGTTACAGAGTCACAAGAGTCGTTATCTGTATGTTTCGTATCTGAATTTAATGATGGAATGGGGCATTTCTTGAAACTGTCTTGGCAATCGATGTTGTGTTTTCCGCAATGTAAAGCGGCTTTCTGGCAGAGCATACAATCAGTACTCAGGCATGGCTGTGTTTTTGTATCAAAATTATGGCCTTTAGAGTTAGAAGATCCAGGTTTCTTATAGTGACGCTTGTGGTGAAAATCATGATGATGATGTTTGCCCTTCTTGTCACTTTCTGGGCGTGTGGTAGGTGGCTCGGCCTTTTCAGCGGAATCGGGGAGATTTTCAGCGCACGGATCATCTTTAGCAACATCGGGACGATCTTCCGGTTGTCTAGGACGGGAACCTCTGTGTCCACGGTGTCTGTGATTATGTCTAAATGCATCGGGATGCTCGGGACTATCATGCGAAACATTTGAGGGATCAAATCGAGGGCCACCTTTATTATGACGACCGTGCTGTTTATGTTGGCCTTTACGCCCGTGGCCGTGATGACCATGTATTATGCAACCATGGCTAAAAGCGGCAGAGTATGAACAGGGGGTATTTTCAGTATCTTTAGAAGGAAACTCATGCTTTAAGTTATAGCGGGGATTATGAGCGAAAGTCCACCCGAGGTGGTGGAATCCGTGGTGTCTACGTTTGTGGTGCCATCCGGTACAGAAATTACAAGCAGATTGGATAGGGGGCTCAGAAGAAGTTGGGTTTAAAGTTCTCTCATTTGTATCAAGTGGGACGGTATTATCATTCTGGGGAAGGCTGTCGTTGACACAGTCGCTCTCACTTGAAGAAGTCTCACTTTCACTCTCACTCTCAGAAGATGTACTTTGATACTCAGTACTCATTAGTGCTAGCCAGCGCTCGAAAGATGAAAGGTCCACTGAATTGGGATGCTTAAGAAGAACGGTTACTAGATTACCGATTGCATACGAGACGGTCGAGCTGTTCTGAAGTGTAGGTTGATAGGAGTCAATCATGACACCTAATTTCTCAAATGCGATCGAGGAGGAGATGTCTGTGATCGGCTCGCCATTGTCAATGTTTACGGATTCAAATGTCTCGGACAGGGAACGGGTAGCATTCAGGGCAGCGGTAGGGTCACTCCAGATATGGACCTCTTTACAGTCAGAATTCAGCAGATAGCGAAGTCCCTCATCATCAAAAAGAGAGACTAATAGACCCTCAGGGTTTGAATAATAAAGAAGATTTGGGGTAGATTTTGGAAAATGCTCATTTAATATTGAAAGAAGAAGATTCCATGTTGTTTCGTTGGGCAGAGTGAAGACAGCGTCCTTTCTCTTAATAGTCACTTTGAATTGAGTTGTCATGGTGAAGTGGGAAGAAGAAGGGTTGATATCGAAAAATAGTTACTTTTTGGTTTCCATTTTATACCTTTTTTTTCTGTCCTCTTTTTGTTTAAACAGGTGTTTGACATATATTTTTATCATTATACTGCGGTTGATTTCTTGGCATTGATTTCCACATTTGACAAATCCGAATGGCCGCGCAGGTAGAATGAGAATGTTAAATGCAATACACCATTATTACCATGCGAAAATTAAATGCCCGTGTGTTCTCTATTGATGAGTTTGAGCCTTGAGAATTCATATGGGCAAAAATTGTTAGTTCTTGGACATACTACTATAAGCTTTCATAAAGTTGATTTATTAACAATATGCGATAGAGATATAAAGTATAGAAATATTGTTTAGGGTAATAAGCATAGTAAAAGCTATTCTTGCTGCCTACTAATGTACAAGATTCAAGTTTGTTCTGGAAGAAAATATAAAGAGCCTATTTTGATTTGGTAACGAACATTTCACTTTCGCAGTGATAACCTTTATCATTCTCGCTGTAAACCAGATACAGTTATTCAAAAAAAAATGGCACAGGCACCGAAAAATTAACATCGCTATTTCTAAAAATAAATATGGCGTATTTGAAATCAAACATTATGGCCAAGAAATATTTTAGGTGGTTGCCTTTTATTCAGAATTGATAGCTTTCTTAAAAACGGGTATCAGAGATCAGACTCTGCGGCTACCAGAATATAGCATGTCTGTAGAATACAAACGTTCATACAGTGCATACATAAGCTTTATTCTTAGAGATTGCGATATTACCCTTTCCGTACTCCGTGATATTATCGTTTTTCTAAGACAGTGCAGGCGTACCGAATCTGCGCGCATCTCAAAATTTTCTCCTTCCTCCCAAATGTATGGGAGCCAATCGCTAAAACATACTCTTATGGAACATACTTCCCTAAAAAGGTTCAAGCATTTTAACATCCATTTTCTTCTATAGTCTCACCTTTTTTTTCAATAATGCTCCTTAGAGCCCAAAAAATATCAGCACTAAAAAGAAATGTATCATTACATAATGTTGCACAGATTAAGAAATCCTTGGCCTTATATCCATTGGGTTTGGAATATCAACTAAATAACGCACATTAAAAAAAGGGAGGTTTTACTCTAAAAAGGAATTTTTGCCTATTGATGGAAAATACAGCGTTTGCTTAACTTTGGGGGACATTTGTCTTAAACATGATATTATTATGTCTTTTCAAAAGAAGACCAAGATGTGATAGATTTTCTTTATTATATCAAGTATATCTTTGGTTATATCATATAATATTAATTATTTTATGATTCATAGACTACCTATAACCGAGGTTTGAATGTACTTCATTTACTATATGGTTTAAATACAGTAGTAATTAATTTTCAGGAAATCGACTTTAAAGGGTAGGGTAAATGAATTTACAGTTATCCAATCAAAAAAGATACTAATATTTCTTCAACTTAAGAACACATCTAGGATTATTCATTTCGTAAGTCTTGTCAATTAAGTAGGTTGTTTTCAGTCCAAGTCATGATGATAGTGTCAGTACGACCCAAAATCAGCAAACAGATAAGCTTTGTTATATAGTAAAATATAAAACTTTAAAACGTATACACTCTTTCTTTCACACAATTTTATTGCTGTAGTATATGATTATTACTGTAAGAATATAATGGCACTTCTATAGTGTAGGGGACAGCATGATACTGATAATCTAATTAAAATCCCTCTAATTTCTATGTTGTCTTGGTTCGTTTTATTAAGCCTGTACAAGTTTCCAGCGGACAAGTCGTTCCCAGTTTGACATGCGTGCCTGATAAGCCCAGAGCCCGAATTCAAGAGAACGGTACTCCCACCATGCAGTGAAAAGCTGTTTCAGCACATTCCAAGAAATACCGTAAGTTGCGATACTGTCAAACAAGCTTTTCTTGGCATCAAGCCAAACAGCCTCAGCACAGTATCTGCCCATAATAATATATGTCATATGCTTGGTAACTGAATCACGCAATGTTTCATCCAAGCAACGTAATAAATCGCTTGTTTTGAGAAGAAGTAGAACAACCCGAGGAAGTCTGGCCAATATATCTGCGACCTTAAGTAAGAAGTTCTTTGCACGCCCTGACACACGTTGAACTTCTATGTCCGTTCTGTTTGAAGACAAATCGGCGGATTCAATCGTTTCCCATTCTCGGCCTGTTAAAAGAGAAGCAAACAGCCTGTGTGCTTCAGGTCTACACCCGACACGCAGAGAATACTTTCTAATACCATCTTCGTCGCCTCGGATCAAAGAAGTCCACAGGTGGGCATAATCTGTTCGTAGTTCCTCTGTCAGAATACGATAGAGACCGTGGTCAAGTAAGACAAGGTCAAAGTTGTATTTGGACTTAGGGTCTTTGGCAGGTCTGATAAGAACGTTTCCAGGATCTAACATTATTGTGTTAGTGATACATATTTATATGCTTAAAGTCATTTAAATGATAACATACGAGGATCACAATGCAAAAACCTAAAATTTACCACGACAACAAAATAAATAAATATTATGATAAACAATTAAATACATTTGAAAACCTACCCATGCAAGAACATCATCTTGGAAAATATCTCTGTCAATTCTGTAGAGACAGTACTTGGGTCGATGTCATGCTCTTTCATATATGCGAGATCATCGATTCGAGCACCTTCGATAACTAATTGAAAGTATACTTAGCACTAATCCTTGGATTGATTTATTACTTACACTCCATAAACATAATTCTTCGCTGTGCCCACACAATATCGGGGATTACAAGTGATGTTTGATTTTGGGCACGTTCTTGGGCAAAGTTCTGTGCTACCTGCTGTGCATTAGATGCTTCATGAACAAAATTGAGTTCTTGGGGTAATGATTCTTTCATCTCTTGGAGAATCCAGTCGAATCCAAAATCGGGGAAGGCTTTCTTGATGTACCCCATAATAAATGACACAGTTCCCAGATCAACTTTACAGAATTCATCTAGTCGTGGGTGTTGAAGCTTGACAGCAACCCAGCCATCGTTGCCTAGGCGTACACCATTTACATCAGGACGAAGACGGGCCTTGTGAACTTGAGCCAAAGATGCTACGCCAATAGGTTTCCAATCGAACTCTTCGAATATTTCATCAATTGAATGCCCATAATCAGACAGGAACAAAGCCTCGATGTCTTCAGGAGAAGAGGGATCGCATCTGTCTTGTAATGCAGACAATGTTGATGTCCATTCGAATGGTAATATGTAAGCCATTGCTGAGATGTGTTGTCCGAGTTTAACGTAGATTCCACCCAGTTTCTGTAACCCAATAAGTACTCGCTCGGCACAACGTTGATCGCATTCCTTCTTAGCCTTAATCTCTTCTTCCTTGCTAGAGTATTTTTTAGAAAGAGTCCATTTGTAGTCGGCTGCTACTCTTACGCCAATACTGGTCGAGATTCCACTTCGTTGGATAGCAAATATAACATGTCGGAATCGATCGTCTGTTTCGTACAATGCTGTACCTGCCACTCCAGCAATGACACCAGTACCTAACATAAGCTTGAGAAATGTCCTCGGCTTTTTAGGTGTAACAATGGCTGCATTGGAGTAATTGTGTATTGAGATCTTTGGTTGAAGTCTAGAAAACGACTTTTCCCGGAGAAGATGCTTGTAATTCTGCAGTAGAAGCCTCGAGTTAGCCATTGAAGATTAGCAAAAGAAGTCTCTGAGAATAAAGAACATTTTTTTATAAAGAGCGGAGATAGCTTTCTCGGTTCCAGATAAAAGTAACTTATTTTACAATAAACACACTATACAAGGCGTATTTTTGAGCTACTAACCGTTATGAATGGATCTTCTTTTCAAATAAACAGTACAGAAAGGTATTATTAATCTATTAGGGATCACAATAAACATTTTAACACTATTTATTTATATAATTTATGCTCGATTTTTGAAATATATATATATATACCAAAAATTCGCCTTACAAATGTGTTTTATTGTATTTCTTTATCAAAATAAACAATGAATTCCCACTAGTAACTATAAGGAAGGTGTGAAATGGCAGAACATAAAAACAGGGCATTATACTTTATAGGCACTGATTAGTTTTTTATAAGCATCATATTTCTCTAGTCTCTTAATAGAATCCAAAGGATAATAAGAACTACGACGGGAAAATATAATAAGTGGCAAAGACATTAATAACCACATTATAAGTATTTCAGTTACTGCATTGGTGCCCAAAAATTACATGTGTACTTAAAGTGTTTCTACTTCAAATCAAGACAATTGGTGTGGACAGACTAAAATTTCAAAAAAAAAAAGGACAAAAAAAAGGGTAAAACAACTTCATCCAGAACTTAGTCAATCAGACTAATTTATGGTGTCCACACCTTTTTTTAAAAAAAGTTCAAAATTAGTTCAAAATACATATTAGATAAGATTGTGCTTATAATGCCGTCACTTTCATTAAGTGAGAACCTTTTATTGCGAGTTTTTCTAGACCTCTCATTATATGGCACATCTTCTCCATAAAAAAATGCTTCTCTTCTCAATCCTAGTGGCAATGGAAGAAAACTAGCTAATTAGAGTCGATTAAACTTTTTGCCCTTTTTTTGAACTTTTTTTGAACTTTTTTTGAACTTTTAGTCTGTCCACACCAAATATATCGAAAAGTTCAATCAAATCCTCAACCCTTGCCTATATCGTCACTCTCAGAATTCTAATAGTAACCTGCTATGGTATTCTAAGGGAATATTACAGCCAGTACCATTCTTCTTTTGCTAGTATTATGGATATACTAATTCAATTTCTGTAAAACATGACTTCGTTACAGTCTGAGGATCATTGTAGAATATAGATCTAGCTGCTATTTTGAACTACTGGCAGATTATTAACCAATTGCGATATATTAGTACGATTCCTGATAGTTTAGCGAATTAATTTAATATTATTCTTCCTAGTGTGTGGAGGATGGGACATTGAAAAGGTGTTCTTATTTTCGAGCTACAATGATAAAGAAATAAGAAACATTACAATTAAAACATAAAAAAAAGGAAAAGTATTGCTTAATCAAAAGTCAACCTTAAAGCAGCCCTTAAGTCCACCCGAAAAAAAATGCTTCCAAAAATCACAAAGTACTTGTGAAATACACAAGAAAATGTTGTAATATATTTATTGTACACTCATCACATCTCTTTTTTTTTCAGCTTTCTATGTATAATTTGTATATATATATATATATTTGCTGTTCCTCATAATCTCCATTTTTTCCATGATGGAGAAGCTACACAAAAAAATCCTAAAGGTTATATTCCGCGATCGGTATATCGATATGTCCGGAAGGTTCGGGACAGGAAGTTCCCGGACTGCTACGTTTCAATGAAAATCTGGCTGTCCCAGTCTAATGTCCTAAGGACTGACCAATCTGTTGATGATGTGACTGCTGGGTGAGCAATGGTCCAAGATCAGCAGTCCGATTCAAGAATTTCGGGAGGTTCAATATAAAAAAAAAGAAAAATATTTCCAAGCCAGCTATCTTTACACGCCAAAGTACACCGAGATGTCCCAAAAGATTGGTGAGTCTAACGCGCCCAAGGTCTTATCTACCAATCCTCACACTGCTCCATTCTAGCTATCCTCTCTGTCTACGACAAGACCGGCCTCCTTGAGTTCGCCAAGGATCTTCACGCCTTGAACGTCCGCCTTCTTGGCTCAGGTGGAACTGCAAAGCTTGTTCGTAACGCTGGTATTCCTATTGGGTACGAACGAATTCAGCTATGTCATATAGAAAGCTTTGATTAGTCTCTAAATAAAAGCGCACAATAGTGATGTGTCTGAAATTACCAAGGCTCCTGAGATGCTTGGTGGACGTGTCAAGACACTCCATCCTGCTGTTCACGGTGGTATTCTTGCCCGTAACATCGAAAGCGACGAGAAGGATCTTGCCGAACAACACATTGAAAAGATCGATATTGTTGTCTGTAACTTGTATCCCTTTGAGGAGACTATTGCTAAGCCTAATGTCACCATCCCCGAGGCTGTCGAGGAGATTGACATCGGAGGTGTCACTCTTCTCCGTGCTGCTGCTAAGAACCATGCCCGTGTGTCTATTGTGTCCGATCCTTCTGACTACAAGAAGATCATTGATGAGCTCAAGAAAGGTGAAATTACCCAGGAAACTCGCAACACACTTGCCTTGAAGGTATAACATCGAAATAAAGAAATAGAGAGTATGAGTGAATTTGGAGGGGATTAAAGGGATCATTTGGGCTGAACATTTTTTTTTAAAAAAAATTGTCTACCAGGCATTCAACCAGACCTCCGACTATGACTCTGCTATCGCCGACTACTTCCGTCACCAGTATTCCAACGGTGTTGCCATGCTCCCTCTCCGTTATGGTGCTAACCCTCATCAGAAGCCTGCTCAGATCTACACCAAGGAAGCCAAGCTTCCTGTTACTATCTTGTCTGGCTCGCCCGGCTATATTAACTTCCTTGATGCTCTCAACTCCTGGGCACTTGTCAAAGAGCTCAAGGAAGCCACTGGTCTCCCTGCCGCTGCTTCCTTCAAGCACGTTTCTCCTGCTGGCGCTGCCATTGGTGTCCCCTTGACCGAGACCGACAAGAAGGTTTATCACGTCAATGATCTCAAGGAGCCATTGACACCCTTGGCCTCTGCCTACGCCCGTGCCCGTGGTGCTGACCGCATGTCCTCTTTCGGTGACTTCATTGCCCTTTCTGATACTGTTGATGTTGCTACTGCCAAGATTATCTCTCGTGAAGTTTCTGACGGTGTTATTGCCCCCGCTTATGAAGATGCTGCTTTGGCCATTCTCCAGAAGAAGAAGGGTGGAAAGTACTGTGTTCTCCAGATGGACCCCAACTACGAGCCCGAAGAGAAGGAGATCAGACAGGTCTATGGCCTTTACTTGGAGCAGAAGCGTAACACAGTCAAGATCGATGCTTCATTGTTCACTAACATTGTCACAAAGGACAAGAACCTTCCCAAGGAGGCTCTCCGTGACATGATTGTCGCTACTATCGCTCTCAAGTACACTCAGTCTAACTCTGTATGCTATGCCAAGAACGGTATGGTCATTGGCCTCGGCGCCGGTCAACAATCCAGAATTCACTGTACTCGTCTTGCCGGTGACAAGGCTGACAACTGGTGGATGCGCCATCACCCCAAGGTCCTCGCTCTTGACTTCAAGAAAGAAGCCAAGCGTGCTGACAAGTCCAACGCCATTGATCTTTATGTAACTGAGCAGACTGGTGAGGGTGTTGAGCGCAAGGCCTGGGAGGCTCACTTCAACACTGTCCCTACTCCTTTGACCGCTGCAGAGCGTAAGGAATGGATGGCACAGCTGAAGGACACTGTCGTATCTTCTGATGCCTTCTTCCCCTTCGATGACAACGTTTTCCGTGCTCGCCGCTCGGGTGTCAAGTACATTGCTGCTGCCTCTGGCTCCGTTCAGGATGAAGCTGTTATCGCCGCTGCTGACTCTAACAACATGGTCTTTGCCCACACCAACCTCAGACTTTTCCACCATTAAAATATCTTTCATCTTCATCTATCTTTTAATCCAAAAGCTCTCCTGTATATCTTTTTAGTCTTTAATTCATATAATGAAAAATATGAAAATAAATCACAGTTCTCAAACTGTCAAATCTTTATTTTATTTTTTGCTTCTCTTTTTGGTCTGTGCACAACTCATGCGAAGGGATTTGGTTTGAATGGCCGCACATGACATCACGACCTTTCTCTCTCTTTCTTCCTCTCTTCATCGCCCCTATATCCTTCGATTTTCGCTCTTTTAAATAAAAAGGTTCCCCTTCATCTGATCATCATTATACATCATGGGTCAATCTGGATCTCATCTCGAGGATATGGTGAACTCCTCAAATTGTGTGTATATTTTACTGGAAATATATGTATATTGATACTTCGTAGCTAATATTAATATTTTCTTCTTTTTTCAGTCTCTGCGGAGGAGATCCAGCGCCTCTACAAGCGTTTCATGAAGCTTGATAAAGATAATTCGGGATCTATTGACAAGGAAGAATTCTTGGCGATTCCTCAGATTGCCAACAACCCATTGGCTACTCGAATGATTGCCATATTTGATGAAGATGGTGGCGGAGATGTTGACTTCCATGAGTTTATTAAGGGTTTGAGCGCGTTCAGTGTTCGAGGAAACCAGCGCGAGAAACTTCAATGCAAGTACAAGTGTATTGAGCAGGAGTATGATTATTTTTATTTTTTCCAACACTTCTCGGTCTTATTTGGTAGTTGCATTCAAAGTGTACGATATGGACCGCGATGGATTTATCTCCAACGGTGAGTTGTTTTTGGTGCTCAAGATGATGGTTGGAAACAACCTCAAGGAGAACCAGCTTCAGCAAATTGTCGACAAGACCATCATGGAGGCTGATAAGGATATGGACGGAAAGATCAGTTTTGAAGAATTTATGGTTATGGTGGAGAATACGGATGTGGCAAAGCAGATGACCCTGGAGAGCTTTTAAGTTGGAGGGCTGTGGAATGTATATTTATTTTTTTGCTATTGTTCGTGTCATTTATCCTCGAAACAACATATCAATAGAATACGGGCAATTATGCACATAAGGGAGAAAAGGAGATCTGTGGTATCAGTCAAAGAAGTGTTATGTACAGATTGAAAAAAAAAGTGGAAAGAAAGAAAAGACAGAGAAAAGAGAAGCTTTTTTAAGCACTGACTTGCACCTCTGAATGGCTGCTTGTGCTGTTCGTTATCGATACTGCATCTTCATCCTCTTGGCACACATCTTCTTCGTCTTGAAGAGCTAGTGCTAGGGCAAGCGAATCTTCCTCATCTTCACTGTCTCCCATTTCTTCATATCCCAGGGAAGCTAGATCTAGCTCTCCGTCTGCTTCGCAACGGGCGAGAAGTTCATCAAACCAGGTTTCGAGACACCGGTCACTCTCGTCCTTCATCTCCCGCGCTCTAGTGTTCGTTTCATCGGCCGAAAGATGTTCGATCTGTAGCATGACACCTCTAAGAGTTCCCAAAAGTTCAGCCGAGATCTCGCCTGTCGAAGGAGTTGTTCTAATCTCTGCAAGGACGTTTGTTAGATCAGATAGTAGATCGTCCTGAGGCTCTTCCGGTTGTTCATGATGTCTTTTGTGCGATGCAGATTGGACTGGCGAAGGCGATCGACTACGCTTGCGGTTGCTGAGATCTGGACGGGTCGGCATATTGGTATTTGAGAAAGAGTGTTTATAAAATGTATATATATATATATATATAAAGGCGAGACTGGCGATCTCTGTGTATATTTATGTATATGCAATTTAGCTCTTTCCTGTCGTGCGCAGATCACGACAAGAGGGCAGGAAAATAGGCATAATACCCCATTCAAATAAGGGGAGCCTTGTCATTGAGACGAATCGGGTCTTCATTGTGGCTTGCGCCAATCAAGCGGGAGAAAATACTAGTTAATGTGTATAATAATCATAAGAACTGTACAACCTTGTCTTCACTTATCCCAAAGCCCAAAAAAGAATAAAAATAAAAAGAAATAATGCCAAAGTAGAGCATTGGCCACTATTATACAATTTAATTTCTAGACATACTATCTAATACGATTAAAACGAGATATACAGTAAGTGTATAGTAAATAGATTCCATTAATTAAAACAATTATATTGGATCAGCAAAATTCTTTGTATTATCGAGATGAATGCCAACTGAAGCATTATATGCCGACCATATCTGACTGAGTGCTACAATGCTCTTGCTCTGCTCATTCATACTCTAAAATTAAACATTAGCTTGCGCATTTATATAATCTATTTATGCAAATTGTTACCTCCAAGCGTTTGTTCAATTCTAGTACTGTGCTGTTGAGTTTATTCTAATCAAACAGGTTATTGGTACTATCATATACAGTTTAATTACATACCACGTTAGCTGCAATTCGGTTTATCAATGCATTCTGCTGTTGCTCATGAGGATTCTCCATTGTCTCTTTAAGCCAATGTGATGCACTTGCAGATTCGATCAACAGTGAATAAAATTCGTCGTTCCTTTGTAGAATGGGACTGCACCTTTTTTTTGGAGATAGAAAAAGTGACTTTATTGTTTAAAAATGCTTGATTTTCGTGATATTTGATCAATCTTTTTAGGTAGCTTTATGAGTGAAACTGAGAACTAAGTCAACATTTGTAATATGGTTATATGATGTTTTTGGTTTAATAATAGTACTTTTAAATATGAGAGAGATAATAAAAACTAGAGTAATATATTTATGTATGTGTGAATAAATGGCTAATTTGAGTAAGGCAGGACTTTTTTTTTAAGAATAAAGGAATAAAGAAAAAGAGCGGAAGGTTTAGATAAATAAAGCACTAACAGCCGCAAATAGGGTAACTCCTGAGAGAGAAGCTGTCAAGAATCCGCTTGCTCCACTTGTGGAGGTACCGCTTGATGAGCTGGGAGTGGGACTGGTTGCATGATCGTGATCATGAGTATCGGCAGTAGTGGAATCAACAGAATTAGCTATCACAAATGAAGCTGCAGGGCTACCGGTAGAGGCATTGTAAGAAGCAGTTCCTGGGATACCAGTCCATTCTGTGGATCCGACAACACTAAATGAAGCAACCGAATATTCAATAATTGGAAAATGAGATAATTACGATTTGCGTGTTACTAACCATGTTTGGACAATAGGGAAGTATATAGTAACATTGGGAGTATTGGTCAGATCAACTTGGGGTAATGTGAAAGTGAGGCCAAATTCTTCAAGTCCATCAGCAGGAACATAACCACCAGTCCAAGAAAAGCTGCTTACAGTCTGGTTGACAGAGACACCATTAACCTGAACAGGAGTATCAAGCTTTGTATATTTTACATCAAGAGTCTTTAAACAACAACAATAAAAATGGTTAGATGGCAAGCTTTATTTGAGTAAGTCAAGTAATTGCTTTTACATACCCAATTTGAGACAGGCAATGGGGTAAGAACGACAATTTCACTCGGTACAGACACACTCAATCCAGTAGTAGCGGATCCGTTGCATCCATGAGGAACATGGAAGCTTCCATTGATACTTTGACCGGGCTGTATGAATAATAGTACTGAGTATTAAGCACAGAACAAAGCACGTGTGGGCTTATTTTGCCATTACCTGTCCAGTGGAAGGGGATATACCAACATGGGCATTACAGACGAATGCCATTGCGGCCACAAAAGCAAGGACAAGAGAAGGTTGAGGAGACATGGTAAGGAATACGAATAGACTTCTGTGATGAAAATTACTAAACATCCAAATATTCGTCTTTATATACACTTTGATCCCTTTCTATAGCTTTGGAACAGCAAAATTCCCTCAGGGCATGAAAACGCAGCTGGGCCAATCGCGTGTGTCTCCAAGGAAACCGCATTGAAAAAAGGTACAATGGTTGGCGCCGACCTAAAAAAGATTTACAAATACAAAGAATGTCAAGAAAGCGTGTTACCTTCAAAGAAAAAAAAAAGAAGTAGCTCTGTAATACCATATGTAAAGTCAGGCGATTGGGTCTTTCTTTTTATGTAAAGCATATCTCTTGAATTGTGAGTAATATTTTAGATAGAGAAGAAACTGAATAAATATATGATCCTTTTTGCTTTTGGATCGAAACGGTCACGCCAGCCGCCAATGCCGAGAATGAAAAAAGAACTTTATAATAATGCAAATAGTTAAAAGTACATTTTCTTGAATAGTAGTATAAAGTAAGATATATTACGTTTGCTTCAATACAAAGTAATCTCGAAAGAAATTAAAGAGGGCTATAAGAGTCTCTTTATTTGCGCGATGTCAAGATATTTTATCAATAATAGACTTGAGATGGTAGGAGAGACAAAAAAGAAAGATGCTTGAATCTGTGGCTGACCAATAAGCAGCAACTTTGCAGCAAAAATAGCTCTTGTTATATTAAGGTATTCAATGTATGGCGTTTCAAAGTAGACAAAAATCACAATAGGAGTATGACTTAGTTACACTGATTGAGATTTAGTCATGTACGATGTGTCATTGGAGAAAGTATACTTGATTTATTTTCCTAAACCATAGTTGCCGCCAACACCAGGTAAATATTATGTTCAAACCTTGCTGTCTTAAAAGCTTTATAAATAACTCTGGGTATACAACTATAATTAATAACCAAGGTGTGCTTTGACCGACAATAAGTCACTAAATCTTTCCTGTGGTTCTTTAAATTTTTGGTAAATTTCCAATCAATTGATAATTTATGCGTATATTCATGATCTACACGGCGGATTTTTTTTTATTATTTTTTACTGGGTCCCCAAAAGATGAATCCAGAAGCAACTGCTTTTGATTTTATCTATAAGACAGGTTGTACAAAACAGATAGTGGTGACTCTGAAAAAAAACCAGTAATTTGAGATATACAGACATTACAAGTACCGTTTTTTATATAGTCTAATAAACAATAACAATAATAATAGTATTGTACTTTATTACAAACACCCAAATCGTATTAAGCTAAAGCAACTTGAATATTATTCATAGAGCTTACACCATGATTCATGGCAAAATTGGAACACATCAATTCCACATTGTTTGCAGAAATTAGAGTGAATAATATAACACTCTCTGACTAAAGTTGTAGATCCTTCTGATGCCTGGTCCTGTCTGGGGTATTCGTCGATATCGCTTGGGTTTTCAGGCTTTTTGTCTTGATCGGTGGTCGATTTATCCGCCACTGGTTTTGTTGACATTAGGAAGATAAAGGGAATAAAGAGCAAACAATTAATAAAAGCCAAGAGTATTATTATTGATCGTATATCTAAAGGAAGGGGTTATTTTTTGTATTTCTTAATTCATGTAATGAATGCAACATAGACGTGCATAATGCATGTTCGCACAATTATATTGTTTAAAAATTTGAATAGTACTATATAAGACCTAGTTTTAGAAAGAAAGAAAAAGAACCGCCTCCTAATTTACAGAATAGTAAAAAAGGGTACTTTCTGTATTTTCATAAAACAACATAATATATTGAAATTATACTTCCTTGAAAGTTACTACCAAGCTTGCACATATAGACTAAAGCTAACTTTAAGTATTTCAGTTTTTGCTCTTCATAAAGGTTTTTCTTTTTCAAAAACTAAAATCAAAAATCAAATCAAATCAGATCAAAAGGTTTTAAAAAATAACATTTTTGAATATATATATATATATATATATATATATATAAAAAGGAAATTGGCGCCACCGAGATTCAAGTGTGGCTACTGTTCTGCTTGATTCGTATTCATCTCATACAGACAATCTTACTCTCGATCTTATTTCAAACGTGTTCCCTTCAGGAGAATAGACAGGGTGCAAAGCTATATCTCTACAAATTTTTCTTTTTCTCTATCGATTAAAACCCCTTTATCTCCTTCTTTTGAATATACATGTATATAGAATCACCGGGTACTAAGAAAAAAATCGTGTAGATTTTCATGAAGCTATAAAAGTAGCAATAATCTGGTTTATACAGCTGTCCACCATATACTGATTTGTAAGGACATAAATAAAAGATTGAATGAATACACTTTATATTATTCACCAGAGTATAAATATATATATATATAAAGCAATTGTTTTAAAGAAAAGAGTTAATACAGTTCTTCTGTCCACGAGGGAAATGATGCGGTACATAAAGATTGATGCAGGGTAATAAAGAAAAATCTACTAATGGACTTATATTGTGTGTGTGTTTGATAAACTATCTATACTGTTTAGTAATATCTTGTACATATAACAGATTTATATTAAATATAAATCAACGGCTATATGGATATTCGACTAGATTCTTTCTCCCACAGAAAATGTTTCTGAGATGCTTCGTACCCTTTTTAAGTCTGAATATATATATTCTTTCTTAAGACTATTTACGATTGGGATTCTTACCAAGGCGCGGTAATAGACGATAGCATTTATTAACACAGCACGGAAATACAGGGTATAATACAATGTAATACAATATATATTGGATTACTTAACTGCTGGCTTTGTAGGTTAGACTATTGCACCTATTTTTTAAGCAGGAAGATGCTTGTGATATCTATTTTATGTAAATTTGCTCTTTTTTTTGTTAAATTATATATAGCTACCATTATAAAAAAATTGTAAATTCAAAGGTGATTGTATGGGATATGTTTCGAAGAGTCTAATTTTATTCTACTATTTATCTTTATAAGAAACAACATATATCCACTCTCTTAGGGATGTAAGCTTTTATTCATAAATCAATGTATCTCTATATGTGATAAATAAAAATATGTATATATATGTGTATATTAAATAACACATTACAGAATTCTCATGTGCAATTAAAAACCACTGGCTATAAATGTTCTAATGTATATCATATGCTCTCATATCAGATATACTATTTTTATTGTATTTGTCAAGCGATGCATGTCTTCTTTAGCAGTATATATCAATAGTTTCTTTACTATTTCGCAACTCCTAGAACAATTTAGACATCAACCCTTCAAGTAGTTTTTTCTTTGTATGCCTTGGCCTCCATGGTACATGCAGATTGACAACATAAGTAAGTACTATCATATCTGAAAGATATCATGGATATAATTTATGAGCTAGCTAAACATATGAAAAATGGTGGGTAATTTGAGCAACACAGAAGATTTTTTAGCCCTTGCGCCTTTGTCGATTATTGAATAATTAATATTTACCTCAACCTTGATTTATACAGTGTCTTGGCTGTGGTAAACATGCCTGGATCTCACAGCAAGTACCGTAAGACAATAAATGATATATGAGTTATAATATTACTTTGCAAAAACACGGATTCAGTATTTATTGGATTGATTGGTTTGATATGGATAAACACCACCCTTAGTCCTCCGAACCATCTCTTGAAAAGTATAGGCAAGTACCCAAAATTTTGAGTATATCACTTCTTTTAAATGCAACATCTAACATACCATAATCTTCTAAGGCGATATTATAGTCGGGCTTCATTGTTTAATATTTGATGTTCTCATAAAGTATTTAATATATACTACCACAAAATACTTTGAAGACATGACTTTAACTATATCTTTTAGCAACATTTGTGGAATATAAATATGGCTGCTGTTTTTGGTTTCTAACATACATTTAACCAATTGCAGCACGGTAATACAATTCTTGGTATATTCATCCATGTTATTCGAACTGAAACTAATGTAATACTAATAGAGGATATTTAGTAGTGGTTATTGTGTGAGATGAGAACTTTAAAGTTTCAGAATAATCTCACTAGTAACTATAATAATAAGATGTATTTTTCAATCTGATCACTGATATGTATTTTTAAGGTACTGACTCTATAAGCTTGAGCAGTTTTATGTACTTCTTCTGTAAAAATTGGAAAAAAAATTAAGTAGACACTGATATAAAATCTTGAAGGGAAATGGGATGTATTTTGTTGATAATGAAAACCTGGTCAATTATTTAAAATTTGATAATTGTTCAATAAATTTTTTAGAGTGACTTGGTAACTTTAGGTAATGAGTTCTGTATAAAAATAATATTTATTTTGTAAATATTTCTATGTATGAATGTATGTAGTAATTAAATTGAAATGTAACTACTGTAGGTGCTTGTAGAAAAAGTTTTTCTCTTTCTCTAAAATAATAATAATCTTTTTATTATATTAAGTACAAAATTTTTGAGTTACTTTGAAGAAACAGTGTAAACTTTTTTTATCATCTACAGCAAAATATTAAGCTGCTACTAACAGAGGTCTAAGAGACATGCTACAGTATTATTTCTTTTCAAAATATGTATTTCTTCTATTGTTATTAGAATTCTATGCATTTATATAAACAGACAAATAAATTGATTTATCTCATTGTCAGTAAACGCTAAATCTTTATAGCTTATATTATTCTAATTTTATATTATTTTATTGATTATCTAAACTTATTTCTATATAAGAATTGCAAAGAGTATAGTTTTAAAAAAGTTTTTGAAGATAGAGAGATAGAAAGAGTGTCATCCAAATACTGCATGGTATAGCTGATAGATTTTCTCTTTTTTTTTAGCAATTTTTCTGATTGATTTCCTATAACAATCAATAGTCTATTTATATAGACATATATACTTACAGTTAATTATAAAATATTATAATACTTGATAGCAGAATAATGAATTCTGTTTTTTTCAGATGAAGCAAAGTATTAACTCATTAACAAGAGAATTAAATATATGGATTAAACTTTTACTTTAGTTTCAACAGTTATACCATATTTGTATCTGTCTTATGATTAAAATAAGTAATATATAGTAATTATTTGGCTATTGATTAAGATAATATATACTTAGAAAAAGAATAAGGCTTTGATTATATAGATCAATAATGTAAGTAATAGATTATACAAACAACTTGAGTTTTTGAATCAATAAATACAGATATTATTATTTTTTCTAACACTTTACCCAAACTTACTTAGTAAATCTTTTGTTAAAAATATACTACCAAAAGTTATATTTATTGATGAAATATATTATAATAGTTAGCAGGTGATTTCTAAACAAAAAAAACAGAATAGACTCAATTTGTACAAAGATAATCTCAGATATAATATATACTAGATTATATTATAATATTTATTTATTTATTTTCTTTTATATATATGTTTGCATTTAATAATATTAATAAGATCTAATATGTATATTATAGCATATCACTTCTATTTGGCTCCCAAATAATTTTAATAACAAAAATCTTGTAAAATTAATATGAAAAATTAAAATAGTATTTAATATTATTGATATATCGAATACAGATTTATATAGCAATTTTTATACTAATATACTAGAAATTAATATAGCTGTAGTGATTCAAACACTCTCTTATTAGATTTATTACATTTAAGAATATATTTCTATTATTATGGCTGAGTTATATGAATAAAATTTTAAAATAAAACAATAGATACTGTAAGAGTGTTGTTTATTTAAAAAAAAAAGATCATAGCTGCTTATATAGACATTTGATTCCCTAATTTAATATTTTCATTAGTTAATGGTTGATTATCACTGAAGTGGTATAAAGTATACAAGTGTCTGAGATGTGTTAAGTTTCTGAGATGTGATTCTGCTAGATTTCTTAGCAACTGTAGTATCTGATCTAGATTATAAAAATTGTATTTTACTCAATTATAATATATATACCACATAGACTAATAATTATTTATAGTAAGTACTATATAAATGACAACTTAGTAAATACTGAGATAGTATTATAATACTGCTATAAGATTAAATTATAAATGTAGTAGTAACAACTCTTTAATAGTTAAATATAGTAAACAGATATATCTTTAAGAAATTAAAATATAACTGATATAGTAAATTATATATTTATATAAAAAAGAACTTTTTATTCTTTAATAGAAACAATTTATATATAGTTGCAAAGTATTATTATATATCTTATATTATAAACTTTTATGTAGTATGTCAAGTATAAAATAATAAAAAAATAATAAATTTGGAAATAGAGACATTGTTGTAGTGGTTGGAAGATTTTAAGAAGTTGTTAATGTGGTATACACACCACAATTGAGTGAAGAACAGACCCCACAACCAAACACTGGTTCCTTCTTGCTAATGAACCTGGCAAGTTAACAATCTCCGGAACTGTTACACACCAGGCACACGTATACTACACACTCACACAGTATAAACCAACTATTACACAACAGGGATTTGAATT